GCCTATACAGCAGGCAAATACTTCTGGAATTAAACGTAAATGGACCGATTCACAGACAGGTCCAAACCGGAAAGGATTCCACCGGCCGGCACGCTCAATGAATTCATCCATATCGTCTCTAGAATATGGCTCCTCTAGACCAAGCCGGATTCAAGTATTTCCAACAGAGCGCTTTGTTTATTTCGTGATTAATATACTGCGGACAACTCAAGTGTCGTATTCGGTGGTGCTTGTTTCATTGTATTATATCTATCGCTTGAAGATGAGACATTCGGGGCTCGTTGGACAACATGGAAGCGAATATCGACTTTTCTTGACTTCGTTGATTTTGGCAAATAAGTTTTTGGACGATTATACTTACACAAACAAGACTTGGGCTGACCTCTCAAAGACGCCATTGAAAGAAGTAACCAAAATGGAGCTTCAAATGTATACAGGTATGGGGGCAAATGCTAATGTGACGCCCTCTGATTACACCTGGTGGTGTACAGTCTTAAAGGGCCTGAAACATCAACGAGAAATTGATCGGCAATGGCTTCATTGTAAAGAGTCAGCCTCCTGTATTGTGAGATCTCCTCTTTCGTGGTCGGTGAACTCGTCACCTATCTCAGTACCTCTTAACCATACATTGTCACTTCCAGGCACACAGCATGCGTACACAGGGGAATCTGAAATTGGCAAGCGCAAACGAAGTTGGTCGACCATGAATGGAAGGGAGGGGGAACGACGCATTCAATCTTCTCCGAATTTAATGTCTCCTGGATTGCTGGACAATGGATATGCCCTGCAATCCCTACAAGTACCTACTCCTGTTTCGTCTACTGATTGGCCATGTAATGGCAAATCAATGTGGACCGGTGGATCCAGTCATGAGCAAGGACCTCCAAAACCACTTGTTAGGACACCGGCTCCATATGCTTATTCTGTGACTAACGATCTGATTCCGTCCACAGCTGATGCACGTCATTCTATTCCAGCAAATATCGATACAGTGAATCCCATCAGAAACTTGGGCGCTCTAGACAGTGCAGTCCCTGTGCTGCAATCTAGGCCGATGGTCGACATGGAGCTTTTTGGTCCTTGCCGACATTTCTCTCCTCCATTCTTGGCTCATCCATCAACAAATACTTCGCCTATTGTGTTAGCATATTATCGATTGGCGGCTGGATACCCATATGGCATTCCCGCATCAACCAATGTTGGCGCTGTACATAACAGACCATTCTTTGCACCGCATCCAATTTTTGAAAGTTCAAAGTCTGACGTTAACATGTTTATTTCTCCTCCAGGTTCCGGTGTACCATTAAGAAGTACCAATACATTTCATTTCGATGAGCCCTTTACACACATATCTGAAAACTGGCCAGGAACAAGAATTCAGAATTCATCGTGCGGCGATGGTGATGTGGGTGCACATCATGAAATTGACGATTCAGTGTCAAGTATACCTGTACAAAGTTTTGTATCAACGGGTTTTTCCGGTTTAAATGCTGCCGGACCTTCATCAGTACAATACATGTGTCAACAATAATAGTAAAATGTGACGAGCTGTAGATATGCTAGCTTGGTGTATATTAGGTATGTGTTTTAAGACAGAACATAACTAGGAATCGACTGGGTGATAGGACCATGAGGTCAGGAAGCCTGAGAGCTCCACGTGAGTGTGGAGGCATACTAACTTGGCACGAACCATGACTCCATTTAAGGATCGGACGGCGTCAAAACGGTTAACGCTGCGGAAAGATTTAAACATAGGTGTTAATGGTACGGTATAAGTTTTACTGACGAAAGACTTTGTATACATATCAGCTCCATGGACCTATGGCTTTGGTGAACCATATATTGTAGCTCGTGTGATGGGGTTTCAGCAAAATCCTGATCAACAAGGACGACCCAACAACCATATTCGAGCGAACTTATTCTTTCGAATGCGGGACCTCACTCATCGGGTAAACAATGATCCGCGGCTGCTAGTTGCAACAATGCATTCGGACCTGTTTCCTGTGTCTGCAATCCGGGGCAAATGTCGTGTGAAACATCGTGACCTAATAAGCAATGGATCGGCCCCTGAACTCACTGCCTGGAAACGAAATGATGACCACTTTTACTTCTATCAGTTGTTTGACAGATACAACCATCGTTTCTATGACGTTATTCCCACCTACAAAGTAAAGAATGCACCAGAGCAAGTTCTTAGTGTACTTCGTGAAAGGTATTCATTTATCGTGGCGGAGATGTCAATGTCCGCTGAACTGTGTGATACCCTGCGTGGATGTGCTGTCTGTCACCAATGGGCAGCTACGTCGGAGTCTGTTCGATGCGATACCTGTCGAAAATTTTTCCACATGTCGTGCCTAAGTCCACCCTTGCAAACAAAGCCAGCTAAAGGTTATTGTTGGAATTGTGCACCATGTGCAAGAAGTCACGATGAAATTGTAGAAGAGTGTGGTGTTGGTGGCGGTGGACTTGATTCGAAAGTGAACACAGCAGCCCGTGGTCCTAGGGGACAATCCCATACATCAAAAAGAACTAAAGCACATTTATTCGGAGATGTGATACCTATGGAAGATGAACATGAACTCCGAACGCCCGCTGATAGGGAAGGGCTTAGATGCTTCAATGGGTGGCCATACCGGTATTTTGGTCAACATACCGATGCCATGGATGTTTTAGATTCGCATGATTCAATTTATCCTCGTGCTGTTACAAGACTCGGATCGAAATACCAAATGGATCTATCTTCTTTCGAAAAAAATATACATGAAAGCAGGAATCGACTTGAATCTGAGAGAATAGAAGAAGTGGATGGAACAAATGTTCAGATGCGACTCTTAAAACCAGGACCAAGAATAAAAAAGCGCCCACAATATCAGAAAAGGAAGCGTGCTGATGCAACTGGCACATCTGCGGTAGATGTCTTTACTCAAGACGCAAACGATACACAAGAACAACTTATTGAGCGAGGCCTGGATGAAAACTTAATAATAATCTCGGTACCTCCCCCGGACTTGGACTGGAATCGAGGTACGAAGCAATTTGACTCACATGCAGTGGATCAATATTTGAAAGAAGTGTTAGCACCCAAAGCGACCATCGCACGGTGTTCATATTCGTTTATGAACCGTGCGTTGTCGATCTTGTGTGACCAAAAGTTCAATTACGAGGCCGCTGCAAGAATATTTGCCCAGAGTCGAGATGCAGACTTCGCATACTACCCAATGACCTCTAAAGAAATAAATAATATTGAGCAGACCATCTTGCAGAAAGGTGGCGAGATGAAACACTTGAAGCGCGCCCTACCGAGTCGTTCTCCCGCAGAAATTGTGCAAGGTGTGTATCAATGGAAAATGCGGAAGCTGGGCGAGAGATGGCGTGGGAAGGAGAAATGTAAAATAACATTGCGAGGTATTCGGACTGTACCGGGAGAGCAAGGAAGAGAATCGTCACCCACTGGCTCCATCCTTTCAGAACAAGAATTGGAAGATATGCAAGACCAAAAGAAAACTGCTAAAGTTGGTTGTGCCTTTTGTTCAACGACTATGAGTCCATTTTGGTATAAGAATTTGATCAGTGCTCCAGGATATGCTTTGTGCGTTTACTGTGGTCAATATTGGCGTAAATATGCTGCTGAAACGGCCACAGCCTTCATTACAGACGATAAAAGAAAGGCAGCTTATGAGAAAGGATCTGAGCAAACCAATCTGGGAGTTTTGGTTCCCCATGCGAGCATCTCAAGCATTTATTCGAAACCAGAACATTTGGATTCACCAGTACCTATGGTGCAATCAGAGGTAGGAAAGTGCATTATGTGTCGCCGATCGGACCCGAAGAAGCTTCTACGCAGTTGTGCTCATTGTGGGATGACTGGTCATCAATGTTGTCTTGGATTTACTGACAAAGAGCTTGATTCTGAGATATGGCTTTGTGATACTTGTGCTAATGATGAAGATCCTAGTGCATCGTTGTTACCATGCTGTGTACTATGTGGTGAAACGCCCAATAAAAGAATTATTATGAGTGCAGTGCATAACCGCAAGTCTATATATAATGATCCCGATTGTTTGAACGCTCTAGATGTTTACAAGCCGACAGAATGCAACAATTGGGTGCATCTACTTTGTGCCATGTGGACACCTGATGTGATGTTTGCTGACAGTATCGTCATGAAGCCCGTGGAAGGGGTGGGTAGTCTTCCAGTGAGTCGTTATGATGTGTGTTGCTCCATTTGCGAAGAAGTTAAAGGCGTATGTGTAAAATGTGCCGAGCCCACTTGCCGGACTCAATTTCATGTTTCATGTGCATTTTTATCGCAACCAGCGTGCATGCTGGGCTTTGAAATATTCCCTGTGAAAACATCAAGACGTGAATCTGTTAACACTTTGACATTTAAATCAGAAACTGGGCATATGTGTGCCCAGGTTTGGTGCAAAGAACATATTGGGACTGCAAAGTCAAAAAAGACCTACGAATTCTTCGAGATAGACCCGAAGCTCAAAATGAATGCCATGCAAGCATATGCACGCACACATAAACAAGTGACAGTGAGTACGAACAAGAGCGCAAGTCTGGTGGAGTCAACACATGCTCTACTTCGCCGCGCCAAAAAGCTGGATGCACTATGGACGGCTGGGAACAGGCAAGTTGAACAAGCTGGGGTCATCCAACCGCCGCAGTATGATCCCATGGACTTGGACGAAAAAAGAAATGTATGCGAAGGATTTGTTGACTCAAAACTACAAACATGTGTTAAATGCCATTCTGACTGGTCTCCTTTATGGTGGCCGGTGAACGATGGTGCAGCCTATTGCTGCACCATGTGCCACAATGATTTCGTAGGGACAGCTGTGGAGGTGTAGTTAAGAAGTGAGCGCACAAGCCATGCGAAGGTGTATGGTGTCACGTGTTTCGTTATATTTTGTCACGTGTAGTGAGATCAGGCATGGATTTGGGTCCCTTGGATGTCGAGTTTTCTTCGACTCGTCACCTCGACGGCATCAACAATGTCTCACTGCAAGGTATGTATCTAAATGTCGTTGGGAACATTGTATGCTAACAGAAATAGTTCGAGCACCCTCGTCACGGCTCGCTTGGTTTCCTGCCCCGCAAGCGTGCGGCGAGCCACCGCGGCAAGGTCAAGTCTTTCCCCAAGGACGACGCTAAGAAGCCTGTTCACCTGACTGCCTTCATGGGCTACAAGGCTGGTATGACTCACATTGTTCGCGAACTTGACCGTCCTGGTTCTAAGTACCACAAGCGCGAGATTGTTGAAGCCACCACCATTATCGAGACTCCGCCCATGGTTGTGGTCGGTGTTGTTGGTTACGTCGAGACTCCTCGTGGTCTGCGCTCGCTGACTACTGTCTGGGCCGAGCATCTCTCGGACGAAGTTAAGCGTCGCTTCTACAAGAACTGGTACCGCAGCAAGAAGAAGGCGTTCACCAAGTACGCTAAGAAGCACTCGGAGAACAACGGCCAGTCGATTGCCCGTGAGCTCGAGCGCATCCGCAAGTACTGCACTGTTGTGCGTGTTCTGGCGCACACTCAGCTGCGTAACACTAGCCTGAAGCAGAAGAAGGCTCACCTGATGGAGATCCAGGTGAACGGTGGCTCAGTTGCTGAGAAGGTTGACTTTGCCCACGGCCTTTTCGAGAAGACCGTCGATGTCAACAGTCTCTTCACTCAGGACGAGAACGTTGATGTCATTGGTGTCACTAAGGGTAAGGGTTACGAGGGTGTGACCGCCCGTTGGGGTACCAAGAAGCTGCCCCGCAAGACCCACAAGGGTCTGCGTAAGGTCGCGTGTATCGGTGCTTGGCACCCGGCGAACGTTATGTTCACTGTTGCTCGCTCTGGTCAAGATGGTTACCACCACCGCACTGAACTGAACAAGAAGATCTACCGTATCGGTAACGGTGCTGACAAGGCGTCGGCCTCGACTGAGTTCGACACCACGCAGAAGCCGATTACCCCTATGGGTGGCTTCCCTCATTACGGTGTTGTGAAGAATGACTTCATTATGATCAAGGGCTCATGCCCTGGTGTAAAGAAGCGTGTTCTTACGATCCGTAAGTCGCACCAGATCCACACATCTCGCCGTGACCTGGAGAAGGTTACTCTTAAGTTTATTGACACCTCGTCCAAGTTCGGTCACGGTAACTACCAGACTGCTGCTGAGCGTGAGGCGTTCGAGGGCCCTAAGAAGCCTCCGGTGGTGTACTACTAAACGGAAGTAGGTGTGTGCATTGGCTGCAATTCCAGTCATTGAACGCTCTCATGATTCTGGCTTTGGTGTAGATAGCATCGATGCCTCAAAATGCGAAACACTTTCTTGTGTATGCTGTGTCCTTTTTTCTATGCTTGATTGACTTAGAATATATTCTGAGCAACTAAGGAAGTGGATTGTGGCGGGCTATGTATGGAGCTCGCGGGTTTGCAGTCCGCCGTAATTTCACCAGATAGCAGATTGATTAAGCTAAGTACCATGCACGCGCAAAGAAATTACTTGACGACAAGAACGGGCACCGGCGAGTGGTGTACCAAATAGGAAGAAACAGTACCACTGCTCAGTCCCTTCTTCCAGCCACGGTTGCGCTTACCGATCACGACACTGTCACACTTGTGGTAGTTCACGACCTTCAGAAGTGAGGCGCGGGCCTCACCGTGAAGAACATGCATGGTAACGCCGTAACCCTGCTCTTGAAGCTTCTTGCGGTAAGGGTTCATACGCTCAACAGCTTGCTGACGCAGCTGCTTAAGGAGTTCGTTTTGCTTCTTGCTGTCAATAGTCAAGGGACCCGAAACCCAGGGGCCACCAAGCACGTTGGCAGAAAGAACAGTGACAAGGAAAATATGGCAGTTCGTGCTGAAAGGCTTCTTATCCAGAATATAGTTGAAAGCAAGATCACCGGCCTCAGTGCCATCCAGGGCAAGCAGGATTTTGAACTTGTCATCCGGCACACTGTCACCAATGTTACCTACAATCTGCTGGTTACGGGCCTCCGAGGGAACCGAAAACTTGTCGAAGGGGTTGCCCGACTCAAGCACGGGCGTCTGAGCAATGGTGTGCACACTGTTATATATTAGCAAAGAGAGTGAAACACTTACGGAGCACCAGGTGTAATTGTGCCACTTGCCGAAGTCTGGTGGTTACCACCGAAATAGCTCTGACTTTGATCACTCATGAAGGGAATGGAGTTATAGAGGAAGTCGGAGGCTGGATCAATAACCCATGCCAGACCAATCTCCACGTCCGCCTGGCAGTCACGGGGACAGACTCATTCATTATTCAGCCAATCACTGGCCAATAGACTACGTAAAGAACAAGATCGACGACCATTCGTGGCGCAAAGTAGGACCTCGTCACATGGTTGGTGATGACATAATACAAGGCTAAAAACCAAAATGCATCCAATTATGGTATACCTAGGCGTCCATGCGGGAAGTCTCAGGTCCGCTTGCGCCGACCCATGGACAGTTTAATTTTCATCCCGACCTTAGGGCGTGTCTCCGCCAATTCGTCAGCTTCTGAAATAGCCTCAGGCATTACTTCGGTGTGCCTAGACTCATTTTTCACTGAAGGAATGTCGGTACTAGCTTCCATATCGCTGGTATTCAACTCTTGCTGCACCTCTGCCAGAGTGGCGTCAAATACACGTTGTAGTTCTTCAGCATCATTCCATACAAAAGAACCTTCTTGGTTGTATGTGCGGGCATTGTTAAACATCAGATGGAAGTCACTTCGGAGGGCATTCAAACTTTCATACGATTGCGACTCAATCCGACGTTTGATTTGCCTTAAGGCGATCGGTTGAGTGATAATAATGTGATAATCAGGATACTCGGAGCGTTTGGGGATATCAGTGAATAAGGCACTCCGCAGTCGGCCTGTTTCTTCATCTTCACATTGTTCAACAGCAGAATAGCATCGCATCATGGCTGTCTTGAGCTTGTCCGTTTCCGAGTCCGTCTTGCGACGCTTACTGGTACCATCAGCGATAGACTCAGACACAGGCTCAGTCATAGTAGAGCTAGTAGTCTCAGTAACTTTGCGCTTGCGGTCAGCTGCCGATGCGTCATCTGAGATAGAGGCATCCTTGGTCTGCTGCTTTAGTCGACGTCTTTCAGCACGCTCACGCTTGCGCTCAACCACTTCATTGAGGTCTTCTTCATCTTCTAACGCGCGAAGGAACTGTTCCTCAGTAAGGCCGTCGTCGTAACGGACAACATTACGACGGCGCGAAAGCGGCTGTTCCTCGGCCGTCCCATCAATTGCCTCGGTATCAAAGTCACGCTGGTATATCTCCGGCAGTTCACTCTCCTGGATTAACCGATCAGGTAAAGGCCCTGTGTTTCCTAGTGCACGCCATTCTGTTTCCTCGTCAGCCAGGCGCTCACGATCAACTTCCTGGAATTTGGCAACCTCTTCTTCGCTGCGCGCAAGCAATTCATTGAGTTCGTCATCGTTCAATTCACCTCGCTCTTCCTCGTCGTCTTCTTCGTTATCCGCCTCAAGCATAGCTCGAAGTAATAGTTCGCGCTCATCAGCTGTAGCTTGGTTGTCGAATTTGCCAGCTTGGATGACTTTACCATTGATCTCTAACTTAGACTGGGCCCGAGCCAGGATAGTCTCTTCAACAGACTTCTCGGTAACCAGACGCAAAATGCGTACTTCCACCTTTTGACCGATACGATGGGCACGATCTTGGGCCTGCAAATCTTGGTGAGGGTTCCAGTCAGAGTCATAGATGATTACAGTATCAGCAGATTGTAAATTTAGACCAAGACCGCCAGCACGAGTAGAGAGAATAAAGACGTCGTATTCAGATTGAGGGTCATTAAACTGTTTCAATAAAACGGAGCGATCATCGGGCTTTGTTGAGCCATCAAGGCGGAGATACTTGATACCTCTGAAACGCAAAAAGTCTTCCATAATATCCATAATGGCCGTCATCTGAAAGAAGATGAGGACGCGGTGGCCTGTTGCAAAAAGCTTAGGAAGAATTCGATCAAGTAACTCAAACTTGCCTGCTACTCGGTACAAGTCAGGGCCGTTCTCCTTCGTAGGGTTAATGGTTGCTTCAACCTGTTCGAAGGCGTACGGGTGGTTACAAATTTTGCGCAATTGCATGATAGCATTTTGTAAACCACGAATTCCCATGGGTTTGGCCATTTTACCGGGTCCGCTTCCTCCATCGCCCAAAATGACCTTATGACGCTTCATCTGCTGATAGAGCTTGGTCTGTAGCGCACTCATGCGACACCTGATAACCTTCTCCACCTTATCGGGAAGCTCTGCCTCGACATCCTTCTTTAGACGACGGAGCAGGAACGGTCGCAACACCTTGTGAAGACGCTTGATGATAAGCAATGCCTCTTCTTCATTGAGCTGCATGCTATTATCTCCCGTGCCCGTGTTCACGAAAGGAGTGTTGAACCATTCATCGAAACTTTTGATTGAGTTAAAGATCTTTGGAAGCACAAAGTTGAGCAGCGCCCATAATTCGGGAAGGTTGTTTTGTAGAGGAGTACCCGTGAGAAGCAGTCGATAACGACTAGAATATGATTGGGTAAGTGTTACAGTAAGCTTGCTTTGGGTATTCTTCATACGATGACCTTCATCAATGATCATATGAGTCCATTTAATTTTTCCTAGGAGATTCTTTTCCTTAATGATATATTCATACGTTGTGAGTAGAACCTGGAAAGTACCCATCTTGAGTTGACCAGCGAGCTGTTTCCGAACGTTAGGTGTTCCCTTGTAGACCAGGGTAGTAACAGAAGGTGCCCATTTGTTAAACTCATTCACCCAGTTGGTCAGTGTGGATAAGGGAACAATAACGAGGTATGGACCATTCTGCTTCTTGTTCTCGATCAAGAAGGTAATCAGCGAAATCGTCTGAATTGTCTTACCCAGACCCATTTCGTCGGCGAGAATACCATTCAAGCGATTATTATAGAGTGATACCATCCATTGCAGACCTTTCATTTGGTACTCCTTCAATTTGCCACCAACCAGAATTGACGGTTGTTCCGTAATATTCTCTTGGATGCGGTGTGCCACGGAGTAGTAGTCCACACGGCTTGAGTCATCACTAGGATCATCTTGGCGAGATGCGCCAAATGTGGTCTCATCCACAACACCGCCTTCAATGGTATCAGCAGTGCTCCAGTCCTTGTGCGCATCGTCATCCTGCTGAGCACGTACAGCCTGGGCAAGACTGTCTAAATAAGCATCAGTCTGTTGTAATAGATGTGTGATCCGTGTATCTTTGGCAGTATCAATCAGCTTCAAGTAAGCCTCTTCGTCGTCAGCCTTTAGAGCGTTGAGACGCTCTTTGGCGACTCGCTCAATGCGCCTCTGTTCCTCACGTTCAGTATCATTGTGCAGCTTAAGAACCAAGCGGCCGATTTTCCGGGCCTGATCAGCAGCCTTTGCCTGAGCAGTTAACATATCTTTGCCATGGGAGCAAATCAGAGTTAGATAGTCAGTGTGGCGTTGCTTGACCTTACGCTCTCGCTCCATACGCTGCTTTCGTTCGAGCTGTTCAGTAACGCGGGCGTCCCGAAGCGCTTGTTTTCGAACGCGTCGGAACGCTGAGCGATCAAGCCCAAGTGATGTAGCCAGATTCATGCTAGCCAGGATTTTTTCGCGCATTCGCTTCTGGCGGTCAAGGAGATGTAGTGACTTAAGTTCGATAAGAGCTCTGACCTTCGCATTGGAATCACGACTGCGAGAGTTCGTTAGATCCGATGGCTGAGGGCTGGGGGTAGCAGGAACCTGTGCAATGCTCGCAGGGAACGATTCTAGCTCACGTATACGTTGCTGTATACGCGCTTGGATGAATCGCTCGCGCTCTTCAAGCAGAAGCTGTGAGTTGACACCAGCAGGGAGAAGGCTAGGAATGAGTAAGCGTTGCTGAAGAGATGCCAGGTCATTGCCCCCCGATAACGCTGGCTTAGCCAATAGCGTAAAAGGATGTAGGTAGGCATTGTATGGATAAATCTTGCTGGAGGGATCATCTGCTGGCTTCGAAGGTCCAATGTCTGACTCTGCCTTCTTCGCTGAAGAGTTCTCCTCCGCAGAAGACTTGATAGGATCAGGGCCATGAGCAGCAACATGCGCCGCATGTGAGTCAGCCGCTGCATCCGCCATCTTCGAAGTAATAGACACAGTAGATTGTTGGTCAGTTGGAGAACCATTCGCTAAATGCGCCTGCAGCTGCGATGACATAGGTTGATTGCGAGCGAGCTGTTTATATGCAGATACTTGAGCACGCAGTGCATTTAATTGATCGGGTGTTAACGCAGAAGACGCTTGAACGGCTGACGCTAGAGCAGACTGGTTTCCATTCACAGGCGAAGCTGTGTTGACAGGCTTAGCTGATGTACTTGGGCTGGCCGCACTACTTGATGTTGGTGGTGTAGTCGCTTGATGTGAAGACGACGCATTGGCAGATGATGCCTGAGATTGACGAGAAGCATTGACCTGATGTATGCGCAGCTGCTGCAAATATTGGAATGCTTTGAGAGTTTGGGCAAGAGCAGCATACTCAGGACTTGTTTGCTCGTTTTGGCCATTGTTTTTAAGTTGCTGAATTCGCTGGAGGGTAAGAAAAATTTACGTACAGTAATGATCTGTTGGAATCGATCCTTGGTCATACCAGCCAGTTGGTGCTGGATATGAGGTGGTAACTGGCTCAACAGGTTAGATGACGGCAGCTGTGACCCGTCCGGATTGTTAGACGGATTGCTGGGAAGTGCCGTCTTGCTAGCCGTGGAACCAATACCAGGAGCCGAAGATGTAGACCCCGAAGGGGGAGAGCCAGCCTCCACCATAATGAAGTTGAATTAGCGGGTCAAAGGTAGGAGCCACTTGACCTGGTGTAGTTTATACTGGTTGTGGTATCAGACTAAAGTGTGACTTTGCTGTCTGAAAATATCCCAGAGGGACTGGACGGGGGATAGAACCAAGGTAGTGTTGAACTCGCGCTGTCCGGACGCGTCTGAACGCGTTGCAGAGATTTCAGGAGTTCGCGTAGCGATATAGGCGCGCAATGCGACTGGCGTGCGATGCGAAATGGGTGTGCGGGCTTTCGGCGCTACCCGTCAAGCCGTGGGCCGACTCGGCCGATATTATGGCCAATGAAGATACGGTTTCTGAAATCCACATCAGCAGGCAGAGCTGTCGCTCACGTGCGCTGACGCGTTACGCCGCAGGATAACCGTCCAAATGAACGCATGACTGTTACGCTTTCAAGTGGAGACTTTCTATAAAGGGCATCAGATCGTCACGGCGCACTTCTAACACGCTAGATTCGAATCGGTCATTGCGCATGCGCGCTCCGCTAGCTTGGGCCGCATCTTGAAATGCCAATCCAAAACGGTTCTTGCTAACATCGCCATAGTCAGAAGCTCCAACAATCCCCACAACAACAAAGACATCGCGCTCGGTATCAAGTGCAGCCAATACGAAGGGCAAATTTTGCGGAGTCGACACTTGGTCAGGGTCGTCGCCCTTGTTTCCCCTGCGCGCACGCTTTGCTTCAGCACGACGTGCATGCTTCTCCCCAACAATATCACGGAGAGCATCTATCAGCCAATATCCCAGACGTGTCAGCGTGTCTGGTTGAACGAATAGATGAAGTGAAGGGCCGTCTTGAAGTACCGCGAGTCGAAAAGAACGAAGTGTCTTGATCGATTGCTTGATAATGATACTAACACCCTGCGACACGATAGCTTCGTGTAAAGCTTTGGCCAACTGTAGTGATAGCTGTAATAATGATATGCTTTTAGGCTTTTGTACATCCATGGCCGTGTATGCCTCGAAGAAGTTTTTCACCCAAGTGGCCGAAACAGAGTTCTCTTCGTCATCCTCAGGATCCTCAGATTCAATACTCAGCATGGGACCAGGGCGCTTGCCAATGTCAATGCCACTGTCGGCCAAAGACCACAAAGTACGAGTCCCGTAAGTACCAACAGGCCGGTCAATGCTGCGTGGGCCACTGATACCTGGGTCAGCGCGAACCATTTGTACTCCTTCGATTTCAATTCGGACACCATGTGCTGCTTGAAGCAGAGCTGATATCCCTTGAACAGCATCCGACGCGCTAAGTGGGACAGTACGGAAGCCATAAGAACGTGTAAAGGAACGGAAAGTCAAGTCCACTAGGCCATACTCGGGAGCGATGGCTTCCATGCGTTGAACAAGAGACTGACGCAAGTCAAGCTCCATATGTTCGTATGTCTGTCGACAATTGGCTAGGGAGAGTCCCATTTTTGCCAGAAGACCTCGCAATTTATTGATCCCCTTTTCTCGCCAAATACCAAGCTTTGCAGCAACATAGCTGGTATGATACATGCTGGACTCCAAGCTCCAATGGCGATACAAAGTGAAACGCAACTCTTGATTAACCACATGCACGGATGAATCATCGGCGCCATGTTTGTCCGTTGAGTAGCTTTGACCATCCTCCACGCGCTCTGTGGTATCCATTGCAACCACGTCAGAGGCTAAAGCTGCTGCATAGCCATCATAAGTGGTTGCATGAATAGAATTGGATATATATTGTGAAGTCAACCCGAGAATCGCATACCAAAGATTGTCGCGATCTCCGCGACCAAGGGCAACAGCCAGAATATACATCATCTGCGCTACGCTCATGCCAGTCCAGCTGCCGCGCGCATAGTATTTTGCCAAGACAGTGCGGTAAATTTGACGCTGATGCCCATCAAGACGAGTACGTTTTCTTTCACGCCCCTCGTCTGATTTATGCATGCGTTTTTGTCGCCTGGAAGTCGATGGGCCTGATTCCTGGGATCCAGACACGTCCGAGCGTACTTCACCATTCTGTTCGTCTTCTTCGGCATCGCTTTCGGAGACATCGCTGTCTGAATCAGATTCGAAGTCAAATTCCAGTTGCTCGTACGCTTCTTGTTCCCTATACAGTCGCTCGTCAATTTCACCGTCATCCCAAATGAAAATGCGGTCATTGATTTGAGAGGTAGCGAATAGATTATCGAGGTTCCAGGGACGATGAGAATCAAGTACGTGTAGGGTACAGTGGGGTGGTAATGGAATAGTAGTGGGTAATGGAAGCAGTGATCCGAGGTTGATAAAAACAAGTGTATGAAGCTGGAGGGTCAGCGTTAAGGTCGACGCACTTCAATATGATCATACACGTCTTGAGCAAGCACCCGCTGCAATGCACGATACCCATTCACCGGTGAAACACGAAATGGTATTTCGTCGTTGGCAAGCAGCTGCGTGAAGATGCGCGTGGCCGCCAGAGAGTCCACGTCGGGAGTGACCAGAATGAGTACAGTGGCACCACCTGGTGCTGCTGGGGTATCTAAGGAATCGTCGCCAAGCACCCGTTGACGAGCCGACTGGCAAATTTTTTTGTATGCCTGGGCGTAGTCCAAGCGATTACGCCCAGGCATGCGTGCATCATCGCCTGTCTCCCGCGGACGATATACGATCATGCACGCGACGAGGAAACGCGAATGGACGCGTAATGTGACGCGCCGCGTAGTATATTACCTAATAGGCTATGTAGCGGAAGCCGCCGACAAAGTCATGAGTAGATTCTTCAGGTTCGGCAGTGTGTTGCGGAGATCCAGTACAGGCACGTGGCACTTGTTCATGAGCTGTTCAATATTCTTGTTGAGCAGAAAGACGGCGTACTCATATCGGTACAGTTCTGTGCCGCGGCCATGTAGAATAAATCTGGAGTTAAAAGATAATAATACATACGCTCGAGGGCCGTTCATGATGCTGATTCCATCGCGCACGATGGCCTTACTGCCGACGGTAGTAAGAGGATAGGGCAAAGGTATATGCAAATAGGAGCTGAGAAGAAGGACTAGCTGGGCCACAAACGCGAGAGCGGAACCCACTTCCTCCAGGGGAAGCTTGTGAACCAAGGCACTGGCATTTTTGGTGGTAGATGCCACGGCATTGGGAAGAGGTAGCGCGACGATCGAATACAGTAGGTCTCGCGCATGCTCGAGTTGAATGTGGTATATCAAATCCAAGTCTCGGGTGAGACGTGCGCGCTGGTTTGTAACATCATTTTGCACGTCAGCCCGTGTTTGCTGTAGCTCTTCGAGCGTAGAGCGCGCCCTTTCGCTTAGGGAGGTAGTGTTGGTAAGCTCAATGGATCCTTGATGAAGTTCCTCGCGACGGCTCTCTATGTCACGCTGGCGTATCTGCATAAACTCGCGCACTGTGTTAGACGATGATACGAACAGTTTTCAAGCTCCTTTTTTCTCGTTTTGGTCGTCCCCCGCAGTTGGTCCAGCTGGATATGTACTTGTTGCTGAGAACGCTTGACATAAGCGTGCTATATCAACGTACCTTGCGAGCAAGACCGGCTTCGTCATATAAGGCGGGTGCACAACGAGCAGTGAGGCGTTCCCGCTCTTTTAGGAGATGAAGTACTTTTTTTTGGCACTGTAGCAAGCTGGATCAGCGATCATATGCGTGCGCACCATTCCAAGGTGGACCGCGCATAGCTTGGCTCTGCTGGTCCACCGGACGCCAGCGACAGTGACGCATCTGCAGACGCGGCCCGCTCCAATTCAGGGCCCACGCGGAAATACTCGCGCAGCGCACCATCGACCTCGAGAGCAATATAGACAGAGTTCGCTGGATGACTCTGGCCCGCAAGCTAGGGTAAGCAGACGTGGACGTACATGGGAACCAATAGGCTCAGCTGATGTGAAATCGACAGGAAGCTCCCACGCGCAGCGCCACGTTGAGGAAGGCATAGTGGTAAGATCTTCCATCCATAGGGAAACGAGCATTTTCGTCCATCGTAGTCCCCCCCGGTGGCGCATCCAATGGGGAAAAACATCGCCAGGTACGATGGGTCTGCTGCTGTAATCGCCCCAGCAAACATGTGGGCCAGGTTGTGGCTCCGTGACAAAGAATGGTGGCTCTTTCTCTCTTCTAAGTGCAACAAAGCATTGGTTTTGGCTATGCAGACCAATGCAGCGGGCATCAATGGCCACGATACATCCTAGACATCGGCGCGCGTGCCGTGTCATAGTGTGAGTCTAAGTCGTGGCAATAGGAGTGGAGGTAGCCCAAATTGGCTCCTTTATTCAATTAGTGCCCAACAACCACGGCATGACAACGGTGCGACCCTTTCAAGCTCGAGACCTATTCGCTTTCAACAATGTTAACATGGACCACTGGACTGAGACATACAGCAATGGGTTTTATCTTTCATATCTTGCTCAATGGCCAGATATGACGCTAACAGCGTGCGCCGCACATACCGGAACAATTATGGGCTACGTCTTGGGGAAGGCTGAGGGTCGTGAGCCTAGCACAGACAAGCGAAAAAGGTTTGAAGAGCCAACGCTACACGGACATGTGACTGCTGTGACTGTCGCACCTGAGTACCGCCGCCTGGGCGTGGCCCAAATGCTCATGGACTTTTTCGAGCTCGTGTCGGAGCATGTATACCACGGATTCTTTGTGGATCTATTTGTGCGCCCATCCAACGAAAAGGCTATTGGTATGTACGAGAAGCGGGGATACTCTGTGTACCGACGCGTGCATGCCTACTACCAGTCGGCTTCCCTCGGAGCTGCCGAAGATGGTTTCGGTACGTTGCAAGTTGCTTACACGAGACATGCGTAAGCCACTTTCTCGCGACACCCAGCGGGCGACAGTGCGCAGCCATGGTCGACAGGTGGTGGTCCAGCCGCAGTACGTGTGCGACCTCTCTTACATGACAGTCAAACTATCTTTGATCCCATTGTTCACAGAGGTGTATAGGACCACTATTGAGGGGGCTGGTACGGGTGAATGAGATAATCCTGGTGTCAGCAGACCATACGTACGGATAGCGACGAAAGCTTCTCAGGGCCACGCACTTCCTCCGTGAGCAGTGGGATTTTGACAACGTTAAAGTCTTCCGCATACAGGTCCATCATTTCATTGACATACTTGTCCTGCATCGCTTTGCGCACGCGACAGTGCTCGCAGTTCGAGCCAGGCGGCGGGTAGAGAAGCTGGTTGCACACAATTGCATGTGTGTCAATGCCATACTGAGTGAGCTCCTGAATTAGACGCTCCGTCTCGTAGAGAGAAAGGAATTCGGCAATGCATACACACACAAACGTGGTCTTGGTCTCGTCCTTGAACTGCGTGTTGACCTCAGTAATGATTTGGCGCATCCCCTCCAGCTTGGCAAACATGTCTTCCTGGTTCGAGCCTCCACCACCCATCATGCTCTGGAATTGCTGGAACATAGGTCCCAGGCTCTTGCCGAATGTGCTAAACTTGGAAAGAGCCTTCTCGAGTACGCTAGGGAAACTCAAAAAGCGCAGGGTGTGACCCGTGGGGGCCGTGTCGAACACCACCACACTATATTCCATGGACTTGACCAACTTCATGATCTCAGCAAATCCCATTGCCTCATCCACTCCAGGAATCGCAAAGGCGAGGTCCTGCATGAAGGGCGCCAATGCACCACCCTGCTGCTCCGATTGCTCGATCATCTCCTGCATGCTGCTGGTTGGATCGATCTCCATAGCACTCAGATTATCGAATCCATTGACTTTCACGGCCTCGCGTCCGAACTTCTGTCCAAAAGCATCCGACAGGTTGTGCGCAGGGTCAGTGGAGATCAAAAGGACGCTCTCGCGCACTTTCGAGAGCTGAATTGCCAGCGAACAAGAAGTAGTCGTCTTACCGACACCACCCTTTCCACCGCAGAAAATCCACTTAAGGGACTTTTGATCCAGGATATTCTGCAGGGTTGGCGGCTGCGCGTCCTCTACGATCGTCGCCATGCTTCTGGGCCTTCGACGGAAAGCAGGGACTGCGCGACAGTGCCGTCGTCGTGTGCCGGGATCACGTGGAAGCCACGTGGAAATTTCAATAAAGGCGGGGAAGCGGGGGCTCCGCAATCCTCCGGTAACTATCATGTCTACTACAGTTCTCATTACGGGTGTCACTGGCTTTATTGCCTGCCATGTGCTCGAAGCAGCACTTGCATCTCCAGAAAATTACCGCGTGCGTGGAACTTTGCGATCCATGTCGAAAAAAGATGAATTGCTGGCACGCCTTTTGCCGGAAGACCGAGAACGCGTGGAGCTTGTCGAGGTCGCCGATACAGCCTCCTCTGATCTATCAGAAGCAGTACGTGGCGTGAGCTACATCTTCCATGTAGCTTCGCCGTTCAAGACAAAAGTTGAGGATACGGAAAGAGACCTCCTCAAACCGGCTATCGACGGTACACTGAACCTGCTCAGGTATGCGAACAAGGAACCTAGTGTCGAAAAAGTCGTGATTACCAGCTCATTCGCAGCTAATATTGATCTTCATGCTGGCGGCCTCAGTCGCCCTGGGTATATATACACCAGCAAAGACTGGAACCCGGGTACATACGAGCAAGCCAAAAATGCCCAAGGGCCTAATGCTGGCATGTTTGCATACTGTGTCTCCAAGGTTTTGGCTGAACGGGCAGCTTGGGAATTCTTGGAAAAGGAGAAGCCCTCCTTCACGCTGGCCACGATCAACCCGCCGATGGTCTATGGCCCAACCATTCAACCAGGTATTCACCGCAAAACCCTAAACGAATCGAGTGCATTGCTCTACAACCTAATTAATGGTAGCGATGCCGTGCCTCAGAACATACTCCCTGCTTTCTGTCATGTGAAGGATGTGGCTACGGCCCATGTGCGTGCGGCGGAGTTGCCAGACGCGATGGGTCGCCGCTACTTACTATGTGGTGGCATGCTCAGCGCTAACCATGCTGTAAAATTCATTGCAGAGCACTACCCTCTTTTGCAGTCGAAGCTCCCTAAGGGCTGGCAGGAAGCCGCGCAGCAATTGCCAGATCTCAGCAATGTCGCTCAACTGGATACTTCTGACGCCAAAAAATACTTGGAGATGGAGTTCCGCGACTGGGAAACGACCCTGAAGGACTGCGTAGACGATCTGCAACGGCTTGAGCAGCGTCCAAACTGGGATGCATAATCGAAGTAGGAATTCCGGTAGGTCTGTGCTCCCCTTCACCCCTCAACCACGTGCAATTCCACGTGGCTTCATTTGCCCCATCACTCTGACCGGTTCCAGGCATATGGGCCATGCGGGTTGGCGTGCTGGTTGCGCTGGTGGTGAGTGCACTCAGTGCCGTAGTGTACGGCGCTTCTGAGCGAAGCATTGCACAGGCACATACGGATGCACACCTCCCATACGCGGTCTTGCCTCCCGAGCCCTTGGCGGTACATGATCTCGAGCTCTCTAATGTGCTACTTGTCACATCGATTGACGGCGCACTCCATGGACTTGATCGTACTTCAGGGCGTGAATTATGGTCTTTGGCATCGTCAACAAAGTATAACGAGTTTGAGCCACTTGTTTCTTCCACATATGACTCTCGCACGGTCGAACAACTAGCCCGTGATGCCATGACATACAGCGACCCGACATTAATTCAGGCACTGCAAGGAACGGGAATTTATATTGTGGAACCATCATCAGGAGGTGATTTGTATCTGCTGCGGATTCCCTCTGGTGCTCCGCATCCACAGCTCGAGAAGCTTCCATTCTCGTTGCCGGACTTGGTGACCTTGAGCCCTTTTTCCTTAAGCTCGGACGATACCCGCATTTTCGTGGCTGAAAAACGAACATCACTAGTTGAGTTGAATGTATTCACTGGGAATATCCGCGCTTTATACAGCAGCGGCGAAAGTGCTACTATGCCGGCCGAAGCGCGGACGCCCCCCTCCTATTCCTCGGCAGACCACAGCTACGAGGGCGATCTGCCGGATGACGGGGCTCTAGAGTCGCCTTGGGTCTACATTGGGCGCACAGAATATACGCTGCGTGTACACGTGCGGGACCAGCCACATTCCATGCAAACGCTGCACTTCCGTGCCTATACACCGAACAGGGCTGACCAAGATGTGGTTGTCCTGTGGCAGCAGACGCTACAGCCAGCAGACCACCGTGCAATTCTAACATCACCCCAGAACTCGACCCTAGTGTGCTTTGACCTGCGTCTTGCTCGTAATCCTTCCAGGTTCACTTCGCAGCCCATCCCTCCGGTTCTCTGGTCTTCAACACTGGCATCAGAAGCTATTGACGTTTTTGATGTCGTATTCGCGCCCCCGCCTATATCCTCACTGGATGCGCCACTTCTGCGACCTGTTATTGTGCCTCACTCGGCTGGTATACTTCCCGCTATCCTGGATCGCCAATCGCAGCCGCAACGATCGGACAGCCTCGCAGGTGCCTTCCTGGGCGTATCGCCCCAGGGAAGCCTTTTTGCCATGGGCAGCGGCCGTTATCCTCTCGTGGAATTCGCTGAGTCCGCTGCCGTGCTCCATCCGAACAAGCCTTTGTCTGAATTGCCCCTTTCAAGCCCTGCAGCAGGGCTGCTTCGCCCTTGGATTGGCGGGTATCAGGTGCCTCAGGTGACTGTTGCCAACCACATCCCACGACTCGGTGGCCCTGTCGCTGTGCCACTGCTTGCAGCACCACCTGAGCCGGTTCGTTCGATGCGACTTTCAAAACGACTTCTTGCACAATTATTCGCCCTTCTGGCCCTTGTGTTAATCATGTTGCGCGGCGCCTATCTAATTTGGCGTGACTCTCGGCCCGTGCTTATGTCTACAGCGTCTTTGACATTTGACGACTCCAAAGCACTCGGAGCCAAGCCTGATTCCGCTGAAGTCAAGACAGCCGTATCGAAACCGGATGATACTCAGGACACTCACCTACCTGCTGAGGACGCAGGGCCCCGTGCCACCGAGACTATTGATGAAACTCTTAGCTCCGCAGCGGACTTGGCAAGTGCAGACAATGATCTCAAAAAAAAGCGCCGACGTCGTGGCAAGCGGGCTGGTGCGGCTGTGTCTGCACGACAGACCCGGCGCGAAGGCTCACAGGAAGCTGCTCAGGATGTCTCTACAAATATCAAACCCAGTAACTCAAGTACTTTCAATACTTCGGAGACTAAACCCGAATCTGATGCGACATCCTCAAGTATCGAAGCAGCCGCCTCAGGGACTCTGAAGGCTCCTGGGTCCGTTTCAGGATCTAGTCAGCCAAAATCACTGCAGATCTCTGAACAAGTACTGGGGTATGGCTCCTCTGGCACTGTCGTGTTCCGCGGTACTTTCCAGGGCCGTGCGGTCGCCGTCAAGCGTTTGCTACGCGACTTTGTGGAAATGGCTTCGAAGGAAGTGTCTCTACTCCAGTCGGCTGACAATCATCCAAATGTAATCCGCTACTTTTGCCAGGAGCTAACACCCAACTTCCTGTATATTGCGTTGGAGCAATGCCCTGCTAGTCTGGCGGATTTGGTGGAACGACCACTTGAGCATGATGAGCTGGCCTCTTTGTTGGAGCCCCGTGAAGCTCTGCGACAGATTACAGCAGGTCTACAGCACCTGCACTCTCTTTCGATTGTGCACCGGGACATCAAACCTCAAAATATTCTCGTGACGCTGACGTCGACACAACGTCTGCGCTTCCTACTCTCTGACTTTGGTCTATCAAAGCGTATCGACAACATGGTAAACAGTACTGTAAGTCAGTCTATTCAAGCAGGCGGTACTGTTGGATGGCGTGCGCCCGAGCTGCTACAGGCACAGACACTGTCTCAGAAGGGTCTCGGCTCGCGACTGACCCGGGCTGTCGATATTTTCTCGTTGGGTTGTGTTGCTTTCTACCTATTTACGCGTGGCGATCATCCTTTTGGCGAGCAGTACGAGCGGGAGATCCGTATCCTGCAGCATCAAGCGGACCTGTCCGCCCTGGAAAAATTCAGCGACGATACCATTGAGGCACAATCGCTGATTGAAAACATGATTCAGGAACGGCCGAACCTGCGACCGACGGCGGTGGAGGTCATGCGGCATCCATTCTTTTGGAGTGCTCAGCAGCGCCTCACCTTTTTACAGGATGTCAGTGACCGCTTTGAAATGCTAGAGCGTGACCCACCGGCCATGGCGATTGAACTTTTGGAACGTGATGCTGTCGCCATTGTCGGCACAGACTGGCGGAAACGTTTTGACCGGGGCTTTCTGGACGACTTGGGCAAGTTTCGCAGCTACAACCCGGCGAGTGTACAGGACCTACTCCGTGTGATCCGCAACAAAAAGCATCATTTTAATGACATGCCCGTGGCTTTGAAAAAGTCGCTTAGTCCTATGCCCGAAGGTTTTCTCATGTATTTTACTCGGCGATTCCCCCACTTGTTCTTACATGTGTACCAAGTACTCATGAACCTCCCGCTACTTCGGAGCGAGCCGACTTTCCGCCACTACTATGAAGCTGATGTCATGTCATTCCACTAAGGCCCTCCCATAGCTACTTCACGTTCCATCACGGACTTATCTAGTTTAATGAGAATGGTCGTCCGGTCAGGGTAGGCATCTGTGGGCACCGCATGTGCCGTAACGCGTGCTGGCTAAACATTAGTGATGGTGCACGTACAAATCCTAGTCCCTCCAATGCACCTTCTACAATGCCGGCTGTAAACGCTTCAATGCTTAGCTGACTCATATCTTTGGGCACAGAGATCCCACTTGCGAAGAGAGGCTTATTGCTGGAGATCATATCTAAGGTGAGCAACACTGCCACGTACATTCATCAGTGCGCTCAATTTCTGTGCTCCTTTCTAAGCTATCAGCCTGGAATCCGAACGCAGTCTTCCAAAAGGTCGTATGGAGCCACAAGAGCGTCTTGAGAAGCCGTGTATCACGCTGCGGCCGCTTTGGGTTAGAGGCCGTCTGCGTGCGGTGCGTGATCAATATTAACAGACGGATACCTACGCGGCGTCCCATGGATCCTAATAGACGCTCAAAATCTGCAATACCAGAGACACGCTCTTGACAGTAAGAGACCATCTCTGCGAAAAGGAACTGGAGAGCACTTTGGCTAACTTCGTCCGCGCGCGTCTTGTCCCGAGGACGGTCAAGAACATCAGGTGCTGATGCTGTTGTGGATGCGGAGGCTCGACGCGCCCCGTCGGTGCCCATGAGGGAGACACTGGCGCGCGGCGACGATACGGCGTAGGCCGCAGTCCACGGCGAAGCCATCGCTGTGGAACGACTTTGTCTCCACACAACCGCACGCACGCTGCTGCGTTCACGCTTGGTCCTATGGATGACTAATAATACTAGTTAGGCTCACGTCCGAGATGGGCACTATAGGTCGTCCAAGTCACTGTCACCCTCTTGGTGCTCAGTTGTTGGAGCATTGTCATCTTCATCCTCGTCATCCTCGTCTTCATCATCGCTTTCAGCCTGCTCTAGCCACTGGAGGAACGGCGACGCCGCCTTACGCACCCTCTTCGAGGTTTCCTTGTCGACATACTTTTTTGACACATGCGTGCCCCACTGGCGTGCGATGTCCTCATCCAACACATCAATTTGGTAGAGGGCCATGAGAAGCTTTGGAACACCGTTCGGTACGAGGCTCGGCTGCTCGAGGCCAGCCAGACGCTCAATACCACCGAGCATCGACTTTTGGTGCTTCTCCGACGTGATCATCTTGACAAGCAGGGGTGCATACTGTTCGACTTCTGCAGGTGCATTCTCACTAAAGAGCGCCTGAAAAAGTACCTGCACAGACTTGTGCTTCTTTTCAATCCCAAGCTCCTGCGCCTTGCGATACACGTCCGCTGCACTTGGCCTCGAACCTTTTTCGCGTTCCTCCAAGATCCAAGTGCCAAATTGCGCGTAGGGACTCGATTCATCTTCATCACCATCTTCATCATCAGCGCCTAGCATGCTCATCGCACCCTCCAAAGCCTTGACACGCGCGGCCACAGCCGCCTCAGAGGTGTCGACCGACCAGTCTTCGTCGACGTCCGCCTCCTTCTCACGTTGCTCGGCCGTGGGAATGCTCTGCGCCTCTTTCTGAATACGGTTCGTCAGCTCATCGTCGCTGCCAGCATTCTCCTCAGCTTCAGCCACCTGCACTGACTGGCCACTGGCCGCACCGGCACCTTTGGCACCCTTCACTCGCTTGGGAGGCGGGTTCTTCAGGATAAATGTGCAAAGCTTGTGGCGCATGTCCACATAAGTGCGCTTACCACATGCCTTGCAATCACGTAGAATATCGCCGTCCCGGATCTTCAGATCTGTTTCAGGGTTCTTACATTCACCACAGAGCACAAACTTGTCAATGAAGCCGTCAAGCAGCTCACGCAGTCGGGCTGCATCATGCGCGCCATTTACAATATATCTGTCACTCTTTTCATCAATCACCGTCTGAGCTCCGAGCTCACTGCCAAAGTACTTTGTTGGGTCTGCGTTAGCCAAGGAGATAACGTACACGTCGGCGGTCGGCTCAGTGCACGGGCAATGTCCGACATATTCGGGACGACAGTCTTGATACCATTTCCTCTACCTTCAATCTTAGTTTCAAGTAGAGGCATGCGGTAACGGTAAAATTTGTCTTCGACATCACGACGAATGTTCACGATAGTCATCCTTGCAAGTCACAGATAGTGGTATGGTCACGAAGAGGCGTTCACAAAGAATCTTTAGGTTGTAAACAAATATTTATGAAGTATCATCAAATTTCGCACACGCCGTTACCAGGTGTCTGGTAGAAGAGATCTACGCGGTGTATGCGAGCGATTGCACAAGGCAAGAGACGGTCGTTTGGCATGGCGCGGCCGGAGTCTTTGCTTGTTCTGTGAGATCACGTGGCTTGATAGTCGCATGTTGCCACCTTCTAGCCTCCACTTGCTGCAGGCCGCGTGAGCCGCCGACGCGGCGCTATGGAAGAAGAGACGCCCGTCGGTCAAAAGTTGCGGGAGTCGAAGCGTCGAATGTCCTCCTACGTGATATGGGAAAGGTCCCCTGAGCATCCTATACACGAGTACGACTTCAGCGATGATGAGAAGCACCATAGACATCGTCGTCGACATCATCATCGCCACCATCGATCTCACCGACATGTGCGTTCCGATCGGCACGATCGAGATACTAGAAACACACATCATGAGAGACACACAGAAATGGAAGATGAATCATCAAAACGTTTCTATCCAGAGGAACTGGGCGAAGTCATTGGTCCTTTACCACCATCAAATGTTGCTGATGAACATGCATATGGCGCGCGACTACTACCCGGAGAAGGAAAAACTATGGCAGCATACATTAAACAGGGTAAACGTATACCAAGAAGGGGAGAAATTGGGATTGATGCCGAAAAGATTGAGGCGCTCGAGAGGGCCGGATTTGTCATGAGTGGCTCCCGCCATGAGCGAATGAACGCTGTGCGTTCTCGCAAAGAAAGCCAGGTTCTCACAGTGGAAGACCGTATGAAAGAGCTTCGTCAGCGTGCTGAAGATCGTGCTCGTAAAGAATCACAGATTATTGAACAATTTCGTGAGATGGCTGGTGTGCAGCATCAGGCGTCTGCCGAATGAATTTCATCCCAAGCAAGTGCATCTTTACATCGCTGCACGGCCTTTTCTAAACCCAGTAGGTGAGCAATTTCAGCGACGGGAGGCCCCATACGTTCACCTGTCAAGGCAATTCGTACACTTTTCTGGACAACGGCTTTGCCCCCGTTTACTTGTTTCGCTTGCCCCTCCATCCAGGAAGGCCATTCTCTTTGTACATCCTTCGTTCGGGAAAAAAATTGTTGCACTGAATTTAATATATGCCTAAAAGACTCAGTCGAAACGCTCCCACGGAATTTTCGACAGTTCTCTGAGTCCCATTGTGGCTCCCGGAACAAGTAAGACATTTCCCTAGGAATATCATCCAACGTGTCCACGCGCTGTTGGCCGAGATTAGCCACACGCAAAATGTATTCATCACTGAACTTGCTCACGCTACTGCAAGTAAATAAGATACCCGCCCACGTACCTAGATCCCAAATCTCTGTCCAGAGCTGTGCGCAAACGACTTAATATTGAAGATTTCATTGTCGCATCTTTTCTTGCTTGCTCTAATTTAGCATGGAGATGCTTTCGATTAAGGAATCCGAGCTTTCCGAGAGGTAGCGTTGCTCGAGAGTGAGATATTCGTCCAAGGTCAAAGTTCTCGATCAGTTGTTCCATAGACTTGACATCTTGGTCCATACTTTTCACATCTTGGTGGCTGTATCCAGTTAATGCAACAAGATTAACAAGAGTTTCGGGTTCCCAGCCCTGTCTCCAGTAATCCTCTACACGCACGTCGCCAGAACGCTTCGAAAGCTTAGTCCCATCAGCATTAATAAGAAGCGGCAAATGCGCAAATTGTGGTGTCTGCACACCTAAAGCTTCATACAGAGCCAGGTGCTTTGGCATCGAAGGAATCCACTCTTCTCCTCGCAGCACATGCGAGATATGCATCTCTGTGTCGTCCACTACACTGGCAAGGTGATACGTCGGCCATCCGTCGCTTTTCATCAAGATAGGATCCTCTGTTAACCCCGACATGACATCAGGCCGAAAATTCATGTGGCCGTATACCACATCTTCGTAGGTAAATACACGCCCAGGTTCCATCTAGAGTCAGAAACTGAACGTACCTTAAGTCGAACGACATACAACTCGCCCTTGTGGATACGTTCTTGCGCCTCATCTTCACTAGGTGGTATATAGGCCTCTCGCAAAAGAGCTGAAGAACGTGCATCTAGATTTCGAGAAGAAGGCGCACGAAAATCCCGGTAGGCTCGACCATTTAGAAGTAGTCGTTGAACGTATGCTTTGTACAGTTCCAGACGTTCCGACTGAATATATGGGCCAAAAGGACCCCCTTTGTCGGGACCCTCATCATACTCAAGGCCTGTCCATCTTAAAGACTCTTGAAGAGATTCTTGTGCACCAGGCACCCAACGCGACCGGTCCGTGTCTTCGATTCGCAGTACCCATTTTCCTTCCATTTTACGCGCAAATAGATAATTCATTAGTGCTGTGCGTAATCCACCAACATGGAGGTACCCAGTTGGTGAAGGCGCAAACCTAACTCGCACACCGCTTCCTGTGCTATAGGCGCGTGAAAGCGCCGGACAACACCTCCAAGATTGCCCTAGCCTGAATCGTGCTATGATCATGGTGCAGGGGGAGGTGGAGGTCCTCGGCCGACGTCATAATTCGGACGTGCGAGCGCCTGGGGTAGAAGTCCACCCCCTATCACGATGGTGACACCGCCCGCGGCCTCGTCGATCCCATCAGATCTAGTGGTTTTGGGGCTTCCCTATCCTTATATATTACATCCAGGTCTTATTCTTACTGTCACACTGAGTAACGCCCAATGTCTATCTCTTCTACGTGCAGCGTCGTCTGAACGCCGTGCTTATGTGGCCAATTCCTCAAGTTCGAACTCTACCATTGTGGCGGAACAGCGCCCCATGATCTTGGCCTGTCTTGCACAAAAGATTCCTGAGAATCCTGGAGCATCTATCCAAGGTGATTCTATGGATCACTTACACCCATGGGGATGCGCTGGCCGTGTGTTGCGCCTTATCAATATGCCACATACGGACCAATGTCGCCTTTTGCTCTCTGGCATGGGTCGTATTCATGTAAAAAACGTTCGTCCTTCAAATATCGAGGCAAACACGCGTAATGATATTCCTCCCCCTCCGGTGGCTCGCGTCGAGGTTCTAAATGAGAAGTCTACTGCATCTTTGCTCGCTAGTCCTGCTCATGAGCGTCTGACTGCCACGGCCGTCCGTCTCATTGATGCCATGCAAAAGGACATGTCTTCTGCAGCCGGGGCATCTGCCTTGGCTCGAGTTCCACTTTTACCTCCCAGTCTGGCTTCGAAGTTAATGCAGCTTCTTGAAACCAAGGAGGAGGCTCATATTGCGTCACTCCCTGACCTTCTAATGGGTATGCTTGGGGGTGCATGCATCTGGAATGATCGCTTAGAGCACTTATCTTTAGTGCATGCTGATGCCCGACTAGAACGAACTGCTGATATGTTCGAGCATGCGATTGGTCGAGTCAAGGTCTTACGCGAGCTTCTCACGAGTGTGCCAGGTTCATTCCAAGATACTCACAGAGTCGAGCTTCTTCGAACGCAGCTCCAAACCATCGTTGCTCAACTCTCAGGCGCGTCATATTCTGGTGTTTCACTTCGAGTGATGGATGGTGAGCGTACTCAACCCCTTGTCAAATCGCGTTACCCAGGCTTGCACCGCACGATTAAGAAGGACACAGGCAAATTTGATGAGCCTGAGAGTGACCCTATGTCTGCCGACGTAGATGACAACACCGCTGGGGATGAAGTGAAAGAACTAAGCGATCGATTAAAGCAAGCATCAATGTCACCTGAGGCGCGTCGAGTATGTGAACGTGAGCTTCGACGTCTAAAGAAAATGCCACCACAGAGTATGGAACGTGGTGTTCTTATCAACTACCTTGACACAATGCTAGATCTTCCATGGGACCGCAGAAGTACGCAGATCCCTCAAGCGGAACTAGACGCGCTTGTCCCATCAACCCAGGCCGTTATTGATCCAAACTTGAGCCTGGTGAAGCGGGCTGAAAGGGTTTTGGAAGCTGACCATTATGGGCTCGAGAAGGTAAAGAAGCGTATTCTCGAGTATCTGGCTGTTTTCCAACTGAAAAGCGAGCAGGCGGAAGAGCAGGCGAAGGCACAGAAGGCCTTGGAAACTGAAGGCCCCGCACCGTTAGAAACTCGAAAGTCTCTGGTATCGAGCGTGGCATATAAGGGTCCTATCTTGCTCCTTGTCGGACCTCCAGGAACAGGCAAGACTTCTATCGCAAGGTCGCTTGCAGCCGCATTGCAGCGCCCCTTTGTGCGTCTCTCCCTGGGTGGCGTTCGGGATGAAGCCGAAATTCGTGGTCATCGACGTACGTATGTGGGGGCCTTGCCAGGCTCTATTGTGTCGTCACTGCGAAAGGGCCGTTCATCCGACTGTGTTATGCTTCTTGATGAGCTGGACAAGCTCAGCAGTGGTATGGGTATGCATGGAGATCCTACTGCTGCTATGCTTGAAGTGCTTGATCCCGAACAGAATCATGCCTTTAAGGACCACTATTTGAATGTGCCCATTGATTTGAGTCGAGTTGTGTTTATTGCAACTGCTAACTCTTTAGACACGATCCCTGAACCTTTGCTGGATCGTGTCGATGTTGTACAAATTGCTGGCTACACCTATGACGAAAAAGTTGCTATTGCTCAAAAGCACCTATTGCCAAAACAAATCCACGCACAAGGACTTGAAGAAAAGCAAGTCGTGTTCGGCGATGATGTTTTGCTGAAAATTGCCATGTCTTACACCCGTGAGGCTGGTGTACGAACTATGGAACGTCGCGTTGGTGATATTGTGCGTGCGAAAGCTGTGGAATACGCGACACAGCGACACACAACCCCTGCAACATACGATCCTCATGTGTTGGTCGAGGACGTGGAACGTTTCTTGGGGCCACCCACCTATGAGCCAGAGATTACGGATAACATTGCTGTGCCAGGTGTTGCTACAGGAATGGCCTATCAAGGCTCTGGCTCTGGTGGTATCTTGCACATTGAGTGCGCCTTTTTACCAGCAGGCACAGCTGCGTTGAAATTAACTGGTTCCTTGGGTGATGTAATTCGTGAGTCAGCTGAACTGGCATTTGCATGGGTCAAGTCTCATGCGTTTGCTCTAGGCATCACTGCTGATCGTGATGCTTCGTTCCCTCAAAATGACGTGCACCTGCACATGCCTAGTGGAGCTACTCCCAAAGATGGCCCAAGTGCAGGCGTGGCATTTGTATGTGCGCTCGTGTCAATGTATCTGCGTGTGCCGTTGGAGACACGCCTAGCCATGACAGGCGAAATTACACTACGCGGGTATGTGACACCGGTGGGGGGTATTAAAGAAAAAGTCATTGGTGCTCATCGTGCTGGCGTTCGCAAGGTCATCCTACCTCAGCGCAATCAGCGGGATTTTGACACTGAAATTCCAGCCCCAGTCCAGGCTGAGATGAACGTGGTATATGTGCGCACGATTCAAGACGCTTTACATGCAGTATTTGGTGCCAGTCTCGAGGCGCAAATTAGCACCCTCTACGGGGGCATTGAAGGTCGACGGCGTTTGCAAGAGCTCGAATGGCAAAGTCGCCTGTAGATAGCTTGTGTTTGTGTATTCGAAAGTTACGAGCAGCACGCCTCCCAATGAGCTACCCATTTGTCCAAACGTTCTCGTTCTTGCTGGAATTGTGCGTACTGTACTGATAGTGGGAACTTCGAGCTCAAATCCACCACTCGAGGGGCTGCTGCCATTTCCTTGGCGCATTTCCAAACAGACTCGGATTCAGGAATCGTGGTAGTGGGTCTGTACACCGGTAAAACGGGCAAAACAGCAAGGTTTTCCAGCCAAACTTTTGCTTTGAGCACAGCATTTTCGGCCTGCAGTTGCTTCAGTGCGTTTCCTCTCGGGTATACATATTCTGTGGACACATTTTGAGTCGCAAATATTGGTTCTGCTGTCGCTTCTTGGGCATTCTCAAGCTGGGCACGCAGTTTTTCCACTTCTTGACGCCAATTCATATTCTCAGTAGCTTGTGTGTGACTCTTCTCAAGTTGATGCTGCAAGCGAGCCTCTCTTGCGCTTGCTGCTTCGGCTGCCTTCTCTCTCTCGTGCAGTTTTTGTTCCAGTTTTTCGAGTCGGTCTTTCCATTGACGTGCTTGCGCAGCATCACGAGCTTCGCAAAGCTCTGTGTAGATGGCACGAGCCCTGACATCCCATGGAGGCATATCGTCGATGGTTAAAACATGGTCTTGACTCATGGCCCCTGCTAAGACTTGCTCTGCTTCATCGACTAGCTTGCGCATGCCTGTACATAGATCCGGCATTGCATCGAGAACTGAAGTAGTTTCATCGTTCAACACAGCATCAGCTAGCGGGGTAGCCTGAAGTACCAGCGCGGATGATTGCCGCCCCAATTCGGGTAGTGACTGTATTTGAGAAAGCTCAATTGTCTCCTTGTTAGCATATAGTGATGCCAAACGTCGGTGAAGCCTGCGACAGGCAATCCGCGCACGTGAAGTGAGTGTGGCCCACTCTGATGTAGACGTGTCAGTGATTTTCTGCTGTATGATTCCCGCACATACGAGCAGTGTTTCCACATCATGCAATGTAAGTGAGGCACTCCCAATCTCTTTCGCGGCAAGGTCATAGACAGAGTCCATATCTGGTAGCGCGTGAGACACGGATTCGAACGCGGCCACGGCTTCTGTACATATACGCTCACACATTGTTTCATCAAACTGTCCACGCTCAAGCGTCTCGATGCAAGTTTTCAATTGCTTCTCGATGTGCTGAAGATGTAGGTGGTCTTGAGCATGACTCAAATATACGTCCGGGGGGGCTGACTTCAAAACAGCACTAATTTGTGTGGCCAGCGCGTAGACATGTGTGAGTGAACGGCGGAGATGGCAACCTGCAAGTGAAACATCGTCCAATGTACGTTGCACCAGTTGTTCCTGCACGTCAATCCCTTGAATCAGAGAATGTCTAATCAAATCGCACCAGCGAGCGATACGTTCATAAAACAAAAGTGATTGCAGTGCAGACTCATCAACGCCTTTGAACGACGGGGGCAGGTAGGAGCGAGTAATGGACAGTCGCAGTAGAGTTTGCTCGTGTTCAATGGCACGTAATCGAGGTACCATTGAGACCGAATTGGACGGAGAAATAACAGGGATTGGTGCGGACAGAGCGGGCGCAGGGGGTGCATTACACTTGGCACGTAATGTATCACGTTCCTTCACTAGCTCCGTGACCAGGGTGCGAAACTGCTCGATGGTAGAAGCATGAGAAGCCAAGTGCATTTGGAGTGTGTCTTTTTCGTTTGCAAACTGCGTCAATTTATCATCGCGCGCGTCCAGTTCTTGTTGCAACTGGGCTTCAGTGTCAAGATGTGTTGCCTCCAACTCATCATTCACTGCTTGGAGTGCTTCAAGTTCCTGGATTTCTGTCGACATTTGCTCAACACGTTCTTCCAAAGCCATATTTCTTTCTGACAGCTGCTCCAGCATATCCTGGGCGCCATGCGCAACATCCGCCTGAATTCGAAGTTCTGCAACTACTGTCTCGGCCCGTTGTAGTTGGTCTCGAGCACTAGCATAATCCAGCTCCAATTGGTCTTTTGTTGCTAAATCTGCTCGCAATGAAGCAAGCTCTCTCCTCTGTTTTGTATCAGTTTCCTGAGCCGAATCACGCAGTCGTATTAGAGCTTCTTTGAGACGTTCATTTTGTTCTAATAGCACAGCTGCATCAGCAGGCATAGCTGATTTGGCAGACTCCACTTGGTATTCTTGCTCGAGCTTCAGCTCATCTGCAGCATCGCGTGCGGCTTGGAGCTCCTGTTGCAGGGACTCAATACGTTCCTCTGCCATTTCAAAGTCAAGCGTGACCATTTCAAGTCCTTCACTAAGCTCGTCAATACGCTTTTGAAGTTCAATTTTCTCTTTCTCAAGAGCTGTGAGACGCTCCGTCGACTCTCGAAATTCCTTACTGCGTTGCACTTGTTCGTCCAATTTATTTTCTAGTTCTTGGACTCGTTCAAGATACTTTCGACATTCTGCCTCTACCTCATTTAAACGCTTCATATTGAAGTGAGGTAAATGTTGAGCTTCTTGAAACTGGCTTTGGGACTTGAAAGCATTGGATTCATCTCGAGATACCTTGGAACTTGACCCTCGAATTTCAGGGTCAGCTACTGGCGGAATCACCTGTCCGGAAAACCCGAGTTTTCTGGGAGACTCAGGAGATACCTGTAAATTCCCAGTTCTTCTCGAGCGACCTTGTGTCGCCATTCGGGCCCGCTCTGATGGAGACATAAACGAAGAATAAGAGGGAGAAGCAAGGGTATGAGAAGGCCTCTTCGAGGGCCGCATAGATGGGCGAGTTGGTGTAGATGCACCCGTACTGAGTACTGAGATAGAATTCTGCTGAGATACTTGCGTGCCCGGCTTGAAGGAAGATACAGCCGGAGGCCGTCGCACGATTGTAGATGGCCGCGAGATGGTGCGTGCCACCGATCTTGTTCGTAGTGAGGGACTAGCTGGCGTAGAGGGCGAAACGCTCCGTATTGACAAACTTTCGTCACCTGTGACCAAAGTTACTTGACTAGGGCGTACAAACACACCATAATAGGGCTCGCACTCAAAATAGCGTTTACCTTGCACAGATCCATCATTTTTACCGCACGGTTCTTCCAAGCAGATGCCAACCCATGGTCCTTGCGCAAATGATGTTTGTCCAACGAACAATATCTCCCCATAACCTATATTTGCCACTCGACAACGCGCGTGCAACCTCAGCGGTGCCGGCGACGCCATCGTGCACGGACGATGATACACAGACATGATCCACATAAACGTGTTGCATGGGTCACGTGAACGACGCGTGGGATACCTGTTGGTGAGCATTTGGCGATGCAACTCCGCTTGCTCCTCATTGTTCGTGTTACTATGGGGGCGCTTCTTTCGCGTCTGAAAGGCAAACTGTTCGGAACACGCGAACTCCGTGTATTGATGCTTGGCCTTGATAATGCTGGAAAAACTAGTATGTAGATGTGATACTTACTTCCCAGCCATTCTGTACAAGCTCAAACTCCATCGCAACGTCAAGACAATACCAACGGTAGGATTTAATGTCGAAACCATAACGTTCAAAAATATAAAGTTCAATGTTTGGGTATGTTTCTTTATCTGATCGCCAGGATGTAGGTGGCCAAGATAAAATTCGGCCCCTATGGCGGCACTACTATACAGGATCTCAGGGTCTCATTTTCGTGGTGGATAGCCGCGACCGTGCAAGAATGGACGAAGCTCGGGAAGAGCTTCACCACGTTCTGTCAGACAGAGAAATGCATCATTGTGTTTTGCTTGTGTTTGCTAATAAACAGGACCTTGCAGGCGCCATGTCACCACAAGAAGTGACCGAACGCCTAGGTCTTTATGCGATTCAGGATCGTCCATGGTTTGTGCACCCTAGCTGTGCAGCGACAGGCGAAGGTCTTTCCGAAGGCTTGCAATGGATGAGTCAAAATATTCCAGATATGCGAATGTAAACTCCCTTAATACCCTCCCATTTCAGTTTGAGAGAAATGTGCCGTCATTCGACGTTGATAGTCCTCCAGTTTGGGACATTGTGTGACATTGTGACCTAATCCACCACAAACTGCACATGCATCTCTCCTTGCAGACGAACCACTGTGCGGATCATGGAGTGCTTCTAGAAAAGATGGAACCCTTTGCTTGGCCTCCAAAAGTAAATATTTAAGGTCGAGCATAGTTTGATCCGTCACCTGTGAGTTAACAAACGTGGTAGCGATGCCGGTTTTGCCATTGCGACCGGTTCGACCAATCTGATGAACGTAATCTTCAATTTCCTTAGGCATTGTATAATTAATAACATGCTGAATCCCATGGAAATCAAGGCCTTTACTAGCAACTCCGCTGGCCACCATGACATCTTTGGTTCCTTTCTTAAAGCTTTCAATCGCATATTCACGTTCTTCCTGAGACTTTGATCCATGAATGGCGACTACTTCCACACCCTTGCGTAGAAGATATTCATAGACGTCTTCCACTTCATGTTTATTATCACTGAAAATAATCACCGGTGGCGCCGTCTTTTGAAGGGTCTCAAGCAAATATACCATCTTGGAATCTGGTTCGACATATTCAACCTCTTGAATCACATCTAAACTGGCCGCACCCGCTCGACCAACATTCACAATCACCGGTTTGATGAGCGATTGTTCAGCAAATTCCAATATTTTCTTGGGCATTGTAGCAGAAAACAACAGCGTTTGACGTTGTTGCGTAAAAAAGGTCATAATATTACGAACGTCTTCCTCAAATCCCATATCCATCATCCGATCTGCTTCGTCAAGACACAGGTAGTTGCACAGATCCAATCGAAGACGTTTCCGCTCCAGCATATCTTGTAATCGACCAGGCGTTGCCACGACTATATGAATGCCGCGGCTTATTGTATAGGATTGATCTGCCATATTGATGCCGCCGATGCACAGTAGGGATCGAATCCTTGCATAGCCCCCGTGCTCCAGAACTTCAGCAATTGTTTCAATATAATCATGAGTTTGTCGCGCGAGCTCTCTGGATGGACACAAAATCATACCTAAAGGTCCGTCTCCTTTCTCATAAGGGCATCTATGCTCAGCTTCAGCAGCAAAAAGAATCAGTGGTAAACAAAATGTGAGCGTTTTTCCACTTCCTGTTGAAGCAATGCCAATAATATCACGACCACTAAAGGCGGCTGGCAAGCACTGCATCTGAATGGGCGAAGGTCTCTTGATATTTTTGTGTTCAAGGTGCTCGACGATACATCTTGGCACTTTCATGTCCTTCCGTGAGTATCCCTCGCTGCGTACCTGAAAATAGGGAATGATAGGTGGTACATGCTCTCCTTCCACAACGACGTGATAGTGTTTTCGAATCCTTTTTTGCTGAGAATCTGACTGTTCCAAAATATACTTGGGTGCACGCCAAGAGCGTTTAAGAGGCTCTCCGTAGTGAATGTCTCTGGCCAATTCAGAATGCCCAGTAAGCTTTTTGCGCATGCTCTGTGCTTCTAAAAATCGCGCTTGTTCTTCGGCTCCCAACTCGTAATTATTTTTCTTTTGGTCGTCGCTTGTTCGAATTTCCCGGGCTGTTTCTAATAATGACGGCACTTTGACTTGGTCTGGTGATGGTTCCCTATCAGGTACTTGTGTAGTCCTGGCCATCTTCGCACGAGATGAATGCTTTTGCATGGCCTCAGACCGTCTTTTTTTTAAAGGAATATATGGAACATAATCTTCTTCTTCATATGCATACAAACGATCAGGTTCACTGGTGCCGTGCGCTTTGTCTCCGTCCGCCGTCATACATGCTCTCGTAAGACCTGCGATCGTCTGTGCTCTGATGCTCCTCCACATACACGTGATAGCCAAACTCGCCCGGACGCGGGTGATGCATTCACCCCCTGTTGCCATGGTGCGCAAGGCTCGAGCGCCACATGTATCGCTCGAGGCCCAGCTTCAGCAGCTCACTCTGCTGAGTGATGTTGAACCTAATTCTGAAAATTTTGAGCAGCTTGGTCCCATTATTAAAAGTTTGGATGAAGCACATCAGCAAGACGAGTTCCTGCTTCAACTGCGCGAGTTCGTACGCAAAAAAGACGAGGAAATAGAGCAGGTCTGTAACGATAATCATCAGGAGTTTGTTTCATCCGTTGATGAACTTTTGATTGTGCGATCGGGAACTGTGAACCTCAAGCACCGAATCAACGAATTGAACCAAGAAGTTCAATCCAGTGGTCATGCATTGTTTAAGAAGAAAAAAGACCTCATTGAGAAACAGCGTGTCAGTCAAAACATTAGCGACACAATTGAGGTTCTCCAAGAATTCCAAAATGTTCTGGAAATGACGTCCCTTGTGGATGATTTAATTGTCCAGGAGAAGTATTATTCGGCATTAAGACGGCTTGATGAACTTGAGAATGTGCATTTAAAGCGACTGATGCAGCATGAACTCGCCCAGATGATTCGTGATTCAATTCCTAATGTGCGGGAGCGTGTCTCTATGGATGTTACGAAACAACTCAAGAGTTGGATGTATGATGTAAGAGAAAAAAGTGGTGCGGTAGGACGTATTGCCCTAGAAACGATGGAAGCCAGGCAACAGAGGTGGCGCCATCGCAGCCAGAAGGATCCCATGCTTCGCATGTCGTCTATTAACAGCCCAATCGAACAGATTGTCAATGAACGGGTTGAAGTTAACTTTTTGCAAAACGATAAAGTCCAAGTTGATTTCAAGCCTTTGTATCAATGTATTCATATTTATGAAGTATTGGATCAACGTGAAAAACTGCAAGTAAATTACCATGAAGACCGCAAAGCGCAGGCCAATCTTCTTCTTTCGCGTAATCTTAACATGCACCAAAATTGCCATGATCTGATGGCTCTGTTGGAAGAAGTGGTTGGATACTTTGTCATTGAATGTCATGTATCCTATACTTCCCCTGCTGGTTTCCGGCCCATGAGCGAAGTGGAAGATGTGTGGGAAAGCATGTGTGAGCGTCTTGTCGATATGGTAAATGTCGGCCTGCGTGATTGTAAAGATACGAAGGCATTTATCGAGACCAAATCTGCCCTACAGACATTCGTTCGCACCCTGGAGAGCCTCGAGTTCCAGGTATCGCGTATGAATGGACTTATATTATCGCTTTTCCGTCGATTTGCAGAGCTTCTCCGCGAACGATTTGCTAGCGACTTCCATCAAGCTGTTCGAGAGGCGCAACACCAGCCAATGATCGTGAACAATCCAGGTGAACTTGCCAAAGTTTTGAGTGTTTGCTGGCTCAAACCTGGCGAAGCGGAACAGCTTCAAAAGCAGCCTTTCCCCTTGTCCTTGCCCTTTTCGCAGACATATCCTTTGTGTTGTATGGATATTCGGAGTTTGGTGGAACAATATTACAACTTCTCCGGCGGCTCTTCACAGCGTATACGCGACATTGACGTTATTTTGACGCAATCCTTGGATGAACTACTGGTGCAGCAAATCAGCGTCAATATCCGAGAAACTGTTGAGCAATCTAATAATTTGAGTCAAATTGCACAAATTATCGTGAATATCGAGCATTTCCAGCTGGCTTGCAAAGAACTGGAAGCCTGGCTCACAGATTCTCGGACTCCCAATCCAAGCTGTCAACTGGTGCTTGGTGCTTCCCATCACTTGGCTACTACGCTAGAAATAGCGCAAAAGCGCATTGATACGGCCTTGTTCGTGAAATTGGATCAGTTCCTGGATCTTCTTGAGTACGATTGGACGCCATCCCAAGTGAGGCCAGGCTCGCAGCAGGCGTCACCTTACCTGCGGGATTTAATCGATTGGCTCTCCACGATGATGGACAGTGCTCTTATCCTTCTACCAAATGATGCGAAGCATGCCACATTTCAATCATGCTTTATGCATATTACGAATCGGCTATTGAATTCGTCTTTGCTTGACAGAGACGTTTCTAGAGTTAATATGGCCGGCTTGACACATCTAGAGATGGATGTCACTTTCCTTTACAACTATGCTTTGTCATTGAAGATCGGTGGAATGGAAAATGTATTCGGGCAGATTCGTCAGACGCTCGCTGTCGTGCTGTCTGAATCCGTCTCCGAATATGCTCTTTCGCCTTTGGCACGCTCACAAAAGTACGTTTCGTATTCTAACCCTAGATTCTCTCAGGTGCAGCCTGTGAAGGTGGCTCAGATTCTCGACAAGCTAGGTGCCTATTATTCATCGCAATCAGGCCGAGGGGACCTGGCCCAAAAGTGCATGCGCGAAAGAGATATGGTTCGGCGGCTTATCCAGCGTTGATATACCTCCCTCACACGGCTACGCTGACTTGGAATGGTTGTTGTAACCGAATTTTTGATGACCGATAAATACCCTATAAGAATATCTGTCCATCTCTAAATTCAAAGTTTTTAGAAAGTACTAACCGTCCTTTGTTCAATTAGTCGGGTCATGTTTCTAGTCGGAATTCGATTCGAGGGACACTCGCTCTTATTTGTAAAACAGGTTATCGATGCAGACAAATAGTGTTCAATCCAGTATGTTTGATAGAAAAATGGAAGATGTTTACAGAGTCGTTGATGATCAGGCCCCGAAGCCGGGAATGATACATGGCTCGTGCGAAGAAGCCGCGATTCAGTTCGTGGAGGTCAAGCACTGTCACGTGGACGAACGAGACAAAGACACCTACGCGTGCCTCCACGATGTCGGGGGACGCGTCTGCCAGCGGGGGAGACGCGTTCATATATGATCCCCAGCCGAACCTTGGGGAACAGCGTGAGTTGAGACGAGAATATAGAGCTCTTCTAGCAAATGCACAAAGTAAGTACGGACATATCTGATGCAGACACACGGCGACATCTGCCCGAAAGTACCATACAGGAGCTCGGTGACATGGTGCGAATCGGCGATGAGCTGTATTCCAAGGTCAAGGCGCCAATGGATGGACTTTTAGATTCGAGGTATCTACTCAACATTTCGGATATGGGTGCAGAGATGACACGCACCATGCGCATTGATGCCGACGCGTTTGATATGGATGAGTATATGCAGAAGGTTGCACATTTCATCGGTGGATCTACAGTTGCTGTATCATCACGGCCAGACGAGAGTGCGGATGATATGTCACAGATTTTCACTGGTGATACGGACACATGGAATTGGGATCGACTTGGCTTACTGGCGGCACGTCACTCGCGGCGTGCGCCTGTGGCGGAGCATTTGCTGGGCCCGTTGCAAGTTACTCCCAAACACAGGAAGATAACTCGCACGTCTCGTCTTGATGCAGATGCAGAGCAGGTCGCGCCTCAGAGACTTGATGCATCCGCTATTATTCCGTCGGAAAATGAAACCTCGCGCATGGTGCTGGACATCGCGCGCCGTTTGGAGGAATGTTGTGGTGAAGATGGTATCAACATGTTCCGTTTTGCCCTGAATCCAGACAGCTTCTGCGACTCAGTGGAGAATTTGTTCTACATCAGCTTTCTTATCCGGGATGGAAAAGCTGCCATCATTGAAGACAATGAAGGGGACCCAATTCTCTGTATGTATGCGTGGTCTTACTCAGTGTTATGTGAAGAGCCCACCGAAGAAGACAGGCAGGCAGGCCTTACGCGACGTCAGCTCGTCCTGGAGCTTGACGTCCCCACCTGGCGTGAACTAATTGCTCTGTACAATATCAGTACCCCCATGATACCTTCTCGAGAGCAGCTCACGGCATTGCCGTCTACGGAAGGATGGTATAGCTGAGCTAGCTAGACATGCAATGTATCCAGCACGCAGAATAAACGCCGCAATTCGGGCAGAGTCCATGTGCCCAAGTCATGGGAGGGGGGCGCGTCCGCCGCAATCTTTTCCGGGAAAGTTGCCTTAGCTACCGCCCACACCATGTCCTGTACACGAAGTGACTCTGAGTCTTGGCTGTCGGCGGCACCAGCATGCCAAGCTGGTGCTGCCTTTTCGTCGCGCAGCCGAACATTGATCGTACGGCTTTGGGTCTCCTGCTGCCCCACGATCAAGATAAAGTTGTAACGTTGAAGCTGTGCATGGCGCACTTTCCTGCCCAGAGTGTCGCCTGAGGAGCTCAAGTAGTGCGGAGGGAGCTCCACTTGGAAGCGCGTACGTGAAGGGACTTGTAAAGTATGATGAGCCATAGACGCCGAGAGGAACGGGTTGCGCGACATGCGGGTTTCTTCCGTAGTTCCACACAATGTAGCTTGCACTTCCTGTGCGTACGCCGCAGTGCGTTCGTAAGACTCTGGGTCAGAGCCAAACGCGGGGATCACTACCGCCTGGCGAGGGCTGAGCCAGAAGGGCCACCAGCCCTTGCACTGCTCCACGAGAATGGCCAGAAACCGCTCAAAACTGCCAAGAATGGCCCGGTGGATCATGACAGGACGCGCATATCCAGGCCTGACTTCGTGTGCCCCTTCTTCGCTTGGTGCCTGTGCATATTCAAGCTGGAAGCGTTCCGGCAACTGGAAATCGAGTTGAATGGTGGCAGTTTGATGTTTCCGGCCCATCGCATCCACTAAACGGATATCAATTTTGGGACCATAGAATGCGCCATCCCCTTCATTCAGAGACCATGGCTTTCCACATTGATCGAGCGCTTGTTTTAGATTGGCCTCAGCGCGATCCCACAAAGAGATATCGCCAATAAAATTGTCAGGACGCGTCGATAGCACAAGTTCATATCGGTCGCCGAATCCAAAGACTCGGTAGCCGAGGGAGAGCATATGCAACATGCTTTCGATTTCTCTTGCCACTTGGGACGGCATACAAAAGACATGTGCATCATCTTGGTGGAAGCGACGCACACGGGTCAAACCTGAGAGAGAGCCTGATGCTTCGTTGCGATGTAGGGGACTGAATTCAGCTAGACGCCATGGCAACTCGCGATACGAGCGCGGCTGATGCGCGAACATGACGCAATGCCCTGGACAGTTCATGGGCTTCAGGCCAAAGACACCATCGTGTTCACCGCAGCATGAAAATCCCTGTGCGCTGAACATGTCATCGCGGTATTTGTCCCAGTGTCCGCTCTGCTTCCATAGGGAACTGCGGTATAGCTGCGGCGTCTGCACTTCCTCGTATCCGAATGCATCGTACAAGTCACGAATCACACGTTCCACTTTTCGGATCAGGCGCATGCCGTGAGGCATCACAAAAGGACTGCCTGGAGAAGAATCGTGTGCGAAGAAAAGTTGTTGTGCCATTCCGAGATGCCGGTGGTCCGATTTTTCCAAGTCGGACATGCGAGTCTTGTACTTTTGCAAGTCATTGGAGGATGGGAAAGCAATCCCGCGGATCCTGAGCAAGGGTTGCGATCCCTCCAATGCCCATGACGCCTGGAGTGTGGCCGTAGACCATCCCAGGACCTTGACTGCCTTGATCGGCTTCGTTTGGCGCAGCAACGTGGTATCGCCATGACGCGGAAGAACACTGATTGCACGCGATTCAGCATAAACAACGGGAACACGCTCTTCATGGTCAGCATAGTCCAATATGGTGCGAAGCACAAGGGGATTGTGACCAAAGAGTCCACAGGCTTCATGCCATGGAAGCGGTTCGACAGAGAGGGGTAATCCACTTTGACAGACCTGCTTTACGGCGCGCTCGATATCGGAAAGCTCCTCATCCGCCACCTTGGGTGAGCCCGAACGAAGCACAGTCGTCACACATGTTTGAAGCGCCTCGTCTACTTGTAGGTGGGCTTCGTGTAAATGGGCGCTGAGAGAAAGAGGAGGATCCATGCGAGCACGAAGGACTTCGATCGTGTATCCTGAGGTGGCATCCAGCTCATTTCCTGCACTTTCTGTGACCATTGGCACAGAGCAAATGGCACCTTTGCAAACTTGCTCTACGGCGATGCATTGTGCATACGCGGCAGACAGCCAGAAGGTACGCTGCGCAAGCTTGTCATCGGATTCGAAAGGCAGAAACGTTAGGTACTTCGCTGATGGCGAGGGTGTTGCGCTCAGAGAAAGAGGCTGGCCACGGTCATCGCGCGCGACCACATATGCACCCGCTTCGTTCGAGCACGCCGTGTTTAATATTTGCGCCGCACTGGCGGGTAGGTCGGGACGCACGGGAACTGTGCGGGCATCGACGCTTACCGGAGCACACATACTCAGGCGGGCATGGCGTACCGTTAGGGGTCCTCGAGCCCATGTCCGAAGAATTCGGACGTCGCGCCCTGGCACCAGCATGATGGGAGGCGCAAAACGCACGTGGCGAGTGGATATTTCACGCCCGTGCGATAGCGGCTCGCCCGGACCGCACAACCTGCCATCCACTATGACGAACAATGCAACGCTAAACCATGCCCAGCCGGATCCGATCCTGTACTCGTTCCCTACGTCGGAACTTCTGAGCGAGAAGCTAGCTGATTTTGTAATTAAGGTACGTGGCTGAGTCGATAACAGAAGGCGCAAAATGCAGCGATCGAGAGGCGCCAGATGTTCACGATCGCCTTGTCCGGTGGCTCTCTTCCCAAAATGCTGGCCAAGGGACTGCTGGCACGAGATGACAATGCAGTCCAGTGGCACAAGTGGCAGGTATTCTTTGCCGACGAGCGCCTGGTTCCGTTGGATCATGCTGACTCTAACTTCAAGTTGTGTGACCAAGAGCTTTTCTCCAAGATCCCTGGATTCCCTCGCGAACAGATTCACGGAGTCGATGAGTCTTTACTTGAAGATGCAGAGGAGTTGGCGGATGCGTATGAGAAGCGCTTGGTAGACACATTTGCTGGGAAAGAGACTGTGCGCCACCCCGTGTTTGATCTCATTTTGTTGGGAATGGGTCCTGATGGTCATACTTGCAGCCTGTTCCCTGGTCATGAGCTGCTGAAGGAGCAGGATCGTTGGATTGCCCCTATTGAAGATTCGCCAAAGCCACCGCCTCGTCGCATTTCGTTCACCTATCCTGTCCTTAACCACGCTCATAATGCAGCGTTCGTGCTCGCTGGCGAGGGTAAGCAAGAAATGCTGGCCAAGGTGCTTGATGAACCCAAGCTGGGTCTTCCTGCGAGTCTCGTTCGCCCGTATGCGCCCGGTCAGGTGCTGTTCTTTACCGACGAAGCAGCCGCTGCCAAGACCCACTATCCTCGTAGCCAATTTAATCTGTAGGCCAGAAAGTATTATGATAGAGCTAATGCTACTTGGTCCACGTCGTTACCCCTTTGCTTGGAATCAGCGAGCGTCTCATAGCCATAGGAAAGCGCATCGATGAGCAGGGCCATGCGACCCGTCGCAGGACTCGTGTTCGTGTCATCCACCAGCAGGGGGTCATGCTGGCGGAGGGCATCGAGTTCATCGTCGAATTCTTCAGTAAGAGTTTGCATGTAGAGGGAGCGCAACGCAGTGCGCTGCTTTTCTTGCAGCTCCTCAGAAATCTCCGCGGATGTCATTGTCGACAGCCGCCCGCCCACGATGGTTCGGGCTCGGTCCGACGGCTCCGATTCGCCAACATACCTAGACGGAAGAGGAATCTTGGGGGCTTCCAAGGTATCCTCATGAGTATATCCATCGTCTAGATCCAGGTCATGGTCGTTATCGGGTTCCTGATCGAAAGTGTGGCTCATTTGCGCATCGCTCACCTCGCTGTCACTGCTGTCGGAAGAGCTCTCACTCGAAGACTTGCGAGAGGGCTTCTCATCGTCCGAAGAGTCCTCTGATGATGACACAACGGCTGTGCGCACCTTGCGGGCACGCTTTCGCCTGGGGCGCCGCGCGATGGCATCCGCCGACGACATCGGCAGCAGCAAAAGGCCCACTCCACTTGCGCACATCCGAATAGGGGGTGAGGGATTGGGCGTTGGGTACGCACTACGTCGGGCAAAAAAAGCTTCGTAGAGATCTGGGTATATCTACGTCATGGAAAGTGCATCTCGAACCTTTTTTACTTGCTCAGGCGTTAGTTGTTCAAATGGCATGACTGTGCCAAGCGCATTTGCCCCGTGATAGGGTGGACGAGTGACATCCATGTCGCCAGGGAGACCGCTGCCCGACTGGGTATCGTAGAGTGCCAGCGAAGAGGTGGATAGACCTGCTGACTGCGCAGCGACACGGTTAAATAGAATGCGGTCGCTGTGGAAAAGTCTCAAAGGTCAGAAGAAGGCCAACATACTCTCCCATATTTTCATTCAGGATCCATTGGTCCTTTAATGTGGCACAGAAATCCGCGGAAAAAAGTTCATGGAGGTAGTGCGCCAAGCATGTAAGGAACATGGGTTCTTCAGGATGCGTTGACCAAGCTCTTTGTATTGCCATGCTCAGATACGGCAGCATATTGACTCGCCCACTCGCCGCCTGAGTAAGAAGGATGAGCGGCGTACCTCGACAATTGGGTGGATCAGGATGGGTGGGAAAAAAATGGTAGGAAGGACAAGCTGGGTATTTTGAACCGTAAACTGTACGCTGAAGCGAAAGACACCGGGAAAGTAGGGACCTTGTCGTACAAAGACGGTCCCGCAGAGCCCTAGTGTAAGACAGTGAAGAAGACGTACGCAAGGGGTCAGTCTCATCGGGCATCAGATACACGCCAGGGGGCATGATGCCTGGCTCACAGAGGTGCGCCCTGTTCAAGCATCAGCGTGGATGTGTACAACTTACAGCTGAATGAAAATTTGCTGTCGTACTGCTAAAAGTGTATCATTGCTGAGGTCGGAAGGGCGACGAGACGCCTGCATAGTTCGGACGCCAAGCCGGCACAGACCTTGAACGATGGCTGGCTCAGCTGATCGACAGGAGCGTGAGAGCCAGTGGAGCAAATCAGTGTGTGTCGTTTACCTTATCAAACGAGATGCTTATTCATACCCGGTGCGCTCGGGCAACCAGCCGTGCACGAGTTACACCCTGTGGTTGACACGGTTTACCTCGGAACGAGGCGATGGGGGCTACACCGCCTCCCAAGGAGGCCACGACTTCGTACGTTTTCGGATTAGGTTTGGTGCTAACATGCGACTTTTCATCCAGATTTTCGCGACTATTCTGGCCGAAAACGTCTAACCCGTCCGCGACGGTATCGCGCACGAGCGCAATGTCGCAACCAGGGGGCCTCTCGGCCCCCGATGAGCTGACCATGGACACAACAGAGTCAATTGCTGTCTCTGGCTCCGCCTTTGTATCGACGAGCGTGCCCGAGGGAGCCTCCCTCGAGTCTCCTGACGTCACCACGTCCGATGCCAGTCCCATGGAGGTGCACGACGGTGACTTTATGACGGAGAGCGTTGACTCGACCGACGACGATGTCGGATCGGTACTGACGGAGGACGAAGAAGACTATGAGGACTACTGCCGTGGCGGTTACCACCCCGTTAGTGTCGGCGATGTGTTCTCCAATGGGCGCTACGTCATCGTGCGCAAGTTAGGCTGGGGCCACTTCTCGACTGTGTGGCTCGCCAAGGACCGCGTCGCGAATCGGCATGTGGCCCTCAAAGTCGTCAAGTCGGCTCCGCACTATACCGAGACAGCGCTCGACGAGATCAAGCTGCTGCAACGCCTGGTCTCTGCCAACCAAAACCACCCTGGCTGCCGTCACTGCGTATCGCTGCTCGACCATTTCCGACACAAGGGTCCCAATGGCTCGCACGTTTGTATGGTGTTTGAGGTGCTAGGTGAAAATTTGTTGGGCCTTATCAAGCGGTATCAACACCGTGGCGTGCCCGTACACATTGTCAAGCAAATCGCCAAGCAGGTGCTATTAGGCCTGGACTACATGCACCGCTCCTGCGGCATCATTCACACGGACTTGAAGCCGGAAAATGTGCTCATCTGCATTGAGGACGTCGAAGCCGTCGTCGAAGCCGAGCTGCGAACGAATCCCAAGGCGGTGCCAACGAAGCTCGTGGGTGTGCCGCCGAGCCAGGGCCGCGGAGGCACGCAGACGCCGCGGCGCGACTCAGTGCTTATTACCAGCTCGCGGCCACTGCCAAGTCCAAGCAGCAGCCTTGGATCGAGTCCCATGTTTGACAAGCTCGCCTTTGCCATGTCGAAAATTGGCGCGACGTCCGCGAGTGGTTCAGCGCCGTCCGAGTCATCGCTGCCAAGCCCTGGCATAGGCAACTCTCTGTTCCCGCCGAACGCCCGTGAGCCGTCGAGCGCGTCTTCGCACCACGGCGCGGGAGGCTCCATGCTGGGTAACAAGGTGGCGCTTCCCTTGCGCAAGGGCCCTTCTCTGCTGTCGCAGCAGGCTCACAAGGCCGTGCATAGCAAGGCACCCGAGTCTGACACTCCTACTGATACCACCACGTCCCCTTCGGAGATCGGTCAGGACATGGCCGCCGAGCTTGGAGAGGCGCCGGCCCAGTCGCAATCGCCACCGCTGGGCCTGTCGCCTGATCCGCTGCGACCTGCGCCGGCGGCCGGTGACCCTACGACACTTCCGCCGCCGCCGCCATATGATCCATCCACGCTGGAACGTATCACAGTAAAGATTGCAGACCTCGGCAATGCCTGCTGGACAGACCACCACTTTACCAACGATATCCAGACGCGTCAGTACCGGTGTCCGGAAGCGATCCTCGGCGCCAAGTGGGGCACGACGGCGGACCTGTGGAGTGCGAGTGCCATGTTTTTTGAGCTGCTGACGGGTGACTACCTGTTTGATCCGGCGGCGGGCGCCAAGTACAACAAGGACGACGACCATATTGCGCAAATCATCGAGCTGCTGGGCGACTTCCCCAAGAGTGTGGCCTTTTCGGGCAAGTATAGTGCAGAGATCTTTAACCGGAAAGGTGAGCCACGGCATATCCACAAGCTGCGGTATTGGCCCCTGGTGAATGTCCTGCAGGAGAAGTACTTGCTCACGCCGGAGCACTCGGAGGAGCTGTCGTCGTTCCTGTTGCCGATGCTGCGGCTGAGTCCCTCCGAACGCGCATCCGCGCGCGAGGCCCTGACCCATCCCTGGCTAGACGGTGTGATCACCCAGGGCGAAATGGAGCTTGCGTTGGAGCAGCAGCTGCGGGCCAACGAGCAGGGCGTGCATATTCCGACTCGCCACGAGCTCGACGTGGAGGATGCGCTGAAGCCGATCGCGTCTATGGCGTCGTCGCCCGTGCCGTCGGAGAGCGCATGGCCTGTCGACGGCTCGGGCGACACGACGTTGCTACAGTCACAGCTATCCGCGACGCGGCTTTCGTCTGAACAGGCTAGTGAATCTGAGGTGTGAGTGTCATTCACGTACGTAGACATCCAAGCGAGTCAGCTGGCTGTATGTCTCGCTGCTCATGCGGAAGCGGAGCATGCCCGCCCACATCATTAGCGAGCGCGCCTGGTGGCGGTACTCGAACAGGACCGTCGAGCTATCGCGCGTAAGCGAGTGCTTGAGGGCTTCGTGGAGCTTGTACAGCGTGTTCATCGCCATGAGCGCGATCTCTGAGAAGTTCTTCGTAATGTTCTCATCGTACGTCTTGAACTCTTCCGCCTTGCGCGTGATACTCACCACATCACGTCGCGCCTCGGCATCCAGTGGCAGGATGTGCAGCGCCTCGAGCACGCGCAGCGTGGGCTGCCACTGCTCCTCGTGGTACAGGGTCGCTGCCTTCTTCAGCTGCAGTAGCGACTCACACACATCCATCGTCGAGCTGTGGTAGCCCTGCTGCGCATAGCTCGCGAGAATGGCGCGCGCGAGGCGCACCGGGTTCGCCGACACGGACAAGGGTGCGGCACTGTCGTCGACCGCGCGATCCCAATCGGGCAGCTGGCCAGGCTCCATGAGACCTGCGCCGAGCGCGCGGTTCAGCACGGCCATCACCGTGTCGCGCTCGTTCCCGTAATTGTACAAGAGGATTGCATCTGTCGTACGCTGCTCGCGCTCGCACTGCACGGCCGCCGCATGTACAATCTTGGCGAGGAATGCGTGGCGGTCGTCGAGATGCAGCAGCGCACTCTGCTGCTCGATCAGCCCGGGCGTCGTGAGCCCATCCGCACGCACGTCGCCGAGCAGCTCGACAAAGCCCGACGATGGCGACTCGAGGATGAGCGCCTGCACCTGCTCGTGGCATCGCTGGACCTGCTCGGCGCCCACAGGCGCTACGCAGTCCGCATTGAGGCACAGCAGGCTGATGTACGCCAGGGCATCGCGCCGCGACGTAGGCGCGAGACGCCGCGCATACCGCTGGATGAGCTTGGCAAAGTCCAGGTACGTTACGTCGTCGATCGTCGTGAGGTACTCGAACTGCGATGCAGTGCCTGCGCGGGGCACACGCAGCAGGCCATAGTACGTGAGGGCAATGGCAAAGTGCACGGCATCCACATGCAGAGCCGCACGCGATTGCAAAAAGGCAACAGCCGACTCGAAGCGGCCGACCAGGAGGAGCAGCTGGAAGTAGTGCAGGGGGCGCTGGCCCTTGGGATCAAAGTGCGCCTCGCCGTATTTTTCCAGCTTGTGCCCGAGGTCCTGAAGCGTGTACGACTGGAGCGCAGGCGCCTGCGCATCCTGTTCGGCTGTCTCCGAGACCAGGCACAGCTGCAGCCACAGCCAGTTCTCCGTGCTGAGCACGAGCGGCGCTGGGAACTTTTTGGCCACGTCAAAGCGGCCCAGCAAGCGGTACAGCGCGTAGCGGTACGGGTCCTCCACGGCGCCGCTGCGGAAGCGCGTCACATACTCGCCCATCCAGTGGTCGCGCATGGACCGCGGCAGCGTGCGTGTCGGTGAGTCTGCCCATGCCTTGAAGAATGCCAGGAACGCGGCATCGTTGCGCTGGAGCGCGCTTTCGTTCTCCTGCAGGCACGCAAGCGCCTCGGCCACGTGCCCCGAGCGCACAAGGACAAAGACCATCGCCCACAGCGGCGCCTGCGTCACAGCATCGAGAGGCCGCGCCAGTTCGGCCGGCCAGGGCCCGTCGCTCGTACGCAGCTGCACGCGCAGGAACGCTGCGACGGTCGCACGTACCGAGGGGACACCGCCGCGCTGCGCCTGCACGGGGTTCGCGAGGATGACCTGCTCCATGTAGTCGAGGAACTGCTTCTCCAGGAACTCGCGAGCGCCACGCACCCACTTTTCGCGCAGGGCCGCGCCTGCCGGGCCACGGAACGCGTCCGGATCCATGTACGCGGCGGCGTACTCGCGCGCAGGGATAGGCGATGGAAGCACAGAGGCGGACGGTGCCTCGCGCACCATGTACTTGAGTGCGGTCCACGCGTCGATCAGGGCGCGCTTTCTTGTCGCATCCTGCGAGAACGAGTCGACCATGTCCATAAACGCATGAATGAGCGGCACAGCCTCGCCATCCACGCGCGCCTTATTGAGTCGTGCCACGACGGCATCGTAGCGGACCATGCGGCCCTGCTGCATGAGGCTCGTATCGCTCTCAGCGGTGGCCGCCGAGGTGCCCGGCACTGCAGCAACGGAGCGACGCAGCGTGACGCTGTCGTCCGAGGGACGATGCTGGCCCAGCTCCTCCAGGATATGCTGTTTCTGTGCCTGCCAGTCGCGGTGCAGGCGGCGCCCGAGATCCTGCTGGAAGTCCTCCAGGGCGTCGCGACGGCTCTCCTCGATCATGCTGAGCACGACCTGCTCGTGCTCGTGCCGCAGGTAGCCACCCACGTCCGTGTCATACACCGGCTGCAGCGGCTCAAACGTGTTGGAGATGTTGGTGTGCTGGATGGCATTCGAGAGCTGTGCCGCATCGATACCGCCACTCGCAAGGAGGTAGTGTGCACGGGCATCTGCCGGCGTGTGGCCACTGCGCACGCTCTTGCTCACGAGCTTGCGGCTCTGACTCTCGATCTGGTCGATGCCGAGCTGGATCGACGGCAGGTCTGAGTCGCGCGCTAGCTGGTTCGTCAGCTTGCGCGACTGCTGCAAAATGTCGGACAAGGACGGGGCGGGCTGCGCCGTGGCGCCCAGAGTCGAGTGGCCGGCCGCCTCCATCGCAAATGGCTCAGCAGGATCCACCGGGCGCGTCGCCACGCCGTGCACGGCGCCCGGTCGTATCACGTGATGGGAACGTCGCGCGAGTTACGGGCCTACGGTAGCAGCGCGGTTCCACTGCACGAGCGCCTCGAGCGTCACGCCCGTGCCGCCGAAGATATCGAGTGCACTGCCGAACGTCAGGTCGACGCGCCCATTCGAGAGCTTGTCCACTAGCTGCATGTCGTCCAAGTCTGGCGTTAGACCCCGATACGCACGCCGCGCGCCGCCCGCATAGGTTGTAGGAATCGACACCCACTCGCCGAGGCCTGCGTAAGCGATGGATACGCACGCTGCACGAGGTCCTGGTCGACCCCGCGGCACAAACCTTCGACGTCGGCAGCATGAATGAGCAGTTCGCTGCGTGAGACCGATGTGCGTACCTGCAGTGCGCCGATACCTGCTCCAGCGTCGCTGTGGTCAGGCATTGGCACGTACCTGGGGAGAGGACCATGTCGGTGAGATCCTGCCAGCGGTTCATCGCGACAACCCATTCGTCGCCGCGCCGGCGGCAGCTGATATCGACGACGAGCCGCTCCCTCCCGACGAGCCGCTCGAGCTCGACGAGGCGCTCCATCGAGAAGCGACACGCAGGAAAGAGATACGACGTGACAATCACCTTGTCCGCGCCGCGCTCGAGCCACTGCGCGGCATTGTCAATCGTGATGCCGCCGCCGACCTGCAGGCCCCGGGGCCATGCCCGTAGCGCCTCCGTAGCCGCCTCATCGTTCCCTGGACCCAGCTTGATGACATGCCCGCCGCGCAGGCCATGCTGCGCATACAGCGCGGCATAGTGCGCCGGTGGGTGGGTCGCGACAAAGTTGGTCTGGAGCGCGTCCGTATCGTCGCCCAGCCCATCCTTGTCATCTCGCAGACTGCCGCCCACAATCTGCTTCACCGTCCCATGGTGCAAGTCAATGCACGGGCGGAACACGCTGCGCCGCCGCTCACCGGCCATACCCAAGCGTGGCGGCGGCCGCCGCCCCTAGGCTCTTGCGTCACGTGGCAGGGCGACCTGCGCCGCCGCGCGGCGGCGCATCGCCGCCGGGGTCCATGAGCTGGGGACCGATCGTTGCGCGCCGTGCGGCGCGTGTGCCGTCTACGCTGCGAGCGAGCTCCAGCGCTGCCGGCGACAAGCGCCGCCCACGCGAGTCGCTTCTGCGGCGCAACCTGGCGCCGCTGTCGCCGCCGACGCCACCGCCGAGCGGCACGCAGTACAGCCCACTCACAGTGTCGCTCGTCAAGGGCGTCGGCCGCCTGCTCGGCTACAACTTTGTGCGCAGCAAGGCCATCAAAGTCACGGGTGACCTGTATGACCGCGCAGCGATGCGCGCGCAGGCGGAAGCGCACTTCTGGTACAAGGAGTGTGCGCTGCCGGCCTCGTTCCAGACGTGGTTCCAGCTGACGAACCTGCACATGTTCCTGCTGCTGAGCCGCTTCCGCGCGCTGCCCGCAGAGGAGGCACGCGAGTACACGCAGGAGCTGATCAACCACTTTTTCATCGATACCGAGTCGCGCATGCGCGAGCGCTTCGGCGTGCAGACGTCGCGCCTGGTCAAGGGCTACATGAAGGACCTGCATCTGCAGCACCGCGGCTCGATTGTCGCCTACGAGGAGGGCCTTGCCACGGACGACGTGCGTCTCTCTGGCGCCATCTGGCGCAACGTGTGGGGCGGCGGATGGGGCGTCATTGGCGGCGTCAAGCGCAAGATGCCCCTCCTCGGCCGCACGAAGCGTGTGCCCGAAGCATCTGACGACGGCGCCCCGGAGCTGGCGGTCGACAAGGAGGCGCCGACGCTCGGCGCCAGCGAGCCTGACGAGGACAGCGCGGCGCGTGCCGAGCTGCTCTTCCCCCAGCACCTGGAGCGAGTCACGCGCTGGCTGCGCCGCGAGGTGTACCGCCTGGGCCACCTGCCCAACGACGTGATCCTGGATGGCGACGTGCATGCGCCGCGTGCTGCGCAGGCCGGCGACGTGGTGGGCCCGCCGGTGCCCGGCGCCGAGGTGGCCCGAGCGCCTGGCGCGGGCGACGGCGGCCAGCGCGAGGTGGTGTCGGCGTACACGCGGATCTAAGGAGGGACGCCGATGGGCGCCAGCATGCTTGCTGTGGCGCCCCGGTCGGGCTACCGAATCGGCGGCGGCGGCGGTGCCGAGGCCTGCGTGGCCGGCTGGCCGATAATATAGCGCAGAATATCACTGAGACTCAGCATGCCCACAAGCTGGCCCTTTGGGCGCAGCGGCAGTGGCTGTGCCACGCTGTCCTGCGACGGCTCCGACGAGGTGGGCGACGCGGCCACAGGCGACTCGGCGGTGCCTTCGATCGGCTCCAGGACGAGCATGCGGTGCATGCGCCGCTGCTTGAGCATGTCGAATACGCTCGCGAGCGAGTCGTTGCTGGAGCAGCACGTCACGCCGGGAAAGTCCGCGGGGCGCCGCTCCAGTGCCTGCCGGATGGTCAGGTCGAGCTGGTAGTAAGCGCCGGTGCGCACGAGCGTAATGACATCGACCGACTCGTACAGGTCCACCACGTCGCCGTTGGCATCGAGAATCGGCACCGCACTGATCTCGTTCTCGCTGAACATGTGCACGACGTCGAACACGGTTGTATCGAGCGTGGCTGTATGCAGCGGCCAGTACGGCCCCGCGCCGGGCGGCGGAGAGTCGCGCAGGCGCAGACGCGCCTGCGGCGCGCGTCGTCGGCGCTCGAGCTGGTGTGCGTATGTATATGTGCCGATGCCGAGCGATCCGATGCTGGCCTTGAGGCCAGCCGTCTCGCGGCAGTTCATCGCGATGAACTTCAGGAGGCGGTACTGGGTGAGCACACTGAGCACCGTCTCGATTTTCAAGTCCTCGTTGTACTCAAGCAGGGGGATCCGTCGCGCGTGCATGCGCACCAGCATCTCGCCGGCCTCGGCCAGCGAGCGCAGCGGCGCCATGCTCAGTAGCGGCGGCGGCTGCACATCGAGCGCCTGCTCGACGGCGCGCAGGTGCTCGAGGCGCATGGTCTGCACGTCGACCCGCGCCGAGTCGTAGTTGGCCGCGGTGAAGTAGTAGTACTGGATGAGATGGATAATGTCGTTCACGGTCAGCATGCCCGCGAAGCCAGGCTTGGTCGCATCGCTGAGCGTCGAGCGCCAGAGCGGCGCCGAGACGACGCCAGACTGGAACATGACCTCGAGCGCCGACTGGACCGACAGTTCCACATCCAGCACGACGAGCCGGAACGACACGGGGAGCACGTCGTAGCTGCTGTGCGTGCGCAAAAAGTGGCGGATCGCTTGCAGGGCATGCAGATGGTGGTCCTTCAGCTGCGCCAGACGCCGGTCCACGCGCCGCACCGCCGCCGAGACACTGGCCGCATCGTTCGGCGTCGCGTCACCTGTGTGTGGCGCCGACGGCCGGCTCGACGATGTCTCCGAGGCGCGTCGCGACGACGTGCCCGACGTGCTCGCCGACATGGCAGACAGAGGCAAGGCGCGGCCGACCGGCCATGTGGAGAAGCGAGCCGGCTATGGGTCTATGCATCCAGCAGGTCCTGCACGACGTTCCACGACGCGCGGGCGTCGGGCGTGTCCTGCGCGAGCCAGCGCTCTTGGAGCTCCTCGCGCGTGAGCCACGCAAAGTCGGTGCCCGACGCAGACGACGGCGTGCCAGAGAGGATGTGCGCCTTGAGAATGTACGTCTGTGTGAGTCGCGCGCACGTACCTTGTTCGACTGGGCAGCGTCCTGCACCACGGCGATGGGGAGCTTGCTCACGAGCCACAGGTCCATGTCTGTGCCGAGCGGCTCAGTGACCGCCTCGGTGGCCGTGTCGTGCAGTGAGTCGGTCGGCGCACGCGCGCCGGGCAGGGCCTTGGTCGGCAAGCGCCACGTGCCGTCGCGCTGGACCGCGAGGTAGAGCGTGCGGTCGAGAGCGCGCTCGAGGCTCTGCACATTGCGCTCTTGATCCGCCTTGGTCTCGCGCGGCATGGTCGCATACAGGTCCGCCTCGGCCTCCTGTGCGCCGCTGGCCGCGCGCGGGGCGTCGGGCGTCTTGGTCGCTGTCTGCAGGTCCCACGTTTTCTGCAGCTGCGCGTAGAACTCATCAAAGCGGGACTCGGCAGCCGATCCCTTTTTGAAGTATTGCTCGCGCGCAAACGGCTGCTGCAGCCGGTTCGAGAGCGCGACATTGAAGCGGTAGTACTCCCGCTCCAGCCCGCTTGGCGCCTGCAGCACGACAGGCGCACGTGTGACGAGGAGCGCTGATTGCAGCGACGCAGCGGCCTTGGTCGACGAGGCCATGCCGGCACTGTGCTGCGGCCGAGCGGCCGCCCACGCGGCGCGCGTCCCACACACGCGAAGCACCATGGAAGGAAGGGGCAGGCCGGCGGCCGCCTCGTTCTTCGATCACGTGGAGCCACGTGCCCTCGCAGGGTGCGGGCTCGGGCGCCGGCGCCCGAGCCAGCTGCAACGATGGCCGCCCAGCAGGAGCGGAGCGACGGGCACGCCGTGGCGCCGTTTTCGACGTCGTTGCTGCTGCCTATTGAGAATGTATGGCTACAGGAGACCACGGAGAAGCTCCGCTCGCGCCCGACGGCGTGGGAGGGCTACCAGCGCGCGGGCCTGGTGACGAGCGACGAGGTGTCCATGCTGCGCCTGGCCGAGCAGGCGGGCCAGTCGGGGGACCTGGCGCGCGTGTGTGCCGATGGTGGCGCCTATGCGGCGCTGTATGTCCAGCTGCTCGGCAAGCTGAGCCGTGTGGAGACCATCCAGACGGTGCTGATCCTCACCGACGACCTCGTGCAGGCGGCGCCGGACCGCCTCGCGTGGTTCCTTGCGGCGGACCCGCTGCCGCCGCTGCGCAAGCTGCTTGACTCGGAGGACTCGTTTGTGTCGCTCCGGGCGGCGCAGTTCCTCACCCTGTGTCTCGTCGCGCTGGTGGGAGAGGGCGAGGCGCCGCCGCTCGACATGGCGCTCGCCGTGATAGACTACATCAAGAAGGCGCTTGCGCCGCTCGCCAAGGGCGACGAGGCGGCCGATATGGCCGAGGGCCACGCGGCGCCCATGGCGCTGTGTATCGCGAGTGAGTTTCTGCGCACGGCGCGGGGCCGCACGTCGATCTGGACGAAGGACATGGAGATGCGCGAGGCCGGGCAGGCGGACGCGGCGCTGATTCCGCAGCTGCTCGCCGTGCTGCGCAAGACGTCGACGGGGATGAGCGCGAGCACGGGCAACACGACGCTGCCGCAGCTGCACTACCAGGCCCTGTTCTGCCTGTGGCTGCTCACGTTCGACGCGGCGGCCGCGCGTGGCCTGGACCTGTACTTTGGCGCGGCGCCCGTGCTTGTGCAGGTCGCGCAGAAGGCACTGAAGCACAAGGTTGTGCGCATGGTGCTGGCGATCTGGCGCAATATGCTCGTGGCTGACGAGGCAGAGAACGCGCCGCGCCTGCTAGGCGCCAAGGTCCTGCCGCTGTGTGCCACACTCGAAGAGCGCCGATACCCCGACAAGGAGATGCTGGACGATTTGAGCTATATGGCCGGTGTGCTGCAGCGCCATCTGGACCAGATGAGCTCGTACGAGCAGTACCGCTCCGAGCTGTATAGTGGGCGCCTGAGCTTCGACAACCCCGCGCACGCCCTCGAGGACTTTTGGCGCGAGAATGCGGAAAGGCTCACCGAGGACCACGACCGCGATCTGAGGCAGCTCGTGCGTCTGCTCCAGTCGAAGGACGCGGATCCCACGACGCTGGCCGCTGCGTGCGCCGACATGGGGCACTTTGTACAGCACATGGACGGCGGCCGCCGTCGCGCCGATGCGCTCGGCGCCAAGATCGCCATCATGCAGCTTGTCGAGCACGCAGACGCGAACGTGCAGTACCATGCCCTGCAGACGCTCGCGCGGCTCGTCTCCACCAGCTGGCGGTAGGACATAGCTCTCGGACCGGCACGTGCAACCTCTCCACCATGGCCGAGGCCGGCACGCACCCGCTGCGGCTGCTGATGCTGGCCGTGGCCGACGACGTGGCGTTGCCGGACGGGGAGGACCACGAGGCGGAGGCGCACAGCAAGAGGCGCGAGTCGACAGGCGGCGCGCTCGCACGCATGCTCGTGAGCTCGCTGGCGTTCCTGTTCCAGCGCCCCATCCGCCTGTTCCGCCCGATGCATTTCTCCTCGTTCTCGCTCCTGGAGATGATGGCGCGGCGCGAGGGCAAGAGGCTCGGTCTTCCGTACCTGCGCCGCCTCGTTCGGCACGAGAATCCGGCGCTCCTCCTCGCGCTCGTCGTGCCTCCGATGAGTACGTCGTCGCACTCACGCAGTGGCGAACCTCGCCATCGGCTTCACCCTCTTTAAGACGTACACGCTTGCCGAGGCGTGGATGCGCGGCACAGACACGTTGTCTGTCGGCAACGAGCCGTTCGTACCGACGCTCGTCGTCGCCGTCGCGGGCGCCGCGGCAGGCGCCGCGCAGTGCATTATCTCGGCGCCCCTCGACAACATCCGCCTCGTTGTGCAGCCGATCCTCATGCACGACGCGGTGCGCACCAGCTCGCCGTCCGCCCTCCTGCGCATGCCGGTGCGCACGTGGACGACCATGGTCGAGGCCGCCTTCCTCCCCTTCCTGCCCGAGCGCTGGTACGAGCGGGCCCTGCAGCGGCTGCAACACCCGCGCGCGGGCCAGCCCCGGTCGCCGCCCGCCGTGTTCCGATACCTGCCGCGGCATGTGCGCCTGCTCGCGCGCCAGAAGCACGGCGTCAGCCTGGCGCTGTCGCTCGTGCGCGACGCCTCGGGCTTTGCGTGCTTCTTCGTTGTATTCGAATGGGCGCGCCGCGCCGCCTTCCACGTCTCGCTGCGCGCCGACCAGCTGCGGCAGTACGTGCGGCGGAATCTGCCGCCGTCGCTCCGCCTCGGCACGCGCGATACACAGCGGGACGCCGACGCCGACGCATCGATGGACCAGAGCTTCGGCGCGAGCCGCAGCGTGCTCGGCCGGTGCTCCGCCGCGCTCGTGCTCGTGCTCGGCGGCGCGGTCGGCGCGTGGATCTACAGCGTGGTCAGTCGCCCCATCGAGCTCGTGCGCATGGTCCTGTGGCACCGGCTCTACATGCCGCCGCGCAAGCCCCGCGCCTACAGCCGGCAGGCCTCGGCCCTGACCAACGTGCGGGCCGTGCGCATGCCGACGGCGTCCGCGCGCATAGGCCTCGCATGCACGACACGCCACCTGCGCTGTGACCGCCGCCGCGTGCCGCCGCCGCCGCGCGCGCATATCGAGTGGCGCCTGCGCGCCACGGACGCCCCAGCGGGCAGCGCGCGGCCGCGGCTGCCCTCGCCCGCGACACTGGCGCGGCTCCTGCGCTATGCACGCATGACGGCGCCGCCGCACGTCGGTGCGTCGCCGCTGCGCCTGCTCGCGCACACGTACCTCGTGCGCCCCTTTGTGTTCCCCGACCTGTGCAAGCCGTCGGCGCCGCGCCCCTGGGGCGCCGGGCCGGCAGCGCGGTCGACACACCATATACCCGCCTCGGCCCAGCGTCCCCGGCTCCGCCTGTCGTGGCTGTGGAGCCGCCTGCTCACGCCGTATGGCTGTGGCTTTCTCGTGTTTGCGTGGATGAGCGGCGACCTTTAGAACGGGCGCCCTGCCCTGCCGTAGACATACTTGAGCACGGGGAAGCGCAGGCTCGGCGCATGCCCCTCGAGGTTGGCCGCCTCGGTCGCATACGCGATCGTCACGGTGCGGCCCCGCAGGTCGTCGGGATGCGCGGCCCAGTACACGCGCTCGCTGGGCCGCAGGCCCGAGCCCACAGCGACGCGTCGGCCGCGGTAGCGCACGACGACGCTCGCGACGGCCCGCCGGTCCGCGTACACGCCCTCCATCGGCAGGCGCATCGTCGAGATCTCGACGTCCTCGACGACAAACTCGGCTTCCTGCCGCGCACACACCTTGAGCATGGCGTGCGAGCGGCGGCCCTCGTACGGCTGGTCGTCGCGCACCACGAGGCCCTCCCACGCCGCCGCCTCGCGCCGCAGGTCGTCCAGGGCCGCCGGCGAGTCGACGCGCGTCTGCGGCAGCGCACGCACCCGCGTCGCAGGGCGGTGCGTGTGGAGCCACGCGGTGAGCTCCGACAGGGCACGCAGGCGCTCGGAGAGCGTGCGTGTCGGGGCCTGGCGCCATGTGAGGAACTCGCGCAGGGTCAGCATGTCGAACGGGTGGTACACGAGCGCGGATCCGCCGGGCGCCTGCCGCATCACGAGCGAGGCCGCACGCACAAAGCTCTCCTGTCCGTCGGCGGACCACACGCAGAGCTCGCCGTCGAGGAGCCATGGGCCGTCCCGCGGGACAAGAGGACACGCGTCGAGCTCCGCGCGCAGCTGTGCTGCGAATGGATCGAGCATGCGGAACGTGCGCCCATGGCGCGAGAGCGCATACACGTGCGAGAGGCGGCCGTGCGCGTCGGTGTCCGCCACAAAGAGGCACCGCACGCCATCGAGCTTGCGGCTCGCGTACCACGCCGTGCGCGTCGGTGGGAGGGGCAGCTGGGCATGCGGGCGCGCCAGCGCCACGGGCATCGGCAGGGGCGCGACATGCCCCTGCGCGCGCAGCCGCGCGAGCCATGCGTCGGTCGACGGAGCCGCATGCAGGCTGGGCGGTGCGCCCGGCACGCCGAGCGCGCGCTGCACAGAGAGCGCCGAGAGGCCGATGCCGAGGTGGCGGTCGAGGCATCGGTAGAACACGTCAAGCACAGTAAGCGGCTCGCGCTCTTCGCGCGCGTGCTGTGCATCGACGCCGTGGTGCTCGAGGAACGTGTGCACGAGCTGCTTGGCCGCGTGGCCCCGCAGCGTACGCGCGCCGAGCTGCTGCAGGAGCGCAGCAACCGACGGCGGCACGGGCACAGGCGCTGACGCCGGACGATCCGCGCGGAAGCGCGCCAGGGTCGTGGACGTCATGTGGAACAGGTGGCCGTCGGCGTACACGGCGCGCAGGAGCGGCTCGAGATCAGGGTACGCGCGCACGACGGCCTCCTTCCCGCGAAGCGACGGCGTCATGGCAGCCTCGCGCATCATCTCACGCAAGCGCTGCAGCTCGTGCACGACAGAGGGACGCGCACCGGCACGGCGCGACGCCCAGCGGCGCCCCGTGCGGGCCGCGGCGCTCCATCGGCGCATCGTGTCGCATGAGTGGAGCGGCGGTCGCACTCCACCGGCGCCATGGCCGACCTGAGGCAGCGCGTGTACGTGCTGCACTTTGCGCAGTCACACACAGACTTCCGCCTCGCGGAGCTCGCAGCGAGTGCCGAGTACATGGGTGTGCCGTACGAGCTGCTGCCGACGCCGTCGCGCGAGGACCCGGCCGGGCGAGTCGGCGATGTGTCGCGCCCCTTCCTGCTGTGCCGCCTGCCGAGCGACGAGGCGGCGCGGCAGCTGCTGCGGCGGTGCTCGGCGCTGCGTGGCGTATGGGAGCTGTGGGCGTGCGCGGACACGTATGAGGAGCTGCATGCGCGCAACAAGGCGGCGCGGCGGTTCGAGCCGTGGCTCGCGCCGACCTACTCGTGGAAGGCCCTCATGCAAGGCTTTAATGTGGCGCTCTCTGAGACGCGGCGCCTCGCGCTGATCAACTCGTTCTCGTACATGGCGTTCCAAGGGCCGATCCGCATGCGCCAGTCGGACGTGACGTGGGGCGTGCTTGAGGAGTACCGCCGCGCCACGGACCTCTCGCAGGTCGAGGCGCGCGGGCACGCCGAGATGGGCGACCGCGACCCGCGGCTCGTGCAGCTGTTCCTCGGGCGCAAGATCAAGGACCGCTCGGGGGCGCCGCCCGCGCGCGACCTGATCGATGCGCTCAGCCTCAAGAAGCGCAGCTACATCGGCAACACGAGCATGGAGAGCGAGATGAGCGTCGTCATGGCGAACATGGCCCTCGCAGGCCCGGGGAAGTGGATCTACGACCCGTTCGCAGGCACCGGCTCGATGCTGTATGCGTGCTCCATGCTCGGCGCGTACACGTTTGGCAGCGACATTGACGGGCGCATGCTGCGCGGCAAGGACACGTCGGGCGTGCCGGGCGTGCGCCGCGCGGCGGCGCAGTACGGCCTGGAGGGCCGGCTTATCGATACGGCCGTGTTTGACATGACACAGTCGCCATGGCGCGCGCCGTTCCGGCAGGGCGCGGGCCTCTTTGATGCGATTGTGACGGACCGTACGTGCTAGTGCTGACCGCAGCGCCCTACGGAGTGCGAGCCGGCGCCAAGCGCCTGGGCCGCCGCAATGTCGTGGACCAGCGCGACGAGCCGTACATCATGGCAGACGGCACACCGGCCCACACGTACGTGCACGGACTAACCCAGGCGCCCCGACTACCTCCCACCGACCAAGCCGTACCACCTGTCGGAGCTGATCGACGACCTGCTGGCGTATGCGAATGCGCTTCTGCGTCCCGGCGGCCGCCTCGTGTTCTGGCTGCCCACTATGAACGAGGACGACGCCGAGACGGCCCTCCCGAGCCACGAGCACATGGACCTCATCGCCCACAGCCTCCAGGACTTTGGGCGCTGGGGCCGCCGCGTACGTCCCGTGACTCACACAGCTCATCACCCTGCAAAAGCGCCCCAGCGCCCCGAGCGCCCCGATGCCGAGCGCACCTGCGCGCCCGGCGGCGCCCGGCCGCATCCTGGCGAGCGACAAGCCCGACGAGTTCCGCAACCGCGTACGTCCGCCCCACTGATGCAGCTCTTTGCGCCGACCCACGCCGCCCCCCATAGCACGTGATAGACGCGACGCGGGCGCCGGCCGAGCCTCTTCTCCCACGATGGCGACCGCGCCGACGCAGGACGCGGAGGCGGCGAGCTTTTTCGAGCGTGAGCGCGATAGACTGATCGCGGAAATTACGAGCGTACGCTGCCGCACTCACCGCAGGACCTCGAAACGATCATTGCATCCAGCAACGCGGTCAACCGCAAGATGGAGGAGCAGATCTCTGTCGGCAAGGGGTTCGACTCGATCTCGGAGCTGTGGGGCCAGCTGTCCGAGCTCATGGCGCAGGCGGGCCTGCCGCCCACGGAGGGCGCGCCCGAAGAGACGCCGGCCGAGGCACCCTGGTAGCTACGGTCTACAGCTGGTGCATCGAGCTTACCGACGAGAGCAGGACGGCCTTGCGCCGCCGCTGCTTGCCAGAGCCGCTGGGGGGCGCCGGCTCAGGCTCACGCGCGGGCGGCAGGGCGCCGGTGACCTCGCGCAGCGACGGGAACGCATCGTCGTCCGGTGTGCTTGGCGCGCCCCACCTCGGGGGCGGCGGCGCCGGCACGAGCGGGTGGGAACGCGCGCGCGTACCGAGCAGCTCGCGCTTCTGTGCCTGGCGCTCGGCGTGCCCCTGATTCGTCGGCAGGCTGGGAAACTGGTTCGCGTGAAGCACTGCGCGCGAACTGCCCGCGCCGCGCGACGCCGCGACCGAGTGTGGCACGCTGGGCCGAGGCTCGCCCAGCGCCGGGAACGCCGCGAGGGACGAGGCGGGAGGCGCCGCGGCGCCCCACGAGCTCGAGCCCTGCACGCGCTGCAGCGAGGACGCTGCGTGGGGTGCCGAGCCAGGCACGCGCGCGGCATGCGCGGCGGCGAGGCTCGGGAAGTGCGCGGCGTTGCGCGGCGCCACACTCGCGGTGCGCTGCGCCGGGGCCGCGGCTTGCGGCGCGGGCAGGCTTGGGAACGACGTGCGCGCCTGGGCCGCGGCCCAAGTGCGCTGCAGCGCCTCGCGCTTCTCGCCCGCGCCGAGAATGTCGCCGAGGCGCTGGACGACGGCCGCGGCCTGGTCGCCCTCGTCCACGAGGGTCTGCACGGTGCGCAGCAGGTCGTGGACGGTCGTCTCGCCCGTGCGGTAGGCCTGCAGGGCGGCCTGGCACGCGGTCAGCTTGATGGGCGAGTGCAGGACGGCCAGCACAGCGTCCCACGCCTCGTCAGGCGCGGCGTGGGTCAGCGCGCGGCCGAACTGCGCGCGGCGCGCGTTCGTGCCCGAGGCCTCCGTGTCGCGTGCTCCGCGCGCCCGGCGGCTGGACGCGTCGTCGTACATGAAGCGGGGATCGACGCGGAGCGCCTCTTTGCGCTCACGCGACGAGAGGGCACGCCCGTGCTCCTCGAGCTGGTGCACCTGGAACTCCATCTGGTTCTCAAACACGACAAACTTGCGCTCGAGGCACTCTTTGGCGGGGCACAGGTAGTGCGCGTCGTGGAAGTGCTGCTCGAGCATGCGGTAGTCCTTGTAGTAGCGCCAGCGCTCGTCCTCGCTGCGGTTCTTGCAGATGTGGCACTGCTCGTGCCGATCGCGCATGTGCACCCACAGCTCGTCGTCGCTGTAATAGTGCTGCCGGCAGTACTCGCAGTGCCGGTGCTCGGCGGCCAGGTGTGCCTGCAGCGACGATGCCGTGAACAGCGTGTGCTCGTGCGCAAAGATCTTCTTGTGCTGCACGCACAGATCGCACAGCAGGCGCGCGTGCTCGCGCTTGGCGTGGGCCTTGAGGTCCGCCCACCCACTGCACAGCGTGTCGCACTGGGGGTGCGGGCAGCGGAAGTGCAGCAGCGAGATGGTATCGTTGTAGTCCTGCTCCGTCTCGAAGTAGATGGCCAGCTTCTCGTCGACAAAAGGCAGCTCGTCGGCCGTGAATTCGCCAAAGCCCTTGGTCGGGTGCGCCGTAAAAATCACGCGCGTCGCCTCCGCCTTGCAGAAGGTGCACTCGCGCCGCTTCCACAGCGCACGCAGGCGCATCGAGCAGATATGGCACACGCGGTGGTTGCACGGCGGCACACTGTACATGCGCACCGGCTCCGCACAGATAAAGCAGATGTCCGGCTCCGCGGGCGCCGGACCGTCCGCGGTAGCCTGCGCCTCCGAGGTGGGCGCCGGCGTCGACACCGCTGGCGCAGGCGCCGACACGGGTGGCGCACCACGCGCACGTCCGCGGTCCCGTCCGCGCCCGCGCCCACGCCCACGCGCAGAGCCGCGCGCAGCAGCGCCACGAGGTCCAGGCGCCATCGTCGTGAGGTAGCAATCTATGGCGTCACGTGTCACACGAGCCACGCGAGGCGGGCAGGCGCGCCGGCCACGATGCGTGGGAGAGCGTGTGTGAGCGCCGGTAGGGAGGCCGAGCGCAGGCGCGCGCACAGCGCGCGGATGTCGTCCTGTAGTTTCGTGCCCAGCGCCACAAGCGTGTGTGGCTGCTCGATCGCGAGTGCCTCGAGACGTAGCGCGCACTTGCTGAGCGCGAGAACGGCGCGCACGGCCCAAGCATCGAGGCCGGGCGCGGCGCCAGGGAGCGGCGCGGGCGACGGCGCAGCCGCGAGAGCAAGGTCCACGAACGTGTGCATCGCGTGCACAGCGGACAGCACGCTCGCTAGCAAGACGTGCGCGGCCTTCGTCCACGCCTCGGCGTCGGGTGTGGCCGCCTCGGGCGCCTCGGCGCCATCGGCGCGCGCCACCGCGTCGTCCACCAGGTCTGTCAGCGGACGCGCGGCGCCGCGCGTCGGGAACGGCGCCGCGCATGCGCCAAGTGCATGGTCGACCCATGCGACGCACCAGTCCATCCACGCGTTCCAAAAGCGGAGCGCCGCCTCGCCCAGTCGGTCCAGCACGGCCGGCGCGATGGCGAGCGCTGTGCCCGCAAGCTCCTGCTGCAGGCGCGCGCTGCTCAGCGCCGAGAGGTGCGCGGGGGCGTGCGGCGGGAGCCCCATGGTCGACGCGGACGCTGGCGCGCAGTACGAGAGCGCGGTGAGTACACTCTGCGAGAAGAGCGTGCACAGCATAGCGTAGCGCTCCGCGCTGGGGCGCGCAGCCACGAGCGCGAGGCGCGCGTGCACCACGGAGGCCAGCACCATGCGACCCCCTGCCGCGTCTGCCATGGCTGGCAGCGTGTGCGCAAGTGTATCGTCGAGCATGGCGCCTACGCCGGTGCGCTGCAGCAGGGGCGCGGGCACACACTGCACGAGGCGCCGCGCCACACACGCGCCGCGCACCTTGGCGAGCGTCGACGGTGTATCGAGCCACGACATGACGGGGGGGATAAGCTGCGGCCACAGCGTCTCCCACGCCGCGCCATGCCGTGCGCGGATATGCGACACGAGCCACGCCAGCACATTGTGGCACCCCAGCGGGACGTGGCCGTCGGCGCGCGGCTCCGTCGAGGCCCATGCCGGCTCGCCCGCATCCCACGCAGGATGCGCGCCGTGATTCTCGGGCGCGGCGCGCCCTGTCTCGGCGCGCACGCGCGGCGTCGGCTGGAAGAGGGGGCGCACGTAGGCAGAGAGAATGTACGACACCTGCTCGAGCGAGAGGGTCAGGGTATCCAGGAGCTCCTCTGCGCGCGACGGCAGGGGCGCCACGCACCATGGATCGCGCGCATAGGGCTCCTCGATCCAGGCGGCGAGCGCATGCGGCGCAAACGCAGGATCCCACGCCGGCACAAACTTGGCGGCGGCAATCGCGACGTCAGCGCTCGACCCGCAGTCCCCGTCGCCACGGAGCATGGCCTCGAGAAGACAGCTCGCCTCGTCGACCCAGACGGGCGTGCCAGCACTGGGCGCCGCGGCCAGCTGCTCCAGACGCAGCGCCAGCGGCCCAGGCGCCATGGGAGCAGAGGGACCTCCACACACCACCGCGGCGCGACTTGGCTGGCGGCGCTCGCGATGGAGACAGAGGCGCCGCACGCGCCGCCGATCGCCGTCAAGGTGATGCGTGTGTCGGCACCGACACTTGCCACGCGCTCGATTCCCATGTTCGAGGCGGCTGCCGAGGGCGCCGCTGCGCCCGATGCGCCGCCCTCGGCGATGGCGTGGGACCCGAGCGTGTGGGAGGCGATCGAGGCGACGTATGCGCGTGGGAGCGATGCGCCGGCGCCTGGCGACACGCTGCCTCTGCGGGAGGCGAGCTGGACGGACCAGCTCCTGCTGCCTGCGTCGTTCGGCACGGTCGGTACGTGCAGCCTGCTCACGCAGCGGTCGGGCAGACATTCCAGGCCGTCGTCTGTGTGGCCAACACGGGCGTAGCGCCGCTCACGGGCGTGCGCATCGTGCTCGAGATGCACTCGGAGGCTACGGACAAGTTTGTTGCGACCTCCTGCGAGCTCGCGAGCGTCACGCTGCCGGAGCCGCTCGCGCCCCAGGCGCAGCACTGCCTCGTGGCCACACACACGCTCGAGGCCATGGCGCCGCATGCGCTTGTGTGCCGCATCCGGAGCGACCGCGGCACAAACGAGCACTGGCTGTCCAAGTAGGTCGCGACGCTAACGCCAGGCAGTACCGCTTTCCTGTCGCGCCGCCGCCCTTCTCGATCAGCTCGGCGGCGCAGCTGAGCGAGGCCGTCGCGCACACGCGCCACCCGGACGCGTGTGTGCGCGACCGAACCGTTGTCCGCATGCAGGTGCGCAACGTGTCGGAGCGCCCCCTGTACCTCGACGCGCTCGCGCTCGAGACGGACGCGACGTGGGACGTGCACGCCGAGCCCCTCGACCCGACGCCGCTCCTGCCGCAGGACATCCGGCAGTACCTGTGCACGCTGACGCCCAAGCGCGAGGTGACGTGGCCGCTCCTGCTCACGCAGCGCGACGCACTCGCGACGCTGCCCGCCGCCAGTACGACGCTGCCGCTAGCGCTGCGTCTCGGGCATGTGCAGGTGGCGTGGCGCGTGCCAGGCGGCGAGCCGGGGCGCCTGCGGGTCGGGCCGCTCACGCGCGTCGCGCACATCCCGCGGCCCCGCACGCCGTGGTATGCGGAGCTGCACGTCGACCCGGTCCGCGCGCGCGTCGACGAGGCGTGCGTCGTTCAGGCGCGGGTGCGCCTGTGGGCGTGGGATGCGGTGCACGAGGCGCCAGCCCACGTCCTGTGGGAGTTGAGCGACGCGAGCGAGGCGTGCGTCGTCGGCGCGCGGCAGCACACGACAGCGCTGCCGCACGGCGAGCAGGTGGCTGTGCAAGCGACGTGGACGGTCGTGCCACTGCAGGACGGTGTCGTGCGCCTCGGCACGCTATCTCTCTACATGGTGGCAAGGAGCGGTGCGCGCGAGCTCGTGCGGGCATGGCCGTGCATGGCCGAGGTGCCCGTGGCGGCGCCTACTGAGCCTTGCGGGGATGCTGAGCGCGGAACTGGACCAGCAGGCGGCCCGTCTCGTTCTTGAGCCACGCCTGCAGCTCGGGGCGGTAGCCGAAGAGAAAGAGCGTCTCGACAAACACAAAGAGCGGCGCCAGGACCAGGGCGCCCAGCAGGTTGTCCAGCAGCGCTGGCGCACGGCCCTCGTGCACGCCGTGGCCGTAGAACTGCAGGAGCCAGCTGGTCACAAAGAGGATGCCTGCGTACGTCGCGGCATGCTCGACGCGCTCCATGGCGAGCCACGCGACCGCATAGTACGCGACCCACAGGGGCGTAAGGAGGACCGCGGAGGCCACGTCGAGCACGAAGTAGTACGCGAGGTACAGCGCCGCGACAAGCGAGGCGAAATTGAGGTGCGGCCACACGGCTGGTGGGACGTGGATGGCGAGCTGCTGGCACACGTCCCACACGCGCGCGCCGATCGGTGGCGGCAGGCGCGCGGCGACGGACTCGAGCGACACGCCCGCCGCCAGGACGAGCGCGAGCGACGACATATAGATCAGCGGCACGCACACCATGTGGATGCCGACATTCACGCGGTTCGTATGGTAGGCACCATAGAACGCGAGCTGGTCTCGGAAACTGAGCGGACTCGCCGACAGTGGCATGATGGCAGGAGAGCAAGGGGGTGGTCACTATGGAGGTCAGAGGGTGTCCGGCCCGCCGGGCGGCGGGGCCCCCGCTCGGCGGCCCTGCGCCTGGGCGAGCGCAGCGAGGCGGTTGTGCTCGACAATGTCCGTCTGTTCCCAGGGGAAGTCGATCCACACCGGCGGCGTCGTTTCAGCCGCGTAGTAGTAGACGCCCGTGCTGACGCCATCGACGATGCGGTCGTCCGCAGGGCTCGCGAGAACAGGCAGCTCCGCACGCTTCGGGCCCCGCTTGTTGTGCACGACAAACACGCCGAAGCGGGTGGGCGGCAGCTCCGCACGCTCTTCGGGTGTGTACGATTCGAGCGCCTTCTTTACGTCTTTCAGGAGCTCGTGGTACGCATAGTGCAGCGTCGTGCGCGAGTCGTCGACCTCGTCGACAATCAGCACATTCTTGCCCAGCAGGCCGCCCGCGTCGCTGCGGCCCTGGGAGTCGGTGACGCGGCGTGCGGTGTCGAGCCACTGCGTGCGGATCACCTCGGTGCCGATCTGCTCTTCGGACACGCCGTCCACCTCCTCGTAGAGGCTCAGGCCAATCGCCTGGATCGGCACATTGCGCATCTTGCCAGGGTGCTTCTCATCGCGCTTCTTGAGGAACGTGCGCAGGACTCGCGCCGGGAAGAAACCGCCGCCGCCAATGGCGACGAGCAGGTCCGGCTGGAACTCCTCGCGCATGACCTCGGCCATATGGCGAATCATGACATGGATGTCCTCGTACGTGGGGCGCCAGTGGTCGTCGGGCAGCCCGCCGGGGGAGGACGCAGCAGCACCTGTGGGATCCGACATGGCGGGCACGTTCAAAAAAAAACGGACGATTTGGGAGATAAGGCGTCGCCCGTCCCGCCCACCGGCCGGTCCCCACGGCCAGCACCTTGCCGTGGCTGGCGCCGCGCAGATAGATTGTCTAGCTCTCTACCAGCTCCATGAGCTCTCTGCCTGCCTAGCGACTCTATGGACGGGGTGGTGCTCCTTGCTGCCGCCCTGGGCGGCCGCGTGGGCGCGGCCGCCAATTATTGGAGCATGGGAATTACGGGTCCCGAGCCGGCGGCGTCCGTGGCCGCCACTTCTGTTCCTTGGTCGCTATTGCGCAATGAGCCGGCTGATTTCTTCTCGCGTTTGTCTGGGCGCAGCAGCGCTTCGAAGCCACGTATGTCGCCTGCCTGCTCACCTCCAGACCCTTCGCGTGGCGCGTCCGGCAGTTGTGCCCTCGGCGGGCCTCCGCCACGTCCACCTCGTCGCGGACCACGCCCAGCTGAAGGACCAGGTGCCCCAGTCGGGCAGCGAGCCCTTCAAGGTTGAACTCTCGGAGGAGTCGTTCAAGTACTACCGCATTGACCCTATCGCGACAGAGCTGACGGTGACCAAGGACGAGCTGGTCCACCTCTACAGCGAGATGGTCAAGATGCGCCGCATGGAAGTCACCGCCGACCAGGCATACAAGAACAAGCTTGTGCGCGGCTTCTGCCACCTGTCGATCGGCCAGGAGGCTGTGGCCGTTGGTATGGAGACGGCCATCCGCCCCGACGATAGCCTCATCACTGCCTACCGCTGCCACACCTTCCTCGTGCAGCGCGGTGGCACCATCAAGGGCATGCTGGCGGAGCTGTTTGGCCGCGAGGACGGCTCGTCGCGCGGCAAGGGTGGCTCGATGCACGTCTACGCGCCCAACTTCTTCGGTGGTAACGGTATTGTTGGTGCGCAGGTGCCCCTCGGCGCGGGTCTCGCCTTCGCGCAGAAGTACAACAAGACCGGCCACGCCACCTTTACCCTGTACGGCGATGGTGCCTCGAACCAGGGCCAGGCTTTCGAGGCATTCAACATGGCGAAGCTGTGGAACCTGCCTTGCGTGTTCATCTGTGAGAACAACAAGTACGGCATGGGTACGAGCGCCGAGCGCAGCTCGATGAACACCCAGTTCTACACTCGTGGCGATGTGATCCCCGGTATCCAGGTGAATGCCATGGACGTGCTTGCCGTCAAGCGCGGCACCGAGTTTGCGCGCGAGTACACCACGTCCGGCAATGGACCGCTGCTCATGGAGCTCGTGACCTACCGGTACGGCGGCCACTCGCTCTCGGACCCCGGCACGACGTACCGCACGCGTGAGGAGATCCAGAAGATGCGCAGCTCGTCGGACCCGATCCAGGGCCTCAAGACCCAGATCCTCGACTGGGGCGTGATCGAGGAGGACGAGCTCAAGAAGGTCGACAAGGCCGCCAAGGAGGAGGTCGACAAGGCGTTCGAGGAGGCCAAGGCGAGCAAGGAGCCCTCCGTCGAAGAGCTCTGCACGAATATCTAGTACGTTCCCCACACTAACTCGACAGCGTTGATGGCACTGGACCTACGTGGGTGCGCGGCCGCGAGCGCGAGGAGATCCACCACTGCTAGATGTCGCCCCGTCTCGTAGATAGCGCGCTAGACTGCACGTGATCCATCGTCGCAGGCGACGCGGCGCCGCGCTCCGTCGCTGCGCTGCTCCAGTGTCAGGCATCTGCACGCGCAAGGGACGCCAGCGAGACGCAAGGGAACGATGGCTTCTCTGAACTTTTGCGCAGAGTGGTACGTGTCCGCACCCCGCCTATGGGAGGGCTAACGCTCCCAGCAATAATCTCCTCTACCCCGAGGTTCGTCTCGCTCACTTCTCACACGTCCTAGGCAGACAACACGAACCATGTCCTGATGTATGCGTGCCGTAACTGCCCCTTCCGCACAGAGGCTGAGAACCCTCTTGTGTTCCGCAACGACCTGAAGCTCATCTCAAAGGTAGGTCGTGCGCGCCTCGTCCAGAGCTGACGCACGCTAGGAGCAACCTGGTATCATCGACGAACTGATGACGGATCCAACGCTGCGCAGGACGCAGGACCTGACGTGCCCCAACTGTGGCCATACCGAGTACGTGCTCGCCCTGAATTATGCTCACGACACAGGTCTGTCATGTTCCAGGATCAGAGCAAGCGCACCTTTAACAGTACGTGCCAACGCACTCACCCCAGAAATGATCTTCTTCTACGTGTGCTGCTACTGCAACCACCTGTTCCGTGACGAGCCCCTGGCAAAGCCCCATGAAGAGACCGACTAGCCTGCGGCGGATTGCTCTTTGGCTACCAGCTCAGGCATGCCCTGACGGCCTATCTCTTGCATTTCTACCGCGTGTGTGGTGCTTGTCTCTGCAAGCAACCCCTGCATTCTCCGCGAAGTGCCTCATACCCCAGTGCGTTTGTACTTTTTGCCATAGCGCCTTCCTCCGTGAAACAAATCCCGGAAAGCGTGTCGTCTCGCCACCACTATGTGTGACTTGTTCGGTGGCGCCGACGGACTCTGCTCCAGCAGCAGAGCCCCAGCGCTATAGCAGCCCAGCAGCCCAGCAGCCCAGCAGCCCAGCAGCCAGCCAAATTGCCCCTTGGCGTACCAGCCGGAAAGATCCGGCCTAGCGCAAGCTCCACCTACTAGGTCCATCGGCGCACTCCGCCAATCACGTTCCGCCCAAAAGAAATCCACATGGAGCCCGCGCTCGAGAGCCTGCCCCCCGTTCGCTCACCTCCCTTAGGGTCATGTCGATGTGTGCTGCTGTGGGACTGAACACCCGTCTTCCTAACGCGGGCCTGACTCGCATGCTCGTGTCAGGTGCTCGTGGATTCCATGCTGGTACGTACGAGAGACCAGGATCGCCTAATCATCTAGCTCGTCCGCTTGCTGTCGCCCCGACCCAGACCCGCACGTTCGGTGGTCCTTTGATCCATCCGGGTGGCTGTATGTATTCCCTTTGCGCCGGTAGCAGCGCTAACAAACAGCGTACATCAAGGGCACCGTGAACGAGCCTACGGAATACCCCAAGCCGAATGCCGTGCATGGCTCGTATCACTGGGCTTTTGAGCGTCTCATCTCTGTGGCCCTTGTGCCCATGATTGCCGTGGCAACTGTAAAGCATGGTGCTTGCGGCACGCTCGACGGCGTCTTGAGTGCGACTCTTCTGTTGCACTCGCACATCGGCTTCGACTCTGTGCTGGTGGACTACCTGGACAAGCGCAAGTTCCCTGTGGCCGGCCCCGTGTCCAAGTGGATCCTGCGCGCAGCGACGGTGGCCACCGCTGTGGGTCTCTATGGTACGTGGCAGTCCTCTCGTCCGCTAACCCTACAGAATTCAACACGAGTGCGTATATGACTCGCGCCTCGGACTCCCTACGGTGCCCGGGCGCCAAGGCTTCGAACAGACAACTAACCGTATGGCAGACGACATTGGCCTCACTGAGCTTGTGGCCAAGCTTTGGATGGCTTAAGACGTGGTCATGTCTCGTTTTTCCTGTGTACCACGATGTAGTGCTACGTGTAGACCTGCGATCCTTTCATGACCGCACCGTCCGCCGGTACCGGCACCGAGGTGAATCGGCTGTGACTAAGCATGCTTAGGTCATACTCTCGCAGATTTTCTAGGTAGCTCAAGGCCGATGCCAGCAAATCACAAGTGGTTTGCGCTGGCTAGTTCCGACGCCGCGAGCTGCCAAACGCTATTGTGCTTTTCGGTAGGCGCCTGTATCCACCATGGCTACGCTGCCCAAGCCGGACGAGTCGCCGCGAGGGCGAGTAAGTGTAGTTCTCGGGTCCCAATGGGGCGATGAGGGCAAAGGTGTGTGACAGCGGCACTGACATATCAGGGAAGTTGACCGACATGCTGGCCGGCGAGATGGACATCTGCGCTCGATGTGCAGGCGGCAACAATGCAGGCCACACCATTGTGGCGCGCGTGGGTGCCGAGCAAGTTGAGACCAAGTTCGACTTCCACCTGCTCCCCTCCGGCCTGGTGAACCCCAAGTGCATTGGCTTCATCGGCACCGGTGTTGTTGTGCACATTCCGTCGTTCTTCAGCGAGCTCGACACAATCGAGAGAAAGGGCCTCAAGTGCGAGAACCGTCTGTTTGTGTCGGACCGTGCGCACCTGGTGTTTGACTTCCACCAGATTGTTGACGGCCTGAAGGAAGTCGAGCTGGGTGGCAGCAGTATCGGCACCACCAAGAAGGGTATTGGCCCAGCTTACTCTAGCAAGGCGTCGCGCTCTGGTCTGCGTGTGCACCACCTTTACGACTTTGACACATTCGCGGCCAAGTTCCGCACCCTCGTAGAGGGCCGCTTCAAGCGCTACGGCAACTTTGAGTACGACACCGAGGGCGAGATCGCGCGCTACCGCGCCTTTGCCGAGCGCCTGCGCCCATTCGTCGTCGACGGTGTGACATTTATCCACTCGATGATCCAGTCGAACCGTCGTATCCTTGTCGAGGGCGCAAACGCCCTCATGCTCGACCTGGACTACGGTACCTATCCGTTCGTCACCTCGTCGTCAACCGGCATCGGTGGTGTCTGCACGGGCCTGGGCATCCCGCCGCAGGCGATTGGTCCTGTGATTGGTGTTGTAAAGGCGTACACGTCGCGTGTGGGTGCGGGTCCTTTCCCGACGGAGCTCAACGACGAAATCATGACTCACCTCCAGGAGGTGGGTGCCGAGTACGGTACAACGACGGGCCGCCGGCGCCGCTGCGGCTGGCTGGACCTGGTCATGATGCGCTACTCGTGCCTGATCAATGGCTACACGAGCTTGAACCTCACGAAGCTTGATGTGCTTGACAACCTGCCGACTATCAAGGTCGCCACCAACTACATGGTCAACGGCAAGGAGCTGTCCAGCTTCCCAGCTGACCTGAACATTCTAGCCAAAGTCGAGGTGCAGTACAAGACGCTCCCTGGCTGGCAGGGACCCATCGCGGGCTGCACCGAGTACGAGCAGTTGCCCGAGACGTGCCGCGCGTACATCGAGTTCATCGAGTCGTTCCTGGGCGTGCACATTGAGTGGATCGGTGTGGGCCCCGGCCGCACCGCCATGATCCACCGCCCCAATCCATCAGCGTAGTGCTGACATGGGCATCTATAGTACTACTACGGTGTTCGAGTAGGCAGCCGCGGAGGCGGCATATTCGTGGGGGTATGTTGCGAGTTGGGTACAAGCGAGAATTGGCCCTCGCGGAACCACTTCGAGTTGGCCTCGTCCACCTTTTTCTGCCGCGATGGGTCGATGAGCTCAATGCCCTGCACAGGTGTGAATGACAGCGAAGATGCTGTGCCGGCCGTCGTCGAGCTGCCAGGCGCCGTGCTCTGCAAGGCAAGTGTCGGCCGATTCAGCCGCGCGAGTCGCTCTTTGTTCGCTTTCGAAATACGGCTCTTTGTTGCACTCGCGCTGACGGCCCGCACCTTGCCGCTCGCCTTGGAGCCGGCCATCCCAAGGCCCATAGTCTCGTCAAAGGCACCCGCCTCCTCTTCTTCCTTACCAAACTCGACGCGGTTCTGCATCTTGTGCAGTTCCGTTAGTCCGTGCATCTCGCGGAACTTGCGTGCTCGCCGTCCACCACGGCGCTGCTTGCGACCACCCTCATTTGGTACAGGAAGGGCCTTGACCAGTTTTTGCGGCGGCGGCTCCAGCAGCTTCTCAATCTTACGCGAGATCTCCTCATACAGGCGGGCACCATACTCGCCGTGCTGCGAGCCGCTCGCGCGGCCCATGTCCATGCGTGCCGCAAGTGAGGCCTTGGCACTGACCATGCGGAGCGCCTGCATCTTGTAGTCGTCAGGCGTCTGCGCCACGAGGTCGCATTGCGCAAGAAAGCCTGAAAAACGCGTCGAGTCGCCGTGCGCTGTCGATAAGCCCATTGACATTTTCTGCGAGGCGCCCAGTAGATGCACATTGCACGACGGGATCTTGGTAAAGGCGGCTAGGCCTCCAGCCACACCGAGGAGCCTCGTTGCGATACGGGTGCCGATGAGCGCGGAGAGGTTGGGCGCCAGAAGCGACATACGCGATTCGACGTACGAGAGAATCCGATGGCGGGCCTCCTCCAACTGCTGGACCCTGTCACAGGCCTCCTCAACGCGGCGCCATTCATTGGCTGGCAGTGGCCGGCCGGTGGTCGTCGACGCCGTCATGCTAATGACCACAATCGTACCTGCTGGGACAAGGCCTTCGAGACCTATGCAGTGCAGCTCGGCATCGTTCCCTAGGGCACGTACCGCGCGAATAAACTCCCACGGGTTGAGTACGAGCGTTTCAAGCTCCGGAAAGCGGGGAGCGTACAGCTCACGAATATGTCTATGCTGCACGAGGATCTCTTCGTCGACCTCCACAGCCATGTTGTTGGCGCGCACGATCAGCTCGTATTCGTCGCTGCCTTCGAGCACGGAGGCTACGGGAGGCAAAGACTGCTTTCCTTTCTCGTCGATAGATGCGATCAGGGCCTGAAGAGATGCGCTGTAGGGCGCGGACGAGGCCTCAGCGCCCGCCTCGGGATGCACGTTGTCGCTCGAGGCATTGGGGGCGTTGGCCTCTTCGTCGCGCATGAGCTCATCTGCCATAGAAGACATTGGTGGCTCTGCCTCTCCGGGTCCCTCTGCACTAGGCACAGGGGCGGCCTCGTCAATGTCAGCGAGAAGCTCATCGGCGAGGCTCGACATGGTGGCGACGTGCGACGAGTGGAGGGAAGGACGTGCGCATCGCCGCAGCGAGGCAAAGGCCAGCGCTTTTGCTGTTGGTCGCCTGGCCATATATTCACGTGATACTAATCCTGGAGATAATTTTTTATCGCATCAGCGACCGAGTCATTCGTGTAAAACGTACGCACTGATTGGTGGCATTGTCCAGCGATGTGGGGGTTCCAGTATGGCTTGGCCGGCTGGCTTCGGAAAAGTGAGAAAATGCAGATAAGCGCCCACATGGGAACCTGCTCCGTTGGGAACCTACCAACGCCTCCCCCCTGCCAGCTGTTTGAGCTATCACATCCACCTACCACAAAGCCCTTACAGTGACCTTCTGCTGCCTTCTGCAGCATATCATTTGACAGGAGTCTTTTTGCAGGACTGGTTTTTTCCACCTAAACAACATTTCCATTGATTGGGGAGCTATGGCGACTGTGTACCCTACCCCCCTTAACCACAATCAACTCCCATGCGACAATAAAGATATGGTGACTGAGTATGCCACTTCGGCGGCTCTGAACAAGAGCGGCTATGAGTCCGTGGAGCGAAACCAAGAATCGTGGGCTGGCTCTCTGCCTGCCTCTCAGGGCCTATACGACGCGGACTACGAGAAGGACGCGTGTGGTGTAGGCTTCATGTGCCACATTAAGGGCAAGGCGTCTCACAAGATTGTGTCGGAGGCACGCTTCTTACTGTGCAATATGACGCACCGTGGTGCCGTCGGTGCAGACGCCCGCGACGGTGATGGTGCCGGTGTTATGACTGGTATGCCCGATGCCTTTTTGCGACGCGAAGTTAGTATCGACCACGACTTTGAGCTGCCACCACTGGGCCAGTATGCATGCGGCAACCTGTTCTTCACATCCAAGGATGAGCACGCGCGTGCGGAGCATATGAAACTGTTTGAGACGATCGCCGAAAAGCTGCAGCTGCGTGTTCTGGGCTGGCGTGAGGTCCCTGTGGACAGCACCATTCTGGGTCCCGCTTCGCGCAGCCGCGAGCCCAAGGTGATGCAGCCGTTTGTGGTGCTCGGTGAGTACTACGGCTGGGAGTCGAAGAAGTGCGAGGCGAACGGTGTGTTTGACGAGAGCCACTTTGGGCGTCAGCTGTTCATGCTGCGTAAGCACTCGTCGCACCGCATTGGCCTGGCGAACTGGTTCTATATATGCTCACTGAGCCCTTCGAACATTGTGTACAAGGGTCAACTGAGCCCCGTGCAAGTGTACAACTACTACCATGACTTGAATAACTCGGTGTACAGCGCGCACTTTGCGCTCGTGCACTCGCGTTTCTCTACCAACACCTTCCCGTCGTGGGACCGCGCGCAGCCGCTGCGATGGGCCGCGCACAATGGTGAAATCAACACGATCCGCGGCAATAAAAACTGGATGCACGCGCGAGAGGGCCACCTGCGCTCGGAGGTATTTGGCGAGGAGCTTGACCTGCTGTACCCCATCATTGAGAATGGCGGCTCGGACTCGGCTGCGTTCGACAATGTGCTGGAGCTCCTGGTCGTGAACAAGGTGCTGACGCTGCCCCAGGCCGTCATGCTTATGGTGCCCGAGGCCTGGCAGGGCCGTGAGACGGACCCTGCGAAGATTGCCTTTTACCAGTGGGCGGCTTGTCTGATGGAACCGTGGGATGGTCCAGCGCTGTTCACGTTCTGTGATGGCCGCTACTGTGGTGCGAATCTGGATCGCAACGGTCTGCGTCCGTGCCGCTGGTACACGACGTCGGACGACATCATGATCTGTGCCTCGGAGGTCGGCACTGTGACTATCGCGCCCGAGACGGTCACGGCCAAGGGCCGTCTGCGCCCTGGCCGCATGCTGCTTGTCGACACGCTCGAGGGCCGCATTGTCGATGATCGTGAGCTTAAGTCGAGCACGGCGCACTTGGCCGACTTTGCCGCATGGGTTGAGCACAACCTGCTGCACCTGCGCGACATCACGAGGCGCGTGGGCCGCGTGAGCCGCGAGTCGCTTTCGCCGCAGCTCGACGAGACGCGCCTGAGTACCGACCCTCGCCTGCGTGCGTTTGGATATACGGTCGACCAAATTAGCCTGCTCATGCTGCCTATGCTGGACGACGCGAAAGAGGCGCTCGGCAGTATGGGCAACGACGCTCCGCTTGCTTGCATGTCGCAGTCGCCGCGCTTGCTGTTCGAATACTTCCGCCAGCTGTTTGCGCAGGTGACGAACCCTCCGATCGATCCGATCCGTGAGGCGGTTGTGATGTCGCTCGAGCAGTACATTGGTCCTGAGGGCAACCTGCTGGAGATGAACGAGCTGCAATGCAACCGTATCCACCTTGAGTCCCCGGTGCTGAGCATTGAGGAGATGAAGGCGCTCCAGAACATGAGCCTCGTCCACCCTGAGTGGAAGTCGATCACCATCGACACGACGTTTGACTCGGCGCTCGGCGCTGCTGGCTATGAGGCGACGCTCAACCGTGTTTGTGCTGAGGCGTCCCGTGCGATTGAGGACGAAATGCGCATTGTTGTCCTCTCTGACCGTCGTGTTGGCCCCCATCGCGTGGCCATCAGCTCGCTGATCGCATGTGGCGGTGTCCATCACCACCTGATCCGCCAGAAGCAGCGTAGCCGTATTGCGCTGGTCATCGAATCGGCAGAGGCACGCGAGGTGCACCATGTGTGTGTGCTGCTCGGCTACGGTGCAGACGCCATCTGCCCCTGGCTTGCGCAGGAGGCCGTGATGAAGGTCGGCCGCGAGGGTCTATCCAAGGTCGACCTGCCTGCGGAGCAGCTCACCGCCAACTGGCGCCATGCGGTGGACAGTGGTATTCTGAAGGTTATGTCGAAGATGGGTATCTCGACACTGCAGTCGTACAAGGGCGCCCAGATCTTCGAGGCTCTCGGTCTCGACAACACGGTGGTGGACCGCTGCTTTGCCGGTACGGCGACGCGTATCCGCGGCGCCACGTTCGAAGTGCTTGCCGCCGATGCGCTTGAGCTGCACGAGCGCGCGTACCCCCGTCGCGAGATTGTGTCGTTCCCTGGCCTCAATGAGACGGGCGACTACCACTGGCGCGACGGCGGTGAGGCGCACGTGAACGATCCGTCGTGCATTGCGTCGCTGCAGGATGCGACGCGCCAGAAGAACCAGGCTGCGTGGGATGCGTACTCGAAGGCGACGCACGAGGCTGTGCGTGCCACGACGCTGCGTGGTCTGCTGGACTTTGACTTTGGCAAGGCGCGCCCGATTCCCGTCGACCAGGTCGAGCCCTGGACGGAGATTGCGCCGCGCTTCTGCACGGGTGCCATGTCGTACGGATCGATCTCGATGGAAGCGCACTCGGCGCTAGCCATTGCTCTGAACAGGCTTGGCGGCAAGTCGAACACGGGTGAGGGTGGTGAAGACCCTGAGCGCTCAATTCCCCTGCCGAACGGCGACTCGCTGCGCTCCAAGATCAAGCAGATTGCATCGGGCCGCTTTGGTGTTACGTCACACTACCTGTCCGACTCGGACGAGCTGCAGATCAAGCTTGCGCAGGGTGCCAAGCCCGGTGAGGGTGGTGAGCTGCCGGGCCACAAGGTGTCCGAGTCGATTGCGCGCACGCGTCACAGCACGGCGGGCGTCGGTCTGATCTCGCCGCCGCCGCACCACGACATTTACTCGATTGAGGACCTGAAGCAGCTCATCTACGATCTCAAGTGCTCGAACCCGCGCGCGCGCGTAAGTGTGAAGCTTGTCTCGGAGGTGGGTGTCGGTGTGATTGCTGCCGGTGTTGCGAAAGCCAAGGCGGACCACATTCTCATTGCCGGCCACGACGGTGGTACGGGTGCCGCGCGCTGGACAAGTATCAAATACGCAGGTCTGCCGTGGGAGCTAGGTCTGGCAGAGACGCACCAGACGCTGGTGCTGAACGATCTGCGTGGCCGTGTCACCGTGCAGACGGACGGTCAGCTGCGTACGGGTCGCGACGTGGCGATGGCATGTCTGCTTGGTGCGGAGGAGTGGGGCTTCTCCACGGCGCCGCTCATTGCGATGGGCTGCATTATGATGCGCAAGTGCCACCTGAACACGTGCCCGGTCGGTATTGCGACGCAGGACCCCAAGCTGCGCGAGAAGTTTGCGGGTCAGCCAGAGCATGTGATCAACTTCTTCTACTACCTGGCCGAGGAGATGCGTGCGATTATGGCCAAGCTCGGCCTGCGCACAGTGAACGAGATGGTCGGCCGCTCGGATCTGCTCAAGGTCGACGAGTCGTTGCGCACGCCCAAGACGGCGAACATCAACCTGAGTGCGCTGCTCAAGCCGGCGTTCGAGATCCGCCCGGGCGCGGCGACCTACAAGGTGCGCCAGCAAGACCACAAGCTCTACGTGCGTCTCGACAACAAGTTTATCGACGAAGCCGAGCCTGCGCTCTCGCGCGGCCTGCCCGTGCAGATCGACTGCGACGTTGTTAACACGGACCGTGCGCTTGGCACGACGCTCTCGTACCACGTGTCCAAGATCATGGGCCCCGAGGGTCTGCCTCGCGACACGATCCACATTAGCGCGAAGGGCAGCGCCGGCCAGTCGTGCGGTGCATTCCTGGCGCCGGGCATCACGCTCGAGCTCGAGGGCGACGCCAACGACTATGTTGGCAAGGGTCTCTCGGGCGGTCGCCTGATTGTGTACCCCCCCAAGACGTCGCCGTTCATGTCGGAGGAGAATGTTATTGTGGGCAATACGTGTCTGTACGGTGCCACGTCCGGCCACGCATACTTGTCGGGTATTGCTGCGGAGCGCTTTGCCGTGCGCAACTCGGGCGCGCATGCCGTCGTGGAGGGCGTCGGCGATCACGGCTGTGAGTACATGACAGGCGGCCGTATCGTCATCCTCGGTGCGACGGGCCGCAACTTTGCTGCGGGTATGAGCGGTGGTATCGCCTACGTGCTCGACTTGAACCGCGACTTTGCCAGCCGCTGCAACACGGAGATGGTCGAGCTCGGCTCGGTGGAGGACCCCCGGGAGATTGCCGAGCTGCGCAACCTGATCGAGGACCACCGCCACTACACGGGCTCGTCGATTGCTGAGCACGTCATCCACGAGTTCCACCATCTACTTCCGCGCTTTGTGCGTGTGATGCCCACCGACTACAAGCGTGTGCTCGAGCAGGAGGCCGCCAAGGCCGCCGAGGAGAAGAAGCGCTCGAGCCACGTCGACCTGCTTGGCACGCTTTCGCGCCGCGGTAGCCAAGTCGATGTCACGGTTACGGATGAGCCGGAGCCTGCTAAGCCGGCTGAGCCCGCCGTGGTCGATATGGAGGAGGCGATGCTCGACGAGGAGCTGACGAAGGCGCGCACGTCGAAGCTCGACAAGATGCGCGGCTTTATGAAGTACCACCGCCGCTCCGAGGCTTACCGCCAAGCGGGCGCGCGCGTCAAGGACTTCCAGGAGCTGTCGCACCGCCTCACCGAGCCGGAGCTCAAGCTGCAGACCGCACGCTGCATGGACTGCGGTGTGCCGTTCTGCCAGTCGGACACGGGTTGCCCCATCTCGAACATCATTCCCCGCTGGAACGACCTCGTGTTCAAGGGCCAATGGTTCGACGCGCTGCAGCGCCTGCTCATGACAAACAACTTCCCCGAGTTCACCGGTCGTGTGTGCCCGGCACCTTGCGAGGGCGCATGTGTGCTCGGCATTATCGACAGCCCCGTCGGCATCAAGTCAGTCGAGTGCGCGATCATCGACCATGCGTGGGAGCAGGGGTGGATGGTCCCGCGCCCCCCGCCGATGCGCACCGGCAAGACGGTGGCGATCATCGGCTCAGGTCCCGCCGGTCTCGCTTGTGCAGACCAGCTGAACCGCGCTGGCCACTCCGTGACGGTGTACGAGCGTGCGGACCGCATTGGCGGTCTGCTCATGTATGGTATCCCGAATATGAAGCTCGACAAGGGCGTGGTCGACCGCCGCGTCGGCCTTATGGCCGCGGAGGGTGTGCAGTTCGTTACGGGCACCGAGGTCGGCAAAGACCTCGACGCGGCGGATCTGCACGCGCAGAACGATGCGCTGGTATTCGCCACCGGCGCTACTTGGCCGCGTGACCTGAAGATCCCCGGTCGCGACGCGAACGGTGTGCACTTTGCGATGGAGTACCTGACATCCAACACCAAGTCACTGCTCGACTCGCAGCTGTCGCCTGGCACGTACCTGAACGCTCAGGGCAAGAACGTGATTGTCATTGGTGGTGGTGACACAGGGAACGACTGTATCGGAACGGCTGTCCGCCACGGCGCCAAGTCGGTGGTCAACTTTGAGCTCCTGCCCCAGCCGCCTGCGGCGCGTGCCGCCAACAACCCATGGCCGCAGTGGCCGCGCATTTTCCGCACCGACTATGGTCATGCGGAGGTCAAGGCGCGCTGGGGCAACGACCCTCGCGAGTACTGCATCTCCACGACCGAGTTTGAAAAGGACGAGGAGGGCAACCTCGTGGCGCTTCACACGGTGCGCGTATCGTGGGAGCTCGACGCGAGCGGCAAGTGGCAAATGACCAAGATCCCCGGCAGCGAAGAGCGCTTCCCTTGCGATCTCTGCTTCCTCTCGCTCGGTTTCCTGGGCCCCGAGAATGCTGCGATCCAGTCGCTCCAGCTCCAGCAGGACGCGCGCAGCAACATTCTCGCCGACACGAACAAGGGCCCTCGCCCGTACCAAACCTCCGTGCCTGGCGTCTATGCCGCTGGCGACTGCCGCCGCGGCCAGTCGCTGATTGTCTGGGGTATCCAGGAAGGCCGTGCATGTGCAGCGCAGGTCGACACGGATCTCATGCGCAGCTCGGCTCTCCCTTGGGCTGGCAGCATTCCCAAGCGCATTCACAATGCGGAGATGCCCAAGCAGACCGCTGCTGTCCCCTCAGCCTAAATGCTTTGTTGTCAGTTTGTAGACTTGTGGTAGGGTCCACTCACTGTCATGCGCCTGTCGTGCGCGGTCGGATGGCGGCATCGCCGAGTTCGACGGACCTCCACATAACGCCCTGCAGACGATAAAAAGCGTTTCGGAACTAGCGGCGCCCAACTCCACGCCACTGCCTGTGGGCGCCGTGTGGACAGGATTGTTCCCCTTCCGTGCACAGCTTGGCTGCTCAAAGATGCCAAGCATTGCAAGTACGTCGATGGACAAAGGGACACCGTCTGGTCGGGACGATGAGCAACAGGACACGATCCCGTCACAGCCTCCTGTGGGTCCCGCGGCCTTTTCGTTCGTGTGCTTAGGTGTCGGGGGAGGTCCATATGATAACGACTGCTCCTGCTATGTTATGAAGCCTGCTGACCGCGAGTGGCACGATGGCACCATACTTGTCGAGGGCGGTTCGTTTCTAGGCTCGCTGAAAGAATGCCTCGAGCACCCCGAGGACACGTTCCCTGACGCCGAGTTCCCCCCCCATCTCAGTGCCGAGCAGCGTACGGAAATATTTAATTCATGGATCACGCAGGTGTATCTATCGCACGGCCATCTCGACCACGTGTTTGGCCTCGTCCTTGCGTCTGCAAACCTTCGCATCCAGCGCCCTGTGTACGGCCTTCCCGACACGCTCAATACCTTGCTGGGTCTTTTCAATGGCCGCCTCTGGCCGCGGCTGGCCTCGTACAATGCAGATGACCCTATGTCTCTGTATCATTTGCGCAGCCTGGAGCTGGAGCATCCGCTCTCGGCCGCGCCTGATGTAACTGTCACACCCTACCCCGTATCGCATGGTGCGTCGCGCCTCACGGACGGCGTACCTGTGTTCCATGATTTGTTCCACATCCCGTCTCCCTCACCGCTTCCCTGTGCGCCGCTCGACACTATGTCTACGACGGTGTCCACAGCCTTCCTTTTCCGCAACCACCGCGTGGATCGCGACGTGCTCTTCCTCGGCGACGTCGAGCCTGATACGGTCGGGCACTCTATGGCAAATACAGATCTTTGGTCCAAGGTGGCGGGCCGTATGGCGCAGGGTAAACTGAATGCTGTCTTCCTCGAATGCAGCTACGCCTCCGAGCAGCCGAACCACCTTCTCTTCGGACACCTGACGCCGAAGCATTTGTATGCGGAGCTGGCGACCCTGGCTCGCCTGGTTGCACGAGAGCGCTGCGGTGACGAGACCAAAACAGAGAACATGCTACATGGCCTCAAATGCATTGTGATCCACATCAAAGGCATGGTTTTAGCTGCTGATCCTAATTTTTCCTGTTGCCAGCCTGTGCAGCGGCGGCGGGAGGCGGCAACGTTGCCCCTCCCTATCCAGTTGGTTCAAACCATCGAAAAAGAATTGCACGACTTGGAATCGGAACAGAGGCTGGGCGTGGAATTCATCATCGCTCAACGCGGACAGCGGATTGGTGCGTACCAAAGCTACTAACTCAGAATGCTGATTGGTTTTCTGTACCATATCATCGACGTTGCAATGAACTATAGACAATGCATAGACGTTATAAATTATATTGATGTCTTCATTATGAGCCTTGATTTTTGATGCTGATACCATTTGTCGGCATGGACAACCATGGCTTCCGCATAATGTCTGCATTTTGGAAAACCACGCGATTTCCCCACCAATTAATTACGGGGCTGACGTGAAGCGGCAACCGGATCGCAAGAAAGATCAAGAGCTCCGATACCACGGTGCCCAAATCCAATGCGTCGGCTGTCACAAAGTTGTACTTGGACCACCAGTGGAAGCGGTGCTTTCGCATCCAATACTGGAAAATAAACGAAACCACAAACCAGCAAGTGAAATTGATGCTCATGGAGGCCGGGGCATTCGTCATCGAGGTAAAAATCAATGGGGCATTAATATACAGCAACCAGCGGGCTTTAGTCCACTTATACATCAACCAGACAATGGCTGGCACAAGGGCCCCCACAAGAAGGCCCCACAGCACGAACTGGAAGGACTGGGAAAAGAAGATGTAGTGCGGTCCCACCGCACTCCACAAGAGAGCTGAGCTGTTGTAGGCATTTGCCATAATACATTGGAGCCCTAGACTCTGAGTGCTCGAGCATAGGTCAGAGACTGTGACGACCATAAGTGTTTTGACCGCCACCTGTGCACAGGACACGACCAGCACGCTAATGAGCTGGACAACCACCATGGTCCGCGGCGGAATTTTCATATAGTGCCCTAGCTTCATGTTCGCCGTCACCTGTAGGGCACCAATGAGCGCTTGGACTGTAAGCGCCTTAAATGCCATAAAGTTTTGTTGCTGCTGCGACAGCAGATAGCCACCCACCAAATCAGCAAAAATGTTATTTCCAATCAATTGGCCAGTCTGTGCAAGTACGTAGCCGGAGGGAAGTAGATACAAGATGGTGATGAGTATACCCACAATCAGCGCTGTTGCTGACAATTTCTGAGTGGAATGATCATCTGCAATCAAGAGAATACAGAAGCCCATGACAAACATGGCCGTATACCACCACGATGGGACGGACTTGTACTTTTGCATCAATTTCGCATGGATGTCCATCTTCCCGGCGCTCATCGTCTGAAATGCCTGCCAAATGTCCTTATTGTGGTTGAAGAGCGTATGAAACAAAAGCGCTGCAAGGTTTGCAAACCCACAAAAGTAGGATATGATGAATCCCAGCGAGAGCATCACGGGTGAGTATGCTTCGTATTTGGCAGGATTAAAGGTGCCCGTGGGAAAGTCGAGCACCCGCTGCACCTGGTACTCATGGCCATACTTGTCCCAGATACTAATGCTAGTAAACGGAAAATAGCCCAGTTGCCAAACGTTGGTAAAGTACATGGCCGGCATCACAATCCAGGCCATCACGACAAAACCTAGGATCATGTTGCAAGTACACCACCAAGGAACCACCAAAGGCGAGCCAAAGTAACTGATTTGCGCCCAGTTCAGGGTAAAGCTCAAAAGTCCCATCCCATTAACTCCTGCGACTAGGTTCAGTACAACGTCTTTTGGTTTGATCCAGCAAAGCCAGCAGACCAGCGACAGCCCTTGGAAGAGCAGATCAGGAAGGAAATTATAGCAGAAGGCGCCAATAGCGACCACGATAAGCCATCGCATACGTGTTATTCCCTTCTCCAAGCGATCTGTGTCTGCATGCAATGTATTCAAAATAGTTGTAGACATGAGGGTCTGGGGCCATAGCATCGTAGCTGGCTTCACTAAGAAACGATCCAGAATGCCCACAAAACCAAAGCCAAGAACATGAATGGCCATGGTCAGGATAAAACCATACCATACTGTATTTTCTTTGCTAGTTTCAAGGAAAACCTCTTTTGCCATCAGATAGTGAAGCATATAGCTAGGGTTTACAGCAATGGTGGTAGCGGCTGCAATAAGTGTGTGCTCCTTGATATTGAATGGTCCAGGATTGAGCGAGAATGCGTAGCCGCCAAGCCAGGAAGGCAAGTAATACTCATGCGTCGGCAATATAGCTGCCAGCAGCTTACCGAGAGGGTACACTACTACCATGACAACTGTGGTAGAGATGGAGGGTGCAGGGGCTCGTACCATTAAAAATACATTCACACCGCTGATCAATATTGAGAAAAAGAACGAGATAACAATAACACGGAAGGTAACAACAGGCATCGTCGGATCATCAATGTTGGATACAGAAGCTCGCACTTCTGGGAATGGAGAATCTTCGTCTTCCTCATTGACCGCCATCGACGCTCCTTCTTTTTTGGAAAAGCCCAAATTATCCAGAAGGATCTGCTCTTCAATATCTTGGTTTTCATTCGGACTTTCTACTCGAGTTTCATCGCGGTCATTGGAACTCTTACTGAAAGATTTCAGTTCATGGCTTGAGCTCTGCAAGTCGTGATCCGCAACCACAGTGGAGGGTGTCTCCCGCTTTGACCTAGGCCAAGATCGGGATCCACTGCTTCGATCCGCTGAAGAAGGTTTTAATAGGGATGGCGAAGCTATTGGTTTACCCCCGTCATAATAATGTGATGCAGAAAATTTCCGGAACTCGCTTGGCGAAAACGCATCGTCCCCCAGATCAGTATCACTAATTTCATCTTCGGGAACATCCGAAGCCGTTTTGCGGTTGGAAATATGAGGTATATGATCTCTAGCATTTCGAATGGGACCAGCTGTTTCGTTAATTGCTGGAACGTACAAGGCATGAATGCAAACACACTTTCGTCATCCTCGACACATTCGTCATATCCCAGTGTATTCTTGTTTTGATCGCTAGATGTACCGGAAAATCGATGGCGAGTGGCAGGCCGATCTCTTGATCCTCGCGACCATACATCATACGACATGATAGTGTATGGCGATAGTTTGGATAAACGACAGTTTCGCGGAATGACGTCAGTGGAGGTACAGAGAAATTTTGAAGGCCTATCATTCTCCCCCAATGCACGGTCCCCTGCACACCTGATGTTCTTTTCTACGGGGTCTTTACATGCTATCTTCGTCCATTCGGATGGAAGCTGAACTATTTTGGCCCTGCAAACTCTCATCCACTTTGTCGGCACGCGTATCCAGGTTGTCGTCGGCGCTGCGCCAGGGTATGCTAGTGGAGTCCAGCAGAGGGCGAGCAGGGCCAAATTCTAGCGTAGTGGATTGGGGCTCACGTGCGGGTAGAGCATTTGCAGAGCTTATAGGCAAATGCAGAGCAAGAATAGGTTCTCGAATAGCAGTAGAAGTGTCCTGAGCCAAGGTAGCTGTTATTTGATTCAATGCAAAGGGAGGATTAACGGATTCCGGGTCAACCTTCTTCCACATAGACTGCACCAGCCGCGACAAGGCCAGCCGAACGTCCAGCACTCTGTCAGTGGCAAGTTCGAGGAGAATGGGGAAGATAAGCTCTTCCAAGCGATCCTTTCTGAGATTCTCACCCAAAAGCTTGACAAGGATCTGTACAAAAGTGACCCGTTGGCGGTAGGCCGGAGCACGCGCTAAGTCAGTCAGCATGGACAGGAAACCATCCGCAATGGTCTCATCATGTGCTTGGAACGTGGCGTACATAGACGGCACCGCAGCAATACCAATCTCGCGTAAAGCATTCACAGAATCATTCAGCGCCAACAAAAGCAACGTAACCAGCGATCCATCCTCATCCACCAGCAGAAGTTCAGGCACCAACGAGGGGATATGCGAAGCCATCGTTTGCCTCAAACGCCAATCCTGTGTAAAGGAGGTCATCCATAGCGAGGGTATCTGCCGCAACTGTTCTTTAGCGATAGAAGCAGGGAGCATCAACAAGAACTGATCGAAATGCTCAAGAAGTGTTGCTGTAACGTCCACGCAGGGATCTTGCAGAAAGCGTTGGGCCACAGGGAGCAGGTCGATGCAAGAAGCCTCGGAGCCAATAAGTCGAGCAATCTCATGCAATGAAGCCGCCAGTGAATTGCGAATATTGTCATATACATGATTGGTAAGACGCAAGTAAAGTTCACGCAGCAAAGGCCAATGATCCGCTCCCATTGTTAATATCACAGCAGGGAAATTGAATGCAACAATCAGTGCATAGTCCAAATTGTTCAGCATTTCGTCCGCATTGGAAGCCTCGGCTCCGTGCATTGGCTGACCCATAAAGAGTCGCACCAGTTCCTCCGGCACGCCCTTTTCCTCGCCGTGAAACAGATATATAATTTCACCGATCATCTCAAAAGCAGCGAGCTGGACATTAGGCGAAACGTCTTGCTTTAGGGCTTGCATGATTATCACAAGGTTCTTACGTCGCACCTCATCGGCCGGCTGAGTAGCAAACACACCTGGTAGCGAATAACAAGCTGCCTGTCGTACCTGCCAGACATGATCCAGCAGTACCCGATTGATGGCTTCGAGCAGTCGAAGTGGTGCATCCGTCTTGCTGAGATCAAAAGACTCAGAAACACCGCTCGCCAGGGCCTTACCTATAATGCCGATAGCAGCAGCGACCTCTTTCCGGACATAAAAGGCAGGATCCAGAGGCCAGCTTGTAATCTGCGGCACCACTCGCTCAACAAGCTGTTGCGATGAAAAACCACCTTCCACGGTTATGGCAGCAAGAAGGTTGACAGACATCATCCGGCCTTGAGCTGATTCTTCGTCAAAGGAAGCTCGCTCTGCGCTTCCGAAATGCGAGCCATGATCGTCAGAATGCTCTTCTACCCGCGAGATCGCGATCGCAACGTTCTCAAATAACTCATCCAACACGGTAGCCCGGGCATCACGTCCAAAGTCATAGGGAATCAGTGGAACACTTTTCTCACGAGCGGTACCTTGCTCAACAAGATCCGCTTTCCGGACTTCTTCTATCTCGTCCGAAGGAGCCGTGTCACGGTCAACAACCTCATCGTATTGCTTGCTGCGCAAGAAGTATTCCACGATGGAGGCCTGTGTCGCGCCAGAAACGACACTGTTAGGGTTTAATAAAAGAGCACACAGAAGCGGCGTAAACGCTGACACCGATAGGCGTGGCCGTGGCATAATTTCCTCGTCTGTCGAATCCAACACGCCGCGGTTATCGTCTTTGAGTTCTGTTAAAGGACAGTTCCGGAAAAAGAACCACATCAAACGGCCCAACTCCGGCGCAAATACCGCACTAACTTCAAGCTCATCAGTTGCCAAGCCGTTAAGTAGAGGGATCACATATTCAACAGCATCCGTTAGATCCACATCACGAATCCATTCCGCCAAACATCGCGAAACAAGAATGCGGTGGTATGCTAAATCACTTTTGGCAAACAAAAAGATACGCTCCAAAGTGCTCAACCCGTCATCCAAGGAATCTTCAACGGATTCCTCTGGTGCTTCTTGTGAACCATCCATATTCTCGTCCTCTGCTTCAAAGCCTTGACTCGTCACGACTTGGCGCGTGCGGTCATCTCTTTCGTCCTCTGCATCGGCATCGTTGCTTGTATCCTCATAGCTTTCAAAGTTATTTGGAAGAGACTCGCGTGAATCAGATGAAGATTCTTGCATGCGGTGTATGTTTCGAGCCATCTGCCAATGTCGGATGCGAGCTTGGCTCTCCTCCATATCTTCCTCTTCTTCGTCAAAAACGGAATCTCCCTCATTGTCAGAGCTAGAGTCTGTACTGCTCACACCAGAGCCTGTAGATCCATCGCCTTCTGAACGAACACTGTCAGAATCATCACTGAGAGAATATCCAGACCGCGGCGGCAGTGCAATATGGCTCCTTGTTTTGGGTGGGCTGTCAGGTATGGAGCGCGGTGACGTTGAGAGGTCTGAGGCAGGTGGCGGAGTCTTGGAAGCATCCATTGAGGGAGGCGGAGAGGCATTCAAATTAAGTGTAGACAAACGAGGGAAACCCAAGTTTACCTTGTCAGATCCAAATAATGACTCGTTGATCAACACAGGAGACGATTGCTGATCTTGGTTCAAAATCCCGGTGTCTTCCACACTTAATGGCGGCGACGGCGTTGACGGAGGAGAATCAACCCACACTGAATTGATGTTGTCAGAGATCGGGGGGCCTGTTGGCTGCTCGACCATCGGATCCAAAGTTTCAGCCAATGGTGATGAAATGCGCACAGTCGACGAGGCACTAAAAGATCCATCCGGCCAGGCACTCCCGTGTATCAACCAGCTCCCTGGAGTCGAATTTTTTGGCGATTCTCGAGGCATGTTAGAATGGAGATTGCTGCCAATACTTGGTGTTTTCCTCAGCGACCGCATGGTAGGGGCCGATGATACTCTCACATGCGCATTTTGCATCCCTCTTCGCGTGAGCCACCTAGGAGATGACGGAGATGACGGAGACGACGACATATCAGATGAAGGAGAGGCATGCTCTTGTACCGATGTGTCAAAAGAATGGACCCGGCGTATAGGGATTGGTTGCGCCTTGCTCTCCTCGGACCTAGGACTGGAAGTACATGACTGGTGACTCCCAGGTTCCTCTGAAAAATCATTATGGCCTGTAGGTGTCAGGGCTAATCGTTAATACCATAAAACATACTGCTCACATCACGCGGCATGCATGAAGACATTGCTTAGTTCCGACTGAAGCGCCGGCGTAGACGAATGGTATCTTCAGAAAACACAAGAACTAGGCCACACTTCTTCGTGCCAAGAGGGTAATGACCAGCCGTTCCCAAGGGGCCGGGCAACTGCCAAGCTCTTGACAACCTACCTCGCAGCAGACTGCCGTGAAGGGCGCGCCTTAGAAGAGGAAAAACCGGCCGCTTGGCCCGCGTGGGCATACCTCCACATTGGTAGGTTAGTGCAAGCTAGTCACAAAGCAGCCTAGTGGTTGGGTTTGTTGGGTCAGTAAAAGCTAAGTTCATACCGACGCTATTGAATAGTGTTCTATGCGACAAGTTCGTAAAATATATGGTACAGAAAGGCATGATTCTGATAATATTATGCGCCACTGCCAGTAAGCAATCTAGGGATGCGCACAAGGTATTCTCGCCTGCATAGCTTAGCGTCAGTCGCGTTTCGTTTCACGAACCTCATGTACAAAAACCCATCTTCATCTTTATGCTCTTCAAAAATAACGTCCATAGTGGCAGCGGCTGCTGGTAGAATATCTCTAATAAAAATAAAAATTGCTTTTTCAGGTGCGAGTTTGACTCGTTTTCGGATCACATAGACAAACTGGCCCACTGTCAAGTCCTTTCTCTGTCAATATTTATCACATACGGCAGGTACGAGGTATTTATTTTTGTTGATGGCAGGAATATCAGTCTTTTCTGCCTTTTCACAAATCACAGGAATCCGATCTGGAAATTTGTCGCGGATTTTGGAGGATTCTTCCTTACGCTGTTCTTCATCAATCAGAATTGATCGCGACATACCTAAAGTGTGTTCTTTTTTGAAACCTGGGCGCATCAAGACAACGTGCCATGCCCTCACAGTTGGCTTGCCAGGCGTCCTGACACCTGTAGTCACGTGTGACAACGGTCGTGAATGGAGGCGCGACGCGACGCGGCATCTCCCATTTCGGACCGATCATCATGTCGAGCGTACGTTTATGTTGAATGCTCTAACTTTCCTAGGGCCGATCAGCCGGCGGGAAAATCCTTCGCAGTCGTTCTAAAACAGCGACAATCGATGAATCTATTCTCAATAAAATTAAAGAACACCAAAAGGAATTGGTCAAACAGAAACAGGAGGAAGGGCTTAAACGTTTTGCCGCGGAAGATGCCGGCGGGCATGATTCAAATGAAAGTGTTTTTAAAAAGTATGAAAGCTATCGTCGCGAGAGCCAACTCCCGGCCAAAGTTGACGACTTGCGGGTAAGTTTCTCTGCGTATGAATCTGACGCACCAGATTATGGTGGATCACCGTGCTCAGTCAGTCATCCTTCCCATTAACCAGTTTGCGGTGCCTTTTCATGTGAAAACATTGAAGAATGTGAGCACTTCATTTGAAGGAGACTACACTTACTTGCGTATAAATTTTGTTACGCCAGGCCAGCTTTCGGGTAAGAAGGATGACGTTCCCTTTGATGATCCTGATGCCACTTTTATCCGGAATATCAGTTATCGTTCAACGGATGCACGTCACCTTCACGAGCTTTCTAATGAGATCACCGAAATGCGCAGGATTGCCTTGAAGCGTGAAGCTGAGCAGAAAGAAATGGCTGACGTGGTTGAGCAAGACCAACTGATCCTCAACAAGCAGCGCCCCCTCTCATTACCAGAAGTATTCCCTCGTCCCGCACTTGAAGGAAAACGCGTTCCTGGTCATCTCACTATCCATCAGAACGGTGTTCGCTTCATGTCACCTATGCGCCAGGACCAGAAAATTGATATCCCTTTCAGCAATGTCAAGCATCTCTTCTATCAGCCTTGCGATAAAGAACTCATTGTACTTATCCATTTCCATCTCAAAGCTCCTGTCATGGTTGGCAAGCGCAAGACTCGTGACATACAATTCTACCGGGAGGCTTCTGATGTCCAATTTGATGAAACAGGGAACCGGAAACGCCGTTATCGTACTGGCGATGAAGATGAAATTGAACTGGAGCAGGAAGAGCGCCGGCGTCGTCACATGCTGAACAAGGAGTTTAAGCATTTCGCGCAGCGCATTGCCGATGCCTCTGAAGGTCGAGTGCAGGTGGATATTCCATATCGCGACTTGGGCTTTAATGGTGTTCCATCGCGCGCTAGTGTTCTACTACAGCCTACAACTGATTGCCTGATCCATCTTACTGATCCTCCGTTTTTGGTAATCACCCTATCCGAGATCGAAATCGTCCATTTGGAACGTGTTCAATATGGTCTCTCCTCGTTCGATATGGTATTTGTGTTCAGCGATTTTTCTCGGACCCCATTACACGTGAGCAGTGTCCCAAGCAGTTCCTTGGATGATGTTAAGCAATGGCTTGATTCAGTGGACGTTTGTGTGACAGAGGGTGCTGTAAATTTGAACTGGGGTGCTATTATGAAGACCATCAATGAGGATCCTCATGCATTCTTCCAAGAAGGTGGTTGGGGCTTTCTCCAAGCCGATGCTTCAGATGTGTCGGATGAGTCAGAGAGCGAACAGGAGTCTGAGTTTGATTCTGACTTAGATGATGGCGACCAAGAATCCACTGAATATTCTGAAAGTGGGTCGGAGTTTGGTGAATCAGAAGAGAGTGGCTCTGAACCATACGAAGAGAGCGAAGAAGGCGAAGATTGGGACGAACTTGAGCGCAAGGCCGCCCGAGATGACCAAAAGAAGCGCCGCGAACGTGGTGAAGGCAGCGGTAGTGAGGATGAAGACGTTAAGCCCAAGAAGAAGAGCAAGAGCGGGTTCGGCAAGCTCTAGCGGTGCCTGATCTTACCGGAAGACTGTACCGGGCGGCTTAACGCGACCATGACTGTCCAATAGTTCGACTGCAACAACGAGTTCCCAACATCGGATCTGTGCTAGTCGAGAGCAATAGCCTAGGTGATATCTGCATAGATATACAGAATCTACTTAACCGATAATAAGCTGTACATGTATTAGACGCAGCTCGCAAAGGCTCACATACCTTGTTCTCGCTGTCGTTGAAGTCGTACTCAGGGACTTCAAGGTTGAGGGGAGCTAACATGTTAGAAAATGCACATGATGTTGAATACATACCAGGACCCTTGCGGATACGACCGCTGATGTCATAGTGACTACCGTGGCAAGGGCAGAACCAGCCACCGTACTCACCAGCCTCACCAATTGGCACACAACCCAGATGGGTACACACACCAAGCATTACGAGCCACTCAGGGCGCTTGGCACGGTCCGAATCCGCCTCAGGGTCACGGAGAGTCGAGACATCGATGTCGTTTGCCTCGTCAATCTCAGCCTGAGTGCGGTGACGCACGAACACAGGCTTACCACGCCACTTAATAATGGCATTTTTGCCTTCCGGAATGTTGGCCATGTCGACCTCAACCTTTGCCAGGGCGAGGACATCACTGGAAGCACTCATTGTCGACAGGAAGTTGGTAACGGTAGAGCGAGCACTGGCGGCAGAGATAGCGCCAAAGCTACCAATCAAAAAGTAAGAAAAGGCGCGGTGCACCTCGGGGCTCTTCACGCGCGAGCCGCTGAAATCAGGCGTGTCAAGAGCGCGAGTTGAGGACGAGAACGTGCGAATCTGAGCGCCAGTCACCTTCGCTAAGATATTAGAAGACTGTAAGTACACACCATTCACGGCCGACCGAGACGCCAGCGAATGACCACGCAACACGGCCTTCGAGGTCCAAGACGGCAAAGCGCCAATGTCTCCGCGTGGTCCAGCGGCGGCATGTTCATCGTGGCTGTGCGGGTCAGCCGGCGCAGCAGCACGCAAGTTCAGACCGGGCACCACTGGGGCACCACTGGCAGCGCGCTGCACAGTCGGCCTGTCAAAAGTTAGTTCGAACTCTCCAATATACACATACGCCACATTAATAGCCCGGCGCGAGACAAGATTCCGACAGAAAGGGGCAGACATTTCTATTCACACGCGGATAGAGAACCCAGGTGAGATGGCCTACCGTGTAGAAATCGGAGTTGACAAACCGCCAACGGCGACGGGAGCAATTCCAAATCACGGGTTGGACCCGGCCATTCCCGGCCCCTATTTCTAAGCACCACGTGACCAATGCACGGTTGACGTCGGTTCTGCACATGTGAGGAGCCCACTGCCGGAACTTGTGACTCAACATCGCGCGAAGATGTCGACTGAAAATCCCAAAATCCTTCCTAGTTCAGCAGGAGCCGACAAGTCAGCGGCGGTGCCTCAGCGTGGACCAATTCGTACCACGAAGTCCGAGGCAGGTTCAGGGAATCTCGGCACCTTCGGTGTTAAGAGTGGCCTCGCCCAAATGCTAAAGGGTGGTGTTATCATGGACGTGGTGAATGCTGAGCAGGCGCGCATCGCCGAAGAAGCTGGCGCATGTGCTGTTATGGCTTTGGAACGCGTGCCTGCTGATATTCGTGCTGATGGTGGTGTCGCGCGTATGTCTGACCCTGCTATGATCCAGGAGATCATTGATGCCGTAACTATTCCGGTTATGGCCAAATGCCGTATTGGTCACTTTGTCGAGGCTCAGATCCTGCAGGCTATTAATGTTGACTACATCGATGAGAGTGAAGTTCTTACTCCTGCAGATGAGGAAAACCACATTAACAAGCACAACTTTAAAGTGCCATTTGTGTGCGGGTGCCGTAATCTTGGCGAGGCTCTGCGTCGTATCAGCGAAGGTGCCGCCATGATCCGTACCAAGGGTGAAGCTGGTACGGGTAATGTTGTCGAGGCAGTTCGTCACCAACGTACTGTGCAGGCTGAGATCCGTCGTGTTTCAAACATGAGTGATGACGAGCTGTACACTTACGCACGTAATATTCAAGCACCGTTCCACTTGCTTAAAGAGACGGCTCGCTTGAAGCGTCTTCCTGTGGTTAATTTTGCAGCTGGTGGTGTTGCTACTCCTGCTGATGCTGCTCTGATGATGCAACTTGGCAGTGACGGTGTATTTGTTGGTTCTGGTATCTTCAAGGGTGCAAACCAAGCTGAGCGTGCCAAGGCTATTGTGCAAGCTGTTGCCCACTACAATGACCCCGCTAAGCTCGCAGAAGTCTCAACCAATCTCGGTGAAGCTATGGTTGGTATCACTATCTCAGACGAGATGAAGGGCGGTAAGCTCGCCTCGCGTGGTTGGTGAATCGCGTGGGAAAGTCGAGGACTGAAGCCTCCCCCACATCTGATATTCCCTGGCGACTAGACAATATGAAAATAGTTTGTTCCTGACCCACGTGGTCCAGTTTTTGCGAAACTGTCCAATAGAAGGCAATAGTGAAGAGAAGAGACACGCGGCTGAATATCGCTGTATCGCGGACTGATTCTCGCCGGACCCGTGCTTTGTCTTCCCCATTTGAACTTGTCAGCAGCCGCCTAGCCATGGAGTCCTCTGATCTTGGATCGAATGCACCTCTGCATTCGTATCCTTCCGCTACAGTATCTGGACCTCCAAATGCGTCCTTGAGTGCAGCAACGGAGGCTCGATTAACTCCTGTTGCTGAGCCTATACCTGTCCCCGTCAATGGCGGTACTCTTCCCATGATGTACATGGATGTCAGACGGAGTCCTGACCAAGGAAAAGAAGCTCTTCGTCGCTCTCCACGGATTCCTTCGGGCATGATCATGGCACCTGAAAGTGGTGCTCCTCCTATGTTGTCTCCTTCTAGCGATCGTGTGATGGTCACTCTAAACAAATTAAGTATTGCAAACGAGCAGACATGGATTGCTATTGGTACAACTGCTGAAACAATGAGTGATCCTACGCGCGCCTTGGCAGCTTATGACTCTGCCTTGCTGCACAACCCTTATTCGATTCCAGCACTCAGCGCCATGGCAAGTGTGTATCGGTCCATGGAGCATTTCGACCTTGCCGTTGAATATATTCAGCGTGTTCTTGATATTGACCGAGAAAACGGCGAAGTATGGGGTGCAATGGGCCATTGCTATTTGATGATGGATGAGCTTGAAAAAGCCTATGCTGCATACCAACAAGCATTATGCCACTTGCCTAATGCCAAAGAACCGAAACTCTGGTATGGTATTGGTATTTTATATGATCGATGTGGCAATCTTGAACACGCTGAAGAGACCTTTTCAAATGTTGTTCGGATGAACCCGGACTACGAAAAGGCGAACGAGATATACTTCCGTCTTGGCATTATTTACAAGCAACAAGGCCGTTATGACTCTAGCCTGGAGTGCTTCCGCTATATATTGCATAATCCCCCAAAGCCTCTGACTGAGATGGATATTTGGTTTCAGATTGGACATGTCTATGAGCAGCGACAAGACTATGATCTTGCAAAAGAAGCATATGAACGCGTTTTGCGCGAAAATACCAACCATGGAAAAGTACTTCAACAACTTGGTGCACTTTATCTACAACCAGCATCGGGTTTGTTTGATCAGGACAAGGCTATTCAACTCCTACACCAGAGTCTTGACTCTGATAAAAATGACCAACAAACGTGGTATCTGCTCGGGCGAGCCTACATGAACTCTCAAGACTATAATAAGGCATACGATTCTTATCAGCAAGCTGTGTACCGAGATGGAAAAAACCCGGTGTTGTGGGGCTCTATTGGCATACTCTACTTTCAGAACGGACAATATCACGATGCCCTTGGTGCATTTTCTCGTTCCATTCGCCTGAACCCATATATACCTGAGATTTGGTTCAATCTTGGTATTCTTTACGAGTCCTGCAACAACCAAATTTCGGACGCAATCGATGCATATCGGCGTACACTCGAACTTGAACCAGAACATTCTGAAGTACAACAACGTCTTTCCCTCCTTCAAAGTGCCGAGCCTTTAGGCAAGGCTGTACCAAACATTCCATTGCCCAAGGATCTTCCATTCTCTGCTTTCTCCTCCTGTACATTACCGCCACCTGAAGGTAGCCCGGTAATGGGTGAAGCAGAAGATGGAGGCTGGTCTGGCGAATCGACTGTGCATCACGCTAAAGAAGCGGATGTCCCTAGTACAGACGAAGAGCACAAACTTGTCTCTGAAGTGTCTCCTAGAAAAATGAATTTTTTTGAAGAATCATCTTCAAAGAATTCTATGCCACACCTGCAATACACTAAGGCTCATATTGATTCCATTCGCGATCTACCTTCGAGTCGCGCGTACCCTCCGTCGTCCGAGTGGGGCCGGCGCCCTTACCGTGATGAGAGCCCAGGCAGATATCCATCTCGCCATCACCCAATGCATATTCCTGTCGACAGTAGGGGAGATCGGGCTGATCCTAGCTATTTCAGTGGTGGCCCTAGAGCGTCGTACTCTGTCCCTAGCGGAAGTATGCACTTGGCTCACCGTGACGCGATGCCAACTGACATTGAGCATGAACGAGTGCGTGTGGACAAGGAACTTCACTTGCGTCGGAAACGTGATATGAACAACCTTCGTCGCCCGGTTTCAACTCTACGTTCTAATCGAAGCGACTCCGTCCCGGCAAATGAGTATGCACCAGAGCGAGATGATGTTTCCGGCTCAGCGATGCGGAGCTCTATGCCTGTTTCTTCTAGTCGAGAAATTGACGAAGACTACGACACAGGAGCAGCTAGTGCTCTTATGGGTCTGGCAGGTGCGGCCGCCTCGGCCTATGAAGCCAATAATTTTTCGCGAACGCGATCAGACATGACAACCTCTCCGAAGAGCAAACGCCCTTTGGACTCTGAGCATGTGCCCATGGAGGCAAAGAGGCCGCGAGCTGACGAACCTGTTACAAATGGAGGTTAAAAAAAAAAGTAGTCGAAGCGACTCATGCCCAAGATAGTCGTACATATGACGTATTACCATACTATATGCACTGCCTATCGATTTGATGGACTGGTCGAGCTCTATCTCTACTGAAAAGCTTGGCTGACCTATGTCAAGCATCATTATGTGATCGTGCATACATTTACATATTGCCAGACCAAGGTCTGAGCGCACGGCTAGCCACAGTGTTTCCTGTTACCAAACGCCAGCATGGGTCTGCTAGGTCACGTCAGTTCAGCTGTTTCGAAGACAGGTGGGAAATTTTCTAACCAAGAACATTTCCATGAAGGCGCACATGCTGATGATACTGAAGAGCTGAACGAAGAGCACGGAAATATTCTGTTAAGCCTCATTAGCCAACTCAGAATCGGTATGGATCTGTCCAAGGTGACATTGCCTACTTTTGTTCTGGAGCCGCGAAGCATGCTGGAGCGCGTTACTGATTTTTTGAGTCATCCCGATTTGCTTTTCGGTGCGGACCGTTTGCAGAATCCAGAGGAGCGTTTTTTGGCGATTCTCACCTACTATATGTCAGGCTGGCACATCAAGCCCAAAGGTGTTAAAAAGCCATACAATCCCGTATTGGGCGAATTTTTCCGCTGCAGCTACACTTATGCGGATGGGACCCATGGCGTTTACATTGCCGAACAAGTGTCTCATCATCCGCCGATCAGCGCATACTATTACGTCTCACCTGAAAACAACGTGCTGATTTACGGTGACCTTCGTCCTAAGAGCAAATTTTTAGGAAACTCAGCCGCCACTATTATGGGTGGTGAGAGCCATGTCGTGCTTCTAAATAAGTTGGATGATGGGGAATATACCATCAGCATGCCCAATATGTATGCGCGAGGTATCTTGTTTGGCAAAATGGTGCTTGAACTGGGCGACTACAGCGACGTAACAAATGCTGCGAACAATATTTCATGCCATGTTGAATTCAAGGTAAAAGGGTATTTCGGCGGTATTTACAATGCCATCGGTGCCAAAGTAATTCAAAATGGTCGCACCACGGGAGAGCTATCTGGCAAATGGAGTGACTTGATGGAATACAAGGATGAACAGTCGGGTCAGTCTCGTGTGCTTTTTGATGCCAAATCGGCTGTCACAGCTCAGAAGAGCGTGCCACCACTAGAGGAACAAGAACCAAATGAATCTCAACGGTATGTGTATCATGGCGCTTACAAACAGCCTATGGGCGAAAGTTACGGAGGGAATCAAAAGCAAGAATATGGATATGGCTACAGAACAGAAATCTATTGTGGAAGACGCGCAACGACAGGCTACCCGTGTTCGAGAGACTAATGGCCAGGCATGGATGCCACGCTTCTTTGTGCACCACAACGACCGGTTCATTCCGAACTTGAAGTACGTACAACGGAAGCTTACATTAGCGCGCTACCTGATGCATACCGCCCACCTGCTGCGGCCCAATACTTTGCTACCAAACTTCGTTAAAGGACTGGTTCTTATTGCGGGCATCTGCGCATGAGTGACCATCTCACGCACATAGTTCCTTTTTAACATCTCATAAGACATTTATTAGTCTGAGTTGCTCGCTTCTCCGCTCGCACTGTCACTCCTCTCCGATTCATCCACGTAAAATTGATCAGGGGGTAGAAGCCAATCTGGCACAAACTCGGCTGGCGGCATGGTCACAAGGTCAACATCAAACATCTTTAGGTTAGAAGATAAATACATACTTCGATGAAACGTTCAATGGCACTTCGAGCTAGTGGTCCTGCAAAAGCACGATACTTCTGTTAAAAATTTCGTTTTCAAGCTTGACGTACTTCAACCAAAATGCTGCTGAGATTCCAGCGCTGAATTTTTCTCAAACAACCTAGTAAAACACCCGTTTCAAATACGCCAGCACTGAATTAGTTATTGTTTATTAGAAAGAAACATACGTATCAGTTACAAGGACCGGGTGATTTCTAATATCAAGTAGTAGCTCTAAACCATCTTTGACGATGGTTTCAAACACACTGAAGGAATTGATTTCATGCGGAGACAAAAATAGACTGTTAGTTGTAGGGGCTGAGACTTGAGCGATTGGGTTTGGGGCTGGCCATCTTCTTTCAATTCCAAAATGATGCAATTCAATATGATGCTGGCTGCAAAACGATTCCAGCACCTTGGAAGGATATTCAATGGACAGCAAAATTACGCTTTTGAGATTTAGAGATTCTAAAAATAGAAATGATTCAGGCTGTGATGAGGGATCTGCACACCGAAATATGTACGGGCATACATGTGAAAAGGCAAGGGGTGGTGATAATGCCGACAGCTGGATTGTTTTAGCCTCTGTCGCCGACGGTCCCGTAGGACGCACGCTCATCGCACCGTTCCAAGAGGTTGTCCCTCCACATTAATGTAGAGCACTCATTTATTTCCAGACACGCGCCTACGCTTGGGCCAGGCGTGCCTGTTTGTGAGTCAACGCGGTGGCGTTTATGACTCACACTACTCCATCCTGATCCCTTAAAAGAGAATGCCCATTCAATTATAACTACCATGATTTCACAATTGAGGAATGCGATAGAAAGCAAGGAGGAAATACACACGCCATTTGCCTCTGAGCTCAAGCAACATCTCGATAAGGATGGCGGGGAGTTTTTGGTAGAAGTTGCCTCGGACACATCAACCGCAATTGACACTCTTATTACATTCTGTTTGCCTGAGTCCGAACATAGGGCATGTTATGATGTTCTTCAACGTACAAGTGAACACATTGGAGCTCGATGTTCACTGGTTGTATCGAATCCAGTCAAGTCAACGTATTTAATACGGCGACAATCCCGCATGGCCGAAGATAACATTGAAGTTCGTTTTGCTGTTGTAGGCAATGTTGATGCTGGAAAGAGCACATTATTAGGCGTTTTAACCAAGGGTGTTCTTGACAATGGCCGAGGCCGAGCGCGTGCAGACCTGTTTCGCTACAAGCACGAGATTGAAACTGGACGCACCAGCAGTGTTGGAACTGAGGTCATGGGATTCTGTGCTGATGGAAGCGCTCTAATTGGATTTTCGTCTCATGACCAACGCCGACATAAGATTTCCTGGGAGCAAATAAGTAATGACGCCGCTAAGGTTGTCTCATTTATTGACTTGGCCGGTCACGAAAGATATTTGAAGACTACTGTATTCGGATTAACCAGCCAACTGCCCGACTACGTTATTTTGATGGTTGGCGCCAATGCCGGACTTGTTGGCATGAGCAAGGAACACTTGGGACTAGCACTAGCCTTAGGTATTCCTGTCGTGGTTGTCGTATCCAAGGTGGACATGTGTCCGCCGGGTATCCTCGAGGCATCACTTGCTCAGATTTGCAAGGTCGTGCAATCCCCAGGCTGTCGTAAGACGCCTGTTATGATATCTTCAAAGGAAGATGTTTTAAGTGCCGCTCTTAGGCTGCCCATCGAACGTATATGCCCAATATTTCAAGTAAGCAGCGTGACGGGACATCATCTTGACCTGCTAAGTCTGTTTATGAACTTGATTCCTTCCAGCCAAGCACGGTATGCTCCATTACAGTCCAAGCCTGTGGAGTTGCCCGTCAGCGATGTATTTAATGTGCCGTTTGTCGGAACGGTGGTTTCAGGTGTGTTGACTTCAGGCATTGTCAAGGTTGGTGACCCACTGCTCCTTGGACCTGACGGTCTAGGAAACTTTACGCCCACATCAGTGCGATCTATTCATCGACGAAGAGTCAACGTAGAATGTGCCAGTGCTGGTCAATCTGTTTGTTTTGCACTGAAGCGGATACGGCCATCTCAAGTGCGCAAGGGAATGTTGCTCTTATCGACCACTGATGTCAACCCGAGCGTGCACCGCGAATTTGAAGCAGAGGTTTTGTGCCTTTATCATTCTACAACTTTGAGTGTAGGCTCATGCATCGTCATGCATGCGTCTAGTGTTCGACAAACCGTTCGGATTGTCGAAATTGTCAAGTCTAGTTCGCCTGAGAACCACCACTCTGTATCTTTACATGCCAACGAAGGCTTCAAGCCGATTGTACGTATGGGAGACCGTGCACTTGTAAGATTTCAATTCACGTGTCGGCCTGAGTACATTACTCCAGGGACCAAGTTAATTGCGCGCGAGGGTAAGACAAAGCTAGTTGGAATTGTAAGCAACGTAGGTGAGCATGGTATCATGCCCACTTCGCTGCCTGAGCCTACACGGAACGTCGCAAATGGACCAACAAATCCATTAACACGTGCAGGGATGCAAGTACGGGGTGCAGCCTAATATGACATGAAATTAGACAGACTATAATTAATGTTGTTTGTGGGGCTTGTTCCAGCTTAGGAAGCTCGTATCTCCCACGCGTCGCGGCTTGATAATCTGCTTTGCCGTGAGCACGATACCGAGCGCGAAACACAATGCGGCGACAGCAATATGCGACAAGCCAATCATAAAACTGCGCCCTCCGATCCATGACGCTGTGCTGATAACAATAGATTTGGTCCCACCATACATGTCCACTGGGTAATTGTCACCGACGAGTAGGGAATATCGACCAGCTTGCATGGGCGCTGTGTCATTCCGCATATAAAGCTTGCGGAAGGTAGGGAATGCTGCCGTTCGCATCCAAACTTGGAAGTGTTCATTCTTGCTAGGATCGAACAGCTTTCCCTCCTCGTAGCGTCCGGACGGATAGCCGAAAGGCCCTTCAGCTCCCTGCCAGAAAGGCGGAGGTACGACATCGTTCGCGCTGTACGTGGGAGTCCTGTACCGTTTGGCTTCTCCAGACCAAATAATATTGTTCTCCGACATTTCATATGTGCTTTGAGGCTGGTTGTTTTGATCCAGCAATACAGGAGATTGAAATGTGTCATTGAAGACACTATTCGCGATGAGCCCGCATGGGTATACGCTCAGGCCTGACACAGGGTCTTTGCCAAGAGGTTTGCACTCGGCATCCTGAAGTTGGTCCGCAGTTCGAGGCTTGCTTAGCAACTGTTCCGAATCAATACTCTTCATATAGCGACGATGATTCTGGTAAAAGTTTGTCAGCTTATAATATAAGAAAACGCTGGAGTCCATCTGTGCAGGTATGGTAAAGTACAATGTGCAGTTGAAGCGCGCCGGGTTGTCCTCGCGCCCAGGTCCAGGAGGAACAGGTGTCTTAGACCACTGAGGCGGATTTTCGTACATACTTTTGTTGCTAGAATGGAATCTGTACGAAACGTATTTGCTGGGAATCGGAGCCAAGTTGTTCTGAGGCGCCTCGTCTCGACAAGTAGAGTACTGAATCGTCAGTTCATTTACCTGAAGAGCCGACCAATACATCACGGCTCCTAGAACTGCGAAAAAAACTCCTAAACCGAAGAGCAAAGGTAGTACAGTGGAGTGGGTTAAGATGGGGTGCCATGCTTTAAGACGCTGCTGACGTAGGGCTGTATTCGCAGGGCGTTGTTGTGCGTACGGCTTTTTAGTCTCTATTTTGCCAGTATCAATAGCTTCATTGTCAGGATCCCCCTCAAGTTTAGGGTTGTACTCGTCGCTCTTCTTGCTGCGTCGCAATTCTACCATCAGGAGCAACACGTCGAGTGACGCGGGCGCGAGGCCGCACATCTCCAGAGCCCTTGTGGTCACGTGAACGACATTTGAGATCAATCCAGGATTAAGCTTGCTCGGTCATAGCCTCGTGCTGGATGGGTGTGTCCTCTCCTGCCAGAGAAAATACTCGGCATGATAGCAAAAGCACTTTAAACACCCTTTTGCCGATCTTGCGCCTCTTATTTCCGACGCAAAGATCCGGCGATGTCGTTGATCCTAAGCGTCTTCGCGATGTGTGTCTTCAAGGTGATATGGACAAATTACCCAAATGGGCACGAGCGCAAGCTTGGAAAGTACTACTTGGATATTTACCGAGGGAAAAGTCAGAGTGGTCTAATACATTAAAACGGCGTCGAGACGAGTATTTTGTTCGTATCAATGTACTGACACTAGCACTTCCTGGCTGAACTCTCATTCAACCCCGATTCGAATCCTATTCGGGACCAGGCTGATGCGACGCTAGTTCAGATCTTTGAACATATCAAAAAGCTGTCTAAAAAGAACCCTGCGCTTTGTCACCGCATTCATGAATCAGGGCCCGGTGATTTCCAGCCTAAGTCATTGGACTCCCATTTTTCAACCTGCACCACCCGAGATCTATTGCTGCATCGGCTCGAGCAAATTAGCCCCGAATACAACAAAACCGATGACTTCCCTGAATTTCATCTTCACAGACTAAACCATTCAGAGCATATGGAACAAAAATGGAATATCATGCTTCGTATTATGTATACGTATGCCATGATGAACCCTTGTGCCGGCAGTATTCAAAGTTTGATTGAAATTTTGTACGTTTTGCTATGCGTGGTATTTGATTCGCGTGATGCATCTATCCATGGTATGAAATCTTGGGAAGCAACAGTATTAGGCGTTAACTCGGTCAATGCCTCTGAGGCTGATACATTTTGGTGTTTCTCGCTTTTGATCGGAGAGTTTCGAGAGGCTTTTGAACTAGGTGGGATTGACCTAGATTCCAAAAATATCTTGCAACCCTATACATTGTTTCCCGTGCACATGCCTCGTTTCGCACCGACCACGGGGATAGCTACGGCACTGCGCCAATGCAGTAGAGAGCTTCGTCGTAACGATGAGGCTATCTGGCTATATCTTTGCAAGCATTCTCTGGATCCTCAAACAGAGAACTATTCGTTGCGTTGGATTGTCTGCATATTTACGGCTGATCTTCCTTTGCCTATGGTGGTTCAATTATGGGATGTATTGCTTACCGAGCGATATGTAACCTTGACAACAACTTCAAATGCAACTGTGGATGCCCTTGTCGACATGTGCTGCGCAATGATACTAGTGATTCGCGATCAATTGCTAGAAATTCCCCAGCATCTGTTATCGGACTCACAGTCCGCAAGAACAACAGATACACGCGAAAGAATTCTGCAGCTGCTCCAATCATACCCTCTATCAAATCCGCGTCCCATCATTTCACTGGCACTGCAATTGCGTGAGCAGCGGCTATCTGATAAAATGGATGGATCGCCTTTGCGAGACTCTAATGCTATGCGTCCTAGTACAGCGCCCATACGAACTGTCAGTGATTCTCAGACACGCAGTGCAAGGCTGCAAGAACGACTCGCAGCCACCGTGCATCGGGGTTTGTCTACAACTCCCAAACGTGCCCTTTCATGGGATTATCAAAACTATTCTAATATATCAGAAAAGAAAGAGCAAACTATTTTACAAGGTGGTGACACGGTGCCTGGAAATGGGAAAGATTCTGGAGAGTTTTCTGTCTCTTCTGATTATGAAGAGATAATGTGCCCTAGTGGTTCTGGCTCACGCTTGTCAGACGCTCGTCACTTGTTGCGTAAATACACCGATGCCATCCAGGAGTCTGATGCGGTTGCCAGTGTTTCCAAGGCTAGCACAAACCTTGCAGCCAAAGCTTTAAGCTGGCAGACGATGTCACCCAAGAAACACGGCTACAAGACTGACTCTTCCAATGCAGCCATTCCAGATCTGCCTATTCCAAATCTATTAGAAGACTTGTATGAGCGTGATACCTCCCATCCAACAAGCAACATCCAATGGTCTCCAACTACTAATACCTATTTGGAATCAACAAATTTGGGTTCCCTGAGCATGTCAGATGAGACTGACACATCGTCGAGTTTGATTTTGCCGAGCCTGGAGAGTGCCCAGGATCAGTCCTTTTCTCAACATGACAACTTATTGACCCCGTTGTCTTCTATGTCAACTCATACACAAAGTGCCTCAATGCAAAGCAAGCCAGGGAGTGGTTTACGTCGGTCTCGCCCTTTGCCCTCGCGAACGGATGATAGATTTTAAAGAAACCTCCTCCAATGAACATACCAGGCCAGTCAAGCCCTCGACATTCATCTGCATTAGCTTCATCAAATACATCTGGTCCACCACGCAAGAAAATGCTGTCTTTGGTGTCCGACTTACAGGTTAGTACGTGAATTAGCGAGCCTAGTGGTATAGCACATCTATTTTGTACCTAGTTACGTCGTCTAGATTGCCGCAGAGGCTTAATAGGTCTGCCTCCTGGTGTGGTTGTCGAGCCGAGGTTGAACATTCCACCACCACCGCCATCACCAGAGTTCGGCGGCGGGGTTCCAAATGAAAAGCCAGGCGCAGGAGACCCTGTGGCAGGCGAGGCTGGCATATTACCAAAGGTAAAGCTTGGTACAGAACCAGAAGGGGCTCCAAACGAGAATGACGTCGTTGTAGGAGGCGCAGGTGCAACTGGATTGCTGGAAGATGGCTGAGGTGCACCAAACTGAAAGACACCAGAAGGCGGCGCGCTTCCGAAAGTGAAACTTGTCGTCGGCGCAGCCGGCGCAGCCGGAGCTGAAGCCCCAAATGAGAAGCTTGGATTGGGAGCGCCAAAGGAAAAGGATGTGGTCGAAGCTGGAGGTCCAACAGGTTGGCCAAATGAAGGCGTAGATACTGTAGGGGCTGGTGCCGTTGCCTGAGTAGGAGCAGGAGCGCCAAAAGAGATGGAGGGTTTCGGGGATCCTGGAGCGGAGTTTGACGACGCGGGCATTGCGCCAAATGTAAAAGCAGGCGCAGGTGAAGTTGAGCCAGAGCCAGACACAGACGCAGGTGGGCCAAACATCGTCGGTGCATTAGGTGTTGATGCTGATTCAGCAGGATTCTTCGGGGCCTCAGCTTGAGAAGTCGCACCAAATGCCTGCGGGGGGTTCGTAGATCCGAAGCTGAAGGTAGGCTTGGGTTTCGCATCATCGCTCTTAGGTGTGGAAGAGCCAAATGAAAAGGAAGGTGCAGCAGACTTCTCCTCCTTCTTCTCCGAGGACTGACCAAACGAGAAAGAAGGCGTGTCGCTTGTCGGCTTGAGAGACTGGCCAAACGAAAAGGTAGACACGGGCTTTGCTTCCGTAGAATCAGTACTCTGACCAAATGAAAAGGATGGACTGCTCTTTGGACCAGCAAAAGCACCAAATGTAGGCGTGGCCTGGCCAAAAGAAAATGTTGGTGCGTCCTTCTTTTCGGAGGGGCCGAAAATCGGAGGATTAGGCTTCTCATCCTTTGGTTTGGATTCTGATGGCTCGATCGTGGATTTGTCGGTTCCTTGACCCGAACCTGACCCAAAGGAGAAGGTAGGCTTTGCGTCCGACTTGGAAGGCTGGGCAAATGAGAAGGCGGGCTTGGTGCTCTCAGTACTACCGAGAGATGCAGTGTTGTCCTTCTTTTCAGTAGCTTCACCGAACAAGGGCTGGCTCTCTTTCTTGTCGGCTGGTTGAGTAAAGGAGAACAGTGGTTTGTCGACTTTTGACGTCTCCGATGCCTGGCCGAACGAGAATGATGGCTTCGATGTCGACGAGCTTGCGGCCGAATTGAACGAGAAAGAAGGTTGATTGTCCTTTGTCTCAGTAGACTGGCTGACTGACACACTCGACTTGTCATTATTTTGTGCAAGCGATCCAAAAGAAAATGTGGGCTTTTCATTCTGGGCACTGGGAGCTGACTGGTTGAACGAGAACGCTGGCTTCTCTTTTACTGTTTCAGAACCCTGACTGTTGGCTGCAGCACAAGCAGTCTCCTTCACGTCTGAAGAGCGTGTGAGCTCGGAAGAGGCGGTCGTCGAGTCTTGCTTTGTCTGTATCTGCCCAAGAGAAAAAGCAGATTGGCTCTCGTTCTTCTGGGTCGGCTGGGCAAAAGAAAATGTAGGAGCATCCTTTTTCTCTGGAGCTATGCCAAACGAGAATGTCGGTTTCTTCTCCGTTGAGCTTGTTTCCTGGAAGAACGAAGAAGGTGAGGCGGTATCCTTAACATCCGCCGGTTTCCCAATTGAGAATGACGGGGCAGTTGGATTGAGAGTGGAAGCAGGCTTCTTGGCTGGCCTTTCTTCATCATCTCGATCGCGTTTCTTCGTGTCTGGGCCGGCAGGCTTTCCCATGGATGTGTCTGTCGCTTGCTCCCTGTGTGCAGAAGAGTCTGAGTCAGGGGCTAGTTTCTTTGTGCCGAAAAAGTCGGGTACAGGGCCCGATTTTTTTTCCGTTGAGATGGAGTCTGACTTGGCTGGAGCCGACGCAAAGAACGAACTTGGGGGTAAGCTTTCATTTGACCTCTCCGTCGCCGATATATCGGGCTTGGCATCGAAGCGGACAGACCCCGGCTTGGGTTCCTTGGCGGGTGTCGTAGTGGGTGGATCCATACGCTCCAGTAGAGGCTTCGGAGGAGACGAAGCAGGGTTCTTCGTGGCATCCCCAAAGGAGAAATTCTCAGGGAATAAACTTGAGGGAAGCTTGATTTTTGCAAGCTCTTCCCCGCTAGGCATCGGTACATCATCTTCGTCTTCGTCATCATCAAACGCAGTAATACGCCCAGAGGGTGCGTGACGTCGGTTTACTTTAGAAGGGCCTTGGCGCAGCACAGAACGTTTGGGGAGGGGCTCATCATTAGGGCGCACCTCAAATTTATCACGCTTCTGCAAAGCCGGTGCCTTGTTTTCCTTAGCCAAGTCAGTTTCAGGCAAAGAGGCTGCTGTTGTAGTTTCTGCGTCCACATCAGAGGCCGTAGACGCCTTCGGAATTACTTCATTGTCAGCTTTGAGAAGTTTTGCGCGGGAGGATTTAGAACTAAGCTTGGCTTTCGAAGCACGTCGCTTTGTAGTGCGGGACACATGTTGCTCAGGCTCTGTGACTTTCAAGTTATTATCGACACGTGCTTCGTCCATGGAGTCCTGCTGGGTATCTTGGTACTGTACTGATTGCCGCAGTTTCGAGCGCAAGTTAGGCAGCAGTCCCACCTGTGACTGGCGCAAAAGCTGTGACCGTCGAAGCGATCGGGAATGAGGCGCAATGCTTCGAAAAGCCGCAGACCGTGGCCGCGGTGGCGCTAGAATGCTTTCTCGCTCTGGCGTCGGCAGCGGTACTGGAATTGGCGCGGAGAGAGACCAAGATGGCCGGGATTGAGAGCGGATGATACGCTCTCTTCGTGCATCACCCAACGGCGTGCGCATACTCTCCAATGCCCGCAGGATGCGCTCGGCTTCATTTTGGGGTGGAGGCGCCGGAGGACGGCGAGCGGCCAGGTCCTCTACGTCGACAAAGCCCATTTCAGGGTCCCAAACCATGCGACGCTTCCTCGACGAAGATTCAGTCACATGTTCTTCATGCTCTGTGTCGGCAAGATGGACGGATGGGTTTCGCTTACCTAGCACAGAGACAAGAGACGCAGAACTCTCGGGACGAGTAGCGGGCTTAATTTGCACAGGTGCATCCACTGATGATGTGGCAAAAGAACGGCTTTGACTGGGAGCCAAGTTGAGAGAGCCCCACTTGCTACGGGGAGAGGCAACATGAGAGATAGTCGGTGTCACACGCAGCGACGATGGCAATGTGTGTGTACCATGGAAGGGGACATTGGGCGTAGATTCCAATGTGGGAAGAGCGTTGGATGTCGTCCTTTTGTCAATCGAGGTCGTCGGAGCTGTATCTTTGTGATCAGTCTCGACGCTGTGATACGTCGATGGAGGAGCCCGAGGGCTCGCTACCCAGGAGAAAGGACGGAAGAGCATGCTTCCCAGGCTGTGAAAAAGTCCTTCCCTGGGCCTGTTGGAGGGTTCATCACGACGAGAAAGTGTGGACTCGGGTGCGTTGGAGCCTGTCATGACGAGTGCGCCTTGCGGCAGCGGCGAGACGGCGAGCGCCGTTCGACGCACGCAGATAGAAGGTCACGTGATGATGAGGTGGAGAGGCAGGTCCCGCCCATTACCTTGTCGTTCGACGCAATGGCCTCGTGGATCGGTACGCTGGGTGCGCTCTCTGGCGCCTCGTCTGTCGTGCTTGGGTATGTACGGGATAAAGTCTAATAAAAGCGCGCTTGGCGCTCACGGTTTGAAGGAGAGAATGACGCCGCAGCGTACGTATGATAATGTTCATGTTCAGAACACTCGGCATATATGACGGCGAACAAGTACCACATGGTGCACTCGGTGACTGTATTCGTTGCTTCTACACTTGTTCCGTTCACACGTGCGACCAAGTTTGCCTGCTATGCACTGTTTGGTGGTATCCTCTTGTTCAGTTGTTCCATTTATGCCCTCAACTTGCTGCCGACCACCAGCAAACTTCGCCGCCTGCTGGGCCCTGTGCCGCCTTTCGGTGGCATGAGCTTTATTATTGGATGGCTCGCTCTGGCTTACTCGCGCTGCCCCAACTTTTAAGCTGGGTTTCGGCATGTTACCACCATTCTGATAGATGTGAAGTTAGCTGACTTGGTTCGTGCACAGATCCCATAGGCGGGGGGGCGCCACCGTGCACACCCTTGATCACGTGATGTGACTCGTGGCGCGGGCGGCGCCGGGCTTTGCGTTCAGCTACTACGTCCATTGCACGATGACTGGCGCTACCTGGAGGCAGTTCTTTTCGTACGTTTGGCCGGATGGGTCCGCAGAATGAGGTGCTAATACGAATCAGTTACAGCAAGTACACTACGGTGGCTGCCCGCGCCACCCGCCAGGCCCTCAAGGAGACTGAGCGCGCGGAGGCTGAGCGCCGTGCCTACCAGGCTCTTCGCTACCAGGAGTGGAAGAATGGCGAGGCAAGCGACCACGTACGTGCCCTGTATGACTTACCCGACAGATCAACCTTAGCGCGGAGCAGAAGTAATGTCCTTGACCCGGCGATATAAGGCCGCGTTCGTGTCGCTGCCTCTGTGATATAGCTGTGACAGTATATGAATGCGGCATTATCAGGAGGACTGGGAGGTATATGAGTAGATCAATGCCTACGAACTGGCAAGCGAGCAGGGCGGCCGTGTACATAGTAGGCCGTGGCAGCACCGCGGACGCCTGCGAGTGGCCGGTCCTGATGTGCCACGTGGTTAGGCTCCGAAGAAAGCCCAGTCGGCTTCTACAGTGCTGAATGCATGAGTAGGGCGGCACATACCGAAGCATATAGTCGTCAATGGACCCAACCAAATCGTCGTCCTCGTCCATATCGCTGGTGGGGGAGTCTGGGTCGATGCGCTGTTCGGCGGTCAGCACGGTACTCGGCCCGGAGCCCGTTGGTGTCACAGGCCGCGGCGATGAGGGAGCTGGATGATTCACAGCGTGCACATCCCCCTCAAAGTCCGCATGATCCAGCTGGTGTTCTTCCTGTGCCACATGCACGGCAGCCGCATCCTCGGCATCTTCAGCGGCGCGGAAGGCCTTCTCCACGTCGTTCGTGTCGCCCGCGGCATCGTCGCCGACTTTGACACCGCCGAGCGAGCGCCCACCCTCGTCGAGCATGTCGCGCCAGTCGCTGCGAATTAAGTGCTCAGTCGTGAACTCGCCCTGCTGAATTACCATGCTGTCGAGGCGTCGTTTTTGGTTGGCCTTGCGGAGCATGTTTTCCTCAATGGTATGCTCACTGACGAAGCGGTAAATGTGCACGTCCCGCGTCTGGCCAATTCGGTGGGCTCGGTCCATGCACTGCGACTCGATGGCCGCATTCCAATCAAGATCGTAAAAAATGACCGTGTCAGCGCCCACTAGGTTGATGCCCAGCCCACCAGAGCGCGTGCTGAGAATAAACGCAGAAATACGCGTGTCTCGGTTGAAGCGTTCGGTAAGGGCCTGGCGCTGTTCGACCTTGGTTGCACCGTCAAGGCGGAGGTAGCGGTAACCATGGTAGTTGAAGAACTTTTCGAGAATGTCTAGCACCTTGGTCATCTGGGTAAAGATCAGCACGCGGTGCCCATCATCCACCAGGCGGCGCATGAGTGTGTCTAGTTGCTGCAGTTTGCCGCAGTCATACTGCAGCAAGGATGCATCAGGGAAAGCAATGTTGAGCGACACAGCTGCTGTGTGAAGCGGATCGCGGCGACGCTCCCAGTCCGTGTCGCTCTGGGCCGGCGCCAGCGCCAGGCGCGACACCTCCGGCGCCAAGGCGGGGGGCGTGGCAAATGCAAAACGGACAATGGTACTGTGCATGGACGCCGCACGCTGCTCGTACGAGAGAACACTCGCGCGCAGCGCCTCGCATTCGGAAAAGAATCGGTCGCGCGACGCGCCTGCGTCTAGCGGGTGTACTCGCGGCATTGTCGCTCCGCGCAAGGTCTCGATGAGCGTCCGGCCATAGACAGGGTGCACGCCACACCGGAAACGATTGACATACGCGCGGTGCTGTGCTTGCTCGTAGGCAGCTTGCGCGCGGCGGTGCCTAAGAGCGCGCTGGAACGCAGGGAGAGACATGGCATCCCATGCCGGCGCAGGTCCAGGGTCAGGGACGGCCTGTGCCACGGCGTCAGACGCGTCGAGCGCCGCGTAGCGCCGCGTAGCAAGGGGCGTCAGCAATGGCTCATGCTGCGTGCAGTGCAGATTCAAAAAGTCAGCGTTGACAGACGACCAGGGATCGTCGGCAAGCAGGCGCTTGCGAACAAGTAGATCCTTAATCTCATAGTCGGCGGCGACGGCGCGCGTAACAAACGGCGTGACGATGGGACGCGGCTCGAACAGGTCGGGGTGGTTGCACACTTTGCGCAGCTGCATGAGACAGTTGATGATGCTCATGTAGTTGCCGCTAGCGAGACTTTCGCGCGTCTTGGCGCGCGACATGAAGTCATTGTACAAAAAGCGCTGGCGCTTCGATAGGCGGCACGGCACAATGTGCTCAAACTTCTTCGGCATTTCACGCTCCACGTCCGACTTGAGTCGGCGCAGCACGTAGGGGCGCAGCACCGTATGGAGCTTGGCCACCGTCTCGCGCGTCTCGTCGTCCAAGCCCTGGGTGTTTTCGGCCGCTCGACCGAGTGGATTCGAGAACCAGTCCTGGAAGTCCTTCATGCTGGTAAACGCGCCACTCGCAGCCGCCACGCGTTCGATGCCCTGGGGCATGAGGAAGTACATGAGGCTCCATAGATCCATCAGGTTATTTTGCAGGGGCGTGCCTGTGAGCAAGAGGCGGTGCTGTGAATTGAAGCCGAGCAGGGTCTGCCAGCGCTGGGAGCGGAAGTTTTTAATGTGGTGCGCCTCGTCAAGAATCAGGTACGACCAGGGCTTGCGCCGGAAGATGTGCTGGTCCGCCAGCACGAGCTGGTACGACGTGATGCACACGTGGAAGCTGTTGGGCGTATTCCAGCCGACCCGCTTGGCTTTCCGCTGCTTTTGGCTGCCATAGTACGACAGAATCTTGAAGCCAGGCAGAAACTTTTTGAACTCCATCTCCCAATTGAGCATCACACTAGTGGGCGCGACGACCAGGTGCGGACCCCAGTCGCCACGGTCGCACGCCAGATGAGCTAGCAGTGAAATCGTTTGGATGGTCTTACCCAAACCCATCTCGTCCGCAAGAATGCCATTGACCTGGTTGTTGTACAGGCTAATGAGCCATTCCATGCCCATTTGTTGATACGGGCGCAAGGTGCCGCGGAGAAGAAAGGGCGGGTGCACCTTGGGCAGCACGCTGTCCTTGTGGTCCTCGCCGAGGAGCGCCTGTAGAGAGACGGACTCGGTGTCAGAGCCTGCCTCTGATGCTTCCGGGGACGCGGTCTCCGAGGCCGCGTCCGAGGCCCCCTCCGAGGGGGACGCTGTGACGCTCGGTTCGTCCGACTCGTCCTTCGCCGCGGAGCTCGTGTGCTCGGCGGGCTCGTCCGTGCTGGGACGAGGGTCGTACTGGTACTTTTTGAGCAGCTCGTCCAGCGGCAAGTCCGCGTCCGCCTGTAAATCGGCGTCCTCGTCCTCGTCTTCTTCGTCCTCCTCCCACATATCGCGCTCCAGTTGCTCATCATCGACGCCATCCTCAGAGGCAGAAGGCGCATCCTCAGCCTCATCCACGTCGCTGTCCTCAGATGACTCCGTAGGATTGCTCTCCTCGTCAGCAGGGCTGCTCTCATCCGACTCGTCTGGTGTCTCGCTCGCGAGCTCGGCATGCTGCGTCTCCAGCATCTGTGTGCTTTGTTCAATGATGGCTTGCAGCTGCTTCTTGCCCAACTTTTCGCGCTCCGCACGCTCCGCCGCCTGCTTGCGTCCTCGGATCACGGTCACAGCAAGTCGCCACTGGCGCTGCACCTCTTTCATTGTCCACTTTGCCAGCGCCCGCTGTCGTCGCCAATGGAGTTTCTGCTCGCGCTCATCCTGGTTCAGTTCACGCTCCCAGTACGCTGCCACCATGCGAGACACCTTCTTGGCAAGCTGCATGCGTGCCTTGGACAGCTGACGCGTGCGCTGCGCCTGCACGGCAGCCGCTGCTAGTAGGTGATCCCAGTGCGCCATAGAGCGGGGGGCCTCCTGCGGCTTGGCCTTGAGCACCGCGCTGCTCACGCCGGGCTCCAACACCCTGCCTTGGCGTGCGAGCTCGTCCATGCGCACGTATACATGTGTGGCATACGCAAGGCGCTGTGCACGTACGGCCGGTGTCACGATCTCGTCGTCCCAGTGCACCTGTGAGGCCATCCATTCGGAAAAGCAGGACGCCGTGGGCCGCCCTGGGCACTGCGCCGGCGATAGGTATGTCAGCTTCGGTGGGTGGGCGGCATCAACATCCGCGCCGCTGGACAGAGGTACGAGGGCCACGGACTCGGGTGCTGGCGGCGACAAGGCGCGCTTTTGTCCGCCCAAGGACACGCGGAGGCGCTTCACACGCGGCGAAGCGACGGGCGGGGAGGCCGGGGCCGAGCGTGCATCGAGCGTGGAGCGCCGCGAGCGCCGCCTTGACGGCAGGGACCCATCCTGCAGGCGCACAGCCTGTTCGTGCTGGGCTTGGAAGAGGGCGTACGCTTCATCTGGGCTCTTCTGCGCGGCATCCAGGTCCAGAGGCGTCAGCGTGATCGACCGCGCGAGGTGCTGCGCTTCGAGCAGCAGGGCCGCGTGCTCCTGGCGGAGCATAAGCGCATCGGCAGCCTGTAGCTTGTCGGCTAGTGCGCGTGCGCGTGCGAGGACCACGGCGGGCGGCAGGAGCTCGTCGGACGACGGGACCTGCCACATTTTCAGCAGGCCGCTCTGGAGCGCCGCACGCGAGGGGCGCACCGTGCGCCGCGATGAACGGCCGGATGGTGACGAGGTATCTGGCGAAGGCGTCGTTTCTGCGTTCGGAGCGAGCTGGAAAGCAGGCCCTGGAGACGAGAAGCCGAGCTCGCGATCGAGGCGCCGGCGCCGGCGGTCGCTCGCGCCAGTGGCGGCGGGCGACGAGGCAGTGCCTGCGGGAGTCGACGGGGGCGCCTGTGAGACGGGCGCTTCTGCGTGTACGTCACACACAAGGGGCGGGTCTGGCGGCGGATCTATAGCGCGCTCGTCCATCGCGCCATGTCCAGGGTCGGCGACAACGCGGCGCGGCTTCGGAAGGGTGTTGGCGACAAATCCTGGGCCTCGTAGGCCGCTATGTCCGTGGCACGCGCCGTCGGCCGCGGCTTGCCGTCCAGCATGGGTGTGGCCTTCAGCAGCCTGTGGAACTCGCTGTTTGGACAGAAAGAGCTCAAGATCTGTATATTAGGGTACGTGGTGAGGTGCTGAGTGCAGTCTGGACAATGCAGGTGCGTGCACGCCGCTGACCCAGGCAAAACCACGCTGATGTACAAAATGACGCTCGGAGCGGTCGTGGCGACCGCGCCGACGATTGGGTCCAACACAGAGACATTTGAATACAAGAACCTCAAGTTTGTGCTGTGGGACGTTGGCGGCCAGACGTCGCTGCGCACGAGCTGGGCGCACTACCTGACGTCCACAAGTGCGGTGCGTGCACCCCACTGACCGCAGCTGATCTTTGTGGTCGACAGCAACGACCGCGAGCGCGTGTCGCTGGCGCGCGCCGAGCTGCATCGCATTGCCGCAGATGACAATCTCGCGCGAGCGCCCGTGCTTGTCTGGGCCAACAAGCAGGACGTGCGGGGCGCCATGTCACCGAGCGAGCTCTCCGAGGCACTAAACCTGTCGTCGTTCCGCGACCGCACCTGGCAGATCTTTGGATGCTCCGCACTCACGGGCAAGGGGTACGTTTTGCCTACTTACGCAGACTCACGGCCGGCCTCGACTGGCTGGCCACGACGCTGTCGAGCCGCGCATAGCGAGCACGGGCCCTACGTCCGCGGGCGGGGGCGGGGCCGGTGCGCCGCGGGGTCGCGCAAGTCGGGCAGGCCCTGCCGCGACGTGTCTTCCGCGGCCAGGTGCGTCCACTTGCTTTGGCTGCGCTGGCCGAAGTGGCGTTTCTGAAGAATTTGGGGTAGATGGCGCTTGTCGACAGCATCGACGGTGCTCTGTGAGTAGTCGCGCTGCAAAATGTCCATATCCTGGAAGAACGCGCCCTTGTGGTAGTACTTCTGCAGGAATCCTTGCTGCCCCCGCTGCTTGGCCTGCCGCGTGCTCTGTGCGTGCGCGAGGTCCTCTTCCAGGCGCTCGGCTTCCGACAGGGCGCGCCGCCGCTGCAGCTCCGCCGCCTCAGCCTGCCGCGCCTCGTCCGCGACGCGCAGGCGCTCAAGGCGTGCAAGCTCACGCGCACGCCACGCCGCGAACTCCGCGTCGGGATCGATGCCGTCCGTGTCGTCGACCTCTCTGTGCGCAGCCTCGTGCTGCTTCTCCTGCAGGTCACGCACGACGCGCGCGGCCGCCAGATCGTGCGCGACCTGCTTTGCAGCGTGTGCGGACGCCGCATCGCGGCGCGTTGTATCCACATGCTCTGTGGGCGCAGAGGCTGACTTTCGATCGCGCCTGCGTGAGTGCCATGTACGTACTTTGACACAAACACGGGCTTGAGCAGCGGCGCCGGCGCCTCCTCGCTCGACTCGCTCTCCGTATCGTACTCGCTCGACTCTTCCTCCGCTGGCTCAGGCGCTCGCAGCGACACAGCCGGCGGCGGGAGCGCCTGCCTGTTGACCGGGCGTGGCGGCGGCGCGAGGGACGGCATGGCCGCGGCCGGCGCGGCCGCGCGCTTGGTATCTTCATCCGAGTCGGTTTCTGTGTCAGGCGCAACTACACACCATACTCGCTCAGGTGCACCGGACTCGGCGGCGCCGCAGCGCTCGCGACGGGCCGCGCACGGAGGGCCTCGTCGCCGCGCTGGATCGTGACGCCGGCGGCGGAGGCCGCCGCTTGCGTCACGCGGCTCGGAAGCTTGGGACGTGGCTGCGACGCACGGTGTCGCGGCGCCCCCTCCTCTTCCGACGACGAGTCAGACACGGGTAGCGCGGGCGCCTGGCCGGGGCGGTACCGCGCGACCGGTCGCGGCACACGCTCGCTCATGGCGTGGAGGAACCGATGGGTGTGGAGGCGAGGAACTACCTAACCCAGCCAGCCGCGCGCGATGCGCAGGGTGCTGTGGTGGGGCGTGAGGATCTGCTGAGCCACGGCGCAGTCGATCTCGGACGTGTGTTCGAGTCCCAGCGAGTGTAGGCAGTCGGGCGACACGCTCACGTTGCGCGCGCGCAGGAGGGACGCAGACTCATCGGCCGGCGGCAAGAGCTGGACGCGCTCCTCCAGGTAGGCCACCGCCTGGATGTGCTTGGCACGCACGTAGCTGCTCCACAGCGTGAAGAGGTATAGGCTTGTCATGCTTTCCAGCGGGAGATGCGGCGCGTCCTGGGCGTCGTAGCGGGGGTGGGCCGGGCGGATGGTACGCTCGCGCGCCACGCCCGCGTGCGACGTCCACGAGCGGGCGCTGGCCATGGAGCGTGGGCGGCCGTGCGCCTGCGGTACATGGAGCCCACACGCAGCGACGAGCGGGTCATACGATTCGCTCGATGGCTCCCTGTCGGCCGCGTCGAGAGAGCGCGAGCCGCGGCGCCGCGGGACCGACTCGCTGTCGACGCTCGCATCGTCGCCCAAGTCGACAATCCCGCCGCTCATCCCGCCGTCGCCACGCACACCCAGTGGCATCACGAGCGCAAGAGGCACGACGACGTGCAGCTGCGCGCGAATGAGCCACCATTCCGCGAGCCAGAAGCGCAGCATGGCCATGCACACCACCAGGTACCCCACGACGCGCGAGCGGTCGTCCTGCCCCGCGTACCTCCATGGCGGACGCACGGACATGTGCAGATCACATGTGGCAGGGAGCGCCTCCGCCTCGCACCACGCGCGGAAGGTTGGGCGCCCCTCGTCGGTGAGCAGCGCCACGAAGCGGCGCTCCTGCTCCGCCAGTTCTAGGAACAGGCTCAAGTCGCGCGTCGACCAGCGCAGCGGGACCGGCACCCGTGATACACTTGGCACGAGGCGCGCGACGGGGCGCGTCGCCATGGGCGGCGGGGCCGAGGGCAGAAATGCACACGACGACACGTCCACGCTGATATCGTACAGGTGCGTCTTGTCGAGCAGGAGGCGGTCCGATGTCCACGCAAGCCACGCCGTGGCGGGCGGCGTCGGCTCCGCCAAAAGCGCGTCGAGGTCGTGCAGCGTCACCAGGCCACGTACGCGCACGTCGCCCGGCACGCCGGGCGCATGCACAAACGACGCATGCATGAGCTCGGCCAGATTGAAGGCGACGATCGCCGCGCGCTCCGTGGGCGGCGGGCAGTACAGGAGGACACGGCGCGGCACATGCAGCGCCTTGAGAAGGGGCGGAATGAGGGGGCCCAGAAAGCGGTGCACCGTGAGCAGGTAGGTCGCTGGGTCGTACGCGAGCTGCAAGAGCGCGTGCTGTGGTGAGGCCGTGCGCGCCGCATAGTCGGCCATGTACGTATGGAGCGTCGGTGGCGGCGCGCCTTCAGCAATATCCTGAGCAAGTAGCGCGAGCGGGACGAGGTGCGGGAGGATCGCCGTCAGTTGGCTCCCCGGGGCTGCGCCACACGGCACAATCAGCGCCACACTCACGCTGCGCGCGCCCCGCTGCGCTGCGCGGGCGTCGTTGTCGGCCAGATCGTGCTGGTGGAACGCAGCGACGCCCATGTGCTGCTTGTCGTACGAAAAGTAGCTGCGTCAGCGCCGGACACGTACATTGTATCGCGGGTCACCGCATGCGCGCCGCTCGGCAGCACGGTCCACTCGAGGCCGTCGGTGCGCAGGCTGGGCGGATCGCGATACACGATCGAGTTGCCGTGACGCACATGGAACCTGTATCAGCGCGACAGACGTACTCGGCGACAAAGAGCCCATGCACGTCGCACGGCGCCTCAGACGCCCGCCTCGGTATCGGCATCGCTCGCGAACGTGGAGAGCGCCGCCGCGGTGCGGCACGCTTTGTCAGCGACACTTTTTTCCGCGACGCACCATGTCCGCCGAGGCCGATCGCCTGCTGCGGTTCCGCGGGCATGCGTACTTCCGCCAGCGCCTTGTGCTCGCGATCCTTGCTGGGCGGCCTGTGCGCATTGACCAGATCCGCCCGGATGACGAGGAGCCGGGCTTGCGCGACTTTGAGGCGTCGTTCCTGCGCCTCCTGGAAAAAGTGACGAACGGCAGCGCCGTCGAGATCAACTATACGGGCACGTCGGTGTACTTCCAGCCGGGCATCGTGTATGGTGGGCGCGTGTCGCACGACTGCCCCCTCTCGCGCGGCATGGGCTACTTTCTCGAGTGGATCGTCGTTTTGGCGCCGTTCGCGAAAGAGGAGCTGGCGCTGACGTTGCGTGGCGTCACGCAGGGGCTCGGCGATGCGGGTGTCGATACCGTGCGCACCGTCACGCTCCCGCACCTCACGCTGTTCCTGCCGCTCGATGCCGTGTCTATGCTCGCGTCCTCGCTAGAAATGCGCATCGTGCGCCGCGGCGCGGCGCCCGGTGGCGGCGGCGAGGTGTTCTTCCGCGCGCCGCTCGTGCCCGTGCTGCGCCCCCTCAACTTCGTCGAGCCCGGGCGCGTCCGCAAGATCCGCGGCATCGCGAGTGCCGTGCGTGTGAGCCCCCAGATGAGCCACCGCATGATTGATGCGGCGCGCAGCGTGCTGAACCGCTACATTCCTGATCTCTACCTGTTTGCTGACGTGTACCGGGGCGACGAGTCGGGCAAGTCGCCCGGCTTCAGCATGTCCCTCGTCGCAACTTCGACGACAGGGGCCCTGCACGCCGCGGAGGCGACATCGGTGCCGGGTCGGACGCCCGAAGACGTCGGCCTCGAGGCCGCTCGCCGCCTGCTTGCTGCCATCGAGGCTGGCGGGTGCATTGATGCGAGTCACCAGCCGCTCGCACTCACGCTCATGGCGCTGGGGCCCGAAGACGTGGCGCGCTGCCGCATGGGTGCCCTGACGCCGCAGGCCATCCAGTGCCTGCGCGATATCCGCGACGCGCTGGGCGTCGTCTTCCAGCTGCGCGCACTCGATGACGGCCATGTCCATGTCTCGTGCGTAGGCGTGGGCTTCCGCGGCTTCCGCTCCGTGCACTGAGATCCTTGTACCATAGATCGGCAGGTCCCCGCGCCTGCGCCGCAGGGCGTGACTCAGCGCGATTGGTCAGGCCACTCCACCCTCCTCACTCCCGCGATGCCGGCGGACCTCGATGCGTGCTCGTTTGCCACGCAGTGTGCTACGGTGTATGATCCAGCGCACGCCGACCAGTATGGCGCCTCATCAACGCCCGTGTACCTTACGGCCACGTTCAAGGGCCTCCCAGGGGCCGAGTACGACTACTCGCGCGTGTCGAACCCGACGCGCTCTGTGCTAGAGCACCACCTTGCGCAGATCCAGGGGTGCAAGCACGCCTTTGCAGTGAGCTGCGGCATGGCATGCCTCGATGTCATTATGCGGTTCGTCGGCCCCGGCGAGTACGTGCTGGCCGGCGACGATCTGTACGGCGGCTCGAACCGCCTGCTGGACCTGCTTAGGCAGCAGATGAACATTCAGGTGCTCAACGTCGATACTACGGACACGGAGGCCGTCGAGCAGGCTCTGGTGCACCGCGCCGCTGAGCACGCGGCGGGTCGCAGCACGCGCATTGCCCTCGTCCTGCTCGAGTCGCCCACCAACCCCATGATCAAGATTGCCGACCTGCCGCGGTGCATGCAGCTCGTACGCAAGCATGCGCCGGACGCCCTCACCGTGGTGGACAACACCATGATGTCACCCTTCCTTATGCGCCCCTTGGACATGGGCGTCGATATCGTGTACGATTCAGCGACCAAGTACCTCAGTGGACACCACGACGTCATGGCCGGTGTCCTCGCGTGCAACCGCGACGATCTGGCCGCGAAAATGTTCTTCACGATCAAGTCGGTCGGCAATGGCCTCGCGCCACTCGAGTGCTTCCTGCTGACGCGGGGCATCAAGACACTCGCGCTGCGCATGGAGAAGCAGCAGGCGACGACGATGCGCATCGCACAGTACCTCGAGCAGCTTGGCTTCAAGGTGCGGTACCCTGGCCTGCGCTCCTACGCGGGCTACGCCGTGCATGCGCGCCAGGCGCGCGGCGCAGGCGCCGTGCTTAGCTTCGAGACTGGGCAGACGGCGCTCTCAGAGAAAATTGTCGCGTCCGTGCGGCTGTGGGGCGTGAGCGTCAGCTTTGGCTGTGTCAACAGCCTCATTACCATGCCCTGCCAAATGTCGCACGCCAGCATCCCGGCCGAGGTCCGCGCAGAGCGCGGCCTGCCCGAGAACCTGATCCGCCTCTGCGTGGGTATCGAGGACGCCGACGATCTCATCGCCGACCTGCAGCGGGCCTTGCTGCTCGCCGGTGCGATCCAGCCCAGCAAAAGCCAGAAGTGCAGCTACGTGCGTGTACCGGTGCCGGACGAAATGGAGATCCTGCGCCGCACGATTGCGCAGCGAAAGCCCGAGGCGCCCAGCGCCGCCACGTCGGCGCCTACGACACTAACGGTGAGCGCACCCGGCAAGGTCCTCCTGCTGGGCGAGCATGCCGTCGTGCATGGCGTCAAGGCGATGGCCGCTGCGACGTCGCTGCGGTGCTACGGCCATGTCGAGCCGTCCGCCGATCGTCTGAGCCTGACGATGCCGGACATTGAGCTGGCACACGCGTGGGATGCGGCGCGGCTCCCGTGGACGCTCGTAAAGCCTACGCAGGCGGCGCCGACGGAGCTGGAGCCGTCGCTGCAGGCGGCGCTCACTGAACTCGTCGCAGAGACGTGGCCCGCCGACGATCGTCGGCATGCCGCGTCGCTGGCGTTCCTCTACCTGTACATGCACCTGGCGCCGCGGCACTCTGCGGCGCAGGCGTTCGAGCTGCGCTCCTCACTGCCGATCAGTGCGGGCCTAGGGAGCAGCGCGGCCGTGTCTGTGTGTCTGGCGTCGCTGCTCCTCTACACCCACGGGCACCTTCCGCTGCCTGCGGCCCAGGTGCCGCTGCCCGCTGAGCATGCGGCGTGTATCAATGCGTGGGCGTTTATCGCTGAAAAGGTGATCCATGGCGATCCGTCTGGTGTCGACAACACGGTGGCCACGTTGGGCGGCGCCGTGGCGTTTACGCGGGCGCTCGAGACGAACGGCCTCGCGGCGAATGAGCTGGAGCCGCTCCGCCTTGATGCGGTGCGCCTGCTAGTCACAGACACCAAGGTGGTGCGCAATACCAAAGAACTGGTTGCTCGTGTGCGCCAGCAAAAAGAGGAGGAGCCGGAGCGTGTGGCGGCGGCGCTGTCGATGATTCAGCGGCTTGCCGACGAGGCGCATGCGCTGATGAACGATACGGCCGCGTCGCGCTCGGCTCAAGTCGCGCGGCTTGGCCTCCTACTTGAGCTGAATCACCTGCAGCTTGCGCAGCTGCGCGTCGGGCACCCGGCGCTCGACAAGGTGCGCGAGTTGTGTGGGCCCTACGGCGCGGCGACGAAGCTGACGGGCGCGGGCGGTGGAGGTTGTGCGATCTCGCTCCTTCCTGACGAGATGAGCGAGACGGCCCTCAGCGAGCTCGTCAGCGCGCTGCATGCGCAGGGCTTTGCTACATACGAAACGGAAATGGGCGGCCCCGGCGTCGGTGTGCTGGTGCGCCCATCCGACACGGCCGCCGCTTGGCCGCCCGCTGGCTCGGCCGCGTCGTGGGCGGAGGCAGCGGGCACGTGGGTGTTTGCCTAGACTCGGCCGATGGCCCTCCGTAGATGCGTGCGACTTGCAGGAATGATGACATGGCCCGGGCGCGCTACACACCGTCGCCTTATAAAGCGTGTGAAAACAGGACAACACTCACCTTCCTGGCAATATGACGCACTTTGAGACCCTGCAGGTATGGTGCAGTCTTGTTGCTGACCCGTAGCTTCACGCCGGCCAAAAGCCGGACAGCGCGACAAATGCCCTTGCGGTGCCTGTCTACGCGTCGACGTACGTATCGTGTGGCTTATCGCAGCTCGTTCGTGTTCAACGACTCGGCCCATGGTGCGGACCTATTCGGTCTGCGCGCCCCCGGCAACATCTACTCGCGTATTGGCAACCCGACCGTGGACGTGTTCGAGCAGCGCATGGCCGCGCTCGAGGGCGGCGCCGGCGCCGTCGCTGCTTCGTCGGGCCAGTCGGCGCAGGCTATGGCGCTGCTGTCGCTTGCGCAGAACGGCGACAACATTGTCGCGTCGACGTACCTCTACGGCGGCACATACAACCAGCTGAAGGTGCTCTTCCCCAAGTGGGGCGTGCAGACCAAGTTTGTCTCGAACTTCTCAGTAGAGGAGATTGAGAAGGCGATTGACAGCCGCACGAAGGCCGTGTATCTCGAGACGATCTCGAACCCCCGCTACACGACCCCCGACCTGAAGGCGATCTGTGAGATGGCGCATAAGCACGGTGTGCCGGTTGTCGCGGACAACACGTTCGGCATGGGTGGTTACGTCGTGCGTCCGATCGAGCACGGCGTCGATGTCGTCGTGCACTCGGCGACCAAGTGGATTGGCGGCCACGGCACGACGATTGCCGGTGTCGTGATCGACTCGGGCAAGTTCGACTGGCAGAAGAGCGGGCGCTTCCCCCAGTTCACCGAGCCGTCAGAGGGCTACCACGGCCTCAAGTTCTGGGAGACGTTCGGCCCCGCGACGCTCGCGGCATACGTGCGTGTGGTCATGCTGCGTGACCTGGGCTCGTGCCTGAACCCCTTCGCGAGCTTCCTGCTGCTGCAGGGTCTCGAGACGCTGTCGCTGCGCGCGCAGCGCCACTGTGATAATGCGCTCAAGCTCGCCGAGTGGCTCGAGCAGCACGAGCAGGTCTCCTGGGTGCTGTACCCTGGCCTCAAGTCGCACCCGACCCACGAGATCGCGAAGAAGTACCTGACGCGCGGCTTTGGCGGTGTGATTTCGTTCGGGATCAAGGGCACGGAGGCGCAGGCCAGCAAGTTTGTCGACTCGCTGCAGCTTGCGTCGAACCTGGCGAACGTCGGTGACCTGAAGACGCTCGTGATTCACCCCGCGTCAACGACGCACCAGCAGCTGGACGACAAGGAGCAGGTGGCCTCGGGTGTGACCAAGGACCTGATCCGTGTCTCGGTCGGCTGCGAGCACATTGAGGACATCCAGGGCGACTTTGCGCAGGCCTTTGCCGCGATCGCCTAGATAGGCCGTAGCTCGACGCGCAGCGTACGCGAACGCTCCCTCCGATGCAGCACGTGGCCCTTCGGTTTTCGGCCGACGCAATGGGCATGGGAATCTGCGGGTCCCGATTGGTTCCGCCGAGCAGCGGGCAGCGCGGCTTTGCGCCGTAGAAACCGCACGCTTTTGTCAAGCCAACGACTCACCACCATGCTAGGAAGTGCTCGTGCTGCTGTGCCTCGTATTCTGCCCCGCCGCGTCCCGGCTGGCGTGCGCACTGTGATCACCAAGAGTGAGCGCTGGACCCCCGAGACTGCGCGCAATGCCCAGCAGATTATCGAGGGCCCCCAGTCGCAGGACCTCTCGAAGGTCCTGCCCAACATTGAGGGCATGTGGCCCAACATGGCCAAGGAGGAGCAGTACTCCGTGTACAAGGCGGTCGAGGAGCTCCAGCGCAAGAACTGGAAGGAGCTCTCTATGGACGAGAAGAAGGCTGGTACGTAGTGGCGCCGCGCTAGGCGGCGCCGCAACAGAACTCACACGCAGCCTACTTTGTCTCGTACGGCCCCTACGGCCCCCGCAAGGCCGTGGTGCCCCAGGGACAGACCGGCAAGGTCGCTCTCGGTGTTGCCGTGGGCGTGCTGCTCGGCTTGGGCGGCTTCTACAGTGTCCGCTCGATGGGTACGTTCAGCCCTGTTGACCTCAGCGCAACCCGCTCCCAAGACCCTCACCAAGGAATACCAGGAGCAGATGACTGCCCGCGCCAAGGAGACCAAGCAGAACCCGATCTCTGGTATCGCCAGCGAGGGCTACAAGGGCAAGGGCCACGTTGCCTAAGGCCCCCCTTCGCTTCCCCATGTCACCCCTTGATGCATAGTGCAGGGGTCGCTCGGACGAGCGATACCCCAAGCGTAGATCCGGGGCTCGTAGTTCCCACTATGATGCCGCTATCCGAGGCTAGTGCGCATCGCGCCGGCGCGGCGTCGCCTTCAGGATGTCGTCCACGCGCAGGATCATCTCGGCCGCCTCGCTCGCCGACACAACGACCTGGCGCTTGAGCTTGTAGCTTTCCGTGACGCCGCGCTCCGCCATCGATACGAGCATGCCCTGGTCCAAGTCGAGGCCGAGGTCGTCCTTGCCATCGTGATGCGCGGCGCGCAGCTGCGCGACCAGGTCCGACGAATCGAGACCCGCATTGTCCGCGAGGATCGTCGGCAGCTGGCGCAGCGCATGCGCAAATGCCTCGACGGCAAGCGCCTTCTTGCCGGGCGTCCGCCGCGCCTCCTCGTCGACCGCCTGGCTCATGACCATCTCCGCGCAGCCCCCCCCATACGTGACGCGCGTCTCCTTGACTGTCTGGCTGAGCACACTGAGCGCATCGTGCAACGAGCGCTCGGCCTCGTCGATCATCTGCGACGTTGCACCACGCAGCACGACCGTGCATGCCTCGCCCGCACGCACGCCCGAGAACTTGATGAGCTTGTCCTCACCGATCATCACCTCCTCGATCTTGGCGCACTCGCCGAGGCGCACAAGGTCAGGGCGGTCAAACGTGCTGGCAATCTCGCCGCCCGTGACGAGCGCGAGGCGCTCGACGCCCTCAAAGTCTGCGTGCTCAATGCACAGAATGCCCGCACTCGTGAGCAGGCTCTCCGGGTAGTTGTAGATTAGCTGGCGGTTCACGAAGCAGTTGATGCCATGCGCCTTGATGCGCTCGACCTTGGCCTTCATCTTCTCACGCTCCGCGCGCTCGATCTCAGCGAGCTTGCCGGTGCCCTCGACGCGCACGCGCGCGCCGAACACCTTAATCTTGTCCGTGTCCATAGACGTGTTGGCGATGAGGATCTTGGCATTCTCGAGGCTTTTGATCGAGTCAGGCGCAATCTTCTTGTCGAGGATAAAGCCCTCGTCGAGGTAGCTGTCGGTCAGCTTGCCGCCCAGCTTTTTGATGATCTGGATGTTCTCCAGGTTCGTCGAGCCCTTGAGGCGCAGCACCGCATCCACGGCAAGGTTCGCAAAGTAGTCCTTGTCCTGCGAGAGCACCTTGGACGACAGCGTCGTGCGCGCGATGTTCAGCAAATCATTGCGGAACGCGTCCGCATCCGCACTGTGGTCCTTGGCATGATGCGAGAGTGCGCGCAGCGCCGCCTCGCTCGCGATGCGGAAGCCGTCGACAATCGTTTGGGGGTGCATGTGGCTCTGCACGAGCCGCTCCGCCTCGCGCAGCAGCTCGGAGGCGAGGACACACACGGACGTCGTGCCGTCGCCGACCTCGTCGTCCTGCACCTTGGAAATGTTGACGAGAATCTTCGCCGCGGGGTTGTCCAGGTAGATCGACTTGAGGATCGTCGCGCCGTCGTTCGTGACAACAATGTCACTCGAGCCGACCGACTGCAGAATCTTGTTCATGCCCTTGGGACCCAGCGTGCTCTTCACGAGATCTCCCAGCGCAAGCGCACCCACAAACGACGAGAGACGCGCATTCTCCGCGCGCTCCTGCGTCGCCTCCTGCGCAAAAATGGGCGCCGACATGATCGCAGACAAACGGCCACGCGGCCACCGTCGGTGTTCGCCCGTTGCCACGTGGACCTACTCCACCGGCCTGGGATGCCCCCGCTCGGCACCGCGCAGGGCGTGCCTGTGACGCTGGTGCGCGTCGACGAGGCGCGCACGACGCCCATCTGGCTCGACGGCGCGGTGGCTACACGTCCCTATGTACCGCGACCGAGCGGGCGCGCCGCGCACCCGCACGCCGACGACCGCGACGCCTACAGCGAGGCCGTCCTGCACGAGGCCCTGGCGTGCATACGCGCACACCACGCCGCCCAGCCGGACTGGTGGGCGTGTCAGGCGCGCACCCTGTGTGTATCTAGCGAGCGCTGCACGAACGAGCTCGCCGCATGTGTCGAGGCGGCCGAGCGCGAGCCGGGTTCGACGCACTGGGCGCACGTCCTGCATACCAACGACGGCGAGTCTGATGCGCGCATCGTGTGGGAGCGCGGCGCCAAGGCGCACACATACGTGCTACCGCCTCGCAGCGCATTCCTGCTCACCGACCTGCTCCCTCCCACCCGGCGCATGCCGCATGGCTGGGCGAGTGTGCGCGCGCTGGGTACGTCGAAAGGCTCACACAGTGCATGCGCACGGCGGCGCCTCGCTCGTGGTGGTGGACCCGCCGTGGCCGAATCTGAGCGCGCAGCGCGCGCATCGACACTCGGCGCATGGCTACGGCACGGTGCAAGACATATACGACCTGTGGCGTCTGCGCCCTGCGCTTGAGACGATCCTCGGCCCAGATACCCTGCTGGCCGTGTGGGTAACGAATGCGGTACGTGCGCGCCGCTCACGCAGCCGCGTATCCAGCGGTTTGTCGTGGACAAGCTTATGCCGGCGCTCGGGATCGTGCACCAAGCGACGTGGGCGTGGCTCAAGGTGACGGCGCCCACAGGCGGTGCGCTGCCGGACCCGGTCGTGCCGCTGGACCGCGATGCGCGCCACTTTCGGCGGCCGTACGAGCTCGTGCTGCTCGGCGCACGCACGCCGCAGGCGGTGGCGCCGCGGCACATTCTTGTGAGTGTCCCGCTGGGGCACAGTGCCAAGCCGTACCTGGGCAGGGCGCTGGGCGTGCAGCGCGGCGCGATCGTCGAGCTCTTCGCGCGGCATGTGTCGGGCGGCGGGGCGCCTATGCACCTGAGCGTCGGCAACGAGGCGGTGCGCGGCAACGAGGTGCGTCGGGTGGGTATGTAGCTACGTCGTCGCTAGGCGGCGCCTACGACCATCTGCACGAAGTAGTTGTGCAGGCGTGTATCGGTCGTCAGCTCCGGGTGGAAGCTCGTGGCGAGCAGGCGGCCCTGGCGCACGGCGACGACGCGCGACGGGTCCGCGGCTGTGTCCGAGGCCGGCGGGAGCCACGCGATCGGCTCTACGGGCGTGCCCGGGAACAGGCCGTGCATGTCGTCGGGGCTGTGCGAGACGGGCGCCGCCGCCGCCGCGCCGCCGCCGCCGAGCGCCTCGACCACCGGCGCGCGGATGAACACACCGGGGAACGGCGTGTCGCCGATCGCAGGGCACTGCACGTCGCACTCGAACGAGTTCACCTGCGAGCCAAAGCCGTTGCGTCCCACCTGGATGTGCAGGCCGCCCAGCAGCTCCTGGCCGCCGCGCTTGCCGCCGGTGGCGGTGTTCGCGAGCATGATCATGCCCGCACATGTGCCCCACACGGGCCTTCCCTCGCGGATCCATGTGCGCAGCGGCTCCGTCAGGCCGGCGTTGTGCAGGCCGAGCGCAATGGCCGTCGACTCGCCGCCGGGAATCACGAGCGCGTCGCACTGCGCGAGCTGCTCGGGCCGGCGCACAGCAATGCTGCGCACAGACACATGGCTTGCACTCGCGCTGAGGGATGCAAAGCGCGCGATATGTTCGTGGAAGGCGCCCTGCAGCGCCAGCACGCCAATCGTCACGCCCGTCCTCTCGCTCATCGGCAGCCGCCGAGAAGGCAGAGCGCCGCGCGCAGGCCCTCGGGGTGCGCACGTGACGACGGCCACGGCTGCGGCCGGCCGCACGACGGGCCCTGACCGATGGCCTCGTCGGCGGCCGCCGTGCCCGCCTCCGTGGCGGGCCCCCCGAGCCTGGAGCTCGTGCTTGCGACGAATGAGTCGATCACGATCGAGCTCGACCCCCTGCCGGCGGCTGACGAGCTGGAGGTCGTGGTCGAGGTGCTCGTCGAGGAAAAGCCGCCCGCGTACTTTTGGACGGCCCTCGCGGCGCGGTGCTGGAACGCAGGGCGCCGCGCCGAGGCGGAACTGATCGTGTCGCGCGGCTGCAGCATCCTGCCCGTGCACCGCCCCGAGGAGAGCGCGCCTGTGCTGGCCCTGCAGGCCGCCTTCCTCCTCGCCGACGCACGCGGCGCGCCGAAGCAGGTGCTCGACGATGCGCGGTACCAGCCGCTCGGCGCCACGGCGCCCAAGCAGCACTACTTCCGGCAGGCCGCTGAGGCGCTCAGCCGCGCCCAGAGCCTGCACCCCCAGCACCCCCTGCTCCTCCAGGCGCGCGCCGTGCTCGCGCTTGTGACGGGCGACAGTGCCCTGGCGGCCAAGCTGTTCGACGTGCTGCTTGCGCGCACGCCCGAGCACATAGTCGCGTTGCTCGGCCGCGCGTGCTTGCAGCTGCGCGCGCGCCAGCCCCTCGCGGCGCTGCAGACATACCAGCACGCGCTGCGCCTCGTCGTGCGGGTGCACCAGAGCGGTGCGCGGTGGCCGGGGCCGGATCCGCGCGTCGGCATCGGCCTGTGCCTCTGGGCGCTCGGGCGCCACGACGCCGCGCGCCGCGCATGGCACCGCGCGGCCGCCGTCGACCCCGACGCGTCCGCACCGCGCCTGCTGCTCGGCCTCGCGCTCGTCCACGCCGCGAAGCAGACGAGCGCGCTGCCGTCCGGTTTCTACGGCGCCGCGACCGAGCGCGCCGACGACGCGGCGCGCCGCGCGGCGTACGCCGATGGCCTCGTGCACCTCCAAGCGGCGTGGCAGCGCGACAAGACGTGCGCGATGGCCGCCGTGGCGCTCGCCGCGCACCTCTCGACGCAGACGGCACATGCGCTCGCCGCGCAGCTGCCGCCCGCGCACGACATGTCGACGCCGATGCAGGCGCTCTCGGGCGACGACGCGACGCTCGCGCGCGCGCTCAAGCTGAGCGAGCACGCCGTGCAGTACGCCGACGCGCGCTCCGTCGTCGTCCATGCGTGGCTGCAGTTTGCGCTCGCGCTGCACGCCGCGTCGCGCCTCCCCCAGCACGCGGGCGACCACAGCCTGGGCCTGCTCGCGCAGCGGTACTACGCGCGTGCGCTCGAGGCGCTCGCACGCACGCCCAGCGACGAGCAGACGCACCCCCTGACCCAGGGCCTCGCGCTCACGGCGCTCTCGTTCGCGCAGCTGCAGGTATCGGCGCGCGACGTGCTCGGCGCGCTGCAGACGCTCGACGTGGTCCTGACGCGCCCGGCCGCGTCGACCGCGTGCGCGAGCGAGCTGGCGCTCCTGGCGGGCCTGCTGCTCGCGAGTCCTGCGCCAGGCACGGAGCCGGCGGACGCCGCGCAGCAGCAGCGGCGCGCGCGCCAGCTGCTCGACCGCGTGCTGCGCACGTCCGCCGAGGCACAGGCGCTCCTCGCGCCGGATGCGGCCGGCGAAGGCGGCGCGCTCGAGGCCGAGCGCCTCGCGCCGATGGTGCTCGCGGGCCTCGCGCAGGTCGGGCAGGATGCGCGTGTGCACGCGTGGCTCGCGCAGCTGCATGCGAGGAGCGCGCGGGGCCGCGCGCTCGAGCAGTACGAGGCGGCGCTGCGCCTCTGTGCGCCGGGCACGGCCGCGGCGTCCCTCGCGCCGGCGCTGCAGCTCAACGTCGGCGCGCTGCTGGTGCACGAGGCGGACGCGGCCGCGGTGCGCCGCGGCCTCACGCACCTGGCCGAGGCGCAGGCGGCGCCGGGCGACGACGAGGCGGGTGCCGCCGTGCGTGTGCTGGCGAGCTACAATGTCGGCCGCGCACACGAGGCGCTCGGCGACGCGGCCGAGGCGCGGCGCGTGTACACCGAGCTCCTGGACGCGCACCCGGCGTATGCGGATGCGCGTGTGCGCCTCGCGGTGCTCGCCGCGCAAGTGCCGCAGGACGTGCGCGTCGCGGACGAGGGCACAGGGCAGGTGCGCACGGCGCGCGACGTCGCCAATGCGCGGTTCAAGGAGGCGCTGACGTGCGAGCCGGGCGATCTGAGTGTGCGTGCCGAGTACATGCGCTTCCTCGCGGGCGCGTACCCCGCGAACCGGCAGGCCGCGTGGGCCGCGCTCAAGGACACCGCGGCGCAGCTGTTCCTGGGCGCCGAGGCGGGCAAGAGCGTGTTCGGCAGTGCGAGCATTGCGCGCCGCGCCGCGGAAGAGGCGCGGCACGACGCCTATGTGCTGGGCACGCTCGGCTGGGCCTACTACCAGCTCGGCCTGCATGCGCCGGCCGGACCGCAGCAGCGCGCGGAGCGTGCGAAGAGCATGCTGCGTGCGGCGGACCTGTTCGACAAGGCGCTGGGTGCGAACGCGCAGGATGTGTTTGCGGCGCAGGGCCTGGCGATCCTGCTGGCCGACGACGCGCTGGGCGACCCGAACGCGGCGCCGGACGCCATCGAGGCGCGGCGCAAGGCGGCGGCCGAGGACGCGGCGGCCCTGTTTGGCAAGCTGCGCGAGGTGCGCGACGACGCGAGTGTGTACGTGTGCCAGGGGCACGCGCTCATGCTGTGTGGTGCCCTGGAGCGTGCGGCGCATGTGTATGAGCTGGCGCTCACGCGGCGCGGCGGCGCGCGTGATCCGGCGGTGCTGCAGTACTCGGCGCGCGCGCTGTACGCGCTGGGGCTGCGGGACCGGCACTTTGCGCACCTGCAGCTCGCGATGCAGCAGCTCGCTGCCGCGGACGAGACGCTCGCGGCGCGCGGCCCGGCGGAGGGCACGAGCGCTGTGGCGCTCGAGCGCAAGCAGCTCGCGTACAACCGCGCGGTCATGGCGCAGAAGGCGCTGCAGATGCTGTACGACCTGCCGGTCGAGCAGCGGTCATCGGCGGACCTCGCGGTCGCGATCGAGTGGGTCGAGAGCGCGCAGGCGGCGCTCCCGCCGCTCGTCGAGGCGGCGCAGCAGGGGCAGCTGCTGTACATTACCGCGGACGCCGTGGAGCAGCGCGCCAAGTATGCGGAGGTGTCGCTCCTGCGGCAGGCGCCGGCGCAGCTGGAGGAGACGCGCACGCACGAGGCGGAGCACGCGGCGCAGCTCCAGCGCCTCGACGAGAAGCAGCGCGAGAAGGAGGCGCAGCTCGCGCAGCGGCAGCGCGAGAAGGAAGAGGAGCACCGCCGCCGCGCCGAGGCGCTGGCCGAGTCGCGTCGCCGTGCGCGCGAGGAGGCGCTGCAGATCGAGTACGTGCAGGAGCCGGAGCCGGAGCCGAAGAAGCGCGCGCCGCGGAAGAAGAAGGACGACTTTGTCGCGCGCGACGACGAGGCGCTCTTCGCGGAGAGCGACGAGGAGCCGGAGGCGCCCGCCGAGGCTGCGGACGATGCCTCCCCGGCGGCGGCGCCCGAGCCGATGGAGACCGAGGCGCCCGACGACCTGTTTGACGAGTCGGACGACGAGGCGCCCGCGCCGAACTCGATGCGCGCGCGCCTCGAGGCGCTCGCGCGCGAGCGTCAGCAGCGGCACACAGAGTCGGCGCGGCCCAAGAAGCGGCCGACCGACAAGGCGGCGCGCCGCGACGCCAAAAAGGCGAAAACCGAGGCATAGCTACGTACTAGTCGCGCTCTGCGAGGCGCTCGAGAATCTGTGCAATGTCGTCTTCCGCGAGCGTCGTGAACCGCCGCTGCGGCGAGTCGGCGGCCTGGGCCTCGGGGCCGCCCACCACGCCGACCTCGATCTCGCTGGGCTTGAGCTCCTGCGCGAGCACCGTGTTCAGCGTGTGCACGGCCATGTCGAGCACCTCGTCGCGGCTCAGCTGGCTCGCGATCGACTCGGCCTCGGCAAGCGCGGCCTCCGGCGCCATCGCGGCCGGCGCACGCTTAAACTGCTTCTCCAGCGCGTTGATCGCCTCCGTCTGCTTGGCGCCGCTCGCCGTCGCACGGTACCCCACATAGTGGCCGGCCGGGTCGATCTGGAAGATCTGCGGCGCAAGGCCCCGCTCGTCGTCGAGCCCAATCAGGATCATCGCGATGCCCAGCGGGCGCATCGCCGCCTTTTGAGTGTAGACCTGGTTCAGGTTCGCGAGGCGCTTCGCCAGCAGGTCGGGGGTGATGGGGTATCCGTACTTGTACTTGAATTCGGCCGCCTCCGAGCGCGCGCGCTGCACCTGCGCACGCGCGTCCGGCGTGCGGCCCGTCACCACACACCCAATCTCCGGCGTAAGGGCAAACAGGTGCGTGACCGTCGAGGCATCGATCAGCTTGTCCGGCAGCTTCTTCTGCGTCACCACGACGGCCGAGTCCTTGCCTCGCACCGCCACAGCCGTAATGCCACCCGCCTGGATCGCCTTGAATGCATATTCCACCTGATACAGACGACCCTCCGGCGAGAAGATCGTCAGGTGCCGGTCATAGCTGCTCCGCGACATGGCGACCAAGAGCACTGACGCGTCGCCGCCCGCCGCCCGCCGCCGCCGCCGCATCGGCCGACGTCACGTGGTACCAGAAAAAAAACGCCCAGCGGGCCGCTGGGAGCCAGCCAGCCCCTTCCGCACGTCATGCCCGGCACGCCAACGCATGTGCTCTTCGAGTGCGCCGCGGGCCTTGCGGTATTCAAGGTCGAGCAGGTCGAGAGCATCGGCTCGCAGACCAAGCAGGTGCAGGACGCGATGACCGATTTGCCGTCGTTCGGCAAGATGGTCCAGCTGCTCAGCTTCGCCCCGTTCAAGAGCGCACCCGAGGCGCTGCAGGGCGCCCTCGACATCTCCGAGGGCGTCGTAAATGACCACCTCCGCTCGCTGCTCACGCTCAACCTGAGTCCCGAGGGCAAAAAGGTCAAGGGCGTCGAGCTCGGCGTGTGCGACCGCAACCTCGCCAGCTCGATCGTCGCGGAGCTCGGCATCCCCTGCGACACAGGCGAGACGACGCAGGAGCTCATCCGCGGCGTGCGTCTGCACGCCGAGAAGCTCCTCAAGGGCATGCACGAGGGCGACCTCGCGCGCGCCCAGCTGGGTCTCGGCCACTCGTTCTCGCGCTCCAAGGTCAAGTTCAACGTGAACCGCAGCGACAATATGATCATCCAGGCGATCGCGCTGCTCGACACGCTCGACAAGGATGTCAACACGTTCGCCATGCGCGTGCGCGAGTGGTACGGCTGGCACTTCCCCGAGCTCGTGCGCATCGTCCCGGACAATCTCACGTACGCCAAGCTTGCTCGCTTCATCAAGGCGAAGGAGAACCTCAGCGAGGAGCACCTCGACGAGCTCACCGAGATCCTGAACGGCGACGAGACTGCCGCACACAACGTCCTCGATGCGAGCCGCGCCAGCATGGGCACCGAGGTCGGCGAGCTCGACATGGTCAACATGGAGCACTTCGCTGACCGCGTCGTGCAGCTGGCCGAGTACCGCAAGAACATGCACAACTACCTCATCGAGAAGATGCACCTCGTCGCGCCGAACTTGTCTGCCCTCGTCGGCGAAGTGGTCGGCGCCCGCCTCATCTCGCACGCGGGCTCCCTGACCAACCTCGCCAAGTACCCCGCCTCCACGGTGCAGATCCTCGGTGCGGAGAAGGCATTGTTCCGCGCGCTCAAGACGAAGGGCAACACGCCAAAGTACGGCCTGATCTATCACGCGTCGGCCATATCGCGCGCCGCGCCCAAGAACAAGGGCCGCATGTCGCGCTTCCTTGCCAACAAGATCAGCATTGCGTGCCGCATTGACTGCTTCTCCGACGCGCCCTCCACCAAGTTTGGCGAGGTCCTGCACATGCAGGTCGAGGAGCGCCTCGCCTTCTACGAGACGGGCAAGCCTACGACGAAGAATAGCGATGCCATGCGCAAGGCGATTGCCGCTATGGAGGAGGCCGCCGGCGACCTCATGGACGTCGACGCTGACGAGGATGCTGACGAGGACGACGAGCCTGCTGAGCCCGCCAAGCCCAAGGAAAAGAGCAAGAGCGCCAAGAAAGAAAAGAAGGACAAGAAGGAAAAGAAGGACAAGTCCAAGTCCAAATCCAAGGCGGACGATGTGGAAAAGGCCGCGAAAAAGGCGGCCAAAAAGGCGGCCAAAGAGGCCAAAGAGGCCAAGAAGGACAAGAAAAAGAAGGATGCCTGATTCAGACCTCGATCCCCGTAGTATGCCGCGCCTAGACCGGCCCTCTTGTATAAGTAATAGCGATGTTGGGATACGACGGCGGCAGCGCCTGGGGCTCCTCGCACACGCCTCGCGTGCCTAGCGTGGCTTGCATGTGATCGGCGCTGCCTGCGTGCCAGCGCAGCAGTCTCGGCCGAGACCACGAGCCTGAGGCCCTGTGGCGGCATTTGGAGCGTGGCCTAGTAGGTCCCCGTGGCTGTGGCATGAGCGTCCGACAGGGGGACGGGAGAGGCCCGCCGGAGTCCCTGCACCGACTTTGATTGGCCTTGGCTGACAAAGCCCGAGAGGCAGCGATTGCCAGCGATCCCGATTGTGCGACACCGACTCGTGTTGACGACGCTTGTAACACCACCATCACCATGGAAGGTATGTAGCGACGGTGGCCCTCCCTCCCTGAACTGTACTAACACTCGCAGACGAGGTCGCTGCTGTATGTGCTCATCGTCAGGTTCGCTAACCTAGCAGCTTGTCATTGACAATGGTTCGGGTATGTGCAAGGCCGGTTTCGCCGGCGACGACGCCCCCCGTGCCGTGTTCCCGTACGTCGACTGCCCACTCACAGACCAGCTCAATTGTCGGTCGTCCCCGTCACACGGGTGTGATGGTCGGCATGGGCCAGAAGGACTCCTACGTCGGTGACGAGGCCCAGTCCAAGCGCGGTATCCTCACGCTCAAGTACCCTATTGAGCACGGTATCGTGACCAACTGGGACGACATGGAGAAGATCTGGCACCACACCTTCTACAACGAGCTGCGTGTGGCCCCCGAGGAGCACCCCGTGCTGCTGACCGAGGCGCCGCTGAACCCGAAGGCCAACCGTGAGAAGATGACGCAGATCATGTTCGAGACCTTCAACGCGCCCGCGTTCTACGTCGCTATCCAGGCCGTCCTGTCGCTGTACGCCTCGGGTCGTACGACCGGTATCGTGCTGGACTCGGGTGACGGTGTCACGCACACTGTGCCCATCTACGAGGGCTACTCGATGCCCCACGCCATCCTGCGTCTGGACCTGGCCGGCCGCGACCTCACGGAGCACCTGGTCAAGATCCTCATGGAGCGTGGCTACCCCTTCACGACCACGGCCGAGCGCGAGATCGTGCGTGACATCAAGGAGAAGCTCTGCTACGTCGCTCTGGACTTTGAGCAGGAGATGCTGACCGCGGCCCAGAGCTCGGCGCTCGAGAAGAGCTACGAGCTGCCCGACGGCCAGGTGATCACCATCGGCAACGAGCGCTTCCGCTGCCCTGAGGCTCTCTTCCAGCCGTCGTTCCTGGGCCTGGAGGCCGCCGGTATCCACGAGACGACCTACAACTCGATCATGAAGTGTGACCTGGACATCCGCAAGGACCTGTACGGTAACATTGTCATGTCGGGTGGTACGACCATGTACCCGGGTATCTCGGACCGTATGCAGAAGGAGATCACCGCTCTGGCGCCCAGCAGCATGAAGGTCAAGATCGTGGCTCCGCCGGAGCGCAAGTACTCGGTCTGGATCGGTGGTTCGATTCTCGCCTCGCTCTCGACCTTCCAGCAGATGTGGATCTCGAAGCAGGAGTACGACGAAGCCGGTCCCTCGATCGTGCACCGCAAGTGCTTCTAAGTTTTCTAACGATGCGGCATGGAATACTTAGCTCTTCCATAGTGGCCATACTACGATCAGTGCCCACACGGATCGAGGACCGATGTAAGTCCTATTCGCGCATGCCAAACAGCTTGCCGCCGCGATGGCGGACATTGGCGAACCCGGCCCGGGCATCCACACAGTCGATCGATCTGCATTAGTCGCTGCCAACGCACGTTTCGCGCATCCGGGCCGACCAGGCGATAGGACGAAGCCGGGGGACCGTTAGCGCACACCCCAGCACGAGCACTGCAAAGGCCACCAGGGTTTCCAGTCTCATCTGACGGTAAGACAGGCCCACCTACATCCAAGGGAATCGTGTTTTCGTACTGCGTCGAGCCTGTGCCAAGATCTAGGCTCTTTCCCTGCGATAGGACTGGTGTCAGGGAACTTTACCTACACTCGTAGATCGAGTACGCAGCATGGAAAAACAGGACTGGGTCAGACATAGGAGAGGACGTACCGACGCCAGCGAGCACAGTGGCGCGCCCGAGCGTGGACGGACGCTCTCCGGCCGGCGCGTTCATCGCGCTGGAGGTGGGTGAGCGTGGACGAAGCGCAGGTCCTGCCACGTGCACTCGAGGGGCTACCCGCTATGTAAGAAGCCAACTGGCGTTGGCGTACCACGAGATCATGGGGTTCGAACCGTCGCGCAGCTCAGTGGCCTTGGCCTCGGCATACCTTGTGAGGAATTCAGCGTGGGAGAGGATCCTAGTTTCGCGCGAGTCCTTGATGAGAGGCGGAGGAATAATGTTCGACGATACGATCGAGCGGCGCGGAGGCCGCGAGTAGTCCTCGTACAGCGCATCCGATGACGCACTAGCATCAGCATAGAAAGCATCCGGGTATGTTGAGCTGAAGTAGTCGTCGGGCATGTCGAGAGTGGGGTTCTCCGGCTCCGGCTGGCTCATCAAGTACAGGTACATGTCACGCAGCAATTGGAAGTCCGTCGGGAAAAAGATGTCAAAGAACCCTTGTAGCACACAATAGGTAGTGACAGGAATCATGGTGCCATTGTGCCGCGTCTGCACCACAGGCCCTTGGACACCTGGCAAGGCATCGGGCAGGGACGAAAAGTCCGAGACCACGAGGCGGTGGAACGGAAAACGGGTCTTGAGTACATCCAGCATCTGCAGAGCCCCTGTAGGTATATAATGAGGCTCCGTCAGGTTCGGGTAGAAGGGCACCTTCTTGTGCAGCATGTGCCGCCAAGAGCGGGGAATCCAGCCTAAATAGAACGGCGCGCCAGGGGGAAGCACCGTGGGCCGCACCGTGGACAACAACTTGAGGTACCGTTGGATCAGAGGGTCCTGTACGGGCTCCCAGAGCTCAATAAAGTCGCCCGTATGGTCAATTGAAACGAGACCTTGGTAGGGCTGTAGATCATCGGTCGAGTAGCGGACGACATCGTGGGTGAGGTTGTCCAGCACTTCAAGCGCAATCACGAAGCACGGCTCGGTCACATCCTCCTTCCAGGTCAGAAAGTCACGGTGCACCACATCCACGCAGCCCTGCTGAGCGTGGTGCTTCAGTCTGGCCCGCTGCTGCTCAGCGAGACGGGCGCTAATTTCCACAATGCGGTAGCGGGTATGAGCGTAGACATCAGGCTCATGCGCCTCGATATAGTCCAGAATATCCTTGGCTAGAGTACCCGTACCACCGCCCAGCTCGTACAGGATCAGGTCGTGATAAGGGAACAGATGCAGCTTGTACTCTGCAACAAGGTAGCGAGCAAGGGCGCGCCCGTAATGGGGGCTAAACAGCTGCGTAGGCGTGTGCCATACCTGCCCGGCCGCCATGGCATCCACTTCGACATCAGACACATTGGCATTGCTTTGCTCGCGCTGCAGTCGCCCCATCTGCCGCGCCAGATCTAGACGCTCGGCACTGCCCCACGGTGTGCGCTTCTGCGCCTCTGCGAGCGCTTCGATGCGCTCCTGCAACGTCGGCTCATTCTTATGGCGCCGTCGCTCTCGCTCTCGGCATGCCTCCTGGAATCGCTCCTCGAACGCCATGTACCTCAGCTGGACCTCCTTCATAAAGTCCGTCTCATTCTTGATATCTTGGAAAGGAAAGGCTGCCTCTAGATGGGCTTTATGGGACGCGCCCTTCTGCGAAGGCAGCAGCTCGGCTTGCCGACTAAAGTAGCCGTAGTGCGGGTTGTAGAGGCTGTCATGGATGAAGTCCCGCGTCAGCATTCGCACGGAACGTGGGCGCGTTTTTGAAGACGCGAGTTCGTTGGCCGTGACTAGAGGCAGTTCGTAGTGCTCCTTTTTAGGATGCAGGGCAAACATGTCATAGTTGTATTGCACGCGGTGCTCGGGAGCCGACGCACGCTGTGCCTCCTTGTTTGACTGGGACGAGATGAATCGATATGCCGGGGCTTTGCCCCGGCATATTGGGTTGGAAAAAATAGCTGTGCGGCGAATCATGGCGACAGGTGGCCGTGGAAGGCGCGGGAGAGCACCGATCATAGATGCGACACGCAACGGAGACCAGGGGACCCCCCACCTGGAGATTCTTCGTGGAGGTGAAGGTCAGCACTGAGTCGTCCGAACAGGCCTATGTGCACGGCCCCAGCCAAGGCAGAGATGCCAACTATAGTCGAGCCGAGGGTAGCGCTTCCTTCTATGAGCTGAACTAATGCGCCGGTAAGGAGGCGGCGCGCCTGAGACACCACCTTGGGCGTCCAGCATGCTGGCCGCCGCTTGCATAAGCATGATTTGCTGCGGCGGTTAACATAATTCCTCGTCGCTCCTGTCTGCCTTCGGCACTCCATCCACCACCGTTTGTGTGTGTAGTCACTCGCGGTCAAGCGTCTTGCTCGTTCGCGATCCTTGGTGGGGTGTGGAATTCAGCGCTTGTCATAGAACGCGTGCCCTTGTAGAAATCGGGGCATCTTGATCGAACACATTGGGACTCTCGTGAGCGTCTGACCACCTTGTTTGGGTGCACTGTATCCACATTCAGCAGGGTACGTTATCCGGAGGCACGTCGGGAGAGCATCGCACGGGCTTCTTCTTGCAGCGAAACACTTGCGAATCTGGCTGTGCCACCGACGAGTGCCTGCGCCAAGGTACTTGAGACTAACATGCAGACACGAGGCCCCTCTCTACATATTATGGCATCTGTGCCGTCGTCCCAGTATGACCTGGCACAAACTGTGCCCAGACTCATTGCTTCGAACATAATTGAACAAAATCCTGCGCAAGCAGCTGGTGCCCTTGTTACCCTCCTGACTGAGGGTCCCCAGGAGGCTGCGCAGGTGCGCCCTGCCACTCCCGGAGAACGCCTTCAGGTCGTGCAGTTGATGATGGAAAAGGGTGTGCCAGCTTACCTGCGGCATTTTACGGATGACATCCGCGGCAGACAGGTGCTTGCTGCTTGGCTGAGCGATGCTACGCCGCCGCGCAGACCTGATGTGCAGGATGTAAGTGAGCAGTACGCGAGTGTAGTCGTGCCTCTACTGCAACTTTTATTGCGACTTCCTATTGAGCTGGACCATCTCAAGGACCATGTAGGTCTTGGGAAGTTGATTACTGGGGCCCAAAAGCGCCTGCGCAGTGAGCAGGCTCGCCAGCTCGCAGATGCCGTGAAGGATAAATGGAGTGCACTGGTCCCATCTAGCTCGACTACGGCGAGTCAGTCGCCCGCTGCACTGGCGATGCCGGCAAAGCGGCCAGCTGCGCCTGTGGCGTCCGATGCCGCATCAAAGCGTGCCAAGGGCGAGGCGACGCCGACTTCCGCCACCATGACTGCACGTACCACAGCAGCTACAGTCGCGCGCCCTGCTGCCAATCTTCTAGGGGCTAGCAGTGCCCGTGCCCGACTTGGGGCGCCGACAGACCGAAAGGGCTCGCCTCAATTGGTAGACGCAAAGCCCAGCGAGCCTCAACGCCGAGCTAGTGCGCGTTCGACCGTGCCGGCAGCATCTAGCGCCACCAAAGACTTGGCCAGTTTTATGTCATTGATCGATCAGCCTACCGGAACACCGCCGCCGGAAACTGCCACTGACACGAAGCCGCCTCAACCCGAGGTGGAAAGAAAGAAGAAAAAGAAGTCGGTGCGCTGGAGGGATCATGACGGCGAAGCACTTGTCGCAGTCAAGTTGATTGAGCCCGCAGTGTACGATGAAGAAGTGCCGGGTGGTGTCGCTACAGTGGGACAACTGGATATGGAAGAGGGTGGCGTGTTCCGTTTGGCGCACGCTGAAATGGAAGAATACATTGACTGGTACATGCCGCCCTGTCTGCTGTTGCCTCCCAGCCCGCCGATGGTGCCCGAAAAGGGATCCCAGAGTATTGAAAAATGCGTTCAAGAAGAGCGCGAGCACACGGTGCCAGAGGTCATTTATACACACGCGGCCGATATCCCGGAAACGCCTGGTGCACCGGAGGGTTACGCTGTGGCATTTGCATTGTCGGGAAGCGAACCACGAAACATGACGATGGGCCCTCAACTCCGTCCCTTTAGCATGGACGTGGTAGCAGTGGCCAGTGCAGACTCGCCGATACCCGGTGTGCCTTCCTCGGTGGGTACCCTACTGCAAAATCTCAAGAACAAGATGAAAAGTACGGTCGAATCACCCGTGCCTCCTGCGTCTGTGCCGGTCGTCCCTGCGTCTACGGGACCGCCCGATGCGCCTGTGCCCCCCGTGCCCATGCCACCTTGGGCAGCTGGTGCGGTTGGTGTGCCGTCCTGGCCTTTCCCCTTTCCACCTCCTGGGCCAATGCCAGGAATGGGTCCGCCGGTGGCTGCGGAGGGTGGTGCCCCGCCCCCTAAGGACAAGCCTCCACGTTCTCGAGGAGGCCGTTCCCGGAAAAGTGGCAAAAATGCCCGATCGTCGGATGGGTACGTGGATCGACTGGTATAAAGCTAACACCTACAGACAACGAAACAGCGGCCGTGGGCCAAACCGTCTTCCATAGGCACGCTGATATCGATACCCACTGCCTTTTGAACTGATGGACGGCAACTAGACTGCGCACCACTTTCCTTTTGTAGCCAAGGGATTAGGCGCATACTCGAACGTGGCCTAGGCATCTGGCTTGTTCGAAGACACAGGCTCATCGACACTCGTCAAACGCTGACGAAAGAGACCTTTGTACAGATCGCGTTTTTCAGGAGGGATCAGACCAGCCTGCCCGGTAAGCGCACACACTGTGAATACATACTCTGTCAAGCAAACGAGCCATAGGTTTGCTTGGCTGAGCGCCCGTTTTCAACCAATACAATATACGTTTCTCGTTCCACTCCAGGTGCTTTTCCATCTGGACCTGAGAGGAGATCCCTGATGTGATGATATCGCCATTGTACCCTGGTGCATTCTTTAATTTCGCATAGGCCGTGGGAGGCGCTGTTTGGCGCGCAGGGCGAGGCACAGGGTCGTACTCGCCTAGCTTTTCAATAGGACGGGCATTGCGCGCCTTTGAATTCTGAATAGCAACAATGTGGTAGAAGGGATTGTTCCGCGTCCCATGCCGCGCCAGGCGCAAGCGCACGACCATCCTTCTGACGATGAGACGGTATCTACCACGTGAGCACCTTCACCAACGGTTCACATCATACACGTGACCAAAACGTGGGACGCGCCTGTGGAATTTGCATATGCGCTCCAGCGCCGGCCAAACACGCTTGATTCGTTGTCACAAGGGATAGAGCTTACGTCAACCAATGGTTGAAGCACAGCCCACAGGTGATCTGGCGTGCCTGATGGACCTAAACATAATAGGGCCTACAAACTGAAACAAGATGGCCGGGCTTCCTTCCCATCCCCTTCACTCCCTGTTCCCTTCTCATCTACGATGATGATTCCGACTCGCACGATCCTGTGCGCATTCGCTTTCTTGACGGCAGCTAATGCTGCCATGGTGTACCGCCCTGACAACGGTAACCGACTCTACCGTCGTCAGGCGTCGTCCGGTAGCGATGCCCCTACCATGGCAAGCTCTCTCTCGAAGTCCATGAGTGCTTTGGGTGCACAGGCTACTGCGTCGACCCCGTCGCCACCTTTCCAATTTGGTAACCCGAGTCATGACTACCCTGGCGTGATTGCACAGAACCCCAATGGTCCTACCAACCCCGAAACCCCGCAGATGAACACACCTATTAACCAAACATCGCTGTCTAGGCTGGCATCAGTCAACAATATTGACGACTGGTGCACCTTCGGTCCGAATGATCTTGACGTTCCCCTTTCCGACCAGGAGGAGCGTGTTGTGGCTTACTGCACAAAGCCCCGTAACAACGCCCGTGTGATTCCAGATGGTACTGTGACTGCCGCACACTTTGTGAAGACACCTCTCTATGTTCAGATCATGGCTCTTGGTGACTTTACGCGTATTGGTCTCAAGTCAAACGACACCGGCGGTGAGCTTGACCCGCATGGCCAGACGAATGAAGGCAACCCTCATGGCGGCAACGTCACTTCGAACGTGACTGGTAAGGATGAATTCTACCAGGAGTGGATGAACTACATTGGCCACAACATCATGTGTTTCCGTGTTTGCATTGCTGGCTCGGATCAGGCTAAGCCGGAGGTCGAATGTCAGCACACGCTGGATGAGATGGGCTGCACCTGGGTCATGCCTGGTAACTACGATCCCGACTCATTCGACTCTTGCGATGCTGACCCTGCTTACCCGCCGGGTCTCTTTTTGGACAATGGTTCGACGTCGACCTTCCAGCAATTCATGACTGGTGTTTACACGGACGCTGATGGCAAGAAGAAGAAGTTCACCAATGGTAGTGAGGGCGAGAAGACTCCTAGTCTTGCTCAGTCGTTGCCAAGTTCGTCGAACTGCAAGCCTGCAAGCTCTATCGCGAACGGTATCGACACCGCGAAGCTCCTTCCTAGCAATGCCAACTCGGGTTCTCCTTCTGCGACAGGTGCCCCGGCTGCTGGTGGCGGTAGCAGCAACAGCGGAAACCGCAGCGGCAATGGCAATGGCAATGGCAGCGGCAGCGGCAGCGGCAGCGGCAACAACAAAGACATCAGCAAGAACAACCAGAACTCTAACAACGGTGCCTCGGGCGCCCCTGCGTACACCGCTTCGATGGCGGCAATGATTGCTGCTATCGTGGCTGGTGCCGTTCTCATTTAATTAAGAAGGATGTGATTCATGTCCATGCAAATTTACCTTACCTCTCATCTCCCTTGAGATATTGCCCGCTGTTTAAATACATTGATATCGTGTACATAGCGAAGCAACTGTATGCTGTTCCTATGTCGATCTTATGCTGTGTGGGAACTAGAATAGATTGGAGGCCTCGAACGGTTGCCACGTGCGAGTATTAGACCCGTGCGCTAGCTTGAGCCGTCTCTGGTGGCTACCATGGAGCGTTTGGCGCGTATATTTGGTCGAGCCTCTACTTTGAAGCCCAGGCCTATCAGCACGATACGTGTATATTCGACTCGCCCTGTCCAGCCTGGTCGATGGGATCCTCATGTCACACGGGTGAAGCGTTCTCTCCCGAAGTTACCGGTACGCGGTCGAATGACTTACACATGCATTAGAATAACAAGCCGTATTATATTCTCGGAGGGGCTTCTCTGATCGTGTTCTGGTATATCTTTTCCTCTTATCTTAACAATAAAGAGCGCGTGAGCTCCTCGGTCTTGCGGATGGTCTCGCACCGCGTGCGCTCCTCGCCTGAGGTACACGCTCTCATTGGCGAGCCGGTGTTCTTAAAGCGCAGCGCTTTTGGTGATCCCTGGATCGACGGCATAGTGAACCCGCTCAAGGGCAAAGTGGATATGAGCTTCCAGGTCGAGGGTCCCGAGGGTGTCGCAAATGTGTACTTTACGTCCGTGCGGAAGCACAAAACAGATCCTTTTGAGCTGCTCCGGTTCCTGGTAGTACCCGTGGGTGATTCAAGTCGAGCTGTCTCACTACTGGCGCCCGGGCTCGCAGAAACGCTCATGAACGGTAGTTAACTATATATTTACACAAAACCTCGCATTTGCAGTGGCCATTCGTGGCGTGATGCACTGCCCATAACAGCACCTTGAGGAGGCGCCGCGTCCTTTGCAGGTCGAGAATAGAGGGGCATGGGTCGGGCATCCGTACCCCCTTGAAACCGGCGAAATTCGGGTACATCGTAGAGATGATTTTTATTGAGGCGGCTTGTTTGGGATGGCTGGGATCTCGGAGCACGGCGCGTCGGCACAGCCGGAGCCACAGCCACATGCGCAGAGCGCCAGCGCCGTAGCGCAGTGACAGTCTCTAAGGAGATGTCACAATCGGCCATCAGGGCCCATATGGTCCGGCGAGCCGCCAGTCGCATGGGAAAATGATCCATCAAGTGAAGTGCACGGGCCAAAAGAGAAACCCGCTGAAACAGCGCGGGATCCTGCTCATGCATCCGCACAAGTGCACGGCGGGCCTGTCCCGCAACAACGCCATTTCCAAGCTTGGCAAGGAGCATCGCTGCGTCACTTTCGCTTTTATCTTCGGCGGGTACAAGACGCGACGCGAAAGCGTCACTCACGAAGGTCTGGGGCTCGTTCAAGCACACAAACGCACGCCGATTGACTGGCAGACACAGTCCACGCATCGTCCAGTGCCGTGTTGCTAAAGCTTCACGTCCGCGCACTGACTGCGACACCAGACCGCAGGCATAAAAGCTCGTGCCTCGGACAGACACCACCGGCGAGGAACCCGCCGCTACTAGCGCATCCAGTAGGCCATGGTCTTCCAGTAGCGACACTCCTAAATCAGACGCGCCAATGTGGCCGCATGCCCACAATGCTGCTTTGACCTGATGCAGAATATGTGAATCATACGCCTCCCGCTGGTCGCGCTGCAAAAGAGACACCCACTCAGGCAGCACATGCAGCTCCTGCAGGTACTGGCACCCAGGTTCTGTGCATGCAAGCTGGCCGTAAAGGTGGGGCGGAAGGGGGGAGGCAAGGGAGCCCTGGCTCTGTTCGGGCGCCACGACTTGTTCCACTCGGCCCACATATGCCATGTGCTCCTGTCTCTGCCAAAGCTCTGTCAACGAAACCAAGAGCCCATGGCGCAACATTGTCTGAAATCCGAGGGGAACAGCCAAACATTGTAGGGCAAGTGTGTCCTCCGAGACAAGCAGATCTGTGGGCGGCCCCTGCCTCATAGCGCACTGTGCCATCGCAGGGTGATGACAGGCAGCCTGTAGTCGCACTCTAGCCAAGGCGCGCACACTTTGTGCCACGTCGTGGAGCTGGGCAAGGAGAAGCGACATGGCCCAAGACTGGGTTTCGCCATCGATCCAAAGTGCATGAGCAACTCGCTCCGTAGCTGCCCTGCGCACGGTCACTGGTGCTTTTGTCAGAGAACGTTCGAGGAACACTCGGGTATAGGAGGGGCCTGTCATATCCAACTTATTGACGAGAGCTTCCAGCACTCTGCTGCTAGCATCCGAATCGAGATCACACAATTTCATCCATGTGGAAAATAGACGAGCATGTGCCAGGAGCTCGAGGCCTTGCGATTGTTCTGACAGAGCCCCTAGCAAGTCAAAATACCCGCTCGTCATGGTACGCTTGAGGTTGGTCGAGCTGAACAATGCTTCCATTGGCATCTGCGCAAGCTGCTCAAAAGCTTCCCGCAATTCCAGAAGAAACCGATCCTCAGCCAGGAGCCGTACACCCTCTGAATGACGCAGTAGAAGGCGGACCAGTTTGACTCCCATCTTTGTCCAGCGGCGCCCAGCCTCATTTTGGGGCAGGGCCGCATATCGCTGATTCGAGGGAAGATAAAACGACATGAGCCGTCGAACCAACTTGGTGTTGTTGAGTGCCTCCTCAAATCGGCGGGGCTCATGGAGTGGGCCATCGAGTAGCTCTTCGATCAATGCGGTATTCCACGTCGAAAAATCCTTTGTCGCTACCACCATGGAATCCCGGATCAGCGCACGAAAGTAAGATTCATCCCAAAAGACAGTCCCTACCATGGTTCGTTTCCTGCTCGTTTCATACCGGGCACTTGCATCGTCGATCGCATGCATTGCACCTGCTGCATCTACCATCGCCAATGGCTCCCCAGGAAGACACAGGTGATTTAGGAGCTCAGGAAGGGCATGCATCTCCGTCGATTCATCTGGCAGGGCCCGATTGGAAAAGCGCAAAATACGGGCAAGAATGTCACTCGCATAGTCGCGGGCGGTAAGCGAATGTTGTACGATGGACACAAGAGCATCGATCAAGCCCACATCGAACAGCAGTCCCAGTACAAGGGCCACATACTGCTCACGGAGTAGACCGGTACTAAGGTAGGGGGCTTGGTGCAACCGATCAGCCTCTAGCTGGGATGAATCCACTAACTGCACAAGGCTGTCGATCGTACCCAAGGCATAATGGAGAACGTCTTCGTCCTGTACGCGGAGTGTCGCCACCAACGTTTTCAAGGCCCCACAGTCTCGCTGGCAGAGATAAAAGAGACCCGCCCAGGATCGCAAAAGCAGAGTCATGATATGCCCTGTTGTCTGTAGTCGCTGGATATGGATATCAGTTTTGGGCATCGGAACAGTAGAGAATCCGGCCAAGACGGCCTCCAGGTCCGTGCCTGGCGAGATATACCGCCGCGTAGCGGGGCGATCTAGCAAGGTCAGGAGATTGGTCACCAGAGGCACGGCTAGGTCAGGTAGTGCTTCACACACGGCGTACCACAGGGGCGAAAACCCTGAGGAGCGCGCAACAAGAGCCGTATTCTGCACGGCTGTATGGTAAGCGCGTGGTATGACGTACCTAGTTCTGCCAGCGTCTCTACACTAGCATGATACAATGCATCCTCAGGCTCCCAAGCCACAGCTGTTAGAGAACGCACACAGCCCTCTGAGAGTAGAGCGCGTGCATACGATGGGGCATATCGATGACACGCCATCAAAGCACGAAGCAACTTAAGCGCCTGTTCACGCTCAAAGCTGTAGCGCTCCTCTTGCGAAAGAGCACGTGAAAGGAACAATGAGATAGACGCACTATGCACGGACAAGTGTGGTAGCAGGTCCGTACACAAGATGTAGCGCAAGAGTCGAAACGCATAGCCTCGCACCGCGGATGAAGTACCTTGCGACATACCGTGTAGCGCACTGTGTGAGCATATAGACACGTACCCAAGCATGAGAACTCGAGTATCCATTATATCTTTTAGATCTGGTGATGCTTGAAACAACGAGGAGGCAACATTTAAAACGTCTGCCCATTCAAACGCCAACATGCGAATATCACCGGTCATCCAGCGCTCCAGAATCACGGCCATGGCCCTGGCAAGTGCCTGTGAATCCTTTTGAGATTTGCTCAAAGTGGAAACCTCTGGCATGGGAAATGCATGACTCTCTGGAAGCATGAGGTGACTGGGCGAACTTGAGGTCAGTCCTTCCATGCTTGGCGTGTTCAGGTCCTCCAGTCCATGAAATGCACGGATAGCACGCGGTCGAAGATACTGCCCTGACGTGGATGTCATCTGCATCAGTGTTTGGAGGTGCATGCGTCGGTCATGAAGAGAGTTCATCTGCTCCTCTGCCATATCGAGCTCGCGCTGGATCTGGCTGCGTAGGTCCTCACTCCCTTGTTTTCCCTCGAGAATCTGCAACATGTTACGTGCGCCATCGCGGATACGTGACTCCAGCTCAAGGCGAGCCGACAATTCAGTCAGCTGTATGGTGAGCTAGCACCATCACATACCTCAGTCCCCAGACCATCCATCAATTGGTTTCCAGGACCCTGTAACGCGCCGCGCCTCGCATGAGCCAACCACGTGACCATGACCCCAGACCGGTGCGAAGTCAAGATAGGCTTTACGTCAGTCATGCTAGTGTGGCTGTGGACGTTCTCCGTAGCATGGGCCGTTGTCTGTGCACAGGGAATGCCCCTTGTCGATGTTTTTGGTGATGCACTAACACTCACACCGACTAATTTTTCTCTCACCTCCAACGGCGCTTGGCTGGTGGAATTTTTTTCACCTTATTGCCCGCATTGCCGCAACTTTGCGCCTACGTGGCGCAAGGTAACTGAAAGTGTAGAAGCTCTTCGACACGACAAGGATGCACCTTATACACTTGCCAGGGTAAACTGTTATGAATGGATGGATCTCTGCTCGGAGCAGAATGTCGAATTTTTTCCTGACGCCAAGCAATACTTTGATGGCCATCTAGACAAAACAGACGTTCTCCGTCTAACTGGACAAGACGCTGAAAAAATTAAGCAGTTCGTCGAAGAACAGCAGAAAATATATCACGCGAAAAAATTAGGCTTTTCTTCGTCGACCGCCGTGGTGCCTAATGCGCCGGCCTCGATGCCATCAGATGCCCAGGCTTCGTCGACTATTACCCAGAATGCTTCCCATGTCGTATCTTCTAAAGCAAGGACCCTCGAAAGGCTCCAGAATTTAACTGAATTCGGCACCGCTCCTATTGAAACGATTGACCAGCTCGATGCCTACCTTGGTCCTGATGTCGGACAGGGTCCCTCCTTTGTCAAATGTACGTGATTTTCCACTAAAACCCAGTCTACTCCCCTTCATGTCCTCATTGCAATGCCATGGCTGCTGCATATGCCGAAAGTGCTGAGGTGATAGCAGGCCAGGTGAATCCGATCGCTGTAAACTGCCTGAAGTACATGGATATTTGCACTAAGTACGGCATAGAAGGTTGGCCTACTATGCGACTCTATCAGAATGGGTCAAAGACGGAATACCCGATGCACACGAAACGCACAAAGGAATTATTCCTCGCCTTTCTGAGGGAGCAAGGTGTATTGCATCTTATTGAGAATGTGAATGCCGCTTCTCTTGATCAGGCATTGACAAGACAAAAGTACTCCGTTTTGTACTTTATGCCAGGGTCAGAGTCTGAACGCATCATGATTGAGAATGTGCGCATGTCGGTTTCTTCTCCCATGGCATTCTTTGCTTCGGATGATCCTGCTGTCGCACAGCGCCTCTTGGGTGGTGGTCCAGGCTTGTTTGTATTGCAAGGTGGCGTTTCTAATCTCGTCGCTAGCCTGCCTCTATCGGTTGTTGCCGGTCAGTCTAAGGAAACTGCTGTGCCTGCGATTGCACAGTGGCTGAACCTGCAGGCACAACCTCCTGTGGTAGAGTTGTCTGCCAGCGGCCTCGACTCTGCCCTTTTACAAGCTCCTGGCATCGTCATGGCTGTCCTCAGCAGTAGCACGGAGGATCTAAATGACCAGCTCAAGCAATTCACCGAGTTTTCACACGCATGGCGCTCCTCTTCTGACTTGTCCCACAAGCCATTCCTCTTTGCATGGCTCGATTATGATCGGTATCCCCAGCTGCTTCTGTCTCACTATCGCATTCACGTATCGTCAACCCCCACATTGTTAGTTCTTGAGGGTCATTCAAGCATACTGTATCAGCCTCCCACCAAAGGAACCTGGCTTGAAACGTCGGAGCTTCTTCTATGGCTTAACGGCGTGAGTCAAGGGCATGAGCATGGTCAAAAGTTTGGCACTGTTCTAACTCGAACATGGACCAGTGTACGAGTCACTAGCACCCCCCTTGTCACGTCGCATCCTCTGCTCATGATCCTTGTCTTCTTAAGTCTCTTGCTTCTCATTCCGCGTATGCGCCGAATGCTGCTGCGATGGGTACCACGATCCCATGCTTCGACCAAAATGGTCTAAATTCTTCCAATTAGCTAGATATCACTCGTATTTATGCCTCTACGAATGACTTGACGCCCTCAAGCCAGCCGCAGTATTCATTCTGCTCTTTGAACTCGACGTAGTTCGGGATGAACAGAGCAAGGTCGGTAGTAATGTCACGTTCGGCCAGGTAGCTCTCAAACTGGGCCTGGAGCTGCTCATCCAGGGTGTCAAACTGTGGGCCAATGTACAGCCCACGGCGAGCCCAGTCGGCTTCAGCCGTCATCTGAGTAGCCACAACATTATCACGGTAGTACGTAATGTTTTCAATCAGGAACTGACCGTCCTCAACTTGTGCGTCAATGTTCAGCGAGCCCTTGTTAGCCTTTGAAATACTGATGGCACAGCGCACGGGGAAGCTGTCCTCAAACTCTTCGACAGACTCTCCAGAAGCCAGGCGGTCTGTCTCATCCGAGTCAAGCTCATCCGTGGGCTCAGCTGTATCCACCTCACCAACACAGAAGAGCACACGAATCTCTTCATTGCCGAAGGTACGCACCAGGGCGACTTCGTCGGAGCCAGCCTTGTCCTGAATCTCCCAGATACCCTTCGAGTTAAACTGCTGCAGCCACTCAGGCTCAACTTCCATGGTACCCTCTTGGCGGGCACTGTCCTTCTCGTACGCAATCTCTTGCTGGAGAGAGGCACAAAGGTCTGAGTCTGTCTCACCCTGGCCTAGGCGAAGCACGGTCGATGAAAAAGAGCGCTGTACTGAAGGTACGTGGATAGCAGCAGGAGCACGTAGAATAGTGCGCATGCTCATAGGCACGCGAGCAATTGCATTGACACGGGTTGCAGCACGGAGGAGAGACATGATAGATGCTATGGCCCTGGGATTCGTGATGCATCGGTCGCCACCAATAATTTGGGACACGTGGGAGTTAGTCAGCCAACCAAGCCCGCTGCCCCACGCGCAGCGCAAGCACCATTCATTGTCTTTGCTAGCATGCGCGGCTTTACCTGGATGCTCTTACCGTTTGCTCTTCTGTGTGCTGGGGCAGATGCTTCTAAAGGGCCAGCACCATTAGTGGCATTTGTTTCACCTCGCACTTCCAATGCAATGCTGCGACCACCGACGGAGAATCAGTTCGACAGACGTGAGCCTATCATCTCGGCTCGGCACGCTGTAGAGCGCCTTTCGCTGCATCGTCGCCATGATGGTACAGCAGAAATGTGTGAACTTGATGCTTTCGTTCATGTGCAGGTTGATTCGCTGTCTAAGGACAGCTTCGCTGACCTGGACGCCGCCACACCCTTTTCACTCAAGAAACGGGCAATGCTGGCGCCTCAACAGATGGTTTTCGAGGCCATGGAACAAAAATCCACTAGTTTTGCAGATGAGCTCAAGAACGCTGTTCACGAGCTCTGTGGAACTGAGAAGAAGATCTTTAACATTCCCATTCCTAACCTTAAAAGCCACGGTACGTGTCTCAGTTTTCTCATTCAGAAACCCAACTTATCTCCAAGCTTAGCGAAATTGATTCTGAATACCCAGAATACATCGTGCTTGTGACTGGATCCAATGAGCACGCCATGACCAAGCGTCAAGCCGGGCCCGCTTTGCACTACACGCCCAAGTCGAAGTTTCTTGAGCGCAATCAGGTATCTATGGCCTTGATACACAGCTAACTCTCAGCTATTTTCACCTGCTACAGTACTTGCACTAGGCGTTGTTGCGTTTTTGCTCTTTTGTACTATCATTGCTGTCGCGATGATCAGCTCTACCGAGTCTCCAGACCGACTCGCTGCTCCGTCGCGCGGAACTTCTTATGACAAGAAGCGAAACTAGCTTGGTCTATTTATAATGCTTCTTTCTGTCGTAGGCTCATATATTAGATGATTCCCTTGGTCCATTGTTGCCGGCATCCTCATAGGTTACTCATTGGATGTTGATGTCTCCACTCAAACCCTAAACTGTTTAGATCATAAATCTTGCACAAACAAATCTTAACACAGGCGCTCTCTTTCGGCATTAAAGCCTGTCATGGTAACTGATAGAAAAAAACAGACACCTACGTATACAATTAAAGGTCCTAAATTCAATGGGGCGTTGTCCCTTCAAGGTGCCGAAGAACCATTGATGGCACATCCACCATCAACTGGCTCTAAATTCTCATGGAATTTTCTTGTAAACCAAAGTATCGCTGTGATTCTTTCTTCTGTGTTGCTCCTTAGCGTCGTTATTTTGGGTCTCATTACGCGTCTCATTACCTATATACCGCGAGCATTTTCCCGCCCGCCACGACCCCGACCAAGCTGGGATAACCCTCACCGTTGGTGTAAGGAGAAACTTACAAAAGATCCAAAATACTATGCGCGAAACTGTGGCTTTGATATTGTTGAAGAGCAGGTTGAAACCAAAGATGGATACTTTCTTCGTATGCACCGCATTGTGCCTCTATATCCTGACCATAAATTGTCACAGATTGGGCAAGGCTATCCAATTTTAATTATGCACGGTCTTTTTCAGTCTTCAGGTTCTTTCATCACCTCTGAGGACCGGAGTATCGCTTTTTGGTTTGCACAACGTGGATTTCAAGTCTACTTGGGAAACAATCGTGCTGTTTTTGATATGGGCCACCGCCACTTTAATCGTTACGATCCGAAATTCTGGGATTTTGATGTTAATGACCTGGCCATGTATGACTTCCCGGCCATGGTCAACTACATTTGCGAGCAAACTGGCTACAAGAAAATTGCCTATATTGGCCATTCGCAAGGGAATGCCATTGCCTTCATTGCACTTTCCAAGTGGGGCGTCCCTGAACTGGGTGAGAAGTTGTCGTATTTCTGCGCTCTTGCACCTGCTGTCTTTATCGGACCATTGGGTAGGCGCTTCCCACTCAAGTATCTTAGCAAACTGGACTGGGCTTGGTGGCAACGCGTATTTGGTGTCTTGGATTTCACACCGCTGATGAAGTTCTCGTATGACTGGACGCCAGCCACCCCCTACGCAGCATTGGGCTATCAAATGTTTGCGTATCTATTTGAATGGAACGATACCCATTGGCTTCAGCGCCGAAAGCCAAAAATGTTCCGCTTCACGCCCCAACCCGTGTCTTCCAAGACGATGTTTTGGTGGGCAGGTATGAATGGGTTCTCCACGCGAGGTCATATTTTTGACCCCATGATGACTTGGTTCGATAAGCGATGCCCCCCTATCTCTCTTTATGGTGGCGGATCTGATCATCTCGTGCTACCTGTGCCTGTGATCGAGCACTTTAAAAACCACGAACCTGATGTCCGCCTCGTTCGAGAGAAGCTTGAGCCTGCTGCTGAGGTATGTTTAAATGATCTTAACCATGCAGCATTGTGACCATTACTGGGCAGCAGATGCTGTAGAATGGTGCTTCAATGATATACTTGGTACGTGGTTACCGCTGCCATGATCTTACAGAACAGAGGATATTCAGAGGACTCGTGAATGATTTCACTACCTCGCCACTGTATATTTAGGCTCTCCTTTTAAAGATTACCAGTGGTCGGGGAATTAGCTCAGTGGTAGAGCGCTTGCTTAGCATATATGCCTGCATGAGGCCATGGGTTCAATTCCCATATTCTCCACACTTTGGGGAATTAGCTCAGTGGTAGAGCGCTTGCTTAGCACTACGTTTGCATGAGGCCATGGGTTCAATTCCCATATTCTCCATACCATTTTCCTTTTATCATTTTATGAATGTTTCGAACATATACAACTAGTTGTCCCAAGTTCGTGCACGTTCACTAGACTTTTTGTCCGGACTTACATATCTACGAAGATCCGACAAAGTCTGTCCATGACTTGACTTCGGAGGGCATCGAGCCTTCTTCGTAGGGAAGCAAACATCCCTTGGGCATTTTGTGTTCGAGAGTTTCCACGAACAACAGAGCAGTCTTGGGCTCGTTCAGCAGTGGCAAGCCAAAGTCGACTGCATTCCGACGAGCCACATAATTTTCGTCGGTGGTACTTTTAGCCCGGTACTGTGCCAAGTTGATCACGAACTGAATCTCGTAGTCATCAAACACCTCCCGAAGTTTCCGCTTATCCTTTAGAGGGAACCAAATCCGCCTAGCGGTCACATAGGGTAACTTGTTCAAGAATTCCTCCATTTCTTCATTGGAGCAATATAGCTTGAAGCCCAAGTTGTTCAGCTTAATGGCAATATCCTTGAGCTCAGGAGTATTAATGTTACCACCCAAGAGCACACCCTTGTGGGCCTGCGGAACACGGAAGCCAGTCGTAGAAGCAATGGAGGCCCAGTACGCTTCATATAAATCTTTACCGAACGATGCCACTTCGCCTGTACTAGCCATTTCAACACCCAAGAAGGGGTCCGCACCACCTAGGCGAGTCCATGAGAATTGAGGCACTTTGACAGCCACATAGTTGTACTGTTTGGACATCAAATCAACAGGAGCAGGGACATTCTCGTTCATAATTGCAGACGTTGCAACGTCGATAAAGTTGACACCCAAGACCTTGCTGACAAAGGGGAAGGAACGACTCGCACGCAAATTGCACTCGATAACCTTTAGCTCCGAGGAGTTGTTTGCCTGGTCTTCCTTTCGAATAATCTGCATGTTAAACGGCCCACTAATGTGGAACGCCTTGGCAACCCGCTTAGCAATATCTTTCATACGTTCCATGTCTTCTTTTGGAACTGAAAAAGGAGGCAAAACGAGAGTCGCATCACCGGAATGCACACCTGCATTTTCCACATGTTGAGACACAGCGTGCACAAGGAGGTTACCCTCGTGGGCCACGGCATCAACGTCAATTTCCTGCGCATTCGGAATAAACTTGGTAAGCACCACAGGGTAGTCCGTATTCACCTCGGCTGCCATAGTCAGGTTGTGCTCTAAGGTAGACTCGTCCCAAATCACATTCATAGCGGCTCCAGAAAGAACATAGCTAGGACGCACAAGAACTGGATAAGAGACTCGGTTGGCGAATTCTTTCGCTTTCTCCACGTCTGTGACTTCTACCCAGTCCGGCTGATCCACGCCAATCGAATCAAGAATCTGGGAGAACTTGTGGCGATCCTCTGCCGAGTCAATATTCTGAGGGTCTGTCCCCAGTACATTCAGGTGCGACTCTTTCAGACGCAGTGCAATGTTTTGAGGCAGCTGGCCACCCACCGACACAACGACACCAGAGGCACCCTCGAGTTCATAAATATCCATCACGCGTTCAAAACCCAGCTCTTCGAAGTATAGACGGTTCGCCTCATCGTAATCCGTGGATACAGTCTCTGGATTATAGTTGATCATGATGGTATTATGTCCAAGTTCCTTGATACGACGAACGCAAGTCACGGCACACCAGTCAAATTCCACCGACGAGCCAATCCGATACACACCAGACCCAAGCACCATCGTGCCATTTTCGTCAAATTCCACATCATGTGTACTAGCGTTGTACGTGGTGTACAAATAGTTGGTTTGCGCTGGATACTCGGCCGCCACAGTGTCAATACGCTTGACAAAGGGCGTGACACCCATGGCCTTACGAGCCGCACGTACGTCAGCTTCGGTGCTCTTGACTAGCTTAGCGATTTGCACGTCCGAAAATCCACGCTTTTTAGCGGTTAGCATCATTTCCTTATCCACCTTGCTAAGGCTTCCCAGCTGTCGAAGCTCGCGATGCGTATTGACAATGTTTTCCAATTTAAACAAGAACCAGCGATCGATCTTGGTTAATTCGTGCAGACGCTCGACATCATAGTTCTTCTCTAACATGGCATAGGCAATAGCAAAGAGTCGTGTATCGGTAGGCACAGAAAGCGCATGGTCTAGGTTCTCCGGCTTTACGTAGGCTTCAAATCCATCGTAGTTCGGTGCGACTTGCCGCACGGCTTTCTGCAGGGACTCCTCAAAGGTACGGCCAATTGCCATCACCTCACCCACCGATTTCATACTCGAGCCAGTCTGACGGTTGACATGCTGGAATTTCGAGAGATCCCACTTGGGAATCTTAGTCACGATGTAGTCGAGGGCCGGCTCAAAGCACGCTGTGGTGGTCTTCGTCACTGAGTTGGGCAGCTCGGGAAGCGTGTGACCCAGTGCAAGTTTGGCCGCAGTGTAAGCAAGCGGATACCCCGTCGCCTTGGACGCCAAGGCCGATGAGCGTGAGAGACGCGGGTTTACTTCAATGACACGGTACTCACGACTGTCCGGGCTGAGTGCATATTGAATATTGCATTCACCAACAATACCCAGATGACGGATCACCTTAAGAGCTGCAGAACGCAGCATATGATAGTTATCGTCTGATAGCGTTTGGCTTGGTGCAACAACGATCGAATCACCCGTGTGGATTCCCAACGGATCAAAGTTTTCCATATTGCAGCAGATAAGAGCATTGTCTTGCTGATCCCGAAGGACCTCATATTCACTTTCTTTCCAGCCACGTAGACTCTTTTCCACCAAGATCTGAGGCGACAAACTAAGCGAACGGGCACTGAGATCACGCAATTCTTCCTCGTTGTCCGCGAAGCCCGAACCAAGACCACCGAGGGCATAAGCAGCTCGAACAATAACGGGGTAGCCAATTTCTTTCGCGGCGCGAAGAGCCTCTTGTACCGTTGAAACAGCCTCACTGCGTGCCACGGGAATGTCAATCTCGTCGAGTGCCTGAACAAACAGATCTCGGTCCTCGCACATACGCAATACATCAGGCTGCGATCCAAGGACCTTGACACCAAGGCGCTCAAAAACACCCATTTCATCGAGCTTTACGCCCACATTGAGGGCACTTTGGCCTCCGAAGTTCAAAAATACACCATCCGGCCTTTCGCGTTCCAGAACGTAGGCTACGTAGTCTGGAGAAATCGGAAGAAAGTAGATTTGAGATGCTAGTTCCTGACTTGTTTGAATAGTTGCAATGTTGGGGTTGATCAAGACTGTTTCAATACCACTCTCACGCAGGGCCTTGATGGCCTGGGAGCCACTGTAATCGAACTCACCTGCCTGACCGATGCTGAGACCGCCAGATCCGATCAATAAGACCTTTTTCACATTTTCCTTCTTCACACTAGGGAGAAACTTGCGCCAGCGATCAATACCTACAGCACCTGCTTCCACCGAAGCCGCTGAACGGTCCGTAGGCGCCGGAGAATAATATGAAGCCGAAGAATGGGCTGCACGGCAGGCCCTCGGTACTATACCGATAGTACGCACAGATAGCGCAAATGTGCTTCGAAACAGCGAGCCCCGAGCGGCGCTAGAGAAGCACTGCACAGAGGCACGCTGTGGAAAAGCCTTCATCGTATGTGAACAATGAAAGCATTAAAATCCGGAGATTATGACTCGCCTGTGCTGACAGGCTCTATGACTAAGCTTCTCGGCGACCTTCTCACCCATCACGTGGGAAGTTATACGAAGCGGAGAACATGTACGGTGTGGCCGACAGCGCCCTTCCTCTAGGGGATATCCAGCAAAGCTTTGAGGTTTTTAATCAGGCGTTTTTCTTCGATTGTGATACCCTCCCAAAAGTGTTCCTTTAAGGCATCGATCGAGTTGCGGCTGATGAGCGAGTAAATTTCGTCCTTCTCGTCGAGATGGCGGCCAAACATCTTCGGCGCCTCATTCGGATCAGGGTCGATACGAACAGCCACACCGGCACCCACGTCCTTCTTCAGCACCACATCACGGGGTTTGTGGTTGATCTCGAGAGATGTGACGCGCCCGAGTGGAACAATTTCCTTCTTCCTCGTCGTCGAATCGGTTTTAACCACACACAACGGCGTACCGATGCGCAGGGTTCCATCAAGAATATCGCAACCAAGAATAATGGGGTCACGCTTGGCAAACGCAGCGATAGTGCGAAGACGGCATGGCCAGATGGCTGTGCCGGCGGCGTCCTTCTTCTTGTTCTCCATGATCTCCGCGCTGTACGCCATAAAGCTGTCAAACAGGTGGTAGATAATATCAGCGGTAAACAACTTGATCCCAAGCTCGTCAGCGAGACGTTCAGCCTCCTTGTCAACAGGCACATCGAAACAGAGAATGCAAGCAAGCTCCTTGGCCTTCTCCAGCATCGTTGCACAGCGCATGACGTCACGTTTGTAAACAGGGCCGATGTTAATACCGCTCACAGGAATCTTGCTGACGCGCAAGAACTCGAGCAAGGCCTCCAGTGATCCTAGCGTCGATGCTTGCACACAAACACCCTTGCCCGACTTGTCGACCGAGTTGAGCAGGTTCGTCAGGTCGCTCATCACCTCATCCCGCAGCACTTCTTCCTCGTCGTCAGAATGACAAACGAGCAAGCGCGAACCAGCGACAGCTTTATCAAGGTCTGGCGCCGCAATCTTTACACCCAACGCCGCCTTGACTTCCTTGTGGTGCACATAGGCACCACGGACACGCAGCTCCTTGAGCGGCTGCGGTGTCAACAGAGCCCGGATTTGAGTGACGATGGGTCCATTCAGACCACATACGACAATCTTATCACCTTCGTGCAGGACACCGTTCGACAGAACAACATCGATGGTCGTGCCAAAGCCTTCGACGACTTTAACCTCTAGCACCGTGCACTCGAGCTCGGACAGATACATCAGGCTCGAGCTCATACGAGTCTGCGTCAGAGTCACCAGGAGCTGCAATAAGTCAGGCACACCCTCTCCTGTGATGGCCGAGGTGGGCACCAGCGAAACATAGCGACCCATGTTTTTATTCCTGTAGTACAACTCGGCATTGAGACCCTGCTCCGCAAAGGCCAGCAGAGTCTTTGAAACACGCTCTTCGAACTCGTTTTGTGTGCTTTGGCTCTGCTGTGACAATGAGTCTTGGAACGCGTTGTTGGGCGTAGGCTTCCAGTCGTAGAGACGGTCGACTTTGTTTAGCGCCACGATGAAGGGCGTCTTGCGGTCGCGCAGAAGGCGGATACTTTCCAGCGTCTGCGCCTCGAGTCCGTGCATAATATCGACGACCAAGATGGCAATGTTGCAGAGCGAGCTACCACGCGAACGCAGGTTCGTGAAGGACTCGTGACCGGGCGTATCAATGATCAGCAAACCAGGCACTTTAAAATCAAAGTTGCCATGGTTCAGCACCATTGTCTTTTCCCGCAGCGACTCCACAGGGAAGTATGTAGCACCAATCTGCTGCGTAATACCACCCGCTTCGCCTTCCTGCACACTGGTCTGTCGAACTTTGTCGAGTAGTTTGGTCTTACCGGTATCAACGTGGCCCAAAATACAGCAAATGGGACTGCGCAGGTTGTCAGCACTGCGCTCGGCCAGTGCCTTTTCGGTACGTTCTTTACGGCGCTGCTCAGCCGCTTGACGGCGCTCAAGCGCCTGGCGCTGCGCTGACGTGAGGTCGTCGTCATCTTCCGAGTCGTCGTCGTCGTCGCCCGACTCTTCATTGTCGTCGTCTTCGTCTTCGTCTTCATCCGCGTCCTGTTTCTTTTCTGCAGCCGCCTCAGATTTCGCGGCCGGCTTCGGCTCCGCGACCGGCGCCGGCTCAGCCTCCTCTTCGCTCTCCTGCTCCCAGTCGTCCTTGACATCGTCCTCAGACGAAGCATCCCAATCGTCCTTGACATCATCCGCGGCAGGAGCAACCGCCTCAGTCTCCTTCGGAGGCTCAGGCTCGGCCTGAGGTTCAGGCGGCACTTCTTCCTTGGTCTCGAGTTCTGCAGGCGGATCGTCCTTCTTGGGCTGCGACTTTTTCTTACGATTGTCGTACACAACACGGCGGGGCTTCTCAGCCGGCTTCTCGCTCTGCATAGCCGCCACGGATATGTTGCCCGAGGAAAGCAAAGCTTGTTTTCGCTGCTCGGCCATCTTCAGTTCAGCCTTCTGCTTAGGAGTCAGAAGCTTGCCTTCCTTGCGCAGCTGCTCCTTGCGCTGCTTCTCCTTTTCTTTGCGACGCAAGCGCTCCGCTTCCTTGCGCTCTTCCTCTTCGCGTTCCTTGCGCTCTTCTTCCTCAATCAGACGAAGACGGGCCTCCTCTTCTGCACGGGCCTCCTCTTCCGCCTTTTTCTGTGCAGCAAGTCGCGCTTGCAGAGCAGCGACAGCAGCATTAGGCGCCTTACGTGGGGGAGGTGCGGCCTCCGAAGCCTTCTTCTTCTTCTTCTTTTTCTTCTTGTCGGCAGCCGAGCTCGCCGCTTCCGCACCATCTCCCTCATCTTCCTCTTCCGGCTCACCCACAGCCGGCTCGTTACTCGGTTTGGGCGGCTCGTCCTTAGGCGGCGCTTCCTTGGGCTCCTCGTCGGTGTCCTTTTGCATAGCTGCCTTTTTCTGGGCAGCCTGCGCCTTCTTCTTCTCCTTTTCACGCTCCTTTTTGAGCTTCTCCTTCTCTTTTTTGGTTAGCATTCTCGGAGGGTCTGGAATGGCTTCCGTAGCCGCCTCTTCCTTGGCTGCCTGCGCAGGTCTGAGGTCAGTACTCAAGGTACGTACCCAGGTGCAGACTCCTCGAGAGACGGCGTCTCTTCTGTCTCTTGATTGACAGGATTCAAGTTGTTCTGCGACACATCTTCACCGAGATCAGCAAAGGGGTCATCGTCCTCGCGCCTGCTGCCCTTTTTCTTCCCCATCGTGGCAAGCTGGAACCTGGCGGCGACCTGCGACCCTTCTTCATACACGTGACCACGGCCGAGGTTTTCATCCACAGGACGACAGCGCGTACGAGCGACGTACTGCGATCATGGAAGCAGGATCCGCCCCTCACACTCGCTCGTACGGCGTAGGAAAAAAGATGGGAATCACTGGCCAAACCAATGGTGCTAGTCGTCGCGCAGACAGCCATGCAGCTGTTCCCGCGCACGCGGGCTTCCCTCCCCGCGTTCACGTTATACACGGTGCGGCGGGTCGTATTGTATGCGTAGCCGACATTCGTGGCCACATTCAGCAGCTGAACCAGATTGCTGCTGAGAACAAGGCTGCTGCTATTATCCACACAGGTGACTTTGGCTTTTACACGCGCGACAGTCTCGAACGCATGGGCGAGCGGACGCTGCAGCATGTCATCCAATACAGCCCCCTGCTGTCGAGCAAGCTGCGCTCGGTGCTTCTTGACAGCGCCGAGTCGCGCGCTCCCTTGGCAAATGGGCCAGCGCATGCGCATCTGCGCCAGATGTTTGCTGACCACCCAGAGGCCGTGCTGTCCGAGTTCCCGCAGCTGCTCTCCAAGCAGATTACACTAGATGTGCCGGTGTTCACCGTGTACGGCGCCTGCGAAGATGTCGAGGTGCTCGAGCGCCTGCGATCGGGCGAGTATTCTGTGCCGAACTTGTACATTCTGGACGAGGCATCGACGCATGCCATCGATGTCGGCTCACTTCGGCTGCGTCTCCTGGGCCTTGGAGGCGCCGTCGTGACCCACAAGCTGTTCGACCATGGTGTCGGAAATGGCTCTTTGGCAGGAGGTCAAGGAACTATGTGGACGAGCATGCTCCAAATTGGCGAGTTGATTGAGACGGCACAGCACGTATATGACCCCACCGAGGTACGTGTGTTCGTGTCGTTTGCCTCGCCGGGGCGTGATGGGCTCGTGGCGCAGCTGGCGCAGGCCCTGCGTGCCGACTTCTGCGTGAGTGGGGGCCTGCACCTGCGCTATGTCACTAGCTACAACGACTATGGCGTGTATGGCCAGCTGGACACGTACCGTGCAAAGCTCTCGCAGGCGACGGCCAACTTCCAGGATGTATGGGATGCCGTGCGCCCCCAGGTCGAGGCAGCGATTGATCCCTCCCAGCGTACGCTGCTAAACCATGCCCTACAGGTCGCGCTGCACGTGCCCCAGCCGATTGCGGCAGGCGCCAGCCGCGATGATGCGTTTAAGAGCCTGTGGCAGTGGAACCTCCCTGATGCCTCGATTGGCTCACTGGTGCTCGACATTTCAAATGGCCGCGTTGCGACCGAGATGCGCAGCCAGGGTGTGAACTTTGCGTCGCGCCGCTCGCGTGCCGCAGCGCCGCCGGTGAAGGTTGCCCTTCCGTCGGCGCGGGATAAGAGCCCCGCAGCTCCTGCTGGTGCTGTGCCCCCTGTGGCAGGGCCGGCGGAAGAGCCCGCCGCCCAGATCCCTCATACCTTGTTCCTTGGCCATCTGGGCGAGGCCCATCCCGTATCAGAGGGGGACATCCGTGCGTACTTTGGCGAGCACGCGGCGAACATCACGCACATCCACTTTTTCCCGTCCGACCGTGAACGCCGCGGCAAGGACGAAGGCGAGCCACGCATGCGCAACTTTGTGCATGTGGAATTCAAAAGCGATGCCGTTGCCGCCGCTGCGCTGCAGTGTCGTGGCAAGACGATCAAGAACACCAGCGTAGTGCCGACGCTCGAGCTGCTAGAGCGTCCCCGTGCCAAGCCGAAGACCGTGAAGGACCGGGCCGACGAGGATGCGCCGTCGTCTGGACGCACTCGCGGCGGCCGGCGTGGGCGGGGCGGCCGAGGCGGGCGCAACCGCAACAATAACAACAACAACAACAACAATGCTGGCAGCGAGCCTAACCGCCATGCCAATGGAAACGACACGGGCGAGAATACCAAAGCAGCCACGCAGGGCGACGCGGTGCCCGCCGCACCAAAAGAGGAGGCCACGAGTGCATAGGCGTCAACTCGTTGTAGATGAAAACGACAATGGTGCTATTGAACAGTGCCTGTCTACTTATGCGCGCGTCTGCCGCAACAGCTGCTTCGACGCCGCGGCCAACTGCTTGGGCGGTGGTTTGGGCGGGCCGTTGATATCCTGGTCGAGCCAGTCGGGCAGCTCGGCCACGAGTAGCTCACGGAACAGTGGCTGGAGCTTGCGTGTGTATACCAAAGACGGCCCGGACAGGGGCGAGCGGGGCTCACGGACGCGATGCTGCTCCGACATGGGCTCGGCGCGGATCGACTGGCCGAGGGGGTCCGGCACATCAAACACGGCCCATGGCAACTGATCGCGCTCCGAGCCACGCACATCGTCACACAGACCGTCGTTGGCTTTCACACGTTCTTCGTCCAAGAGGTCAAGAAAGAGCGCATGCGCATCTTGCACGACGCTAAGCATCTTCTCAGACGGCTTCTCAGAGAAGGGCACATCCTCTTGCGCGCTCGTCTGCACATACATGCACCGGTACTCAATCTCGCGCCGGATCTTAGACCAGCGGCTGTAGTGGATGAGTGCGTTGAGCTCTTCCATAATGCATTCGACATCATCGTCTGTGATGCGCTTGTCGTGCAACATCTCATCCAAATTCACCTCAATGTCCTGCGCGCGGCGGTCGTCGGGGTGCTGCGGGTCACTAGTCGACAGGGACAAAAAGTCCAGGCTCGCCTGGCACCACTCCCATATGGGCCCCAGCACAGGGGCCATCTCGTGGGCGAAAAAGTAGAGGAACTCGTGGTGCTGGGTCGCCCACTCGATCCACCGCTTCTCCGAATTGTCATCCGACTTGCGCATCTCGATCATGTCGTCTAGCATCTTTTGTAGGTCCCCAAGACGCCCACCCAGGTCCGCCGCCTTGGACACCTGGCGCAAGCCACCATAAAATACATGTGTGAGCGACTCTTTGAGAAAGCCCACAAACAAACTCGAGCTAAGCAGTTTGGCTAGACGCGTGCGGTCGTGCTTGGCCAGCATGGCACGTAGGAGCAGCTTCAGTAGCGCAAAGGTTCGCGCTTGGGTCTGGACAGGACCGCTCGCCTCCCACTCGGGTGCTGACGACGAGCTCGGGTCCTGACGCATCGACGCAGGGTATGCGAGCTCGAGGTTCGCCCGGTACGGCGACGCGGCAAAGGCCGTTTGCATGGCCAAGACGTGGTCTTGCATCGGCTCGTCCAGTTCCGGCGCCAGGTTCGACAGCAAAATTGTAGTGAGGATATCGTCGCCTTGTCGGTCCGACTCGGCGTGCATTTTTGTCGTCTCTTCCACTGTGCGCTGGCGCACATAGGCTTCCACCTTGTGCACGAGCATCGGCTCTGAGATCTCCTGGAGCAGCGGGTCAATCTGCTCTTTTTGCACTGTCGTAGCTTCTTTGCCGATTGAGTGGCTGACGATGCGCTGGAAGAGCGAGTCGGCGCCGGCAGGCTGCGCAAGGAGGATCGATACCAGCAGCTGAACCATCGTTTGCGCATTCGTTACCATCAGTGCCTGCCGCACAGCCCAGTATGGAAAAAGCATATGCACCACGCGTACAAAGTTGAACAGCCCATCGGCCGCTGGCGACGCCACAAAGAGCCACCGCAAGACTTTGGCCACATGGACCCGCACCCACTCCTCGGCGTTCTGCAGCTCCACGGGCAGATTGTCCACATGGCTCACTGACAGATACGCCACCATGTCCTGCAGTCCCGTCTCCTGCTCAATGATGGTTTCCTTGAATGCGTTCCAGTCTGACTGAATCCGCTCCGACTCGCGACCTGCTTCCTGCCAGACCTGCAGATCGTCGCCGGTAAATAACGAGTCGATCAGGTCGTAATCTTTGTCTGTCAAGACATAGGGTCGCGCCAAGCCGCGCTTGACAGTGCCGGCACCCCAGCCCTTGCCGACGCCCCACCTTTCTGTACCTGGATCACCAACGCCCGGACCTCGCAGCTCATGCTCGCCCCGCACACCCACACCGCGTGCGAAGAAGAGGCCCAGGTACTGCGTACCAATGAGCGAGAGCAGGTGCGTCAGCACAATCTCCCCCCGCTCTTTCGATGTTGACAAATTACTGTTCACGAATGCCTCAATGATGCTCTGGATGTGCTTCTGCCAGTAATCCAATGGAGCATCGCGCAGTCCCGGCAGGTACCGGAGATGGACTTGGAACAGATGGCGCAAAATCAATGGCTCCTCTGAGGGCATAGGCGGCTCAGGCGGCAGCTCTGTACTTTGCTTGCGGAATAGGCGCAGCTGCCAGTTTGAGGACCGCTGAGACGGCGTCGATGAGGTAAAAGGGAAGCCATACATACTCAGCGTACCGGGGTCGCCAAGAGCAAGCCACTCACGCTGCATCTGCATCATCACAAGCACCTTGAGAAGCATGTGCCGTTGCACCGGGTTGAGCAGGTTCTGCTTCAACCCGGGGTGCCGCGGCTGAAAGGGCGTGATCGACAGCAGACGACGCTGCTTGCGATCCATCTCCGCTACTGCCCTTTGCCGCTGCTGCGCCTCGGCCAACATTAGTGCCTCACTCGCCTTGGCTTGCTTCGCTCGCATTGCCTCCTCTTTTTTGTCCAGCTTGGCCTTTTGCCGGCGCTCCTTGGCGGCATCACGCTGCTGCTGCTTTAGGAGCGCCGCTCGCTTTCGCTGCTGCGCCATTTCATCCCGCTTTTTCTCCAGCGCCTCCTTGCGGATCATGGCCTTTTCTTTTTTCAGGGCACTTTCTTCTCGCTTCTGCTGCGCGAGTGCCTCCTTCTGCTGCCGCGCCTCCATTTTCTTCTGCATAGCATCCAGCTTCCTCTGGGTTTTGTCGTCGTGAGGCGCCACTGAACCAGAGCCTGCCCACCTGCCCAGCGCAAGAAGCCAGGAAGATGACGCGCCGGCGGCTGAAGCAGGTGCATTCGCGCTTATAGGCGCCATAGGCTCCTGCCGCGGCATGTCTGATGGGGGAGTCATAGCAACCGAGGCAGGCTGTTGAGGAGGCGTCGTAGCTTCCGTCATGGGTATGGGCCTCAAATTATCCTCCTCCAGGGAGTACCTCGTTGGAGCTCGGGGCTTCGAGGGAGTGCGTGCTGCCGGTGGTGTCATAGCGGCCCGTTCCGCCTCGTCCCGGGCTCGCTGCGCGCGACGCGCACGCCGCGCGGCGCGCCGTGCTTGATATTCTTCCTCGTCCATAGGCATATCCGCAGGTACGCGGTGCCGTCGCGAACTGTGAGGTCGGCGCGCGCGATGCTCGCGTGGGCGACGCTCTGCAACGCCTTGCCTCCGAGGATGCCTTGTGTGATCAGAGCGAGAGGCGCGTTCCGCACGCGAACGCGTACGAGATGGCGGCTCGTGAGCGGACATGCCTACTGCCTGGTCCGCTGCCGTGCGACGCGCTGCATAGGCCGCACCGCTCTCCGCTTCTAGCTCGGGGGCGTCCACAAATGCGTCGGTGGGTGCGTACGCGGACGCCGAACTCCGCTTACTCCTTCGACGACGACGACGAGCGTCCCCCTCTGCCACACCTGCACTTTTATAAGCATGCGACCGATGGTGCGCACGCGGTGGCGCTGGATCGGCCATCGTGTCGAGAGGTGCGGACCGCTCGTCGAGGATCAAATGTGGGGCGCACGCACGTTGGGGGCGTGGCATGCATACTGACTACGTAATCACTCCTCTCGCGTCTGTGTCAAATAAGGTCGAAGCTGGCGTGAGGGGTGGGTGTGCACGTACCTTCTCGAGCCGGCGAGCAGCCTCGCCTAGCTGGTGGTCCTTACAAAAGGCGAAGCGAATAAACCTCTCACCATACTTGGCGTCCTGTTCGGCGTAGAATGCTGTGGCGGGAAGCACAATTACATCGCACAAGTGGCCAATGAACCAGCAGACGTGATAGTCGCGGGCCTTCACGCGCACCTCGTCTGGCATCTCAAAGTCGTCTGGGAGGCGAATGTTAGATGCATCCACTAGCACGAAGTAGCTGCCATGAGGTATCGTGTACGGAAGGCCGAGGTGGTCCAACGCGGCCATTAGTTCTTGACGACGAGCCGCATATTCCTGGCGCTGCTTTTCGAAAAAGTTTTCCTGGTCAGCCAGTTCCAGACCCAGAGCTGCACCTTCCGAAGCAATCGAGTTGGTGGTGTAAGTGATGCGCAAATGCGCCATCATCGTCGGGGTAATGAGATGCTTGGGTCCGATCGCCCATCCCACGCGCCAGCCGGTGCAGGCAAACGATTTGCCTGCGCTGCCAACCGTGATCGTGCGCTCCCACATGCCCGAGATGGAGGCCAGGCGGATGTGTTCCTGCTGGTCATACGTCAAGCAGTCGTACACCTCATCAGAGATGACGAGAATGTCGTACTTGATGCAAAGCGCGGCTAACTGTTGAAGCTCCTTGAGCGTGCAGACCTTTCCGATTGGGTTGTGAGGTGTGTTGAGGAAGAGGAGCTTGGCCCGCGGGCTTGCCATCTTCTGCTCGAGCAGGTCCCAGTCAAACAGCCACTCGTTGGCGGACACGGCCTGCTTCCCACTTGAAGGGGGCAGCATGGGCACGTACACAGGAACTCCGCCGTTAAAGGTCGTCTCGCAGACATACTGGTCAAAGAACGGCTCTAGCAGGATGACCTCATCGCCCTCCTCCAAAAAGGCCGTCGCGGCCGAGTACATGGCTTCATTCGCCCCAGGAGTTACGACAATTTCGCTCATAGGGTCGAGTTTCTCGCCGCTTTGCGGGCGCTGCATCGGTAACCCCGTCGTGTCCAAGTCCACCTTGCCATCGAGCATGTCTGTGTTGCCAGCCGCTGGCTTGTGGAAGCTCGCTGAGTACGTATCGCTAATGGCATTCAGTAGTCGTGGGCGTCCCCGTGCCGGTGAGTAGTGGTGAAGATCCACCCGCTCCTTCGTTTCTTCCAAAAGCCGATCGAGCAAGAACGAGGGCGGTTTCCAGTTCATAAACCCTTGGCCAAGGTTCACTGCGGTGGGGAAAACACCCTGGTTGAAAAAGGTCCACACATCGGTGCCGCGGTTCAGCTCCTCATGCATGCGCGAAGCAGGCTGAGAAAGAAATCGAGTCGGTTTCTGTGTCATGGTGGTAATTGTCCGCCAACCCGGTGGCCGCCCACGACAGCGCATGGATCAGGGAGAGCGAACGATGCACAGATAGCGTGCTCTACCCCGATAAAATCGGGTCGTGCATAGCCCACATCGGCACGGGGTTCACCTCTTATGCAGGCCCTCTGTCGGGGCCTGGTCCGGCCGCAGCTGAGAGGCACGGGGCCTTGTGCGTCCCGAAGATCATTTCATCCTTCGTTCTTCCATGATCGAATCAGTCGCACTCGAACTTTGCGTCTGGGACGCGCGGGGAACCTGACGTGCGCGCCTGCGAAGTCGCCGCAGGGTGGGGGTCCTCCGATGGTGAAGGCGGTGGCCTTTGTGGCGGGGGCTTCCCTCCTTGCCTATGCGAGTACGTCCTGGTGGTCCGTGGCCTATACGGACAAGGTGGCCGAGCGCGCCTCCCCTATCCTATCCTTCTCCATGCTCTTCGGCTCACGCTCCAGCCTGAACTGGGCCACTCACGACGAGCAGGCCGAGCGCTTGCACCGAGGCATGGACAGGCTCTCAGGCATGCTCCAGTTTGCTCCCGCCCCTGTACGTGACTTTCTTCTTCGAACGTACGTCTCGGCCTCGCGCGCCTACTTGGCTCTCCCAGAGTACCAGCAGGCAGTGATACCCATCTTGGCCGTTGAGGTCGGTGTCCTGGGAGCGTGGCTACTGGCACCCGGTCTAGGCACGACTGTATGGATGCTGCGCTACTTCACGCATCGCCCCGCGTCTGGCCGTGTTCTCACTCTCTTTACGTCGGTGCTGAGCCACCGTTCTCTGGCGCACTTTGCTCTAAACAACCTGGCCCTGTGGTCGGTAGGAAGTGGGGCACTACTGGCGCTGCCGAGCTCAGGGATGCCTGAGGCCTCGTCTTTGCCCCATTTCCTAGCGTTTTTTGCCACGGCCGGCATGTGTGCGTCGCTGGCGAGCCACCTTGCGATTGCCACACGCTGGCGACTTGCGCGCACGCGCCTGGACAAGATGCTCCTACGTCGACGCGCGAGTCTTGGCGCGAGTGGGGCCATCTATGCCGCTTTTGCACTCTCTGCTTGTGTGATGCCGCAGGTCCATGTGAGTTTGCTCTTTTTGCCCATGCTCGCTGTGCCGATCCAATGGGGCTTTGGAGGGTACGTATCATGCACTTACCGCAGACTCGTGCTCCTGGACCTGGTGGGGGCTGTGCGTGGATGGCAAGTGTTCGACCATGTGGCGCACCTGGGCGGCGCCGCCTTTGGGGTGGGATACTATGTCGTAGGCGCCTCGCTATGGCGCCAGTGCACCTCGTTCTGGCACACGTATACCTATTAAGCGAACTTCCAAATAGCTGACAGTTCGTTCAGGAGAGACTCGAGTTGTGCATCGTCCTTGCTGGCGAGGCTGGCGTCAGGAGACAGATACATACGTAGGGATCAATGTGCGCGCCTCATCGATATCGGTCACGGACAGGTTGGCCAGCTGCGCCATTTCGAACTGCGAGAGCTGGAGGCCCTTGCTGTCGCCCATATCGCCGTCCAGGTCCGGCTGCGCGGCATGCTTGATCAGCAAGCTGGGTAAGTGGGAGAGACGTACGCGCGTACTTCACGAATCGTCGATTGGTCCTTGAACCGGCTAAACTCGTCCACGTACTCCTTCGTCTTTTGCGTCACACTGCGTCAGGAGAGTGTACGTACGCGGACAAACCGTCGCGTTCATTCGCCTCGCCCGGCCGCGAAAAGAAGAGATGCACTTCCGAGATGAGCAGGCAGCCTGCATCCTGGAACTCTGATCGCATTATTGAATTTCCACGCACCATGACCGAGCTTGCCTGTGCTCGCATCCTCAACCTCAATGGCGCCCCGGCGCACCCGCTGGAAGGCAGGCAGCGACATGGTGGCAGGGCGACAGCGACGAATCCCTCCACTCAATGCCAGCGCCGGCGGACGGCCCAGGCGGCATGGACGTCGATGCGGCGCCGGAATGGGAGCTCTTGTACGGACTCTACGGGCATTCACGTACGGTTACGTGCGTTGAATTCTCTCCAGATGGCCAGAAGCTCGCGACGTGTGGGGCGGATTGCCTCGTGCACGTATGGGAGACCTGCACGGGCCGGCTGCTGCAGACGTGGAGCGCGCACGACGAGGGTGTGAACGCGGTGTGCTGGACGCGCGACTCGCGCTACATTGCCACGGCCTCAGATGACCGCACTGTGCGCGTGTTTGATGTCGAGTCGGTACGTTGTGTGGCTAATGGCAGGGCCAAAAGATCCGCACGTTCCTGGGCCACACGTCGTACGTGATGTGCGTGGCATGCCACCCTCTGAGCACGCTGCTGGTGAGCGGTGGCTTTGACGAGACGATCCGGCTATGGGACCTGCAGCGTGGTACCTGCCACCGGATGATTGCGGCGCATTCAGACGCCGTGACAAGCGTCGACTTTTGTGCGGACGGCACCATGATGGCGAGCTGTTCGCACGATGGGCTCATGTACGTGCACATACTAATGCAGCCGCCTATGGGATACTCACGCTGGACTGTGTCTGCGCACGCTGCAGCACGCGGATAAGGCGCCCGTGGCCTCGGTGCGATTCTCGCCCTCGTCGCTGCAGCTGCTGGCCTCGAGTCTCGACAGTGCGGTGCGGCTATGGGACGTGGCGAACGCGCGTGTGATCAAAACCTACACGTCACATACGAACACGCAGTATGCCGGCGCGGCCCTCTTTCTGTTTCAGCCAGGCCCGGATTCCCGCGTGTGGGTCGCGTGCGGCAGCGAGGATCGCCAGGTATACGTGTGGGATCTGCAAACGAAACGCGTCGTGGCGTCATGGTCCGCACACCGAGACGCCGTCGCCTATATCGCTGTACGTCCATCCCACTCACGCAGGCGCATCCCACACTGCCGCTCCTTGCTACGGCCGGCCTCGCGCAGGACGCGAGCGTCCTCGTCTGGGCGAATGTAGTCACGTGATGTACTCCGACGCGCGCGCGCGCGCCGCGATGTCTGGTAGCGGCGGCGATGGCGTCCGTGAGACGCACGCAACTGGGCCTGCGCGCGCCTGGGCGCACGGTGTCGCAGGGCGCCATGGCGAGCGCTGGTCCCTCGCGGGGGACAAAGGCGCCGCAGCGCGCCGTCTCGGCGTCCGACGTGCCGCGCCGGAGCGACGCGTCGATGCGTGTGCTTTTGCGCGTACGCGGCACCGCTGCGGCAGGTGAGAGTGTTCTTGCGACCCACGGGACGCGCGGGACGGATGTGGACGTGCTAGGCGACGTGCCTTCGTCGTCGCGGGGCGCGGCGCGCTCCCGGACCTACGGCTATGACTGTGTGCTGAGCGCCGAGGCGGACCAAAATATGGTATACTCGGAGGCCATGCAGGGCGTGCTCGAGGATGTGCTGCTAGGCTACAACTGTACCGTGTTTGCGTACGGGCAGACGGGCACGGGGAAAACGCATACGATGGAGGGCGACCTGTCCGAGTATATGGAGACGTTTGCGCCCGACGCGGGAGTCATACCCCGCACCCTGTACCGCCTGTTCCACGTCCTGGAGACGCGCGGCGACGATTATGGTGTGAAGGTCTCACTCGTGGAGCTGTACAACGAAGAGCTGCGCGACCTCCTGAGCGATGACGTATCGAGTGCGCCTCTGCGTATGTACGACGATGCGCGGGGCCGGGGCGTCGTGCTCCAAGGACTCGAGGAGGTGCCACTCACGAGCGCAGCGCATGGCCTGCGCCTCTTGCGCGAGGGCAGCCAGCGCCGGCACGTTGCGTCGACCAAGTGCAACCAGCAGTCGAGTCGATCGCACTGTGTGTTCACACTGACCGTGCATGTCAAAGAGTCGGGCGTGCGCGGCGAAGAGCTGATGCGCACGGGCAAACTGAATCTCGTGGATCTGGCCGGCAGCGAGAGCATAGGCCGCAGTGGCGCGGAGCACCAGCGCGCGCGCGAGGCGGGTCTCATCAACCAGAGCCTACTGACGCTCGGCCGCGTGATCCATGCGCTGGTCGAAGGGAGCACGCATATCCCGTACCGCGAGTCGCGCCTCACGCGCCTACTACAGGACTCGCTCGGCGGCCGTGCCAAGACGTGCATGATCGCGACAGTGAGCGATGACCGCCTGAACTTGGAGGAGACGCTCTCGACGCTCGATTATGCGCTGCGCGCCAAGTCCATTAAGAACCGCCCGGAGGCAAACCAGCGCATGACGCGTGCGGCCCTGCTGAAAGAGTACGTGGGCGAAATCGACCGCCTGCGCAGCGATCTCAGCGCGACGCGCACACAGACGGGCGTGTATGTGAGCGAGGCGAATTGGGCGCGCATGGAGGCGGAGCAGGCGAGCCTCTGCAAGCAACTAGACGAGCAGCGCCGCGCGAACGAGGTGGCTACGAGCCGGCTCGCCAGCATGCAGGAGCAGCTCGAGCAGAATACGCGTGTGCTCGCGAAGCGCGAGGCCGACGCGGCGCGCGCCGAGGCCGAGCAGGCGGCGCGGCTGCACGAGCTAGAGCAGGCCCTGTGCCATGCGGCCACACTCTCGACCACGCTGCAGGAGGAGACGCGTCTGCACCACGCGCATGCGGCGAGTGAGCGCAAGCTCGACCAGGTCGCGCACGAGCTGCGGCAGCTTGCCGAGCAGGCAACGGACGACGTCCACGGGCTCTTTGCAAAGCTGGAGCGCCGCGCGAAGGCCGATGCACAGGCGCGTGCCGCGCTTACCACACTGGCAGACGAGCTGCGCGAGACGCACGAGGCCGTCGCGGCAAGTGCCGCCGTCCAAGTCCCCGAGGCGCTCTCGCAGCTCGTGGACCATGTATCGCGCGAGCTGTGGGCGCTGCAGCAGGTGCTGGACGACCGGCTCGCCGCTGCTGCGCGCGCTGGCGACGACAGCGGCACGGCGCTGCGTGACGAGGTGGCACACGCCATGAGCGAGTACGAGGCGCGCCTGCTGCACGCGCACGCCGAAGCCTGCGCAGCATGGCAGACGGCGCAGGAGGCGCATGTGGGCGAGGTCGCTGCGCTGCTGGCAGCGTCCGAGCGCATGACCCAAAGCGTCGATGCGCATTTGTCGAAACTCCATGGCCAGGCCAGCACGCTCCTGGCACACGCGCAGTCGAGCTCGGCGCGCGTGCGTGCGCAGTCGAGGGAGCATGCCGAGGCGTGGGCGCAACAGCAGCAGGCCCTGCGGGGGGGGGCCGAGTCGATGCGCGCTGCCATGCTGGCTGCGATGGACGCGTTTGTGCAGCAGCAAGTGCAGGCGATGCAGCAGCATGAGCAGGCCGCGCACGACACATTCCGCGCAGCCAAGCCCGCGGACACGCAGGCGCTGTGTGCGTCGCACCGCACAGCCTGGGAGGCTGCGCATGCCGACTTGTCGAGCGTGTCGAACGAGTTGTCGGACGCGTGTGTGGCCCTGCATGCGAGTGCGCAGGACCTGGCGCCGCGTGCAGACGCGCACGACCAGCACTTTGCGCACGAGATGGAGGCGGCTGCAGCGCAGTGGCGTGCCACCACGGGGCCCCTGTGGGAGCGCCACTCGTCTGTCGAGGCCGTGGCGCAGTCGGCGCAGGGCGCCGCGGACGAGGTGCGCACGACGCTGGCGGCGCTGGATCTGCGCGCGGAAGCGTCGGCGGTCCTAGAGGCGGCGACGCACGTCCAGGACGCGTCGGGCGAGGCAGCGGAGCGCCTACAGCGCCTGCAGGGCCTCCTAGGGCCGCTCGCGCCCATGCCCGAGGCGACGGGCGAGACGCCGCGGCGGCGCACGTGGTCGATGCCCGTCTGGGACGTGGTGCCATCGGACCGGACCGAGGCGCTCGCATGGTGGGAGCAGGCGGCGGACCGGACGCCGCTGCGGGAGCGGCGGCCAGTAGAGAATCGGCCCCTGATAGCGACGCCCCACAAGTAGACCTATGGAAACGACTTGCCAGTGATGCGCTCGTAGGCCTCGCGGTACTTGGCCGCGGTCTGCGCCACGACGTCGTCCGGGAGCGTCACGGGCGTGAAGGTCCGCGCCGCCTGCTCGAGGCCGTGCGCCTTCATCCAGTCGCGCACATATTGCTTGTCGAAGCTGGCCTGCGGCGCGCCCTCGCGGTACGTATCGGCGGCCCAGAAGCGCGACGAGTCGGGCGTCAGCACCTCGTCGACGAGGATCAGCTCGTCCGGCGCGCCGGGCGTCTCAGGCGGCAGGAGCCCAAACTCGAACTTGGTGTCGGCCAGGAGGATGCCGCGCGACTGCGCATGCTCGGCGGCCTTGGCGTACAGTGCCTTGGCCGCGCCTGCCACCTTGTCGGCGAGCGGCTGGCCGATGAGCTCCGCGACGCGGTCCGGGTGGATGTTCTCATCGTGCGCGCCCTGCTCGGCCTTGGTCGACGGCGTGAACAGAGGCCCGCCGGGGATGCGCTGGCTCTCGACGAGACCGGGCGGCAGCGAGATGCCATGCACCGTGCCCGCGCGCTTGTACTCGGACCAGCCACTACCGGTCAGGTAGCCGCGCACAATCGCCTCGAGCGGCAGGACCTGGGCGCGGCGCACGAGCATCGCGCGCCCATCCACCTGCGTGCGGTGCGCCGCCAAGCGCTCACGCAGGACCTCGGGAAAGTCGTCCCAGCGCGTCGCAAGCACATGCGAGCGGAGGATCGAGGGCGTGAGCAGCTCAAACCAGAACTCCGAGAGGCCGTGCAGCACACGCCCCTTGTCGGGAATCCCGTTCTGCAGGATGACATCAAACGCAGAAATACGGTCAGTCGCCACGAACAAAAGGGCGCCGCGGTATTCGCCGTCCGTCAGCTGCGCATCGTAGACATCGCGCACTTTGCCCTGCGCCACAAGCGGCAGCGGCAGCGAGGTGTGCGTCAGCGCCATGGCGGAAGACAAGCCCTACGGCCTCCACCGGCACTATATACGGGCGTGGCGCACGCGCTCCCGGAAAAAGTCGGCCCACTGCGCCTGCGTGAACGAGCTCGAAATGGACGGCTCCACGACGCCGTTCCACAGCGCCGTCGGCGTGACGTGCACGCCGTTCTGGCGTCCGATCTTGACCTGGTGTGAGTGGAGTGACGTACGCAGTACTTGAGGTCCGGCACGATCTTCGCGCCCGTGTTGCCGTCGTCCGACACGCGCGTCCAGGCGCGCACGGCCTGGCCAAGCGGCGTGTCGTCCGGCAGAGACACGAGCGGGGGCGTGCCGGCCCTGCGTGGCTCGTCGCTCAGCACGTGCACGGCGAGGGCCGCGAGCTCGGCACGCACCTGGTCGCCACTCTTGCCGCGCACGGGCGACTCGTACCAGCGCTCGCTCTCGCGCATGAGCGCCTGCGAAAACACCCAGAACGGATTCGTCGTGGGGTGGGCCAGCGCGGCGCGCTCGCTCGGCGCGAGTCGCGCGACTGCCAGCGCCGTCTCGTGCAGGTACGTCGACGACGCGTGCCACGGCTGCGGCACCGGGCGCACGACGACGCGCACCTGACCCGCGAACGGCGCCTCGTCGCCGATCAGGAGCGGCACCGCGTCGCGATCAAAGTTGAGCAGCTGCTTCGCAGAAAAGGGGCCTGTGTCAGCACAGCAGCGTACACAGGTAGTCGACCTGGCGTCAGGCACACGTACATACATAGAGCTCGAGCGTGTTCGGCGCATCCGGCGCCCCAATAGAGAGCGCCTGCAACGCGGGCGGCAGGGCCATGGTGGGAGGGTCCGAGCGCCGCCCGCCACAGCCACGTGAGGGAGGGGCTCGGCGCCGTGGAGGCCCACCGCGCCTGTATGCGACTGCCGCGCCGCACGCCGTACTATGACGGCGCCGCGAGCGAGCTGGCGTTCGTGCATGCACAGCTGTATGGCGATCGGCACGATAGAGAGGCTCTTGAGTCAGCGCTGGGAGTCGTGCGTTTGTGGCTGCACCGCGGCTCGTGCCCACAGGCCGTCGAGGCGACGGCGCTCCTGCTGCAGTGCGTGTGCCTAGACGCCACGCGCGCGCCCGAGCTCGCTGTACGCGCGTCCTACGCCATGGCACTCACGCGCTTTGTCAATTCGGTCGTTGACTCGTTCCAGACGGGCATGTATGCGCAGTCGATCGGAGCCATAGCGGAGCGTATTGGCCTCCCGCTCTGGCTCGTCCAGGTGCGCCACTCGGCCACGCACGAAGAGCTGCCGAGCCTCGACGTGGCGCGAGAGGCCTGTGAGGTCGCCCTGGCGTGGCTCGACGAGCACTACTGGCAGCCGACCGTGCATCCGCGCACAGAGGCGCCTGCTCCGGACGACACGGAGGCGCGAAAGGCAGCGTCGCTGCAGGCCGCCCAGCTTCTGTACGCGTACCGCCACCACATGCAGGCGCTGCAGCGCGACGCGAGTCTCGCACAGCTTCAGCATCCTCCGCATGAAAAGGCCAAGAACGAGGTCGTCGCGTGGATCGAAGCCGAGCATGCACGCCGCCTCGCCCTGCCGGGTCACGGCGACACGGCCGCCCGCCTCAACCGCCAGTGGCACCAGGACGAGGAGGCACCGGCCATGGACGAGTCGACGAGGCTCTCGCTCGCCTCTGTCCTCGTCCTCCTTGTCGCCGAGCTGTGTGTCCCTGGCGCCCTGCTGCCCAGCAAGCAGCGCCACGCCGTGCCGAGCGAATGGCTCGCCCTGTGGGCGCCCTTGCTCCTCCACGTGCAGCGCACACACCCCGTGTTCCTCCCTCTGCTGGCCGATGCGCTCACGCACGTCGACGAAGCGCATGCGCCGGCCGCGCGCGCGTGGCTCACGCACCTCGCGGCCCTCGACACAGCGGCCGTGCCGAGCGATGCGCCGCGGTGGACGGCCGATGCGTCGCTCGAGGCGTGCGCGGCGCATGAGCACGTGGCAGCACCCGTGCCCTTGTGGCGCGTCGTGGTGCAGTACGCCCTCGAGCGCCCCGACGCAGCATGGCACGATTTCGCCGCTGCGCTCGCGGCGGAGCGTGACGACGACGTGTCGCACCGCATTCAGGAGCTGCGCGCCGTGCGGGCCACGCGTGCGCACACATCGGAGCCCGTCGACGTGTGTCTGGCGGCGATGGAGGCACGAGCGCCGGCCCTAGCGGTGGCGCCGGCCCCTACGCTCGAGGCGCCTCCCGCGCCGCAGGCAGTGCCAGGCAGCGCCGCTGCGCCGCCGGGCTGGCATTTGGCGCCCACGCCCTACATACCGACGCCCATCGGGTGTTTGGCTGGCGCACGGCCGCCACTTTTGTTGGGATAATATCACACTACACGTAGGGTCCAGACGCTTCCGGGCGGGAGCTCATGCGCGCCTGCCGGCTCGCCCAGCCCCACATTGAGTTTCTGGAGCGCCTGTGCTGCGCCTGGATCGCCTGCGGCGCGCACCACGGCAACAAGGTCTTGACATAGAATGTGCCGCCCGGAGTGGTATATCGTGCTGTCATGCGCACGCACGAACAGGAGGGGCAGCGTACACTGCGTCGCCCACCGATCGCGGTCCAGGCGCGCGTCCAGAAAGGCGCGCAGCGGCGGTAGCTGCACAGCGATCTCCGCCTCGTCACTGCTAGGCCCCGGCGCCGATGCCAGCGCCAGGGGCCCGAGCGGCCCCAGCCACACCTCCAGACTCGCGAGCGGCGCGCCCGGTACGTGCATCGCCGCCTGCGCCTCGCGCGGCGTCTGTAGCGCGGCCGAGTCGCGCACATAGAAAAAGTGCTGCACGGTCATGGCAAGCTTGTGTGTCGGCGCGTCGTAGTAGGGCATCGTAGTCACTAGCGGGAACGGCGTGAGGGCCAGCCCCATGGACGCTGATGGGCTCTGTAATCCCAGCATATCGACGTCAACGAATGCGTACTCAAAGTGCGAGATGCTCACGAGCGTCCAGCAGAACGCGTCTTCGGCCTCATCCAGCGGCGCTTGGTTCGGCTCCCAGGCGGCAGGCCGCGCAGGCGAAAAAGTGAGGGGCAGCACATGCGCCTCCTCGGCCGCATCGCCCATGCGCAGCGCGCTGGCATCGTGGGGCGGCGGGCCGGCACACAGGTACGTGCGCGGCGCATGCGGATCGATCGTCCATCCCTCGCTGCTCGGCACGAAGCGCATGAGCGCCACTTTTTGCATCTGCGTCACGGCGCCCCACGCGCTCATGTCCTCGTCGTCGACCGTCGCAGGCCCGTCGACCGGCGGGCAGATCCGCCCGCGGTCCACCTTGCATAGGACGAGCGGATCCGTGGCCGCGCCTGATACAGGGTCGACCAGCACGACGACCGAGCCGTACGTCAGCACGCTCTCGTCCACGGCATCCCGCGGGCCACTGGCAGCGCGGCGTGCGAGGAGCACGAGGCGAAACGCGGTCCACGAGCGGCTTTGCGCCGAGAGACGCCCGTCTTGCGCGCACAGGTACTTCGTGCGGTAGGTCTGTGAGTTGATGCGGTTGAACAGGGAGACCGACGCGTCCTTCGTGATGTGCGCGGACACGTTGCGCGCCTTGGCAATGCGTTTGGAGGGCTTGGAGATGATGCCGATCGGCGCCGAGTCAAAGCTGGCCCAGCTAGCGCCCCGCACAGCGGCCGAGTCACTGCTGCCGAGACGTAGGCGCTTGGTCGGCTCAGCGCCCTCGCGCGGCGTCAGCAGATGCAGCTGGAGGCGGAAGCACTTGGCCTTGCCGGTGCCCGTGACGTGCAGCTCCGAAAAGCGCGCTTGCTGTGCATCGTCGAGCGCCGCGATCTGCTCACCGGAGAAGCTATCGCCGTCCTCGCCCTGCACTTGCATCAGCAGCAGAGAGGACTGCGGTGCGTGCCGTAGCGCGCCGGTGACTTGCACAAGCGGCGGCGGGCACAGGAAGCGCTTTTCGGAGCCGTACGACTTTTGGGCGACGCTCGCGTGCAGACACTTGATTTTCGTCATGACAGGCACCGTGCCGCCCGTGCCGAGCGCCTCCTGTCGCATGTGCTCACGCACGACCTCGGCAGTGCGCTGGCGGTGCTCCTCTTCGGTCAGAGTGTGCGCGCGCTCGCGTGGCGGGGGCGCCGGCCCCGGCGTCCGCGCCGGCGCAACAGACACGGAGGAAGAGGCGGAGGCGGGCGTCGAGGAGGCCGATGGCGACGGCGACGCACTGTCCCAAACGCCAGGATCGAGCTGCAGGTGCTCTTTCAGGCTAGCCATGAACTTCTCGAGGCTCGCTGCGGTCGTCGAATCCAGCTCGGTCTCGGCGGGTGCGCCAGAGCGAGCGGGCTCCGGCTCGGCAGGCGGTAGTAGACGCGCGGCAATCTCTTCCATGTAGCGCGAGGCCACCGCCTCAGCGTCGCTATCACTCGACATAGCGTTCGCTGAGGCGCTTGGGTCGTAGGGCTCCATCGCGACTTAAGCACGAACGCGGTCCATCGCGTCGCACGGCAAGGCGGGCGGGCTGTCTGGGCCTCCACCTGGCGCCAGGCATCGAGCGACGACGACGGCGGCGGCGACTACGACATGGCGTCGACCGAGCCGGAGGAGCGCGGGCACGTTACCTTTTGCGTCGTATGTGCTAGCAATCAGGTACGAAAGCTATTCTAACGCAGAATCGGTCTATGTCCGGGCACCTTGCCCTCAAGTACGTGCGCGCTGCTGACCCAGAAACGCCGGCTTTCATGTCATCTCGTGCGGCACCGGCTCGGCGGTGCGGCTTCCCGGCCCCTCGATCGACAAGCCCAATATTTATGCGTTCGGAACGCCATACGAGGTCATGTTCCAGGACCTGCTGAACAAGGACCCCAAGCTCTACGAGGCGAATGGGCTGCTGCCGATGCTCGACCGCAACCGGCGCATCAAGACAGCGCCGGAGCGCTGGCACGAGAGTCGCCGCGTCGCAGATGTTGTGATCACATGCGAGGAACGCTGCTTCGATAGCGTGTGTGAGGGTAAGTAACGCACGCTCACCGCAGACTTGCTGAGCCGCCGACACGAGCTGAATCGGCCCGTTCACATTATCAATATCGAAATCAAGGACAATCACGAGGAAGCGCAGACGGCATCCAAGGCCATCCTTGCCCTCGCTGAGCGCGTATGTATATCGCACTTACCCAGATCGAGCGCGCACACGATCTCGATGAGGATATGGACGATATTCTTGAAGAACAGCAGCAGTCGTTTTCGTACCCACTGCTCCATACCGTAGCCTTCTACTAGTGTTCCACGCAGAGGTCCATGCGTCCGCGACCGCCGGGAGCAGGCAGCTTCGTGCGCTCGACCTGCGGCGCAGCTCCACCCATCATTGCCCTGCGACACACGTTGGTGCGCTGGATCATGTCCGTGCCGCAACGAGCTCAAAGTCCGGCGCGTACGCGCCCGGCACTGCTGCAGGCGCCACTGTACGTCTTTGACTTGCCACCAGCTCTCGCGTCGTCGCTTGTTGTGCGCGCAGCCGACGACGAGGCACCCGCCACCGCTGCGTCTCCCGCCCCGTCGTCGGCCCCGTCGACCGTGGCGCCAGTGGCTGGCAGCGTAGGTGCGCCGGCATGCTCTCTCTGCCCCGGATGCTCGTCCTTCCGCAGCGTCGCCGAGCAGCGATCGCATGTCCGCAGCCTATGGCACCGCTTCAATCTGGTCCTGCGGCAGCACGCAGCGCGCGGCGCAAAAGGCACGTTGGAGCCCGTATCGCACGCACAGCTTGAGCAAATGTGTGCGTCACTGGAGCGCCCAGATGACGACGAGGAGGATATGGATGAGCTCTCGGCTCTACTACAGCAGCTCGATGTGCGCGAAGACACAGGCGACGATGAGGCAGCACGCACCATCAAGTCGGTGAACGACGCCTTGCGCTCGCCTCTCGTGTGGTACGAGACGCCGTCGCAGGCCCCTACTGTCTTGGAGCAGACGCAGCTGGGCTTGTACCGCGACGTTCTCCTCGCAGCGGCCGGAGGCTCGGCCGCCGCCGACAGCGCGCGGATGCCATCACTCGACGTGCTCGCAGCGCCCCGCGTTGAAGTGCGGCCCGGCACGCACGGATGGGCCGGCAAGCGTGTACAAGGCACGCACCAGGTCAGCCGCACGATGCAGATGCAAGTCCTCGATGGAGCCGGCCTCGTGCCGTGGCTCTCGCCAGACGAGGTGGCTGCATCAGACGACGATGGATCGTCCAGCTCGTCGGCGACGGCAACGAGTGAGGATGACGAAGACCCCGTGGCTAGCCCACCAGCGCCGATCCCGCCGCTGCGACTCTGGACCTTTATCATGATGGGTGGTGGCTACTTTGCTGTGGCGACAATTGCCCTCAATGTCCACAGCCCGCCGCTCTCGGAGCGTGCGCGCGCACGCGGCACGAAACCGACGCGCTCTGTCCTCATGCTCGCTCACAAGACCTTTCAGCGATACACGACGCGTCGAAAGCAGGGCGGAGCGCAGTCCATGCAAGATGCCTCCGGCCGGCATGCAAAGAGTGCAGGTGCGAACCTGCGGCGGTACGGCGAGGCCCAGCTCAAGGCGGACATTCACGCTCTGCTGGACCGCCGCGCCTGGCGCGAGTTGATCCAGCATTCAGAGCACGTATGGGTCCGCACATCGATGCGCGCGGCCCATGGCGTGCTGTGGCATTGGCCTGGACACGCTACGAGCCCCCTCGATGAGAAGCAGGCGAGTGGTACGCTTTCGCACATTCCCATCGCGACACAGCGCCCCACACTATCCGAGATTGTGCGCGTGTTCTGGGAGCTCACGCGCGTCAAGGTCGCCCATCTCTCGTCAGCTGAGCTTGCGGCGCAGGATGAAGCGCACCGCGATGCGATCGCGCGCGCCCTGCGTCAAAACGCCGCGCAACAAATGCCGAAGGCGCCGCCGCCGCCGCCGAAGACCCCTCAAGTCAAGAAAGACGAGCGTGCGGCGCGGCAGCGTGCGCGCTTGGAGCGTCTTGTCGCGATGGTGCGCAAGGGACGCCTTGATGCACTGACGCAGTGGCTCGCGCGGCATGAGGCGATGCTGGGGGAAGACGCGGGTGCTGTACCACCCGCCTACGAGGACGCAGCGCCAATTGACCGTCCCCTGCCGGCATGGTGGCGCGCGGCTGAGGCGCGCGGCGCATCCCAAGCGCCAATGAACCTGTTGCAGGTTGCGGCTGCCGCGGATCAGGTCGAGATTCTGCACTACTTGCTCGTGGAGCGTCGTGCGAACCCGACACTGCCGCTGGGTCGTGACGATGGCGCGCACCGTACTGCCTACGATTTGTGTGGGAGCAAGAGTGCACGCGCCGTTTTCCGGCGGCTCATGGCGGAGCAGCCCGACTGGTACCGCTGGGACGAGATGGGCCCCGGCGGAGCACGTGTGCCGTCGGCGCTGACGGCCGATATGGAGGAGGCACAAGCGTCCAAAGCGCGCTCGCGTCGAGCGGCCATGCGCGAGAAGATGCGTGAGCGTGACGCCAAGGTCGAGGCTGACACGGCGGCGAAAGAAGCCGCCGCAAAAGCGGCAGCGCCAGCGACAACGCCAGCAGCCGCGGCGCCCAAGAGCGGCCCGCAGCGACTGGGTGGTTCATCGGGTTCAGCGCCAGACGCGTCGCTGTCCGAAGAGATGCAACGGCGCATTGAGCGTGAAAAGCGGGCGCGTGCGGCCGAAGCCCGTATGCTACGAAAATAACTAGGCGGTGCTCGTGCGCGCTGCCTCGAGCTGCACAACACCGACCGAGGCGGTATCGGCGAGGCGCTTCGCAGCAGCGTCGAGCTGGTTGAGCAGGAGCAGCGACTCGAGGCGGTTCGGCTCGGCAGGGATCTTGAACAATTTCTTTACGTCGTCGAGCGGGAGCGGCGCAAGACCGGCGGCCTGACGGGTCGCATTTTCTTGCTGGCGGCGCGCTACAAATGCTTCGGCGCGCGCCTTTTCGCGGGCAATCTGCCGGGCCTGGTACCCGACGTTGCCTGCCTCAGCCGCGTAGCTCTCAGCAGCATCGAGCGTCGAGTCGACCGTAGATACAAGCACAGGCTCGAGTGCGAGATGCAGATCGAGGTAGCTGGGCGGCACATGCATATCGAGCGGCGCCGCAAGGCGATCCCGGGACGACTGTGGGACGAGGCGCGGCGCTGGCGCATTCTCCGTAGCAAGCGTCGCGACAAAGGCGTCCAGTAGCGCCGTGTTGCGCACATGCACCGGGATTTCGACGAGCACATTCGCGAATGTCAGCTTGTGCTCCGCAAGGCTCTGTGCCGTAAACTTGCCCTGGCGGTATGCATCCAAGAATGCGGGCGCGAGGCGGTACGCCTTCAGCGCCGCATTGCCCTCGGCAAGCTGCGCGTAGTCGTGCACGAGCAGGACGGCCTTGCCGCGCCCATGGTGTCCTTCGCGCTCCATGAGCATCGAGAGCGTGTTGAGCCCGTCGACGATGCTCGTGTTGAGGAAGGGGCCCAAAAAGCTCCCGTGGTACAAACCGACAGGGTTCACGTCGGCACTCACCTGGCAGAGCATACGGAGCATCTCGGCCATGTACTGCATCGACGACTTGGTGCTGCGCTCCTCCTCCTCGCCGCGCTCAGCGCGCGCGCCAGGGAGACCAAACACGTTCGACACCTCGAGTACACCCGCCATTTCCATTCCGAGAAGTGTGCCCCAGGCATTGCTGCCGTTCGCTGCATGGCTGTCTTTGCAGTGCTTCACAATCTTCATCATCACGAGGCCGTCAATTTGCACCGACGTGATCTCTTCTGCTTCCATTGCGAGCATCTCGCGGTCCTTGTCACTGAGCGTCATCGACGCCGCTTCGGGCGCCACGGGCGCCGCATCGTCGCGGCGCGCGACAGCTGCAGCACTCCCAGCACGGCTCATGGTCGCTCACCGCCGCCGCCGCCGCCGCCGTCTCTTTTCTTTTCTCGTCACGTGATACGACAGGCACCCCCGCGCGGCTCGCAACGCGGCGCGCCATGGCGCCTGGTGGCGTCAGCGCGTACCATGCGAGCCTGCTCGTACGTCGCTGGAGCTGACGCAGGCGCGGTGCGGTGCAGGATGGGCCGCAGATAATGTAGGTGCTCCATGCTCACTCAGATGTGGCTCCAGGGTGTGGCGATTGTGCTGCCGCACGTCCAACGTATGTCGCCGTACTTACGCAGGGACGTGGCGTGTGAGTGATGCGTGGGTCGGCTCCCTCACATCGAGCTTGTTTGCGGGAATGATGTTGGGAGCGATCGCTTGGGGTGCGTGTGCGGATAGGTATGGCCGTCTTTTCTCGTACCATCGTACACTCGTTGTGGCAGCGATGGGCGGCAGCCTCCTGAGCTTGGCACCTACCTGGGGCACCGCATGCGTGCTTTCTGGCCTGCTCGGGATCGGAATTGGTGGGAGCATGCCCATTGACGGAACGCTCTTTATCGAGTCGCTCCCGCCGCAACACCACCACTGGCTCACAGCCTTGTCCGTGTTCTTCTCCCTCGGCTCGGTCGTGAGCGCGCTCGCTGCGCTCGTGCTGCTGGTCAGTGTAGGTGCTAGCTGGCGCATATTTCTTTTGGTTCTCGCTGGCCTCACGACTGTCGCGGCTGCCTCGCGCCTGGGACGTTTCCGCACGCTCGAGAGCCCCGCCTTTCTCATGGCCTGCGGATGCGAAGCCGATGCAGAGCTCGTACTCCAAGCCATGGCACCCGAGGGCAGCACGCCGGAGGATGCGCACATGCTGATGGACGAGAATCCCGACGAGATGGGTGCCCTCTTCGCCCCCGGGCAGGCGCGAACGACCATGGTGCTCTGGGTGCTATGGACGCTACAATCTCTTGCATTCACGCTCTTCAACGCCTTTTACCCCTTATACCTGGAACGAAAAGGTGGGCATACGACGCCGCGCCCCGAGGCAGCTGTACTGCGGGACGTGCTCGCCTATGCTGTGAGCAGTGTACCGGGCAGTCTCGTCGGCGCCGCGCTCGTGCGCTCCGCGTATGGCCGCTACGCCCTTCCGCTCACGCTCACGGCCACTGGACTGGCGCTCCTACTGTTTCTATGCGCTGCACGCGCCTGGCATGTTGTTCTTGCGGGTATGGCTGTTTCGCTCAGTGCGACGACCGCGTACGCCGTGCTCTATGGACAGACGCCACACGCATTCCCCGCGCGCGTACGCGGCACGGGATGCGCGATTGCGAGCGCAGCGAGCCGTGCAGCCGGCATTGTGGCACCGCTGCTCGCCGGCGTGCTTCTACCACGCGGCCTGCAGGGCCCCATCGGTGTGAGTGCGCTGGTATGGGGCATATGTGCGATTCTGGCCCTATGTCTTAACTAGTCGCGCTTGGTGGTCGGCCCGCGCGGTGCAACGAGTGGCAGTTCCGCGGTACGGCGCGATGTGGGCGTGCCCTGGGTATCGAGCCAGCGCGATGCGGAGCGCTGCGCTGCGCGCTGCTGGTTCCCGTTCCAGTACATGCACACCTGCACTGCAATAATAGCGTTGAAAATGGTTGCAAGCGCAAAGCCCCAGAAGAGAAGGCGATCGTTGGTCTCAGTGAGGGTCGTATACACGCGCGCGGTGGTGCCGAGGAGCTGAGCGAACACGACGAGGATACTGAGCTCGCCTGTGGCTTTTGCGCGGTGCAGCTCAAGCATTTGCGGGACTTTCGATGCCAACGATACCGGAATCGTCATTCCCTGGAGCCACTGTAGCGCACGCGGAGGCACGGCCGCCTCACTCGCAAGGGCCAGCGAGCCTAGCACCATGAGCGTCGCGCCGAGCGCGACGAAGAAGGCATTCGTCGATATGCCGAAGCGGCGGCACAGCGTCGTGGTGCGGCGCGATATGCTGTCCATGGGCGAGTAGGCAATGATGAGCAGCGTGATGATCATGTCTGGGTGAGCACGTAGGACATACTTTGCACGGTCAAGCTGGCATTCTCGCCGTACGTGCTAAAGGGAATTCGCAGACGGATCGCATACGCGAGACTGATCGTATATGCAACCACCTCGAGGATGTACATGGCAAGGCTGATGCCCTCGGCGCTCCGTGCGTGCACGATCTTGTACATTTGCGGAAACTTGAGCAGGCTGCCAAACACGACAATGCCGAGCCCGAGGCCCTTCGAGAGGCCGAGCCGCAGGCACGCCGTATCCGTCCAGTTTACATCCCACACTAGCGACGAGTAGCAGTGCGAGCCCAGCAGGGCCTCCGCCGGCTGCAGGACGAACCACGGCAGCGATCGCGTAAGATGCTGCAGCCCAACCGCCATAACGTGGAGACGCGTGGACCGGCCCCGGGAGCCAGCGTAGGTACGTGCGCAGCACGTGCTCTCCACCACCATGTACTTGCCAGAACACAAGATTGCCGACGCGTCGAAGGCGTTCCCGAAACCGAGCCAGCCGCTCGTGTATGGCACGGCAGGCTTCCGGACCAAGTGCGTAGTGCATTCTAACCACAGGGCTGATCTACTGACGAGCACTTGCTTCCGCATGGGCATGGTCGCAGCGCTGCGCAGCCTCTCGCTTGATGGCGCGGCAGTAGGCCTCATGGTAACGGCCAGCCACAACCCCGAGCCGGACAATGGTATCAAGATGGTCGACTCGATGGGGCAGATGCTCGCGCCAGAATGGGAGCCGCTATGCACGGCTGTGGCGAACGCAGAGACCGTGGAGGACTTGATCCGTGAGCTGCGGCGCATTGTCGACCTGTTTCCTCTGGATGCGACGAACAAGCCACATGTCGTGTATGCATGGGACTCGCGTCCGTCGTCGCCTGCACTTGTCGATGCCATCCGCGCGGGCCTACACGCGCTGGACGCGACGAGCACCGGTGGTGGTTTACTCACGACGCCGCAGCTGCACTACCTGGTGCTAGCCACCAACACGCGCCTAACCCCCAGGCCGTTTGGCGAGCCGAGTGAGCAGGGCTACTACCGGAAGCTGGCGAACGCCTACATGGCTGTGGCGGGCGGCCGCCGCGCGCCGCCGCTTGTGGTCGACTGCGCGAACGGTGTGGGTGCGCGTGCGCTCCAAGGGCTCCTCGATGCGCTGCCGCCCAACACCCTGGACATCACGGCTCTGCGTACGGCGCTGGGCGAGCGCGGCCAACTGAATCACGGGTGCGGTGCCGACTTTGTCAAGTCACAACAACGCCTGCCGGAAGGCTATGCGGACGAGTCGGCCATTCAGCCCGGGACGCTGCTGTGCTCGTTCGATGGCGATGCGGATCGCATCGTATTCTACTACCTGACGGGTCCTGCGAGTGACCCGGCCAGCTTCCACCTGCTCGACGGCGACAAGATCGCGAGTCTGGCAGCCGACTACCTCTCGGACCTCGTCAAGACGACGGGCGTGCCGCTGCAGCTCGGGTGCGTGCAGACCGCGTACGCGAACGGCGCCTCCACGGCCTACCTCCAAGCGAAGGTACCTATCACGTGCACCAAGACGGGCGTGAAGCACTTGCACCACGCGGCGGAGCAATACGATGTGGGCGTGTACTTTGAGGCGAATGGACACGGCACCGTGCTCTTCTCTCCTCATGCGACTGTGCAGTTGGAGCTTGCTTTGAAGGGGGCGGACGGCGCCAAGGCCGCGGCGCTCCATGAGCTGCTCTCGCTTGCCGTCATGGTCAACCAGACGGTCGGCGATGCCTTGTCCGACATGCTGCTGGTGCTTGTGATCCTTGCGGCGCGCGCGTGGGATGCGCATGCGTGGGATGCGTGCTATTCCGACCTGCCGAACCGCCTCGCAAAGGTGACGGTGCGTGACCGCACCGTGTTCCGAACGACCGATGCGGAGCGCCGCCTGACGTCGCCCGCACCCCTGCAGGCAAAGATGGACGAGCTCGTGCATGCTGTGCCGAGTGGCCGTGCATTTGTGCGCCCGAGCGGCACGGAAGATTGCGTGCGCGTGTACGCTGAGGCCGCGACGACCGCGGATGCCGAGCGCCTCGTGCGCCAAGTGAGCGAGCTCGTTTCGTCGTCGGCGTAGCTACAACCTATACGCTGCCAATCGCAAACGCAACCGCAGGGCCACCCTCGTTGTACTGCTTCTTCGTAATATAGTTGCGCCCAGACAGGTCCCCAAACACCAGCTTGGCGTAGATCGTCGCGCCGAGGAAGGGCGCGAGATCGAGGCGCTCCTTGAAGGCGCTAAAGTAGTCGGGGATACGCTGCGTGCGCACCGCCTGCGGCTGCGCCGGATTCGGCTCGCCTACGACTTGAGCGGCCTCCGTCAGCTCCATTGTAGTCAGCGCGGACAGCGCACGCTGCAGCTCGGCGGGGAGGCCAGGCACCTGCGCTGCAGCGCCGGTAAACACGACGCTCTCCCATAGAGCGACGCGGCGTTCTTGGGGATGCACCTGGGCCACAGCACGCGCCACTGTGTCAACCAGAGACAGGCATGCAGGCTCTCCACCCAGCCGGCGCGCCTGCAGGGCCTGCTGCACGGCGCGGGGCACCGGGATCGAGAGCGTAACACGCTCCAGCAGCGCCGGCGCCAGGAGCGGCTCGTGGAAGCGCGTGCGCAGCGCGTACGGCACGGGAACCTCGGCACCACGGAACGTAACAGTGAGTGAATCTGCGGCGCCCGTACCGCCATGCGGATGCTGCGCTGCCGCGTCCTTCTCGCGCTCATGCGCTTCCACGACCATGCGCTCGCGACCGTCGACGAGCGCCTGCGCCACATCCAGCACGCCGTCGTCTTCATCGACTTGCTGCGTCGATTTTCTGTCCACAAGCACGAGCTTATCTGCGACAAGTTGCTGCGCAAGCGCCCATGCCGCCGCGTCCAATTGGCCATGCGCAACCGGCTCGAGCGCACGAACGATCTCCGCGTCCTGGCGCAGCAGATGAGCGAGCCAGTACGTGCAGTGCACAACACCGAGCTTGGTCACGACAATGCCCGTAGGAACGACAATGCAGTCGTGCACAGCCACGGCACTGCTCTCTTCCGCGCCGATATCGACGACCAGCGCGGTCAGTACACCGACCGCGTAAGCAGCGAGCAGAGGGACCTCGCTGATGGTAAGAGCGGGCGTATTGAACGTCTCGAACAGGAGCTGTGCACCACGCTCATACACGTCCCGGGATACAGGCGACGGAAGCGCAAGCATCACAAAGTACGCGTTCTCCGCAGGCTGCACGCCGAGGCGCTCCACAAGGACATGGTGCCTGCGTGAGTGTGCCGGACGTACCAGAGGGCTTCCAGCGAGTTCCAGTCGCGCACGACGCCATTCTCAATCGGGTAAAAGACATCGAGCTCGGCATCGCTGGCCATGGCGTCGCCCAAGGCGTCGCCCACGAGAAAGGTGCCATCGGGCTTTTGGCCCACGCGGGCCTCGACAGTCTGGTGTGAGGCATACGACGTACCACATCGGGCTGCTGGAACGGCTCATGAATTCCGATGCTCCCATGGATGTATTGCGCATCGTGCACGAGGAGCAGCGTGTGCGACTCGCGCGACATGCTCAACACGGCGGGAGCGACGGTGTGCGCGACGGCGGCGGCGAAGCGACGCGACGCACGTGATAGAAGGACAGCCCCGTGACGCATCTTGTCTCGGCGCGGCATGACGGAGGCGACGGACGATGGGCGCATCGTGATCCGTAGCCCGTACGCGGGCCCGGATCAGGGCATCACGGTCATGATCGACAATTACGACAGCTTTACATTCAATGTGGTGCAGTACCTAGTTGAAGCGGGCGCTCACGTCGTCATCTTCCGGAATGACAAGGTCGATGTGGCCACGGTCGAGGCGCTGCAGCCCACGCAACTCGTGATCAGTCCGGGGCCGGGGCACCCGTCGACGGATGCGGGCATCTCAAATGCATGCATTGCGCATTTTGCAGGGCGCATTCCGATCCTCGGTATCTGCATGGGCCTGCAGTGCATCGTTGAGCACTTTGGCGGCGTCGTGGACAGCGCCGGCGAGATTTTCCATGGAAAGACGTCCGAGATTTTCCACGATGGGCAGGGCCTTCATGTGGGCCTCCCGTCGCCGCTCATTGGGACGCGCTACCACAGCCTGGCTGCAAAGATCACGGTCATGCCCGAGTGCCTCGAGGCGACCTCGCACGTCCGCTCGGGCATCATTATGGGTGTGCGGCACAAGACGTATGCGATTGAGTCCGTGCAGTACCATCCGGAAAGTGTAATGAGTGAGCACGGCCGCGAAATCATCGCCCAATTCCTCCAGTGGCGCGGCGGCACATGGGAGTCGAATCCGACGGCGCGGGTAGCAAGCGCACCGCCGCCGGCGAAGCCGACCGAGAGCATTCTGCAGCGTATTTATCGGCAACGTCGTGAAGATGTGGCGGCCGCGCGGGCCGTGCCGGGCCGCTCGCTCGCGGATCTCGAGGCGTCAATCGCACTGCATCTCGATCCGCCCCAAATCGACTTTCCGTCGCGCCTGCTGCTGGGCACGTCGCCCGAGGCGCCCGGCATCCTTGCCGAGATCAAGCGTGCGTCACCAAGCAAGGGCGCCATTGCGCCGGATGCACATGCAGCTGAGCAGGCACTCATGTATGCCCGGGGCGGCGCGCATGTCATTAGTGTGCTGACGGAGCCAACATGGTTCCAAGGCACGCTCGAGGACCTGGCGATGGCGCGCCGCGCGATCGAGAGATGTGCGCGCCGTCCCGCGATCCTGCGCAAGGACTTTTTGGTCGACGAGTATCAGGTAGCCGAGGCGCGTCTTGCCGGCGCCGATACGGTCCTGCTGATCGTGGCGATGCTGGACGACGCGACGCTGCGGCGCTTGTACGACTACAGTGTGCGCCTGGGCATGGAGCCGCTCGTCGAGGTGAACCATGCAGCGGAAATGGAGCGCGCTTTGGCGCTGCCAGCCAAGGTCATTGGCGTGAACAACCGCAACTTGCACAGCTTCGACGTCGATATGGGCACGACGTCGCGCCTTGCGCACATGGTGCGGGAGCGTGGCGTGATCCTCGTGGCCCTCAGTGGCATTACAGGCCGCGCCGATGTCGAGCCGTACCTTGCACAAGGCGTGCAGGCGGTTCTCGTGGGCGAGGCGCTTATGCGCGCGCGCGATAAGAGCGCGTTTGTCGCGGAATTGCAGGGCCGTGTGCAGCCGTCGCATGTACCGCCGCGTGGCGTCGTCAAGGTGTGTGGGATTCGCACACCCGAAGCTGCGCGTGCTGCGGCTGAGGCAGGCGCGGACCTCGTGGGCATGATTCTGGCGCCTGGTACGCGGCGCACGGTCTCGGTCGAGACTGCGCGTGCAATTGTGTCAGCGGTGCATGCCGTGGAGCGCCGCGGATCGACTGATGCGCCTCTCGACACGGGCGAATGGTTTGCTTGGCACGCACACCGCCTCGCAGAGCGAGCCGCGCAGCGTGCACTAGCCGTGGGTGTATTCCGCGACCAGAGTCTGGAGGAGATTGTGCAGACGGCACGCGCACTCGCGCTCGATGCGATCCAGCTGCATGGGCGCATTGAGCCGGCTGACTGGGCGCGCTTCTTGCCGGGCGTCTTTGTGATTCGTGTGTGCCATGTGGACCCGCACAGTGGCCCAGAAAAGACGCGTGCCATGCACGAGGCGCTGCGCCCCGGCTTCCACCACGTCGTCCTGTTCGACACGGCGGCGAGCGGCGGCGCGAGTGGTGGCATGGGCACCGCTTTCCCGTGGGCTCATGCGCCGGCGCTCGCTACGAGCGATGTGCGTATACCGTTCCTCCTCGCGGGTGGCCTTACGCCGTCCAATGTCGCAGCCGCCGTGCACCAGTCGCATGCATGGGGCGTCGATACGAGCTCCGGCGTCGAAACTGGTGGCGACAAGGACGCCGCGCTGATCGCCACGTACGTGCACAACGCCAAAGAGGCACTCCGTTCATAGCTATGGCAAGTACGTATGCACCGCGCGATCGAGGCCGGCCACAAGGAGGGCGCCATCCACAGGGCTCCACTGCACACTCGTGGCGGGCAGTGTGCACGGCTCCGAAACAAAGCATGGCTCGAAGGTCTTGCCCCCCATGACACGCACATCGGCGCCGACAATCGCGAGGAGCTGTGCCGTCGGATCAAAGCGCACCTGCTCAATGCCAGGCGTCGCCTCGATAGTGCGCGCAACCGCGAGCTTCCGCAGGTCCCAAACCTTGACATGGGCGTCGTCGCGCGATGCCGCAGCGAGGAGGTAGCCATTCGGCGAAAAGTGCAGGCTGTGTACGGCGCCTGCGTGCCCGGTAAACAGGGCACTCTGGCGCCCCAGCTTCACATCCCACACGCGAATCGCGCCATCGGCCGTGCCCGTCGCGGCCAGCTGCCCGTCGGGATGGAAGGCAAACGACGTGTAGACCATGCCAGCGCCGTCGTCGCCCGCATGAGTGGGCGGCGGTACACGCAAGAGGCACGCGCCCGAGTCGAGCGCATAGAGGGCCCACGAGCCATCCCTGCTCGCGCAGCCAACAAACGCGTCGGTAGGGTGGACATCGACGCCCGTGATCTCGGCTTCGGCGCCTTGCAGTACATGTAGCAGCTCGTACGTCTCGCCGGTGTGGCGCCACACACGCACCGATTTATCGGCGCTCGCGCTCACAGCAAACGGGGGTAGCGGCGCCTCGCTTGATCCGGGGCCTGCCGCAGCATTGCTACGCCCAGAGAACGCCACGGCCGTCACGGCCTGCGTGTGGCCCTGGAGCGTGGCCAGCACCTTGTCTGTGGCGCGCTCGAGCACGAGCACGGTCTTGTCGAGGCCGCCCGTCAGCAAAAGTGCGCCGTTCGCACTTACGTCGAGAGCCTGGATGCCGGGCGATGAGGCGCTGTGCAGCGCAGAGATCGACTGCGTCTCGTGCAGATTCGTGGCTGTGGCCGGCGTGGGGTACGGCGCAGGCGCGCCGCGTTTGATGCGCGCGCGGCGCTCACCTGACTCATGCGCCGCCGTCGCATCGATGGCTGCGGCCGCATCGGCGGGCAGTGTGAGGCCACCGGCGGACGCGGGGGCCTCTTCGTGTGTCATATCGACGTCGCCGCTCGCGCCGCCCAGCGACGCGTGCACACTGGCGAGCGCCTCGCGCGCGTCATCGCGCTCCTTCATGAGGCGTGCAATGACGCGCATACTTGCATCATTCGTATAAAGCGCGTGCGCGAGGTCCTGGCGCACCGCGTCGTACTGCTTGCGCAGCTCGAGCGTCTCGAACACCATTGCGTCGTACTCGTTCTGAAGCGCGCCGAGAAGAGACGGCACAGAAGAGTGTGTAGGGGGGCGTGGAAATGCCGTGCGGGGCGCTGGGGTGAGACGGGGACACGTACTGGACTGCAGCGTAAGCAGGTCGTCCATAGCGAGCGGCTCTTTCGTCACGGGGTCTGTACCATGCTCATCGATGTACTGCTCGATGAGCCGCCTCTCGTAGACGTGGCCACTCTTCTTGGACACCACGGGCTCCTTGGGCGCCTCGCCAGAGACTAATGTGAGATTCAGTTACGCACTCGCACAGAACATGGGGGGCGACAGCAAGCACGGCGTGCGACGAGCGGCGCCTTTCTATCACGTGATAACTACTGACGCTTCTTTGCGGCCCGCTGGGCCTGGTCCAACGCGTAGGGGTCGTTCGGCGTGCCGCGGCGGCCGCGCAGACCGGAGTAGTAGCCAGGGCCGGCTGAGGTGAGTATTCCGTACGTACTGTAGAACATGAGCGCCTCGGGGCGGTTCAGGGACGGCCAACCGACGTACAAGAGGCCATGCTGCCATACGTACACGAGCGCCGAGACGGCGACGGCGACCCACACCAGCTCGAACACAGGCACGACGCCGGTATCGATATAGTAAGGGCGAGTCTTATCACCAGCCGGTAGGCACCGCGATGCAATCACAAAGAAGGCGCTCAGGTATATAGCCCAGGGCATCAACTTCACCATCCAGTTGCGTGTGTCGACAAACGGCGTTTGAGCGCGGGGGTCCCACGCGCCAGTGATCAGGTCAAAGGCGTCCTGGCGCTGGCCATCGAAAAAGTTGTTCTTGGTATACCGGGTCAGCGAGTTGAGTCCGTCCTGCAGCACACCCTCGGAGGTGCGCTTACCAGTGCGCGTGAAGTCGGTCTTGAGCGCGCCGGTACCCGAGTAGGCCTTGCTGATAACATCCGCATGGTCCGCCCACATGTTACGGAACAGATGCTGGAAGCTCGCGTAGTTCTCCGTCATATCGGCGGGAGGCAGAACTCCGACGCTGCGCAGCTGCTCGTTGAGGACCCAGCGTGCCAGAATGGATTGCACCACATTCGTGCGGTCGAGACAGTCCATGCAGTTAGTTCGCACGACCGACGTCTGCAGGCGCAGGCGCGGTGCGCCTGTTGTGTCGAGCGAGAACGAGTCGCTGCTCGAGAGACCCTGCTGCTGCAGGCGCTCGATCAGCTTCGATACGTTGCCGAACTTCATGCCTTTGCACTCGTTGTGAAAGTCAAAGTAGGTGTACTGGAGGAGGGGGTGGTCTAGCACCTGCACTGCATGTTCGTACGCCTCCTTCACAGGCTTCTCATACCCCTTTTGGTTGACGAGGTTGACGAGATAGTTCTTGCCGTACGCCGCGACTTGTGCTTGCATGTGCTTCTCGAACGACGCCGCAGCGCGGGGGTCGTCGGGAATCAGCAGGTCCGGCTGGTACCGCAAATTGTTGATCTGCGCCCAGTACACCGGCACGCTCCCGCGCGTCTGCACGAAGCTCAGGCGCTGCACGCCCTCGACGTCTTCCACATCCTGCGGCTGCTGCAGGCTGGGGGGGTCGAGCAGCACGAACTGCTCTGTCTCGTTGAAGTTCGACACATGGCCCTCCTCGTTGATGCCACGTGAAAAGAAGCGTGTGCCAGCACGATGCCGCGAGCGGCGCGCAATGAGGCCCAGCACAAACGAGCGCCCATGGATTGACGCGAGCTTCACTTGCAAGAAGCCAAAGATGACGGGCATGATAAAGCCGGACAGGTCCTGGTCGGGGTGCGCCAGCGTGTGCTGAATCAGGCGCTCCTGCAGGTGGCGATTCCAGAAGAAACGCTCGTCCGCCCGCTTCCACAGGGGCACATTGCCTTCGTCGCCGGCGCTCTGAACTTGGCGCTGCATGCTGCTCGTCAGGTCCATCTCGTAGCTAAAGTAGAGGGGTCCCGAATAAAGGGCCTCCTTCACAAGGGCGATCAGACGCTTCTCGATCGGGTGCGAGAGTAGCGATGGGTTTGCTGCGCTCTGGATCGGCAGCATGCGAAAGTCTGTTGCAAGATAGATCGTCGAGCCAAGGATGTGCGCCACGCGCTTGCGGTTCGTAATCACCACCAAAAAGTCACTCGTATGCAGCGAAATGATACCGAGCACACCGTGCACAATAAACTGCTTGTCATGCTTCGGAGGCGCATCGCTCAGCACCACGGCTTCGATTAGAAGGCTGTACGTACGCTGCAACTCCAGGGCACTGGCCTTTCGATCGATTACCAGCTTTTCCGCCTGACGCCCAGGCTCGCTCCGGTTAGGTAAGAGAGTGTACGAGTCTGTACTCGTCAGAATGATAGACTAACATACCCTTTGATACATAACTGCCTGGTCAGGTCCATATACGTACAGCGTAAATCCAGACCACAGCGACATGGCAGGCAGTCGACCGTGCCCACAAGGCGTGTTGTCGGGCTGAGACCGACTCGCCGATAGCCTCCACAGCCACGCGTTACGTGCTGCTGACAAACCGAGAATGGCTATAGAGCGCTACGGTGTGGCCTCCGCGGGCCAGCCGGCAAGCTGGCGTATCGCTTGCGGGTCCTGTGCACCTCGAATCTCTGGATTCTCAATCGCCTCGCAAATTGCGTGGGCCACTGTGTCGACATGCAGCGCTGGCGTCGTTAATGCACCCGCGAGAGGGTGAAGCGCCGTAGGCACCACGCGGCTGCGCAACACGTCCGCGGGGGCCGGGAAGGGCAAGCGCCATCGTTGGTGCAGGCGGTGCGCGTGGTTCGATAGGTCAATCATCGTGGCAGGCACCGTCGACCAAGGCCGATTGTGGGGGTGGTACATGAGGCCGGGCCGCATGAATACAGGCCGAAGCACATCGTCCGCTAGCCGTGTGATCTGCTGCTCAGCCTCGTACTTGGTCGCAGTGTACCGCGCGGAGATCACTGGGCGCATAATATCGGCCGCCGATAGGTACACGAACGGCACGTGCGTACGTTGCTTTGACGCCTGGGCTTCCTTGACCGTGTGTGCCACGGTGAGCGCCGAATCGCGGTTCATGCGCTCATACGATAGGCGATCGTTCGGTGACGTGAGTGGGTTCGTGCCCGCAGAAAGGCCCCAACCCTTCGCAAGGCCACGCCAGATTCCCTGGAACGAGCTGCCCTGGCCCTTATAGTCTGATTCCATTAGGATACCGATTGTGTGGACCACAGCTGTGCATTCCGCTGCAAGAGCTCGGTACGTGTCTGGCTCAAACGCATCAGCTTTGCGCCACTGCATGTGTTCCGACGTCGTCCACGCAGGCGCGTGACCCCGCGGTGTGCGAAATGGACGCCCACTTCCGCTAATGCTCGTCACATTCCAGCCACGAGAGAGCGCCTGCTTGCATACCGCCGAACCTATGTGTTAGATTCATCACGTACCCACAAAGCCGTTGCCACCTACGACCAGGAGTCCGCGAGGGCCCGGTGCCATGATGGGAATCGGACACAAAATCGGCCGATTTTGGCAGTGGAGGCGCGGGAGCCGAGCGCGCCGCGTATCTTGGCTCAAGACAGACGTGCGTCGCACCTAGGGCGGGGGCTCGCAGCAATCGCATGGCTACACTATCTAGCGTGCTTGTTCGTCCATATTCACATCCTCGGACGGCCCCGCCGCCGCAGGCGCAGGCGCTGCGTCATCGACGCCCGTGGGACCCTTGTCGGCTTCGGCGTCCTCACTCTCCGCGAGGGCCTTCGCAGCCGCCTCATGGTCCATCGACTTGGCAGAAGCACCATCATCCGCAGACGCCTTGGCCGGCACAAACGGTGCATTCGGCTCTCGATCCTCCAGCAGGAGGATGCCGCCACGGCCACCTGTGACGGACAGGTCTAGCTGGCGCGCACTCACGGCGTCGGCCTGCACGGGACGCACGGCCTGGCCCGCGATGGGGCGCACTGGGGCGTAGCGCGAATCAGGCGGGAACGTCACGTAGCGCAGCTGGAACGGCGTCACGCGTGAACCATTCGGAAGGCGCTCCTCTTTTGGTTCGACAGTGTCGGGGCCCGGAGCGTCTGAGCTCTTGGTCCCTTCAGTGGTCTTCGCATCGGCTGGGGCGCCAGTCTCGGCCTCCGGCTCAGCATCCATGTCCATCGTCTCCTGTGCCTTCTTTTTTTCCTTCGTCCGCTGCCGCGCCTGCGACTTGGCCGTCGTACTGAGGACAGCCGTCTCCACCTTCTCCAGCTTCTTCTCGCTCGGGCCCTGCAAGGCAGGCGGATATGCAAACAGGCTTGGACGGGCATGCGACACCAGCTCGAGCGCTGGCATCTCCAGGGTACTTGTCACGCCCACAATGGAGGTCGGAGTGAATGCCAGCGAGGCAAAGTGTGCCATCGGGAACCAGTACCAGTACTGCGTGAACAACGCCATACCCACGACCGCCGCTGTGTTGGTGCTGCCGCCGCGGCCCTGTAGACTAATGGTCACGTTGCGGCCACCTGCATCAATGAGACCTTGAGCGAGGGCAGCACCAAACTTGGCCATGGCCTCCTCATGCTTCTCCGTGATGATCCGGTCGAACGTCTTGCGCACAGACTGCGCACGTGGGTGCAGGGTGTCGTTCAACTGGACCAGCACCATGGCCAAAGCCATGCACGCTCCCTGGCGCACAAAATCGACCGTGTCCTTCGTCAGAGGCTCGAGTAGCTCCAGCGCCGCATCGAGACCGGTGCCCGCACATGCAATGCCGAGCGCTATCGCAGCTCCATAGCGGAGGTGGGGGTTGTAGCTCTCACTCAGCAGCTGCACCATCTCGGGGATGTTGTCGGGCGTTCGGAACAGCAGGAAGCCCAGTGCAATCACCGAGGCACGTCGCACGTCGTCGCTGCCATCTGACACAGCCATATGCAGCAGGCGGCTCACAGCCCTGTTGTGACCTGTGCCAGCGTAGGCCAGCGCCATGGTATAGATACCGCCGTACCGTAGCGTCGCATCCTTGTGCACCAGCAACTGCTCAATCACTGTGTCAGCTGCTGACTCGCGTCCATAATGCAGCAGCGCAATGCCGATCGCCAGGCCACGGATGATCTTCTCGTGCTGCGTCTCTTGGGCATACTGGAGCATCTCCTCAGTGGCTTGCTCGGAGCCAGTGCCCAGGTACACCAGACCCATAGCATAGCCGGCCGCTTCACCGCTCACCGCCGAGTCGGAAAACAGCAGCGTACGAAGCTCCTCATAGACTTCCTCGTTTTCCGTCGCCATGCCGGCAGCCCCAAGACCCAGCGCAGCACCATGCTGCACAACCTCTGCCGTGTTCGTGCGGAGTGTCTGGGTGAGAAGGTCCAGTACAGACGCGCCGTGGTTCGCATGGATGAGGCCCAGGGCAAACAGACTGCCTCCTTCCGAGTATACACTGCTTGATGGAGCGCCATTCTCGGGAGGCAGATACGGCCGGAGAATTGTCAGGCCCTCCTCCAGACTGCCGCGATGCAATACACCCAGCGCGGCCGTGGCCGTAAACTTGCTCCAGTTGGAGGCCTTTGCCAGCCAGTCGAGGTTCTCGCGCAGGAACTGGTCACTACCAGTACCAGCGTGCATGAACGCATTCGACAAGCTCACCGCCGAGTGGTAAGCACTGTAGTGCGCATCGAGAGCATCCTTCGTCCCTTTAAGGATCATTAGGTCTGCGTGGTTCGCCGAGTGCAGGAACTCGCGGTACAGACGAATCGTCTCCTTGCCACTGAGAATGCGTGCGGTCGTCTCAAAGGCGCTATCGAGCTGTTCGCCCTTGGACAGATCCGCTTGCACGTACCGCAAAAACTCTTGTGTGGCACCGTCGACCAGGTCAAAGGCCACCTGGTACGCGATTAGCCGCGTCCTCTCCTCCTTGTCAGCCCGCTGAAGAAGCGAACGAAGCAGATCAGCGGTCAGCTGCGGCTCGTTCAAGTACACATAGCATTGGGCTGTAGAGAAGTAGTCCGGCTCGTCCAGCGACTGGAATAGACGCACGAGCAGGTTCAATACATCGCGACGTGCTTCTGGGTCCGCAATGACACTCATAACCATCTCAAGAACGTAAGTGAGCAGTGCCTTGTCGTGCGTCAGCTCAAACACATGCTCAATCACGTCCAGGCGGCGGGTCTCGAGCGCAATTCCCAGCGCCTGACGATATTCACGGTTTTGAATACAGTGCGACATCATCTTATCCACAATGTTTGTCAGGCGCTCATCAACAGCTCCTGCCTGTGGGTCGCTGCGCTGGGCCACATACTGATCAATGGCCTTGGATACCACGGTCTCGATATATTCATTACGCTGGTCCACATCGAACAACGCCTCGGCACCCAGTGCAAAGTTCAGGGCATCTTCAAACTCGCCCAAATAAAAGTACACTTTCGAGGCCACTAGCGCAGCAAGCCGCCGATCCGTAAACGATTCATCTTCGTACAGTTCTTCAATACGGGCCACTGCGTCAGCGAGTTCCGTCCAGAAACGGTCCACGAGCGTGTTGAGCTTTTGAAGTGCATACGACTGCAGCTTGGGATCTTGCTCATCAAGCAGGGCCGTTACACCAGCGACAGATGTCAACGACGGGACCACCATCGCTCGCTCGCTTCAAGGAAGGTGGCGTGTCGTCGGAGTACACCGCAGCCGCGATCGACGCGCGGCCTCTTGTGTCGTGGATTTATGCACGCACGCACGCTTCGTCGCGCGGCCGCACGCGCTGGCTTTACGGACCGATGGCAGGGCGGCGGCCAGAGAGTGGTGCGTCCTCTTCACTCACATGTAGAGCTCTCGCTGCTGATCCAGCAAAGACGTGCAGAGCTACAGACAATCGCTGAGAAAGTGAGCGAGATTGAGAGCGATGCAGACGAGCATCGGTATGTTTAGGCCTTCTCGGTCGTTGATAGCTAACGCAACAGTCTCGTCATTACGACGCTGGCAGACGTGTATAAGAAGGAACCGGAAAGGACCTGTTTCCGGCTGATTGGTGGCGTGCTAGTCGAACGCACCGTCAAAGACGTGCTGGAGACCCTTCAGACAACTATGGAAGGGGTGCGTTCGAGCCATCTAACCCTCAGCTCGCAAATGTTATTGTTGAGCTTGTCAAGCAGTACAAGATCAAGGAAAAAGAACTGACAGAATTGCAGGAAGAACTGCAGACGTCGTCGAGGACCTAGCATGCATAGATACCTGTACCTCTAAAGGTGTGCATACCAGACCACCTGCATGATTCCTGTCGCTCCGTAGGCTGGGATCTCATACGCATGCTGCGGATCTAGCCGGGGTTGTCCTTCTACGATGATCTACGCATCGATCGTGCGGTACCCCTTCACCTGAATGTAAGCACATCTGCCAGTGTGATATCACATACCTTGGCCTCCTTCAAGAGGTCATTGTACACCTTGGCAATTGGGGCGCACACCTGGTAGTGGTTCTCGCCCTCCGCGCGGTGGCATTTTTGCAGCTCGTCATGCACCAGACGGAGCTCCATCACCTTGATCCACTCCTCGCGGATGGCCTCCTCCTTCCGCTCCTTGTTTGCTGTGATAGTTAGCAAGTACCCAAACTCTTACCGGCAGCGATCTCAGGCGTCAGCTTCATGCTCATGGCGGCGGACACGACTAAGGCAGCCGCCCGCGGGCGGCGTGTGCTCTTGCTCGGCCGAGGACGTCCCTGCAGGCATCCTACAAAGATTGTGACTGTTCGTGCGCGGCTACCATGGGTAAGCGAAAGCGCGCGGCGCGTGATAACTCGTCCCAGATCTTGCGTGAACAAGAGGCACAACACCCAAATGCTGTGGCCGGAAAGGTCGTGATTCCTCAGAAGCGCTGGTATCGCCAGAGAGCACATGCGAACCCATTTTCTGACCACTCACTCGTGTACCCGGCGCAGCCTAGTGAAATGGACTGGTCGGTACACTACCCCGAGATGTGTGCGACTGACCTGCCTGAGAAACGGAAGGTCGAGTTCGCCGATGTGGGATGTGGCTTTGGCGGCCTTCTCATGCGACTCGCTCCACTCTTCCCGGAGACTCTGATTCTTGGCATGGAGATCCGCACACAAGTGACGCAGTATGTGCATGACAAGATCCATGCTCTACGTTTGGCACATAAACAATGTGTCTCGAAGGATACCTTGGAGGCGAGTGTCGAGGCGGAGCCCGAAGGGGAGGACGAGGCCCACGATGAGGACTCGGAGGAGCGCCGCCAGAATGAGCGCATGGTCCGTGAGGCAGGTCATGTCACAGGCGGTTACCAGAACATTAGCGTCATCCGCACGAATGCGATGAAGTTCTTGCCGAACTTTTTCGAGCATGGTCAACTGAGCAAGATCTTTTTCCTCTTCCCCGACCCCCACTTCAAGGCTCGCAAACACAAGGCGCGCATCATTTCGTACGTACTGAGTCTAACCCAGACCCACATTGCTTGCCGAATATGCATACGTGCTTCGTCCTGGCGGTATTGTATACACAGTCACCGACGTGCGTGATCTCCACGAATGGATGGTCAAGCACTTGACAGCCTTCCCTTTGTTCCAGCGCATCGCCGACGATGATCCCATGCTGGCCAACGACCCATGCGTAGATGCTGTCATGTACAGCACAGAAGAAGGCCGCAAGGTCGAGCGCAATGCTGGCGATAAGTTCTTTGCCGCTTTTGTGCGCCTAGCGGACCCCGCCGTTGGCGAGGAATAGTCGCTTTTCTAGTTGTTGTACATGCGAGATCTATTGGAGCAGCGCGAGGCGCGCCGACATGTCGGCCTGTGTGCTGACCATATTCGCCAGGTACGACACCATAAACACATCCTGGAGATGAGAGTTGAACAAGGCATTGAGCTCGTCGCCCTTCAGTCCTGCGGGTACCACACTGATAGTGTCGCTCAGGTACCTGCCCACAGCCTTGTCACCTTCGATCTCACCAGAGAGCACCTTGCGCACATATGTAAGCACGCGTTCTAACTGCGCCTGCACCTGCTCCAGCGATGCCTTTAGTGCATCGAGATCCGTCAGCACCTCGGGCTTTTCCTGGCTAAGGAAACACAGCGCCGTCTGCTCTGGGCTCGACGTAAGTAGCGTAGTAGGAAGAGATATGAAGACACAGTCCTCGGGCTTCCATGTCGCGCCAAGCAGAGCACTCACATAGCACTGCACGCCGAGGCCATTTTTCTCATCAGCCACATTGGTATTGAGCGTCAAGTGGATCGCTTGGTGTGGCGCTGTCTCGCGCGAGTAGTGGTCTTGAATAAGGGCACTGTTCGCGTTCAGGTCCGGGTTGGTCGAGTACCAGCCCAGAACAACCTCTTCAGGCGACACACGCAGGTGAAGGTCAAGCATGCGGCGGTGGTGCTCGGCATCAAGGTGGATCTGCCAAGGGTCTTGGCTTTCACTGTGTGGCACTGCAAAGCAGTTGCGAATTTCCACCTCATTCTCGCTTCGTGTACCGAGCAGGGTACCGATCACGCGAGGTTGTGAAGCATCGCGGCGAAGGAAATGGTCGAGGATTGAAAAGAGAGCCACCTGAGGTTAGTCAAAAAAAAATCACATACAGGATGAACCTTGACACCAGTAATCGAGCGCGAATGGAACACACCCGAAGCAGCAGGCGGGAAGCTCAAGTGCAGCGCCGACGACGACGCAAAAGTATTCTGGCCAGCCATGCTGTCGCTGATGAAGAAATGCGGCAACCGGCTACCGTCTTTCACCAAAGCCACGTGGTCGTCGCTGCGGTAAGCGGCGCGGTCGCCGCGCTCCTCTCACCCACTTTCGCCATGCAGTTGTCCGAGGATACCAAGGTAAGTGATTTGTCGCACTTGTCTCACACGAATAGGAGCGGATTGTCCGTATCATCGACGTCGCAAAAACGGTTGTCCACTACGGATGGTATGTATCTACGTTCTTATTGCAAGGGTGCCGTTTGTCATCTACGTCGGTTTCATGAGCAGCTCTCCCCGCCCGAACCTCTTCAAGTACGTCTTTGCTACTTATACAGAATCCTGAGTCCTCTTTCATGATGGTCTGCTCTCCAAAATCGTTGGATTAGGTTTGCACAAAATGCTATAGTGGGAATCCACACCTTGCCTAAAATCGGGTGACGTCGCGTCCACGATGTAGCCACGTCGTCGATAAAAAGCACGGGCTGCGTCGTTCGATCGAAAAACTGTGAGTGCGACTTTGCGCATGCCTGCTTTCCAAGTCAGATGCTCCAGTATAGCCAGCATCATCGTGCCAATTTTGTTGCCTCTGGCAGCTGCATTCACTTGTACCTCGTAGCTGTTGTCAGGGTCCGCAGCGTACCAGTACGTAACCTCGACGATATCATCCCCGGGGCTCGCACATATATCGTCGTCGTTGGTCTCATCTACATCATAACGCCACATGACAAACCCTAGTAAGTCCCATATCTGGTCACTTGCATTCGTCCTGCGGGTGCGGCGACGCGCAGGCTCGTCTGTGTTGGTGTCCAGGACAAGAAGGAAGCGTGATGTTCGATGCTGTAGTTCTGCTCTCTTTGCATTTGGATCCCATATACCCACATGCTCGTACATGGCACGCATATTGGATTCCAGCAGCGCATATATGCACTCGTGCATGTCTGTAGAAAGCTCTTGCGCTTTAGCAATTTTTACCTGATACGGTCTATGCGTTAGATATCGCACCCAGCACCATACAGTTTAGATTCTTCGACAAGCTTCGCTACCCAGCTTTGAAGCTGGGCGGACTTGATCTGCGCATTAATCATGTCTGCACATACCCTCTGGGCGCGTAATACCGTGTGCCTGGCTCGGCTTGGTTGCTCCATGGCACCAATTATGTAAAATCACGCACGGCGCGCGCTGCGTCACTCCTGTTTTCCCAAATCCACCCTATTTGGACCGGACCAGGGAACTGGTTTCCTCAGCGCGTGCGGCGCTTCCTCGGCTCAATATGTCACTGGACTCCAACTCGACTGTGACGGAATGGGAAAGCTCGAATGATTCCGAACATCGTCATGCGAGTATGAACACGGTGAGGGAGTCTTTACATGCCATGTCCGTGCAACTCAAGGATGGCTCACGCAAGATTAACCAATACCATCTACTCAAGGAAATCGGTAAGGGCTCTTTCGCGATTGTTCATCTTGGCGAAACCAATGACGAGCAACGTTTCTATGCTATTAAAGAATTCGACAAGCGTCGAATGCGGCGGCAACGTCTGATGGAGCTCCGCAAACATCTCCAAACCCTGTCGAAATTGAACGATGAAAATGATCCGTTGAGTCTCGTGCGCGCTGAAGTCGCTATTATGAAGAAGCTTCACCATCCAAATATTTTGCGGATATATGAGGCCCTAGATGATCCAAATACGGACCACCTTTATCTCGTTTTCGAATACTGCCACGGTGGTGTTGTGTATTCAGTCAAGCCAGGGCAAAAAAGTGTGCCCCTGTCCGAAGAACAAGCTCGTCATTATTTCCGCCAGATTATGTGTGGTGTGGCATACCTTCATTCTCTTGGGATTGCTCACAGAGATATCAAGCCAGACAATATCTTGCTCACACATGCCAAGGGCGAATGTAAAATCGCCGACTTTGGTGTCTCGGAAATATTTGTGAAACCAGGCAATGATATGGTCTCAGATATGGCCGGAACTCCTGCTTTCATGAGCCCTCAATTGTGCCGAGCTGGGAATGCTTTTTCGCATGGATACACCGATGACGTCTGGGCTTGCGGCGTTACGCTATATTGCTTTCTTATGGGTCACATGCCCTTCGACAAATCAGCTATTCTGGATCTGTACGCTTCCATCGTAAATGATGAGCCGGTGTTTGGCACACATTTGAGTGCGGAGAGTGTAGATCTACTGCAAAAGATGTTCATCAAAGACGCATCGAAGCGCATCACTGCGGATGCCATTCTTCAGCATCCATGGATTACAAAAAATGGAACCGACCCCGTGCCTAGCTTTTCTGATCCCGGAGCCCCATTAGACTCCATCACGGACGAAGACGTGCAAAGCGCTGTGTGCCGCATCGGCAGCATGTTCACCGTGGCGCACGCTGTATCGAAGTTCAAAAGAGCAAGTTCCCGCACAAGCAGCACCTCTAACTCGTGTGATAGCGGTAACGAAAACAGTTCGATCTCAAATAATTCAGAGGCTTCCCATGCGAAAGCCTGGGTCCCAGGAGGCTCACCGAGCCCTGCCATGTCGCCGAGTGAGCAAGATAATTCAGCTTTGGCGCCCACAATCTTTGATCAACAAGTCACTCTTTCTCCTTCTTCAACAATGGAACAACCACCTTTGCTAGAGTCACCCAAAGGGGCACAGCACACAGCTCCTCAGCCCATACTCACTTCTTCTCCCAAAGAAGACGTTGTTGTTTGTGCATCACCTACAAGCACAACCATAGATGTGTAACGCATTTGTCAATGAATAATGACTATTTTTTCTTCTCGAAAATACTAGTTCTACTTCTTTTTGGGACCACCAAGCTACACTGTTAGTTCTCGTCATACACATACGGGAGCACCAATGTCCTTTCCTGTGGCGTTAGTCCGTCGCTAGCCTCACGTACCGCGCAGCTTCACTCCAAGGATGCGCTCCATCTTTGCCAAAATCTGAGGGCTGGGGATAGCCTTGCCACCCTCATACTCCTGAATCACAGAAGGCTTTTCGTTGATCCTTACTGCAAGATCTTTTTGGTTCATACCCTTTGCTTGGCGGGCCTGGCCAATAATCTTACCAACGGAGGGAGGAATCTTAGGGGGAGGAGCCACATCATCTTCGCGATCCAATTTGGCGATGCGCTGGTGGTCCGTACCTTGATGAGCCTTGTTGTGTCCGGCCGCAGCTATTGCCACGTTAGCTCATTTCAACAGGCACACTTACTTTTACGATCGAATGCATTCACAGCACCAACTTGCTTGGCACGCTCGAGAGCCGTAGGTCCACGAGGCCCACTAGCCGAGCTACCACCAGGTCGTGCCTTGCGTCCGATTACAACTGTCTGATCCCAAGCCGACATACTGCGGTTGTGGTTCGAGGGGAGATACTACGAGGTGTGTGGAGGCCCTGCTTCGTCACGCCACGTGAAGGTCCTTCGGCTGCTTTCCATCCGGTTTCACCGTCTGGGGTATCTTCACTTGGATGACATAATACCAAGATCAAGGGCGCCACGCAAGGACGTGCGCATCGGCCGCTCCACGTATCCTGGGTGCGACATAGGCTATTGTGTCAGACCAGTGCTTGTGATTAAATCCTGAACCAAGCCACCAAAGAATTTGAACGTCTGCCGAGGTTTGGTCATTAAGAAATACCATCGAGTCTAGCCAGTCAATACTTGCCTGATTCCGAGCCACAATGGATTCTGATGTTTCCTGACGGACAAGATCTACCATGGATTTTCTGAGCGGAATTTGTAAATACGCCTTGTACATAATTGTGAACGCTTGTTTCCGAAGCTTTGGACAGAGCCGTAGCGCGAGCATCCTTGGCCAATGGTTGTGCACCGACGAATCCTTTATAATGAACAACAGGTCCATGTAAGATGACCGTAAGACGGCCAGATAGGCTTTGTGGACAAACTGAAGGTGTTCTTCTTTGATCAGACATAATTGATCCGCTTGTCTCTGCAATAGCAAAATTCGTCGCTGTAAGTATTCTTGCAAATGCTCTGGTCGCTCCGACGTCAACGATTCCAATAGCCACAAGCAATAAAACACAGAGAAATGGGAAAGTGATTCATCAAGAAAAGTTTCCGATCCGTGAATATCATTTTGAACCAGAAGTTTGATCATTTCAACATAGTTTGGGCCATCCCAGCTCGGATAGTTTGTATGACCAGGATTGAGATATACATAATCAACCAATTTTGATAAAGATAGTCCAAGGTGCTGAGTATTTAGGCACAGGATGGATACAATCACAGAAAATCGATACACTAATGTCAGATGAGAGCCAGCGCACCCTGTGTTACCAATCCATCTTTTCGCTGACTAGCAATCAATCCCTCACGGAGTTTACGAACTGCGTGTAAGATTCTATCCAAATACTCCATCGCATGGTTGTGCCACGATGGAGGATCAGATGGATATAAGTGTTTGGGTGTACCTGACAGGGCTGTGATCGTCGGCCTCTCATTCAGTGCCATCACTGAAGGATATTTTCGGTTATACTCATGAACAAGTCCATGAATATACATCCAATATTGCTCCTGAACAACAAATTGCGTCAAACTAAGTGTAAGCAACCTGGTAAAACACCAACTTTTCGCCCACTTCGACACCTCGTGATGGACTGGCAAGCAGTTCCATATGATGAACAGCTTTTATCTTGTCATTTGGATTCTTTTGAGTCTCCCACTCTTTCATGTCATTTCTTCGAATTAAATGCACCGAGCCAGAAACCCCTGCCTGCCTGCTGGACGCAGTCATCATCGATGCTGGCCACAATTAACTTCACACCTCCACAAAACCAAGTGCCTATGTTCTACTGGACAGGAGCACGATCAATGGAGAACAACGGCTCCGTTTTGGCCATTTGATACATGAATCTTTTTAAGCAAACGTTTCTTGACGTCCTTGAAGTCCAGATGATACTTAGAAGCGATCTTTTCTATAACATCCTTCAGTACCACTTCGTCGTTGGACTCGGTCAATTCAGATACCACAGACTTGATTGTATCAAGCGTTAAAGTCTTCTTGAGAGACCTGTTATTCTGTTCCGGGGTATCTTCCACACGCTTTTGCTTTTTGGCTTGTTTTTTCGCATCATCGGAAATCATTTTCTCATTTTCTTTTCGCTTCGTGGAAGTAACACTGTCCTTTCCTTGTGATTCTTTACTAGCCGGCTTGGTCACGACAGCCTCGGCGCTGACTGGAATTTTCTGCGTGGGCTGTTGTTCTGACTTCTTCCCTTTGTATAAACTCAATTATTAGTCCCAGCAGAAGTTTGTACATACCTCTTTTGATATTTCTCATCCTCTGTAATGCACGAAGAGTGCGCTTCCTTAGGACTTGAAAATTGAACACTGCAGTCAAGACATGTAAATGGAGACCAGCATTTATTGTAGTGTTGTGGAAGCTTCGGCTTCTTTACGATGTCTCCGCAACCGTCACAACTAAAACTGACCATGACCACTGCACACTGCAGGCTGCGTCTTGCTACAAAAATGATCCGCTTACGTTACCACGAAAGGCTTCCTCTTTCTATCGCCTCCACACAACCTGCAAAGTCCTGCATATTCTCTCCTTGCAGGCGCCACGAATGGGCCCAGCTTATTTCCCCTTGAGCCAGCCTAAAATTGATCAGCAGCCTGCATTCCTGCGCATTAATGCATGGCAAATGTAGGAGGCCTGATATGTCACCTACCTCGTAATTCGTGTAGCCTAACATGATGCGAGGCAATTTTTGGCCTTGTCCCACCCCTGTCAGACATTATCGCTTATGTGATGGAGAACTAGGCATGCAGCCAACCTCGCATTCGGGGTCCAACAATCATTTGACGAAGTTTGCTGCACGTTACCATTCGACCATTCATGTGCTATTCTTGTTCCCTTACCTGCTCGCACGCTTGAGCTTAGGCATTCTTGGGCTCATTTCTCCCAGTCCTTACAGCCGCGGTAGCCCAGTGGGCGCACAGGGCACAGGGCCAAGGGCTCAACAAGTTCTCGACCCGCATTGACAGGGAAATATAACGAGGCGGGGAGCCCAAAGGTTGTCCACCGAGACCTCGTTCAGTTGTCTTTGTAACTGGGCCACTGTCCTACCTACTACATTCGCTCCCTTGGCTTGGATCGTGGCTCTGGATTGCGCTGGCACTGGACGCGTCAGACTTTTATCCTCCAATATGTCGGCATTCTCACGTATTCCAAGCATGCAGCCTCATCTCGCTCGTCACAGCTTTTATGGCTGGCCTTCTCACGGAGTTGCAGCTCCTTCCAATCCAGTCTCGGTGAAGCCCCCATCAGGCGTACCTAATGCTATGCCCCTGCCGCTTTCATCACTGAAGCAACGTCACTCGACCATCGTTCCGGTCAATTCTCTTGACACAGGCGTCAACGCCAAGACAAAGTCCGCGACAGTCCGTACAGCACGCGCACCATCCAATAACATTCTATTTGAGATGGAATACCAGCAAGAGAACTTTGAGTACATGCACGAAATGGAGAAGCAGACCATGCCCAACATTGAATTGATGAACGTCCAGCCCGAGCTACATTGGTTCATGCGTCCTTATTTGGTCGATTTCTTGATCGAGATTCATCAGTCTTTCCGCCTTCGTCCTGAAACCCTTTATTTGACTATGAATTTAGTGGATCGATATGTATCGAAGCGCATTGTGTACAAGCGTCATTATCAGCTTGTCGGATGTGCCGCCCTTTTGATTGCTGCAAAGTTTGAGGACTCGAAGGATCGCGTCCCTACTGTGATGGAGCTGAGCCAAATGTGCTGCAATGCATATGATCCTAGTGCATTTACTCAGATGGAGGGGCATGTTCTTTCCACTTTAGGCTGGAACCTAGGCCACCCGACTGCGGAAAGTTGGCTTCGGCATGAGTATTCATGTGCACCACCTTCGAATCCTGTCACTCACAGCGTGGCACGATTTTTACTTGAAGTGACTCTGTTCCATGAACGATTTATCCCTATTCTTCCGTCAGCCTTGGCGGCAGGTGCTATGCTGTTGGCACGACATATTTGCCGTGATCCTCGTCCGAACTCTCAGAGCCAAGGATCAATGGCCTCTGGTGCTGCTAGCCAGATTCATCAGCACATGATGGAAAATTTGAACGACTTGTCAATGATTTTGATTAAGAAGTACTCGTACTCTTATTATGGAGAGGCATCGACAATTGCCACGGACTGGTTCCGTAGGCGCATCGAAATCAAGAAGGCCATGGCTAGCTCAAAGCCATTATACCGAATGGAGGCTTGCTCAAGCGATGAGGATGGGGACTCGGTGCGCTCGCATGACTCTGGGGCTTCTGTTTTCTCTACGCCCTCTCGAACAATGAACCGCGATGATGACGATGATGACAGTATGCCAGTGACACCTATGTCTCTTCATTCTGTCCAAGACACATCACTGAACTACCAAGGTACTCTGCCTCCGCGATTCCCTACGTCCGGAAACACAGTGGCACGTCCTGTTACGATGAATTCTGATGCGAAGTCTTCTCATACCTCATGGATGTCTCTAGCTCAGCTTCGCCCTGTTGCCAGACATCCTCGCTCAACCAGTATGGAAGTGGATGCCCCTATGTCAGAGAAGGCGATATAATTATCTAGCCCATGCTATACACATAGGCTTGCCTAGTCTTGACACATTCTATGAACGCGCACTCGAACTGGATTGCAAACACCTCTTACGCAATCTACTAGGGTTATGGAATGATTCGGCGATCATCAGCAGGATGTGATTCACCATCTAGCACCTGTGGATTGTTTAAGGCGTACACATAGGAACTAGAGTAGCAATAAAACATGATAGAACATCTCTATTTCCAGAGAGACAGACGTATCAATCATGGAGGGCAAGATATGCCACTTTTTTAGGCCGAAACCGAGGTGAGCAGGTCACTGTCACCAGCGTCAATCACAGTGAGGACACTGAAAGGTTAGCTTGTCCCGCGCAATTGCTGCCCATAGTATCTGGTGAACCGATCGCAATTTAGAATCGGCGGATACCAACCATGGACAATATGCTCAACGTACCCAACACGGAAGAGCTTACCAGCGGCAGTGCCGAGAGCAATGTTTGAACCCTGGTAGTGGTGCACAGCCGTCTTCGACAGCATGGCGTAGTACTCGACCTCCGACTTACGCAGAGGAGGGGTGTTCGCCGAGATAAGGATGAGCTTAGCCTTGCCACTACGCATGTTCTTGAGGGCGCTCTTAAGACCCAAAGACACCTTACCCGACTTCATAACGAGCTGAAGCTTAGAGTTGATGTTGTCCTGGCTGGACTTCTTGGTCTTCGTCTGCGGAGCCATGGTCTGCAAATGTTAGAACTGATTCTTTTATAAGTGCACAGGAGCTCTATCCCACTAGAACTAGAGCTTCCTGTGATGGGTGTCAGACACGTACATGCTAAGTTTAGTGGCTTGACGAGTGGAAGCGTCAGTGGATTTCTCTGCCATTACCCTCCAACGGTGAATGAGCTCATTTCGGCCGACAGACATTTCGATTTTTATCCACGTGATCTCTATAGTTTTGGAGGCCTCCCGCCGCGGCGCCTTAGATCGACTAAGAATCGCCGGCTTCTGCTCCTCACCATCAAGTGTCTATAACCAAAGGTATGTGGATGCAGTACTGTGCATTCTTGTCATGCTGTGGACCTATGGTTCACATCATTCGAGAGTGTACCGTCTACATTTATATGAACGGGTCGCTAACTCTCACTAGATGACGAAGGGTACGACGTCTATGGGTAAGCGCCAGTATGTATTGCAAACGGCAAGAGCCGTATCCTAAGCTGTTGCTTGGATATATTCTTTTATTGAACAGAGACTTACATGTAACAGCACTAAGACGCACACGATTTGCCGTCGTTGCAACCGTCGTGCCTTCCACCGCCAGAAGAAGAGTATGTTCACACCCGGAAGGGACACTAACCAAACCAGCTTGCGCTTCGTGCGGCTACCCTTCGGCCAAGACCCGGAACTACCAATGGGGCCAGAAGGCTATCCGCCGGAAGACTACCGGTTCGGGTCGCATGCGCCACCTGAAGACAGTGGCCCGCCGTGCTAAGAACGGTTTCCGCACTGGCACCGCCGCCAAGGCTGTGGCTGCCTAACTATCATCTTCCTCCAAACGACTTCGACAGTCTTGAATATGCTAGACGTGCAAGGACATGTCTAGCTTAAAATGCTGGAGTCTATGAGGGGATAGACGTGGATCTGAGGTTGGTGTGGCGTACGATACACTGCATGTGTCTTATGTGCTCTATTTCAGTTGTACCCGTATGCTATATTACCTTTCGTGGCTCTTTGTAGATGCGGGATAGTCCCAGCATGACCAAAAAGACATCCATACCAGATTTGTCGTTCGAGTTAAGATATTTATGGCATAGGCGAGGGGGCGGGCTTGGAAGTGTAGATGCCAGCACCATCTATGTGACTAGTATCGCCTGTCCAAATTCATTTCACGCGACCCTCATGCTGCACCGGTTGAAAGCGAAGGACAGTCATGGATGCCATATGCTTCCGTACTCGAAACACTATCAACGCTGCGTGCCTCACACATTCCTCACATCAATAAGGTGAACAAGGATACATTCCTGTATACAGCGTGTCATGCGACCCTCTACACAGGGTACTTTTTTAAGCCTCAACCTGGACGATCGAAGTCTTGGCAGTGCAGTAGATACCATCAAGGCTAAAGCGTTAGTTCTCTCTGCCAAGCATGAATACGTACAACTTGCGGATATCCTTGTTCCGGACTAGAGTCACACCGTGGAGCAGCGCAGCGCTCTGCGAGACAGCATCAATGTCATTCTGTAGGTTAATAGAGGTGCGAGTATACGTACACCCTCAACGAGAACCTGGTCCTTCTGGGCCTTGTCGTCGGTGATAGTCACACCCTCCTGCATGACGACCTTGCGAACGCGCTTTTCACCCAGGAAGTTCCGGATCTCAACGCTCTTCTTGTCACCAGCAATGATCAGGTTGATGGGGAAATGGGCGTACACAGCACGCATCTTGTACTGGAAGCCAACAGTAACACCCTTGATCATGTTAGCCACGGCAGCCTTGGCGGTACGGAGGCAAGCCAGGTGCTTGCGGCCACCATGCCAAACAATGAACTTGAGCTTAGAGCCCTTGGGGCCGGTGACAAGGCGGATGTCCATGGCCATGTGGCGCAGGTTCTGAAGTTAGCACCGCTAAGGGCAGCGACGACGTACCTTCTGCAGCTCACCTCGAGGGCCCTTGACAGTAATGATACGCGAGTCAATCTGGACAGTCACGTTCTCGGGAATATCGAGATCCAGGTCCTTGTAGATGGTAAGCATCGCGGATTACTCTGTTTCGGTGTTAGTAGTCTGTTTTTCAAGAGCGTGGTGCGGCGCGGACACTAACCTGGTACAGCCGCCGAGATGGGTAGGAGAAGGAGGCGCCCCAGCCGTGGAATTGTAGCGTGCGCTCCTGGGATTATACCCACGTGATCTTCATAGTTTTTCTTCTTGCACGTGCTATACCACGTGGCTCCCAGCTTGCGTGGTGTCGGCCCACGTTCGTTGCTACGGTTGACCGCGCACTGACGCAGCCACCGAGCTGGAGTCACTTGCACTGCCTACCCGTGCGGACTCGACCAGTGTCGGCGGCAGCGTCCTACTCATCCCTCTTCCTTACACGTAGTTTGTGCAGGTATTGTGACTGTGTGATGTATCCCAATGTATACTCTTATGGTGGCGCCCCAGGTGGGCAACGGATGGGCATAGACGGCTATGCATATGGGGGCAGCTACGGTTATGGACCTGGCTACGCCATGAACAACTATGGCAGTGCACCGGTACCAACGCCGGGCTATGGGATGATACCATCTCAAGACACGCCTATGGCCAACTCTGCTGCCTTCGAAGCCATGTTCCGTGGCCACCTAGCCCATCTCACCTTCAATTCAAAACCCATTATCACAAACCTCACTCTCATTGCACAGGAAAGTGCCCAAAGAATGTCCACTATCGTGGCGAAAATTTTAGATGACCACATTCTCATGGTAAGTTGTCTCACGCTTACGTGCAGGCCGCGCCGCCTCATCGGCTCCCGGCACTATACCTCATTGACTCTATTTGTAAGAACATTGGGTCGCCGTACCCTGAGCTGTGGAGCCCTCGTATCGTGACCCTGTTCATGGAATCGTACCGTGTTGTGGACCAACCTACAAGGCGACGCATGGAGGAGCTCTGGGCCACATGGCGCGATGCTGGACCTGCAGGGCGACCTCTTTTTGGCGAGAATGCGCAACAGACAATTGAGCGTTTGCTGTTTGGTAGTCAGGGCGCTCCCGTCCGTTCGACAGGGCCTTCGCAGGCGCAGGTCGTGGCGAACATTGAGCGTATGTTGGCGCTCAAGACGCAGGCTCTGGCGCACAACCCTACCGACGTTGCTATCCAGGAACAGATCGAGACACTGCGGGAGCTGAAAGACCGGATCAGCAACACGGCGACTTCTCCGGAACTGCTGAGTGACGTGCAGAAGCAATTGGATGTTCTGTCGCGCCCTCCCACTACGGCGCCACCCAGCTCGAACGACACTAATGCGCCTGCACCTGCAGCTCCTGGGCCTGCGTCTGCATCGGAGCTGATTGCGAACCTTATGAAGGCGGGCCTGCTGCCGGCGGCAGCGCCCAAGGCTGCGAGCCAGGACCAACTCTACACAGACTACATTATGTCGTTGGAGGTCCGCATGTCGACGGTGGACTTGTCACGCACGTCGGCAGAGCTCGAGCTGCTGATACGCGATCACCTTCCGCTTCAGTGTCGCCAATGTGCAAATCGATACCCTGATGGGGAGGCCGGTAAGCATGGCCTAGATGACCACTTGGATTGGCACTTTACCCAAAATCGGCGTGCACGCGCCAGTGTGTCTCGTGGTCAGAGTCGGGCCTGGTTTGATCCGATCTCGCGGTGGATCCGCAGCGGCTTTGATGATGATATGCACGATGCCGCCAAAGCATCAGACGCATTTGCCGTCGAGGAACCGGAGCAAGAGCGCGTCCTTCGGGAGAAAATCGCGGCGTCTTATGTTTCGGTACCACTTGATGCGGATGTGGCCGCTCGCCCGTGCCGCATCTGCCAAGAAAAGTTTCAGAGCGAGTGGAGCGAAGATGTGGAAGAGTGGATCTGGCGCAATGCTGTACTGATGGATGGCATCTACTACCATGCAAGCTGCTACTATTCTGCTAAGTCCATGTCGGACAGTGTCCAGGCCGTGGCAGCAGCCGCAATGACCGCCACGCCAGCCACTGCGACGGCGCCCTCCGTCGAGGCCCCTGTCGAGGCGTCCTCCGAGGTAAGTCTCAAGCGGAAGGCGTCACCATCGCCGATACCGGACAATGAACCTGCCAAGAAACCGGCCCCTATTAAGCACGAAGGTGAGGATGCATGACATGTACATAGGCTATGACCTTCCTGTCAACAGCTTTTCATGAAGCTGTGTGCACAGCTGTATGGGCGTAGGAGCGTCGCTCAACTGCGCCGCGGCATCGTCGGATGTCATTTGGGCGACCAACGCTTGCCAGCGTTCCAAGAATGCCTCATACGTCGTGCGCAGCGTGAGTAGTGTGGCCTTGATCAAAGCCTCCACCTCTAGGGGATCCACATAGAGCGGCAGCTTGACGCGTATGTCGTCCATATTTGCATCGACACTTTGCTGGAATACTGTCCATGCCTCCCGCGCCTTGTCGGGAGTCCCGCCTCCCTGCTGCAAAAAGATCTTGAGTGGCAGCGTGAGGCTTGCGCCGAGGAATGTGCCGATCTCGTTGGTGGTGGCTGTGATGCTCGTGTCTAGGTCCTCCACTAGCGAAGACAAAGTGGGCGGCCGACTGGGCGTAGAGCCCCAGCCACTCAAAAACCAGAGCGCCGACGAGGAGGCGCTCTTGGATGCTGCGGCTGGTGCATCAATGTTGCCCACAAGCTCCCGGATCTGTTGCACATGTGCTCGTAAGATCAGTAAGTGCTGAAGCTGGAACAATAGGGCATCGCCAGCGTCCCCATCGTCGCTGCCAACCTTCTCGGCCCGCATGGCATTCGATGCCTCATGCACTTTTTGTTGACACGTATGCACTGCCTTGTACGTCCAGTTTGCTAGTGCAGACGGGGGTAGGTGTGGTCGAAGGGCGGCAAGGAGCGCATGAAGCGTGCGAATCGGGGCATACCAAGTCGATAATGCCGCTTCAGATGTGCCTGGGGTGCGGTTAGAGCTAGTGCGCTGCCAATCGCGCAGCACCGCAGGGTACGCCATATCATCTCGCGACGGCACAAAAGACGCCAGCTCACCTTTATACATGACAGTAGCACTGCGCTCCAGGCGCTCCACCAGCTCATTATACAGGGGCGTGCACCAAGGCTCGTTGCGATGGTGCTGGACGGTCGCTACAAGGTCAGCAACCGCCTCAACATCCAGCGCGGTCCACTGTGGCGCGAGCCACGCATAAACCCGCTCGTGAATCAAAGCCCACACCTTTTCGAGGCAAGCAGTGTCCGCTCCTGCGCCTGGAAATACGTGCACATACAAGGATTTCTCCTGTGCACTGTATCGCGCCATACTTATCAGTATGTGTTCTAGTTGTGCACGCAGCGGCATACCGGGCTCGCCAGCACTGCTAGTGCACGCACTAAGGCAGTCGCGCAAGAGAGAAACACGCCATTGGCACCACATCGTCTGTGTCTCTTTCAAGGTTCCGCGCAACTCTTCGTGCTGCACAGCCAGCTCAGCGAGGTCCTCCATGTACTTGGCATACTTGGCCTGCAGTGGCTCAAAGTGGCCATACAGTAGATCGCTCACACGCGATGATGTCGGATCAAGAGGTTTGCTTCCCGTCGCATAGTCACGCACATGGAGCATCTCTCTCATCTGCATGAGCGACTCGTTGACGAGGTCCATGCCGGCGGTTGAGAACGATTGTCGCACGATGCTCATAGCTCGCTGCAGTGCATTTAACAGGCGCAGCTGGTAAATAGGAGCATCCATGTACTGCCGGTGTGATTCCATGAACTTGAGCGCCAAGAGCAGGCGGTCCACCGTGCTGTGAAACTCGGGTGAGTCGACATTTGTGCTGGTCGAAGACAACAGCGCCGTGGCCGGAGGCAGAACGGAAAAGTAGCTTAGACGCAACATAATTTCGCCATGTGTGCGCTCCAGCTCGTTCTGATCATTCAGCAAGCGACTCGCCTGGGCCATGAGCTCCGACGAACTGTCTTGCACGTACGCGAGGCCCGCTCTCAACTCCGCCATGCTAGCCTGCACGTACGCGACCTGCTCTGCAAGCTCATCAAGTTCGCGCACTCCATCTTGCAGGAGGCCAAGGTTTTGGGTATCATCGGGGTCCTGGGCGCGCGTGTGCTGCGCAGCCACCGAGGCCAAGCGGTGGGTCAAGCACATGTCCGGGGTGGGCGCCGTCTGCTCCGGCACAGGCTCTCCCGGCTCATCTCGATCCGCCTGTGCAGAGACCCATGCACTTACGCGGCTCACTGACACGCGCTGTGTATCAGAAAGTGGCGCATATTGCGAGTACCAGTCGTCCAGCGACAGGACCGGCGTCGTGGTGGCCATAGCTCAAGATCCTCCTCCACGTGACGAGGACACCTGACCACTCGCCATGTCGGCACACGCTTGGCGGTCAAAGCCTGTGGCCCAGGACGTCGGCTACCCAGACGAAGAGGCACTCCGCCATGTGTTACAGAAACTGGAGACACTCCCCGGCCTGGTGACACCTGTTGAAATTGAGCGGCTGCGCACACAACTGGCCACTGTCGCAGACGGCCAGGCGTTCTTGCTGCAGTGTGGGGATTGCGCCGAGCTATTTTCCTACTGTAACCCCAGCCAGATCGAAGCCAAAATCAAAGTTACTCTGCTCATGTCTTTGATCATCATTTATGGCGCGCGCCTGCCGGTCGTGCGTGTGGGGCGTTTTGCCGGACAGTACGCCAAGCCACGGAGCAAGCCCACTGAAGTCGTCGAAATGCCGGACGGTACCAAGAAAGAGGTATTGAGCTTCCGTGGCGACAATGTCAATGGTCTTGGTATTGATGAGCGCACACCTGATCCCCAGCGCCTGCTCATGGCCTATTTCCATGCAGCAGCGACCCTCAACTATGTGCGCGGCTGCCTGTCCAGTGGCATCGCTGATCTTCACGCGCCGCACTCGTGGAACTTCCAACACGTGCATGACGAGGGTCTGCAGCAGCAGTACGCGCAAATTATAGATGCCATCACTGATGCGCTCGACTTCATGCACACCGTGGGCGCCGACCCCGGTGCGTCGACCCCGGTGCTCAACACTGTTGACTACTTTTCTTCGCACGAAGGGCTCATGCTGGAGTACGAGCAGGCACTCACGCATGAAACCTCGAAGGGAATATACAACCTCAGTGCCCACACAGTCTGGATTGGCGACCGCACACGGCAGTTGGACGGCGCCCATGTCGAGTTCTTCAAGCAGATCCGTAATCCGGTGGGTGTCAAGGTGGGCCCGTCGATGAGCCCCGCTGAACTCGTCGATATACTCGAGGCGCTTAATCCTAACCTTGAGAAGGGACGCGTGACGCTCATTTCGCGCTATGGCGCGAGCAAAATTGCCGACCTGCTACCCTCGCACATCCAGGCGGTGCAGTTGTCCCGCCATGCTGGCACCGTGGTGTGGTGCTGCGATCCGATGCATGGCAACACCATTGCTTCGCCGACCAATCCTAAGGTAAAGACGCGCGTCTTTAGCGATGTTGTGGCCGAGCTGACTAAATCCATGGAGATCCATGCGTCGATGAACAGCCGGCTCGGCGGTGTGCACCTGGAGCTGACGGGCGATGAGGGTGTGACAGAATGCATTGGTGGCAGTATGGAGCTATCGGAAGCAGACCTTTCGCGCCGCTATCTAACGCATTGCGACCCAAGGCTTAATTACGAGCAATCACTGGACATCGCCTTTATTATTAGCCAGATACTCCGCTCGCAGCGCCTGGGCACGAATGACAGTACAACGCTTGTCCAGGCCCTGTCTCAGCAATAACATAATAAACTACTACGAACTTATACACGAGTGGCTATCACTCTTCATAGAGCACGGTCTGAGCAAAAGAAAGATACACCCCCATCAGATTCGCCAGCAAACTAATGGGATAGAAGCCGCATCAACACATTTACTTCTGGGGAGCAAAACCAAGGCGGCTGTTCTCCATGTCAAAGATCACCGAGGTGCCCAAGAAGAACGAGTCACCAACGATCCATGCGTTCATCGGCAGTTGCTCCTGACCACAGATCGACAGCACACAACGGCCACCCTGCTGGCCATAGCCAGTTTGATCCTTAGAGAACTTGAAGTCTTTGCCGCCAAAGTTCATAGTAATTCCAGGCGTAGTGTTGCAGTCGTACGTAGCAAAGAGCTGGCCCTGCTCCGTAAAGGTTTGCAGCCCGCCAATCTTCGAGAAAACCTGGCGCACCTGGTCGATCGGACCGGTAATAATAGTTGAGCCTGAATCCACAATCGCGTTGATCTTAACGCCATTCACGCTTGCCTGGGTAGCCCAGAAGCCCTGGTCGGCATCCACGCCTGACCACACGGGACTACCGCTGTACTTGGACGTGTCAACCGCACCCAGCGTCAGCGTAGAGCCCTCGCCTTTCTTAAGAGTGAACTGGAAGACACCGTGCGGCACCTGCTTCTGTTCCATCAGCTTGTAGAAGAAAGGCTTGAAGTCGCCAGGGAAGGCTGAAAGGCTAGAGAAGCTCATACCAGCGATACCCTCGTTGCCACCTTCGTTTTCAATAAATGTGGTCTTCGAGTGACCCACCGCCACATTCTTGGCCGAAAGGGAACCAATCTTGAAGTCATCCGTAAAAACTGTACCCTGCGCGGTCGTGCCATCGCCATACGCAGTCCGGAAGTTTTGGCCAGACGACTTGGCCGACTGCGACTTCTGCGGGTCATAAGCACCAGGGTTAACAATCATATCTGCCGAGCCCGTGTCAAAGTCGATCAAAAATGATTGTCCGCCAAAAGAAACCTGACCGGCCCAGAGTTGCTCCTGCATAACATCCTTCAGCGGCAGGTTAGTCGTGCCACGCTTGTCCTTATCAAGGTCCAGAAGGTCCGAAATGAATCGCAGGAGGGGATGCTCCTTACCAGTGTTTTTGTGGTAGTTGCGCATCATACTCTTATACTTATGGTTCATGCTGTTGAAGTGACGCGAAAGAGCCTTGATGTCCAGCTCGTTGTTAGCTTTGATAAACATGTTGCGCCGACTGAGTTGAATCTCGTTGTCATTTTGAGCACCTGCAGATACAGCTGAAGTAGCGAACAGGCCAGCAACAATGGCAACCAGAAACTTCATCTTGAGGGAACGGCGGTGGGTAAGGAACCTGTATTGAATCTGTTCGTACTTATAAACAAGGGTAAACTCGCTTTGTGTCAGACGTAACTAGCTTCAATCGCCGAATGCATGGAGGCCCGAGTGACGCATAAGTGTCCGCAGGAAATTGCCGTGCCAATCATGGCCGATCATACCCTTGATTATTACAGGTCACCGATGCGAGGGAGGCACGTACTCCCTATTATAACCAATGATATACAACCTTGTTCTATTCGAGGAGGGCTCCACTTCGCTTTTTTTGCATCCGGTGGGACCTTGGAAATGCTTGGCATGGGGGCCTAACCGTGATATTTTCCCTCCACATCGCCTCTGGCCGCTGAAAAATGTTGCCTCTGCTTATCCAACGACATCATGCAGGTGATATTTCTGGGTCCTTTGGGCACCTATTCGCATGAGGCTGTACGATGCTTTGTGGGGCAAAGTGCCTGTCAATTGATACCCCAGGACACAATTAATGACGTGGTGGTTTATGCCTCGGAACAATGGGGCATGGGCCACTCCGCCATAGCTGTCCTGCCCATTTCGAACAGCTTTTTGGGGATCGTTGAGGAAACTTTGTCCTGTCTTGCTTCTTCTGCACTGTTTGGTCAGACGGGACTAGTAGTGGTAGACGAAATACCTTTGCCTATTCAGCATAGCCTGCTTGTAAAGCCGGATGCTTCTGGAGAATCGCCATCCTTGGCTTCCATCAAGGAGGTACACAGCCATCCTCAGGCACTTGGTCAATGCGCACAATACCTCGAGCGGAACTTGCCCCAAGCGCAAGTGATACCCTCCAAATCAACAGGCGCCGCGATACCTCTTGTCCTTCAATCTTCAGAGTGTGATGTGGCAGCGATTGCATCTACTATTTCTGCTGAACTCTACGGATTGAACGTCTGTGCGCGATCCATTCAGACGATGAAAGGTGTGTAGCAGACGAATTGACGCAGACAATGTCACTCGGTTCTATGTATGTACAAAGAAACCGGACCAGACGGATGTGGCTCGGTTTCTCAGCGAGTGCAGGACCACTTCCAAAATTTCTTCGAGCATGCGTCGTTCTTTGATACGTGTGCAGGTTCCTAAATCAAATAACATGGATGCTCAAAATATTATTGAGCAACTAAGGTCGTCTTCAGAAGCTCCTTGGAATGCCGTACAGAACATTCACACTACAACCACCTCAACAGGAGAATCCATTCTTTTTGAGGTCGACAGCCAGATGGCGTCGCGGGCTAGTTCTCACCCCCATCTCTCTGACACTGATACACCCACATCCTGGGTCCAAGCCATGAACTCTTTGCCAGACGGATCCAGCATTGCCTGCCTCGGCACATGGACTGTGCCAGACTCTCTGCGTTCAAATACGGCAATCTAAAAGGTTCTGTAAAATATTGCAGCTGGTCTTCACACCCTCTAACTATTTCTAAAAATGATGACATTGTATAGATTCATTCAATCTGTAGGTTAGTTTGCCCTTGCTTGAACAGCAGCACTCAGGTAGAGCTAATAACTTGCTATCATGCGCGACTTGGGTCTCGAGTCCAAATCACTCACGAATTATTGGTATTACCATCTCATCTTTGTGCTGTACTGTAGTAAACGCACAGGATAAATCTGGCATTCTTACTGAGAAAGCCTTCAAATAGCCAGGTGCCTCAGAGCAAGGTCCGTCTGAGCTCGCATACTCCTTTGCACATCGCACGTGACAAAGAGGGCACCTAAGCACAACCATCAGCTACGTTCACTATTCAAATCAGCATGGCTGCTCCATCGCAACAAACTTCTGCGAGCCACGATCCATCTCTATTTGGTCACGACGAAGAGCAGATTCGGTTGATGGAGGAGCGTTGTATTGTTACGGATGATAACGACAATATGCTGCGTGATGGTAGCAAGAAAGAGTGTATGTTTCTACGGCTCATGCGCAGGCCATCTGATGGAAAACATCAATAAAGGGCTCCTGCACCGTGCCTTTTCGGTATTTTTATTCGATTCAGAAACAGGAAAGCTGCTGCTCCAAAAGCGTGCACCGGAGAAGATCACTTTCCCCAACATGTGGACTAACACGTGCTGCTCCCACCCGTTGGCGGTGCGTTCAGAGATGGACGGCAGCAACGGCGCCAAAAATGCCGCCCAGAGAAAGCTAGAGCATGAGCTAGGTATCCCGGTATCGCAGATACCGGTGGATTTGTTTCAGTTCCTGACACGCATCCACTATTTGGCGCCAAGCACGGGACCATGGGGTGAGCATGAGAGTACGTCAGGATCGCGCTTATTAGCAGTCGACTACATCCTTTTTATCACAACCCGTGTTGATTTGAATCTGAACAAGAATGAGGTGTGCGAGGTGAAATGGGTTTCGATGGATGAGCTGAGGGCTCTCATGGATGAACTGGATCGTGCGTATAAGTCCCTCACATGACAGCGAATGCGTTTACTCCGTGGTTCAAACTCATTGTGAATGCATTTTTGTTCCCATGGTGGCAAGAATTGCTGGACAATAAGAATGGGGATACCTTCGATGCCAAGGCCTTGGCACAACGTCAAAATGACACGATCCATCGTCTGTAGATGCTTTGATACCTCTATAAAATTAACCCGTGGGAGGCATATCGCCCTGAGCGGCGGTATTGTGCTCTTGTAGCCACGCCTGGCGTCAGCGTTGGGCACGTACATCTGTTTCCCAAATAGGGCGTCGTGAGTCGTTCGCAATAATCTTTTGGGCTTTGGCGACATTCACTGTGAGAACGTTCTGTCTGTGAGACTAACACACTTACCCCATACCATTCATTCATGTGCATATTATCGATGGCATCTTCTGCATCTTCCACGTTCGAATAAGTAATAAACGCATAGCCGCGGTGCATTGATACTGACGTGAGCTGCTACAGCGTACCATTTTCTGTTTCCCGTGGAAGTTGGATATCCGTAATGTCTCCAAAAGTGCTAAAGAATGATAGGAGTATTTCATCGTTCACTTGCTGGGCAAGCCCACCTGTCTGTCAACGTTGCATCACGCACCAACATAGATTGTCTTTTGCATCGCCATGATGGATGGGGGCCAATGTGGAGAAAAGGGCGCCTTTCTGGCTTGGACAAACGCAGGAACCTGGCACGCGTGGCCGTAATGGAGCCACTCTGCGCGTGGCTCCGCGCCGGAAACATATGGTACGACCCCCGTCTTGAGCTTGTTCGTACCGATGCAGATGAGGACATGCAGGGAAGCTCTGCCCCAGGCACTTTGGCGGTTATAGCGCGTGCGTGCATTCGCCCTGGTACTGTCGTGGCTCGTATACCATGTGTGTCCCTCCTGTGTGTCCCTTATTGTGCCTTGTTTAAACTACCACTGTGCAAAAAGGCTCTGAAAATATGTAAACCCTCTCTATGCCTTGCACTGTGCGTGCTCTATGAGCAGTTACTCGGGTCCTCGTCAAGATTTGATAAATACCTGCGACACTGTAGCCCAGTCTCTCTACCGTCGACCGATGGAGCGTGGGAGGATGACTCTTTTTTCGCATACACAGAAGCTTGGCACAGACTAAAACGCCGCCAGCATGCATATCAAGAGGGCCTCGACTATCCAGGCACTTGCAGGGTGAGTTGGCAGCGGCTAACACAGATGGAGCTCCACGATTTCTGGCAGGCTTGGGCTCAACCTATCCTCGGGCAGGCTCTTACACACACTCCTAGGTTCGATGAATTCCTATCTGCATTCTCCATTGTTTCATCTCGCGCATTTATCATCGATCTCTTTCATGGGTATGTGGACGGCCTCTAACCGCAGTCTATGCCTCGTACCTGTCGCAGACCTGTTTAATCATTCTGCCCCTAACAATGTACAAGTGGAATCTGAGTCAGAAGTTTGTATGCAATGTGGTTCAGCAACACACATATTCTGCAACCAGCGCCCCTGCGATGTTCACCTTGGGCAGGTCGAAATACGGTGTACCGCCACAATAGAGGAGGGTGATGAGGTGATGAACTCGTACGGAGACTTGGGAAATGCGGAGCTTTTGTGCCAGTATGGGTTTTCTTTGCCTTTCAAGACAGGCTGGGACCGATGCAGCTGGGATATCCGTGTACCCTACGAGCGCAGACTGGTTGCAAGCCTGTTGTGTGTGCCTGAGTCTATTCTCTGCGAGGATTTAACCAAACTAGAGCCTGTCGAGAAGTCCGAGTTTCAGCTCCGACATATGGAAGACGGAATAGCACCGTGTTACGAAGACCAGGGAGCTGTCTATGATATGGCACCGCTCTCACATCCTCATGATCGACTCTGTCCTCTTTTTGTTGACGGACATGGTCGTGCTAGCTGGCCTCTATGGCGTCTCTGTCTCTGCAGCAATACAAAAATCTGCCATGTGGATGAAATTCTGAGGGATCCTATGCTACCCGAGTGGGAGCGTCTCTGGTCGTCAACGCACGATCCTCGTGTGGATGCGCGTATTACTGCAGCCTGCACAGTCATGCAACGCCTATGCGGGTATCGGCTAGAGCAACTTTACGTCAATTCACACGAAAAAGATGTATCACAGGCTCTCGAAAGTGATGGACATTACGTACGCCGTAGCATCGTGTACCATGCCCTCCAAGACATGGACATGCTCCGTGCGTGTTGGACACGCTATGCTCCTCCATCTGGTTGAACACGTGATCTCAAAAGTTCTTGTCCAACGTATGCAAGCGAGGTGGACCTGGATAGTACGCCCACGTCCGTCTTGGTCATCTCACAGCTTTCACACTCTGAACGAAAAAGCATACATGAATGCACGCGAAAAATATGGCGACTGGTCACGGAACCAGTTGCTTCGCCGCATCGCGCAGCTTGAGGGCCGCGCTGAATCTATGGGCCAGCCTTCGCCGCCAAGGCTAGATGTGCCACAATCTGCAGCGAAAAGCGTAACTAATGCTATAAAAAAGCCAAGGCCTTTTGATTTTAGTGCACAGCCATGCCGAAAAATCGCACTGCGTTTCTGCTACGATGGAGGTCAGTATTCTGGGCTTGCTGCCCAAACCGCGCAGGCCACGCCACTGCCGACAGTAGAGGAAACGCTATGGGAGGCATTATGTACTGCTCGGTTAGTGGATGCATCCAAGAGCATGGATGATGCAGGCTGGAGTCGTTGTGGACGAACTGACGCGGGCGTTAGTGCTGCAGGACAAGTGGTAGCCCTTTGGGTCCGAAGCCAGTGTGTCGACGAACGCCATATGCGGTGGCCTAGCAAAGAGCACCCACAGGTAGCCGTGCAGCTAAAAGGCGAGCACGAGGAAGAACTACCATATGTGGCTACACTAAACCGGCTGCTTCCGCCGTCCATCCGGGTCCAGGCCTGGTCGCCTGTGCGCCCCGACTTTTCCGCGCGCTTTAACTGCGTGTACCGACACTACAAGTATTTCTTCACGCTTGGGGCACCAAAAACATTGATTTGGCAACCTGAAGGCCCCTCTCAATTCGCCGGTCGCCTGGATGTGGACCGGATGCGCGATGCCGCCTCTCGTTTGGTGGGCGAGCACGACTTCCGCAACCTATGCAAGGTGGATGCGTCGAAACAAATTACCAATTTTGTTCGACGGATTGATGGTGCTACTATAGACCGAGTGAGCACGGGATGGCACTCACATGTGGCCGACGAGGCTGCCACCAACGATACTGATGAACCCATGTATGTTCTCAACCTACGTGGCTCCGCGTTTCTCTACCACCAAGTCCGCAACATTATGGCGATATTATTTATGGTCGGTGCGGGTCTCGAAAATCCCAACGTCGTGGATGAACTCGTCAATGTACAGCCAGGAGCTGCAGCCGCTGACCGTGTGCGTGCGCGAACATGGCTCGATTCTTTCAGCAACGAAGCCGACGCACAAACCCCTGACAAGTCTCTAATGCGTGCTCTAACTGAACCCCATAATGACCTGACTGTATATGAAACCAAGCCCAGCTATGAAATGGCTACTGATCGTCCTCTGATGCTGTGGGAATGCGGATTCCGTTCGACGGAGCTCCAGTGGCGTGCTTCTTCCTACGCAGGAACCATGCCACCACCAAGCCAAATGCATGTGGATTATACACCTGGAGTTCGCGCTAGTGCTCAGCTGCATAGTCTTTGGACCCGGGAGGTCATCCATGCAGAGTTGCTACGCCATTGCCTTCTTGCGACTATGACAGGTGAGAACACGTATCTTCCATCGGAGTCAACATTTGCAGAAACACGCTCACCCGTTCTACCACTACCCTTGTCTCTTGATGAGGTGCCTGCGCTGCGAGCGAAGCTCGTGCCACTAGGTAATGGCGTTGTACGCCCTACGACCCGATATACTGCCTTGGCCGCACGTCCTCGAGACGTGTCAGCTGCCGAAAAGAACAAGAAGTGGAGAGAAGGAAAGGGTCTCCGCCGTGCCGAGCGCCGTGCCACCACCTCGCGGGACGAGGCGCCTTCGGAGCAGACCACATAGGTAGGTACAGCTATGGCACAGGCCGTCGAGTCTTCGAAATTGGCTTAGATCAGCAAAAAATGAGCGCCGCATCTCCAGCTGTTGCACCTCAGGCTTAAGCCTCCACTGTGGCGACGACTGCAGCACCATGGCGGATGCCGCGCCCGTCGAAGATAATGCCGAGACGCGCCGGGAAAAGTACTTGCGGCCACAAATGACGTTTACTGATCGTGTCCTCGCCTCCGTGACCGGGTCTGTATCGACCTCATTCCTGATGACTCCACTGGATGTGATCAAAACAAGATTACAGACCCAGTGGGAAGGCGCCGCGCGACCACCTTTCACTCAGGGACTAGAAGCATCCTTTGGCGAACCGAAAGGCCCACCATGCCCCGTACATGGGACACAACCACACTCAATGCCGAAAAGCATGCTTCTACAATGGATTCGTCCTTTGAACAGTGCCGCTTCCTCTTGTGCCAAGCCTCATTTTGTTCAACACTATTCCATCTGCATATACCCCGATAAGTGCGGCACGGCACGCATTTGTGAGAATTTTCTGTACGAAGGGCGTATGAATGGCATTTGGGATGGCTTGGTGAAGGTGGCTCGGACCGAGGGCTGGCGCTCTCTCTGGCGTGGGTTGTTGCCTACACTGGCCATGACAGTACCCTCTCAAGTAACTTACATGTCGTGCTATGATATATTCAGGAAATCGCTCTTGTCAATCGAAGCACCTGTTCCTGTGCTGAATACTGTTCGCAGCAGTGAGCCAGAGGCACCATTGCTGCTGCTGATCGACTCGACTTGTGATATGCCTTGCGAGCGCTCGGAGCCGGTGCTGCCCGTTACGGTACAGCAAAAAAAGATGCCTCTCTTGATTGTCTCTCTGGTTAGTGGTGCACTGGCGCGCTCCATCTCTGCAACCCTCGTCACGCCGTTAGAGCTTTTGCGTACGCGGTTGCAAGCATCTCATGGGCACTCATCATCTCTTTCTGTGATTCGACCTTTATTCGAGGAAGTGCAAAAGAATGGAATATCTGTCCTGTGGCGTGGTATTTCTGCAACTCTATGGCGCGACGTTCCATTCTCGGCGATCTACTTCACGGGATATGAGGCGGGCAAAGTGCTTCTCACCGGCGGCGGTTTTGGAGAGAGTCAGACTTCGACGTTCTGGCATGAATTCGGCTCGTCCTTCCTTGTGGGTGCAGTGAGTGGCAGCGTCGCCGCTATGTGCACGCACCCATTCGACCTAGTTAAAACGCGGCTTCAAGCTGAACAGGCCCAGGCAGCCACATCGTCTAGCTCGCTTTTTCATGCCCTACGCCAAATTGTCGTTCAAGATGGGCTCAAGGGGCTATTCCGTGGTCTCTCACCTCGTCTGGCGAAGGTCGCTCCTGCCTGTGGCATCATGATCGGTGCATTTGAGGGCGTCAGTCGCCTTTTGGCCCACTCGCGAGCACACTAGCCTCGGTTCGATACCCATTCATTCTATCTCAGCATTCATGCAGTTACAAGCCCATTAACTGCATAATAGCATAGCCTAACGTAGCGATAATCAATGTCGCCAAAATACTGGCGGGAATGCCGACGCGAAGAAACGTCTTCACTGATACGTAATGATGACCCACTTCGTCCTCCAAATTAATCGCCGTCATGTTGGGGAAACCCGAGATCGGCAGACCCATGGCTGCACTAGATGTCAGGGCCGTGGCCATGATCAAGAGGCGCGGATGAGGCTCTGCCAAATTCGCCCCCATTTGAGCGGCAATGGGTACCAACAATACTGCGGCAATGGTATGCGAAATGAACGTGGCGACCACAAGCCCCACACTGACGAGGATCACAAGGATACCCCAAAGAGGCAGTCCGTCGACCTGGTTCTGGACAAATCCGTCAAGGCTTTTCAGAAGACCACTGGATGCCACGCCCTTACCAAGCGCAATGCCACCCATGGCCAAGAACACGATTGTCCACAAGAAGTTATTGAAGTCTTCTTTCGTAAGAATACCAGAACCAAAGAACAGCACAAGTGGCACAACAGCTGTGATAGCCATATCACCCATGATATTCTCGATACGCCGCTGGAAACACCACAAAACAATTGTGCCTATGCAGACAGCCGAAATGAACCACTGCTTTCGGCTGAAAGAATCCGAAGACTCGGGAAGGCGCTTGATAATAACACCTTCGCCAGTCCCAAATGACCACAAAAGCAGCATCCACAACACTAGGAGCGATAAACCACTCACCGGGAGGGTTATCCCAAACCACTGGAGCCATCCGAGAGGCACTTCCATGTATTCAAGTGCAATTAAGTTCTGCGGCGAAGCAATTGGGGACGTCTGGCCACCAATGTTTGATGCCAGCGCAATACCCATCACCATGCTCGTCGCATAAGGCGAACGGGGTGGCAAGTTGCGTAAAATGGGCTGCACCAGCGAAAACATCAAAACAGGTGCCGCCACATTGGAGATCCACATACTCGCAAAACAAGCGACCAACATATGGGCAAGCAACACGATACTTGGTCGTGTTCCAGCACAGTGTAGCACACGCGTTGCCAGCACCTTGTCAATCCCATACTTGGACAAAGCTGCAGCAAGTGTAAAGCCTCCCAAAAGCAGCGACACATTCGGTGCAAACATTTGCTGAAAAATCCACTTGCTTGTCTCTGGTGCCGTCAGACGTCGACCCTCTCCATCATTCTCGCGCACAACACGCAGTGTGACAATCAAAAACGGCACTAATAGCGAAGTCACGAACAACTCCACCACCTCAGTCACCCACAGGCAAGTGCACAAAACAAGCATCGCGAAACAATTCTGAACTTCAACTCGATCAAATACCCGGAATGCAGGCACTTTGAGAAGTAAAAAGAAGAGCAATAATGAGCCAAAGAGCTGGAAAGTACCCAGTGTGAGAAAAGCAGGAAGCAAAATTTCGCCAAATGGTGTCCATAGCTTGTTAGGCTGCTTCGGCTCTTCATCGAGTAAATGGGTCGATGAGCCCATAATACCTTTCTCGAGCGAGGCAGCTTGAGCACGGCGTTCGATATTGATCATCTCACGCCAGACAGTGTTCCTTTGCCACACCACTTCCTCACGCAATTGCATCCTCAATTGCTGGTGTGCCAATTCCTCATCCCCTCGAGCGGCGACTCGTGCATACATATGCACCACCTCCTCAATCTGTTCACGCAAAAGGCCTATCGCTTGTGGCTGGAAAGGGTACTTGACTTTGACGACATTGTGCATATACCGATCTTTTAACGAGTTGCTCGTGATCTTATCGTATTTCTTCAAGATCTTCTCCATACCTGTTAGGTTCAGCTGCGCATATTGCTGCAGTTCATTGAGTGATGTGTAAATTTCGACAAGCTTGCGCTTTAACGTGAGTCGCATATCAATAGCATAATCGTCCTGGGCGTCCCATACACTCGCGGCGATACCATCCTCCATGGAATGACTCCCAGTTTCAAGTGCAGCGCCTCCTATGCCAAAAGTGCTCAGTCCAGAACTAGAGGGACTGATTTGGTGACGTGCGCGATGGTATGAGCCACGCTTTCCAAAGGTGTTGATCCATCGGCGATGCACAGGTAGCACATCGAGAGATTTATCTGGCGAAGGGGCAGGTCCGGCTGCTGCTTCGGTATCACTTATAGAAGTAAAGGAATGGTGGCGTTTAGGCTTGTACCACGTGGGCTGGAAACGACGTGGTGCCTGAAGGTGCGTACTGGTAGATTCATCCGCATCTTCGTTCGACACATCTGCATCCGACTCGCCCCCTGAGCCGACATTGTATTCCTCTTCTGCGATCTTTATGTGATCATGGACCATAACTGCTTCATCACAGAGCTCTTTTTCCTTCTCGCAATAAAAATCCACGATCTTGCGAAGTTCTTTGTCGAGGTGTGGTATAAATTGTCGATCCAAGTCAGAGGGATCCTCGTTCAAAAGCATGGCTGACTCGCTCTCGAGCCTTTCCACATTGTGATTCACATTCTCAAAGTCAGTTGCACTGTACTGAGAGCGTTCTAGCGTATATACAATTTTTTTCAGATGCTGATAGCTAATTGTCAGTGTCGCAATTCAAGCATACTTGATATAGTGTTCAATCCAGTCAGGCACACTATTCAGCTGCAAACTGTGAGAGACTATCACATGAGTACAGATATAGACTCACACTTCATTGCTCCAACAGCCCATTCAACTTCCAGGCAGTGCCACTTGCACAGCTACTGGAGTACCAACAGTGTCGTACCGATTCTGTCAAGCCGACCTAGCCCCGATTCCAGTCCTGTCACGTGTCCTATCTTGACCAGATCGAGGGCTACAACACCTGTCCGTGCGACGCACTTGTCGGAAATGGAGGCCCTCAAACTGCAGCGAAAGTATCCTGAATTGTATGTACTGAGTTCTAACATATAAGCTCCCAGGAGGAGATGATGTCTATTATCTCCAAGTTCAAGCAAATTGACATTGACGACCGCGGTAGTCTCGATCGTCCCACTGTGCTTCGTGAGGTGCAGCAATTAGAGTCTGTGTCCTACGATCAAGTTCGGGAAACACTCAAGGATGTCAACTTAGATGCAAGTGGCCGGGTAGAGATTGAAGACTATGTTGATGTATGTCCGACATAACTGACTTTCAGCTCATTTCTCGATTGCGTAAAGGCAGCAATGCGCAGGCAGGTATTGTTTCCAAAGGAAAATTGATGGTGAAAGGTCATCATGCTTCAACCCAGCATACAATCAATGACGATGAGCGGACGGAATTTACTAGGCATATCAATATGAGTCTAGATGGCGACATTCACATTGGATCACGCCTGCCAATTCCCACAGACACATTTCAAATCTTTGACGAGTGTCGTGATGGTCTACTTCTTTGCAAGCTAATCAATAGCGCAGTTCCGGAAACTATTGATGAGCGTGTTTTGAATCTAGGCAAGATGGGGAAGGGTCCCAACGCATTCCAAATGACAGAGAATAATAATATTGTGATTCAATCTGCAAAAGCAATCGGCTGCAGCGTTGTGAATATTGGCGCCCAGGACATCACCGATGGAAGAGAACACTTAATTTTAGGCCTAATTTGGCAAATCGTTCGCCGGGGTCTTCTCAGCAAAATTGATCTCAAGCATCATCCTGAGTTATATCGCCTCCTTGAGGAAGATGAAACATTGGAAGAGTTTTTGAAGCTTCCTCCAGACCAAATTCTTCTTCGCTGGTTCAACTATCATCTGCAAGCTGCCAAGTGGCACCGCAGGGTTACGAACTTTTCGAAGGATGTATCCGATGGTGAGAACTACACTATTCTCTTGTCACAGATTAAATCAGATGTTTGTGACCGCAAGCCCCTTCAGGAGTCTGACTTGATGGCTCGTGCTGAAATGGTGCTGCAGCGCGCTGACATGATCGGCTGTCGCAAATATCTTACTCCCGGCTCTATGATTGCGGGAAATCCAAAGCTCAATCTCGCTTTTGTGGCCCATCTTTTTAATACATGGCCTAGTTTGGAGCCACTCTCCGAAGCTCCGCCCATGGACGTCGAGGAATTCGATGCAGAGGGTGAGCGTGAGGCACGCGTCTTTACATTGTGGCTCAACAGTCTCGATGTGGAACCTGGTGTCTACAATTTGTTTGAAGATCTTAAAGATGGAAATATTTTGCTTCAAGCATTTGATAAAGTGTTGCCAGGGTCCGTAAGCTGGAGGCGAGTTTCTAAAGCCAAAGAAGGCACTGAACTATCGCGTTTCAAGATGGTTGAAAACACCAACTATGTGATCGATCTCGCCAAAGCTAACAACATGCATATTGTAGGCATCCAAGGTGCTGATATCACCGACGGCGCTAAAACACTTACACTTGGCCTCGTATGGCAAGTAATGCGCGTAAATGTGACTAGTACTATGGAGGGTCTCAAAAAGAGCGGGAAGTCAGTGTCTGATCTGGAGATTCTCCAATGGGCCAACAATAAAGTGAAAGAAAGTGGGAAATCTACATCTATTCGCTCATTCCGTGACCCATCTATTTCAAATGCTAAATTTTTACTTGATTTACTTGAGGTCATTCGCCCGGGCATCGTCGATTACAATCTTGTCAAACAGGGTTCTAGTGAGGAGGAGTGTCGGCTGAATGCTAAATTGGCCATCAGTGTCGCACGAAAGCTTGGTGCACTGATTTTCTTGGTTCCTGAGGATATTGTTGAAATCAGACAACGTCTTATTTTGACATTTGTGGCGAGTCTTAGTATGTACCATGGTAATTAACTGACGTTCAGTGTCCTTGGGATCTTAATTGGTAAACATACTCATATAGCTATATCAATGTGTCCATTTCAACAAATATCCCGGCTAGCTCAGTCGGTAGAGCGTCAGACTCTTAATAAGAGTCTCCTCGGTTACGAGGGGTTATCTGAATGTCGTGGGTTCGAGCCCCACGTTGGGAGCATTTTTTGGCTTAATTTTTTAAGCCCATTATTCGTTCAATAACATAAAATAGTTCGTCGCCTCTAATCTTTTCAGTAATTTTCTCCCTCACAAACAATCTACGGAACTAATCATCGTCATCAAACGTAATTTTTTTCGCTTTGCCTGGGACTAACTCCTTAAAGTGATCTCGTGTTATTCACAAAATAGACGTACCTCCATAGCTTGAATGTGTTTTCTTCTTGATCGTTGTGGGGAAACGATCCATGTCTTTTGGAACTGGCTGTCCCGCATCTTTCAACACACGAATAAGCTCGCCAGCATGTGCCTTGTCTTCATCAGTGAAAAAAGTGAGAGCTTTTCCTGTTTTCCCACCGCGCCCTGTACGCCCAATACGATGAATATAATCTTCAATGGCTGCAAGTTAGTTGCCAAGCTATTTCACTCACTCAGTGGAAATGTGTAATTGATAACATGCTCGACATTAGGAATATCCAGACCTCTTGCAGCCACATCCGTTGCCACAAGTAAGGGCGTCTCATTTGTCTTGAAAGCATTGAGATTAGCAATGCGATCTTTCTGGCTTAAGTCTCCATGAATACCAGAAACACGATAGCCCCACCGACGCAGCGTATTTTCTACGCGCTGTGCCTCCTTCTTGTACAAAGCAAAAATGAGAATTTTGTCATTTGTCTTGTTCGCTTGAATCGACCTTAAAAAGTCACTCAAGCGGCGCTCCTTGGCACGCCCATCTTGCAGAACCTCCACCGATTGAGAAACACGACGGTTCGCACTCAACTCATCACTTCCCACAGTTACTCGAACAGGTGAACGCATGAAGGTTTCTGCTAAGCCACGGACAGCTGGCGGCCAAGTGGCACTAAACATGTTGGTGTGGCGACCATCCTCATGCGACTTTGTCATACCAATAATTGCACGAATGTCTGGTTCGAATCCTTTATCGAGCATTCGATCCGCTTCATCCAATGTCAAGTAGCTTACATGACTAAGATCAAGTGATCCTTCACGAGCCAAATCAAGAATCCGACCAGGCGTGCCAACGATAATATGCACAGGAAGCGAAAAGTTGTTTAGTTCTCGTAATTGCTCCCCTTTTGATACTCCTCCGTACAAACAGTAGACACCAAATCCTAGCGGCTCACTCACTCGCGCTAGATTGTCTCTTGTCTGAATAGCTAGTTCACGGGTTGGGGCCACGACCAATACCTGCACCACGCCCTTTTGATTTTTAATTAAAGATTTATTTTCAATCACATATTGAAGAGCTGGGATGCCAAAGGCAAGGGTTTTTCCTGAGCCAGTCTCCGCAACACCCACAATATCACGACCCAGAAAGAGTACAGGCCAACAGCATGATTGGATCAAAGTAGGCTTGGTAAATCCCTCAGCATCTAGACGTTTTTTCAGATCTGGATCAATTTTCCCTTCAAGCTCTGAGAATGAAAGCATTGGGCGTGGTGGCTTGTCATTCGATTCTTCAGGCATTTCAATTGTAATGTTATTAGTCTCAAGAAACTCGCGCGCCTCACTAGCAGACTAAGGTCAGAAAAGCAAATACATACGACGGCATTTTCCACAGCTTTCTGGGGCGCCTCTGAGCCTTTGATTTCACTTGATTTGGTAACCGCCTCTGTTTTCTTATCCTTCTTTTCCTTTTTAACCTTCTTATCTTTCTTATCTTTCTTCTCTGTCTTCTCCTTCTTCACCTTCTTCCTCTCAATTTCATTTTCACGTTCTTTGCGCTTTCCCTTCATATCTGCCTCGCTCATATGCAGCGCTTGATGGAGGGTTGTGCGCTGGAGCCACAACAAAAAATGTGCTCATCACGTGCAACATGTTGGCTCTCCCACACCCGAAGCATGAATATTGGGCTATCCTCGGATGCGCTGGATGTGTCCTTTCATCCTGACAAAGAGACGCACAGGATTGCTGTTGGATTGATTAGTGGGAAAGTCCAATTGTTTGACTATTCATCGCTTTTCCAGGGAGGAGAATTGGCCCAGTCTCATTCAGGGAAACACCAAGGAAAGTTATACAAGCGTCTGTGGAGTGTGCGACCATCGCGAAAGAGCTGTCGTGGTGTTGCTTTTGATCATTCAGGTTCAACTTTGTACTGTATTTTTAAAGACAAATCACTCTTAGCCTTGGACGCCACAAATGGTGAAATAAAAGCATGCTGGCCCAATGCCCATGAGTGCGTTATTGTATGCACTGACACTAGCTCTGCTCCTTCTCGAGTCTTGCCCATTGATGACACTCTCATTGCTACAGGTGATGATGATGGAGTTGTCCGCCTTTGGGATCCTCGGACACCTCCTGAAAAAGGCGCCGAAGCATCTTCCCCATTGCGTTCTTACGACCATCATTCTGACTGGATCACTGATTTGCTCTGGTGTCCGCATCTAGACCCGCCCCGTCCATCAAAGAAAGATGAGCAACAAAAACGTAAGCGTGAGGCTGAAGGGGATCGCAGTCGTCTTGTTGTTACAAGGTGCGTTTCATGACTCTCATGTCAGTGGCGATGGAACACTCAGTGTGATCGATGTTTACGGAGGCAAAAAATGCTTTGAAGTGAGCGAAGACCAAGAGGACGAACTTCTTTCTATTGCACCTATCAAGGGAGGCAAAAAACTAGTGGTTGGTACACAATTGGGAATCCTCTCGCTTTGGGCTCCCTCGCGCGGCATGCTAGACCATGTGGATCGGTTCCCAGGTCATCCATCTAGCGTCGACGCCATTTGCCCGCTCGATGATGACACAGTATTAACGGGATCATCTGATGGACTGATTCGTGTCGTCCAGCTTTTTCCTCACCAGTTGTTAGGCATTGTTGGCGATCATGATGGCATGCCTGTCGAATGCCTTGTTAAGAAAGGTAATCTAATTGCTAGCCTTGGCCATGGCAATGAATGCAAGCTTATCGATCTGGCACCTCTTCTTGAAGATAATGGCTCGGATGTTGACGATCAAGATCTTCCCCAAGTGCTTCCAGCATCTGATACAGATCCCACTTTTTTGCAAGGACCTGATGCTAGCGACAGTGATGAAGGCCAGACTAAACTTGCACCACCTTCAGCCAAACGTCGGGCCAGAGCTCGGCATTCTAAGAATTCTTTGACCGATGCTTCCTCTGAAGATCGTGCTAACTTTTTCGCAGATCTATAGCTATACATCACCCAGAAACACTATTTCAGTCACTTTGCACGGGGGTTGACCAAGGGTGGTCAATCTTGCCCCATTGGATGTCAGAGAGTTGCTTCAATACAGGCTCAGCAATAATACCGAAGCCGCTCGATGTAACCGGAACATCAATGTCCTGGCCATTGTAACCAATTTTGTTCACGGGGCTGACAACAGCTGCTGTACCAGCACCGAACATCTCCTCTAAGGTACCGTTCTTTGAAGCCTCAAGAATTTCCTTCATATTGATTTCACGTTCGTTCACTTCGATCTTCGGCACACCCTCAAGTTGGATCTTCCCGGACTGGTGGTCACGCAGTATTTCGAGAATGGAATCGCGTGTCACACCGGGCAGAATCATTCCATTGAGAGGTGGCGTCACGACTTCAAGAACACCATCGTCTTTCTTTAGAACGACGAACATGTTCATTGTGCCCACCTCAGTAAGCCAATGCTCTTCACCAAATAGCCATAGGATCTGTTGATACCCACGAGAAGATGCTTCCTTAGCAGGAAGCACGCCTGGTGCGTAGTTAGCGCCAAGCTTCGCATTACCAGAACCGCCTGGCCATGCTCGGACGTAATCTAAATTGGCTTCCAGTGCAACAGGCTTCACACCCGTGGAGTAATACGGTCCAACGGGAGAAAGAATCACAAAAAGCAAGGCTTCCGTATTGTCAGCAACACCCAACGAAGCCTGTGCACCAATTAAAGTGGGGCGAATGTACAAGGAATAGCCATCTTCTTTGGGTACCCAATCCTGGTCAAGGTCCACAAGCTTCTTGATGAGCTTGATTAGCTCGTCTCCATCAAAAGTAGGAAGGCAAAGTCGCTCAGCGCTGCGGTTCATGCGCTCCATATTTTTGTTGGGACGGAAGAGTCGAATCTTGTCTTGAGGGTCACGGTAGGCCTTCAGACCTTCAAACAATGTCGAAGCATAATGCAAGACAGTGGTGCTAGGATCTAGTTGGAAGGGGCCGTAAGCTTCAATCTTTGGTTCACCCCAACCAGTGGTCTTATTCCAAGGAACTGTCAGCATATGGTTCGTAAACGTCTTGCCGAATACCAGATCCTTAGCATCAGGACACGTGCGAGGATTTTCATTCCGCTTCACCACAAGTCGACTGGCATCAAGTGGTGCAAGCCCTGTCTTTTGACGCTTAAGATCGCCACTTGCATCTGTGGAAGCTGATCGCGACATGACAATTGAAAATGGCTGCGGCGAGAATGGAGAGACAGTCTTGAAGGCTCGGCGCAAGAGGAAAAGCCGCATACCGCAGTTCGATTTAATTGGATATTTATTATATATTTGTAAGTCTTGGACCGTGCTTCGATGTACACCGATGACTCATTACAAGATAAACCTATAGATCGCTGTCATTACAGTCATAGCATGGGGCGCCACACGTGTTGACCTGGCAAGTAGGCTTTTTAGGGTATCTGCGTGCGTCATGTCCCGAAAGGCTTGGAGATCAACAAGCTCAACGCCGACGTCCTGGAGCAAACTTTTCAGTAGAATGCTTTGGCTAATAGGAACATAACCGTCACTTCCCCCATGTATCAGGAGAAATCGTGGAGGTAGAAAAGACGGATCAATGATTGATTTTGAATAGTCTAGTAGATGTGTTGGCGAATGCATAAGATATTGCTTACTCTGAGGACCCGCCCATCGATGCAGAAAGCTCAAGTGCTCGACACCCAGCTCGCACTCATGAAGATACCCTTTGATCAAATCACTTAGTCCAGCAATTAAAATGACACCGGCAAATGCTGGTAATCGGACTTGAGGGGCATAGATCTCTGTCCTTTTAAGAGGTATTTCCATTTCTTTTCGAAATCGATTATTGCCTTCATCACTACCATTTGTGTCACTTAAAGCACGACTGAGAACCACAGCCTCCTGGGCCAATGTTAATGTGATAAGTTCCGCAGAACATCCTGTTCCCATCAAGTAAATACGCGAAGGGTCTCCTCTGTATGTGGCGATGTGAGCACCTACCCAGCTAAGAGCCAGTCGCAGATCTACCACTGATTGACGAATCCGATCCTTGGGGTAGTATGTGATGTCAGGGATAACGACACAATATCCCAATTGCTGCATATTGAGGGCCAACTGGATGTAAGCTTTGCGATGACTGGTAAGCTGCACGGGAAAAAAAGCAGTTGGTACAAAGACCACCACTGGTGAGCCACGGATCTCTTGATACATATTCTTATCCTGTTCAATGGCTGCAGGATATACATCCAATTTTTTATGAGAAAAGGGTATAGAGTAATTGATAGATTCACTTCTGTTAGGATCAAAAACATACAAAACGGGTAAGCCAGCTTTCCTACATCGACAAGTGTACCTGTACTGAAAGTACCAATCGATACTCAGCCATAAGAACCCTGCACATGTTCGAATGTATCGGCATACTGATAATGTGACTTTAAAGCAACGTTCTGGTGTCCATGGAAGAAAAGGAACATAGGATGACAGGGATGAAGAGCCAAGCGATGTGTACACTGACGAATCTTGTTGTGCAACAAAGAGATAGGAGCTCCATGCAATGGCATACATCGTAATAATCATGGAGCTGAACAGCGCAACCCAAGCACTAAGGTAAGAATCACCCCGCTTACAATAAAGAAACAAAAGGAACTGCATGTCAATCGAAAAATAACTCACTAAAGATGCCGATCACAGATATAGGCACCATGGCTAGAGCACCAGAAGTTATCAGAAGTGAAATCCACAACATTAACGACTGCAAGGTCGGAGATAGAGTCATTTGAATTCTTGAATTTGATTTTTTTCTACCATTTGAATGTTCAAAATGACTTCTGGGTTGTTCTTTAACTGTTACCATCTTGAGGTTGCAGGATGTGAGAAATTCGTGGAACGGTACCACTTGGCCCGATCCGGCCTACCTGCCTGCATGCATAGATGCATGCGCATTACCCCACACAACGTTCTCCACATAAGATTGCTTTTACTCGAGGACTTTCATTTAACAGTCCCACGTGACATTATACTTTTACACGTGACACGAATGCCTACTGCGGAAGGTTGTGTGGTGAAGCAATTTCGCGGCGGAAACTTGACGATACACCAGCAAGATGGCTCATCAGAACGTGTGGTTCTCGCACCCCGTATGTATTTTACTCTCTGAAGTGGATTGTTCTAACAGTTTTAGCGCAATTACGGCAAGGGTTCTCGTAAGTGGTATGTATCAGGCCGTGGATATGGGTTCAGAATATCATGAGACTTTGAATTTGATGAGAGTCGTTCCTCGTTTATGGTCGCTTTGTATTCATATATTCATATTTGTTGTTGAAGCTAAGCCATAAAGAGTTGGGATGTACTATTCTTGATCACCTCTCTTGATATCTACCCTGTTCTTTTGAATTTGGGACATTTATACTAACATTTCTCAGCCGCGTCTGTGGCAACCAGGGCGGTCTTATCCGCAAGTATGGCCTTGACATCTGTCGCCAGTGCTTCCGCGAGAAGGCTGCCGACATTGGTTTCCACAAGGTACGTTGATTATTAGAATGTATGGACTTACTCTTCAGTACCGCTAAATCATACCCAGGCCCCTTTTATTCGAGCCTAACGGGTGAATGGGACTATATCGGCACAGCTTTGCAATGTGGCTGTCTTTTTCGCTCACATGCCATAGTCTCGAGTGTACCTTCGATTTATGCCCCAAAATAAAAATGCTTTCTAAATGCTACACCTATAATCACAGTTTGTTTTCAGCTGTTTTCGAGACTGCTTGTTTGACAGGTCGTACCCAGCCACGCTTAACAAGCCACCGGACAATAGGAGGCGTAATCATAAGCGTAATGCCTGCACGCACTGGCAACATGATGGTCTTGTGGATCGCGAAAGCGAGGACAAACTCTGTGGACAGTCGTGCCAGAAGCAGCTCAAACTCAGAGTTCTTTTCTTCAACAACAAACCACTTTTTCACATAGCCAACAATGGCGTTTTCTTTAGGTTCATCTCCTCCTTTCAATTTTTTAATGACTGGCCCCAACCATTTCGATAGCAAAGCTTCCAATTCACCCACTTGCTCCCCTGCATAAAAGTGGATTGCAAGAAATGTCAGAGAGCAATCGATCCCTGACATGATCATGTAAACACCAACAGCCCACCAGCCATACTGTTTCATCATTGTTTTTAAGCGTTGATAGAGCCCCATTCGCGGTTCTTTCGGTGGCGTTTGTCCCTCACCGCCTTCATGCGAACTAGACTTACCGCTTTGTGGGGCAGGCTTTATACGTTCTGGCATCTCCATACGTGGCTGAGTATACGAAAATGTGCGCACATTAAATGGCATCATTGCCGTACGCATTTGGGTGCTTGAAAGTCGGGAAGCCACCGGGAAAGTCGCGGCAAGATATGCATTTCGGCATGAACCTCGAACAACACCCGTTGGCAAGCAAAACGAATGTAGTCGGAACATGGGCCAATGTATGGCTCTAGCAATGTTCGCAACCACCATGCTAGGGCCAACAATTTAGTACTCGTGTGATCGGGTACAGGCTTGTGCGTTTATGACTAAGGGAAATGAATGCCTAGATATTTAATGATGCTTACTTAACACTCGCTGCATTGCGATGTCCCTCAGAGTCTCCATTTCGCCGCTCTGTTCACACAGTTGATAAAATGAACTGTTGGTGTTTGAGATAAGTGAACTCGGAGAGTCATNACTCGACTACTTTACCCTGTCCGAGAACGAGAACCTTGTCATAGTCGATAATTGTCTTGAGGCGATGAGCCACGGTCAGAATTGTGGCACCCGGAGCCATTTGCTCGCGAATAGTGCGCTGAATCAGTGCATCTGACTCCGAGTCAAGATTTGCTGTGCTTTCATCGAGTATAAGAACCTTGCTGTCCCGCATCTTGAGTAAACCGCGTGCAAGAGACAAGAGCTGTCGCTGACCGGCGCTGAAGTTTGCACCGCCTTGGTCCACGGGGTCGTCGAGCGACCTGATAATGCTGCCCTCGCCAGGTGTATGAGGATCCGGTCCTGGCGATGTAAGTTGACAACGTTGGAGTGCAAACCACATGTCGGCGTCCTCTGTAAGCTGGAAGGGATCGAGATTTGAGCGGACTGTGCCTTTGAAGAGCTGAGAGTCCTGGGGGATGATGGTAAGCTTGCGACGGAGAGCGGAAAGGGAGAGGGTGGAGATGTCAATGCCATCGATGGTAATTGATCCACGCTCGGCCTCGAGGAAGCGGAAAAAGGCAAGGGAAAGGGTAGACTTGCCACTGCCTGTACGGCCGACAATGCCGACCTTCTCACCGGGCTGGATAGAGAAGGACACATTTTGGAGAGCCAGAGGGAACTGCTTGCCATAGCGCACGGAGAGATCCTGAACATGAATAGCACCCGTATCGGTGGGCCAATGTGCAGGGGGTTNCCTGGCCATCTTGTTTTTCTGATTCAATCCAGATGTATTCACCCACTCGTTCCACTGCATTCATGTTTATTTCCATGGTAGAATACAATCGCACAAGCCATAGCAAAACTTCCACCAGCATGATTGCATAAGAGAGTGTGAATCCTGCTAGAGCAGCATCTGATCCGCCTAATAACAAGAACAGTGCTGCGATAAAAGTAACTCCAGAGCCGGCAATGTCACAGCAAATACTGAGCCAACGATTTTCATACCATAAAAGTAAAAAGGCACGATTCCATTTGTCGAGCAAGCCGAGACATTGTCTCATAATGCGCTCGCCATCGCTGTACGCTCTGATTGTTATGGTTCCAGCAATCGTTTCACCCACTAGTGTATACAAGGGCGATCTTTGAATGCTCTCAATTCGCTTCAAATCACGCGAGGAGGCCAAGTATAGTGACCCAATCAAGTAGTAAACCGCCGTGATAAACCCAAGCACCAGCAGAAACTTTGGTGTAGCCCAACAGATAACGGCAATAATTGAAACCAGAGATATTAAGTTTTCAACCGCCATCTGGACAATAGGTATCAGTTCACGGTCAATATCTTGCATGTCGCGAGAAAGTCGATTTGTAATACGTCCAATAGGTGTTCTGTCATAGAACTGTGGGCGAGCTTGCAGCAATGCTCGCATCATCCGACTGTAAAGAAGCTTGGATGACTGCAGTGAGGCTGCATATTGCACCAAGTCGGTCGCGAAGCTGATTAAAACAAACAAAAGGATAATAGCAGCATATCCTTTCAAGTAATACCATGTCTTTTGCTGCTCGTGAACCTCATTAGGAGTAGGAAGGTCAGAGAATATTAATGCTCGTAAAGTTGTTTGTACTGTTGTTGCTGCTTTATCATATGACCTGGCCCAGCTGCGCAACCATGCACCACTCCCCACATCAGCTACGCGGATGCTGATATACAGTATTAAAAGAGTTATCCAAACCATAGCAGCCACGAATCGTGATTTTGCCACGGAACTCATATAGAACCAATACAAATATAAACTGGAATGTTCGCGCGAAAGACGTTCTTCATTCTTGTCAGCTTGGAGCTTGCGAGCTCGTTGCTGGTTTGCCTTTTCTTTACGACTCTTTAATTCTTCTTCACTAATAAAAGTCTTTCTCTCATCTTCGTCAGCCTCCGGAGCACTTTCCAATAGCGCTCTGCAAATTTTGCCTTCAGAGAGAAGCTGTTCTGACGAACCTTGAGCAGCCACACGTCCACCATCCATCACAACAACATAAGATGCGCTTGGCAGCATTAAGGCTGCTGCATGTGTCACTAGAATAATAGTCCTGCCTTGGGATAAGGGGCCTTGAAAACAATGCTGGTGCAAGTGCTTGGCGGTGTGTGCATCGACGGCACTCAGTGCGTCGTCAATAAGAATGTGCTTGGCATGCGAGTAGAAGGCCCTTGCGAGGGCAATGCGGGCCTTTTGACCACCTGATAGTGATGTACCTTTTTCGCCGACTTCTGTTTCGTCGTGGAACTCGAGAATGTCAAGGTCAGGCTCGAGAGCACAGGCTCGAAGCACTTCGTGGTAGCGCTCGTCATCATACTCGGTACCAAACAGAATATTTTCGCGCACTGTAGTTCCCAGCAACCAAGCATTTTGACTGCAATATGCAACTGTTTCCGTCAACTTTGTAACAGGATCCGGCTCAACCAATGAGCGCGAAATAGCGCAGGGCATCATTGTTGTACCTGAAACACGATGCAGTTCACCTAACATAGCAAGAAGTAGAGATGACTTACCGGATCCGACAGGTCCCACGATCACACTTAGCTGACCAACAGGAAACTGACAATTGAGATCCCGGAGCACAAAGCGCCCTTCTTCTTCAGCCGTTTTAGGGTCTGAACCATGGGTGAATGTTGCATTTTTGAAGCCCAATTTTCCAAGAGATGCATAATCAACTACCCTAGGCTGTTTCATCCCGAGCAATTGTTCATATTTCATAGTGTCAGGCTCATTTAGGAAATTGTCAATTCGTCGTACTGACACGATTGCCGATAGGAGCCAATGAATCATACTTGGCAAATCGGCCAAGGGTCCTCGTAGCGTGTTAAAGAGAGCAAGCGCTGTGAATGCTTTCTCTGCTGTTAATTCCCTTTTAAATAAAAGAGTATGCACGCCAAACGTTGCTATTGTCACCAACATAGGCGTAGCAATGAAGGACATATGAATTAAAATTGAATAAAGAAAATGGCGGCGCAGTAATCTCAACTCATTGATGCGGGTCTCATTCATTCGGCGCTCAAATGGTGTTTCCCAGGCAAAGAACTTGACTGTTTTTATGCAATTCAAAACTTCTGTGGCCAAATTCAACCGCTCATCCGTTGCACGCAACATATTTTCCTGCACTATTACTTGGATGCGGGTCAAATAGGCTTGAATTGGGATAGCAACCACCAACAATATCAAACCCACCACAGCTGACCATCCTAGTAGCGTTGTAACATAAAATACTCCCATAAGTACGGTCAATGGCTGTTGCGGTATCAGGAAATGCATATAGGCAGCCAGTTCGCTGATGCTGTTCACATCAACAGAGACTAAGTTAGTTATTGCCCCATCTGTCGCAGACGCTTTCTCATTTTGTGCGATATCGTCGCCAGTCTTTTCTTCGTCGACTTTCTTCTTTGCACAATATCCACGGCGTATCGTTTTGCTAAGCACTTCATAAGACACCAAAGCGCGAAGCTGTACACAGATATGGCGACCTGTCATGAGACTTTGAGATTGACAAATAGCAAGCAGGATCTGACTTACAAACATGCCTAATGCAAAGAAAACACCAAGATGTAAGGGCATGTCTTCTTGAGCATTAAAGCGGAGAGAGAAAAAGTTGAGCAATCGCGAAAGAAAAAAGACAGGCGCTAATGTCAAAAATGTTGCAAGAAGTCCGCATGCACATTGGTAGGTAAAAAGCGGCAGGAAATGACGCACAAGTCGCTTCCAAAGCGGACGTCGAGTCTCTGGACCGTTATGTATACGGAAAGTAGCAGTTACCGCAGATGCTCTATCACTAGACATGAGTTGTGGTACATCTTTTAACGTGATAGGCTCAAAGTAATGTTTCCAAATGAACGGCTGGATAAACTGGAAAAGGGCACGACTCAGTATAGATGCGTGCTGTTCAGGTGGCGGAAGAAGCGGACTCGAATCTTTAGAGAACGAAGGTATGATAGCGTCTTCATTGTTATCAACCACACGCTGAATGCGCGGAGGTGTCGGCACAGCTGTACGAAGTTCAGAGTACAATGTGTGCTTGTGCATGGTCTCCTGAAGTGCTCGCAAACCCGATGGAAGTGCTTGTGTGACGGGTGTCATGATACTCAAGCCAAATATTGGGACAACCACAATTGCCTGGATCACGACCAATATCCGCGCCTTAGAATCCATACTTAACAAAAAGGCAGAGCGGACATTCGACAAGGCAATCAAGGCACCAATACACGATAGAACAAGTTTGTGCTTGTGCATTGAATGGGAACTCCAAAGAGAGGAAGCGGTAATGATCGCGAAGTAAATCCAGTAAATAGGCCAAGCAAGACCTACATTTGCCTGGGTTGCCATACTACCCATGCATATCACCGCCGTAATGATGGAAAGAATTAGCTCGAGAATACACTTTCGGTACCGAAGAATGTCCCGTCGTTGTGCAGCGGCGTGGTCAGACAAGTCTTCTTTGATGCTGAGTGCTTGATCAATCAATACGATATTCTCTGCTTGAAATACTTGCTCGGCCACCGTTGAGGGTGTAACTGGCGAACTCTCTTCAGAAATGGCATTGTAGAAATGAGATGACTCTGGGTTGAGGTGTGCAACTTCCAAAGCAAGCTTGGAACGTCGTTCCCTGCTATCCCTCAAGTTGGCACCGAGCCAAGCCAGTGCACTTGCGGCAAAAACACATAAAGGAATCACTGCATTTAGGACAGTTATACGGAAGCAAGGTGTCCAATCTTCTTTGCCAAAAGGGGTAGTCCATGAACATGGACTACCTGCCAGCGGCATTTCTCCAGGTGATATCGAGTTCGCCAAGGGGAATGGAGCAAGGGCCGAGAAACATTTAAGCTTATAAATGCCTCAGCACCAGAAATTAGGCTTAGACATCATCACTTGCATAAATGGGGTGCCTGGGCTACGCTGCATGGCGTTCCTGGGCGTGGCACTCTCGCATTCGTTACCGCTCTATATCATCTGTTCCTATCGTATACCAAATCCAAAGGAAAAGAGTTAGTGCACTACCTGAGCGTGTAGTTCCTACTTCACCGACCCCCACCACTACTAAAACGCCCGAATGGCCACCGCTTGCGCTTTGTGTGTTAGAGAATCTGAAAGCATTCCCTCAATGCATACTGCTTACTCGTGTAGGCGGCTTTTATGAATCTTATTTTGAACAGGCTCCAACCATTGCTTCACTCCTTGGCATCAAGCTAGCATCTCGAAAATGGGCCGGCCAGAACATCCCCATGGCTGGCTTTCCTATCCACCAATTGGACAAGTACCTGAAGGTTCTTGTTCAAGAACATGGAAATCTTGTGGCTATTTGTGAAGAGTTTAAAGCAGAGGCGAAGAACGTGCCTTTTCAGCGTCGAGTCACGCGTGTTGTATCTCCTGGCACGCTCATTGACGAACGTTTTTTGGACCCTTTCCACAATAATTTTATTCTCGCAATTTTTGAGTCAGAGGGAGGTACATTTGGTCTTGCGTGGCTAGATGTAAGTACTGCCGACTTTCAGACGACGGAGTCCAGCGATCCCAAAACTGTGCGCGACGAAATTACCAGGATTGCGCCTAGGGAAGTCGTTCTTGTGCATGACAACATATACCCCCCAGACCACCCTATTGCAGAAGCTATCAGCCGCACACAGGCCCTCATTTCGCATACGCCAATGCCTGAACAAACCTCTGAGTCTCTTGGCATAGAGAAGACGAGTGTTTCTGCTGCTGAACATTCTGCTATCCGTTTGCTCACTGGCTACCTTTCCACTCGACTCCTAGAACACATGCCTGATATGCATGTGGATACACCACAACACTCTGAAACGACTATGCATATGGATGCCGCAACTTTGACTGCTCTAGAGATCCGAGAAACGAACGAACGAAGCACACGAGGCAGCCTTATAAAGATCCTGCGTCGTACTGTTACTCAAGGGGGCGCGCGCCTGCTTGTACATTGGCTGACTTCTCCAAGTACCTCGATACCATTGATCCAGGCTCGGCAGTCCATGGTTGACTTATTTCTAAAAAATTCATTTTTACGCCAGGATATCCGCATGATCATGCACACAAGTATTGGTGATATCTTGCGTACTTTACAACGTGTAAGCCTACGACGCAATGATGTTCAGGATCTTCTTAAAATTCGTGATTTTATTCGAGCTACGGACCAAATTCTTGACCGCCTAGAGCGCGAAACAAGTGCACCGATTGGTGGTTTGGAGCTTCAAGAGTGGATGCGCCGCTGTACGTCACTTGATGAACTAGGAGATCGCTTAGGCAATGCTATTGATGAGAGAGTTATGCAGAAGCGACTGGAACAGCAAGCTGCTCTTATCAAACAATTTGATTCTATGTATGATACGGGAGAGGCTACAACGGAGTCTATCGATGTACCTAAAGTTCGGAAGCAGCGGCGCTCGTCTGTCAGTATACCTTTGCTACTAGAAGGACCACTTTGGGGAGACGACATTGAACATTTAGTCCGCCCAGACTCGTCACCAATGTTGCAAAATCTCACTGACCAATACAATGGTTACCGTGTAAAAGCACGCATCCTGGAAAACTCGCTGCGAGAGCGTCATGGTGAATATGTAACATTAAAATTCCTCCTTGGTCAAGGGTACATTGTCCATTTTTCATCACCACGAGGTGATGAACTTGACGAGAACCTTACTTTGGCCTACAAAACGAAAACCACTCGAACATTTTACCATCCAGAATGGTCAAAAATTGGAATGAAACTCCAGAAACTGAAAGAGGGTATTTCCGATTGCGAATCGCGCTTGCTCGACACACTCCGTCTTGAAGTCCTGGCACATTCTGACAAGTTACGTCGAAATGCACGCCTGCTGGATCAATTGGATGTTCTGCAGAGTTTTGCTCAGGCCGCAGAAGAGCTTTCTCTTGTGCGACCTGTCATCGATAACTCCAGTCAACTAGATATCTGCGATGGTCGTCATCTAGGTGTCGAGTTGGGTCTCATGGAGCAAGAGCGGCTTTTTACGAAAAATCATCTCAAGTTAGGTCAAGATGCACGTCTTCATCTTATTACTGGACCCAATATGGGCGGTAAATCTACCTTTTTACGTCAAAATGCTATTATTGCTGTTCTTGCTCAAGCAGGATCATTTGTACCGGCCGAAGCGGCTCGAATTGGCATTGTTGATGCTATCTTTAGCCGGGTAGGTGCGAAAGACGATTTGTTTCACAATCGGAGCACATTTATGGTGGAAATGAGCGAGACAGCAGACATTCTTCAACGAGCAACCAGTCGCAGCTTTGTGATTGCCGATGAAATCGGCCGCGGCACCAACACCTCCGTTGGTTTGGCAGTTGCTTTTTCTGTTCTTCACTCACTTGCGATCCGGACACAATGCCGTACACTCTTCGCCACACACTACTACGAACTGGCCGACATGCTAGGTTTTGACCAGGATCAACCTCCTTCGCAAGCTCTCTCCGATCAGGTGGCTTTTTTCTGCACGCGCCTTGAGAAACATGGCGACGTGCTTTGGTTTTCACACCGGGTACGACCGGGCGTGAACCGCGATTCCCATGGGTTGGATATAGCGCGTTTGGCGGGTATGCCTAAAGACACTATGGAGCTAGCAGCCAAGACACACGCATGGATTGTTCAACATGGTCGTGCAAATATCGACACACGGGGACTCGTGCAGGATGTATTGGTTTCACAGTAGCCTTGGGAAGTTAACCGTAGAGAAACTGGTCCGGTGCACTTCCATAAAGGGCCTTCCAGCTTGGCGGTTCTGGTAGTGGCATTTCTGTCATCAGAATGTGTAACATACGCAAAGGCAAGTTGCATAGAGATGATATCTTGACGACGAGCGCTTGTGCATCCATGCGGTTGTCGCCTTCTGCACAGAACATTAGCAGAGCCGTAGTGTTTGGCGCAGCAGTGCTTAAAAACTTGCGCGCAATCCCACTACCAGGAAGCGGAGGCATACCAGTTATTTCATGAGTATGAGGCTGGAACACTGGCAGAGCTTCGCTAGCCGCTTTAGAAATGGGCGTATCCATGGCTGGAACAGGTCTCAAATACAAAAACGGTGTTCTTCACATTAGTCTTTAGTACATACAGGAACTCATCATCCACACGCATAGCCGCATCAAGACTAGGTAAGAAGATCAACATACCTGGCTACTAGTAGCACCTGAGAGAAACCGGCTTGTTCGATCCACTCATTGAACTTGAGTACAAATTCCGTCTGACAGGCCTCTTTATTAGCATGCAATAACGTACTCGGATCACTGGGCTCCTCTGCTGGATAATCGTGATCCCCAATTTGGTTTGAAAAACTGTATAAGATATAAAGACGCACCATCCAAAGCTGTGTACACCGAACCAGGGTTTTCGCCTGGCTCGCTTGGTGATACAAATGGCACGCATTCACTAGCGTCCAAATAGGCGACGCGATGACATTCCAGCGAGGGGGCGTGAAGCAACAGATCAACAGCAAGCTGAGGTACAGATCCTACACTGATTACAGGCAAAATAAGAATTTGTCCTCGAAATGTCGGTATACTATTGGGATCCACAGGTATACACCAAGTCATGATGATGCGTTTCACGTACCTCCACAAGATGTCTAATGGTCATATCTACAAACGATGATGATTTCTTGCCATTGTTTTAAGTTGGTCGAGTTCGCCAGTCCGTTCGCAAAGACTGTAGAAAACACTTGAAGTAGTAGAAAGAAGAGCATGGGGAGAATCG